TTCTTACTGAGGTACTCTTAACGCCCGAGGTTAAGTACAGCCGAACACCTACGTACATTAGCCCGACATAGATCATCGGGTGGCCGTACATAATGCAAAGAGTGTGTAGGCACATAGGGAGCGACTGCATGATCTCTTGTCCCTACCCAAACCATGTCCATGTAAAAGCAGCTTTCAAAGTCATCCGTTTAAGCCACACCCGTCCGACGTTTTCCCATACTATGCCGTAGACTTAATCGCGACGGTAACATTGTGACCTTGCTACGTTAAGGCTAATAAGCGCTTAAGCCCGTAATTTGATTTATGGGCCTGGTCGGTGACGTTGGTCTCCCGGCGCCTTTTTTTTTTTGTAATACATATCAAATATTAGAGCCAACAGCAAACAATTGATGGAACCTGGATTACATAGGTGAAGAAGGTACATACATCTTCTTGTTGCCCTATCACAAAATACCTACCTACCAAGGCTACACATGCCTTGCCTAGAGAACTACATAACTAGTTAACCTACGTACATACTACTACTACCTGACAACCTTGAACCTACTGAGAGACATGCCGCTTACACATTGCATACCCGCATCCCAAGCCCGAGGTGCCATGGATACCAATATTAAGGATACGCATGTGTGTATACATACATACTTGCAGGTACTGATCAGCCGCTTTCCAGACGATTGGGCAATGCAATGTAATGGTTTATACTTCTCTCGAGCCTAGGCCTCCTCGTATGATTCGAGAAAACGGAGCAAGCATGAGCTTATAATTCGTAGATTGTATAAAAAGAAACAAAACCCCTCCTCTGAACTATCGTAATGGAGCTTCGGCCGCCTTCAAAAAAGCTTCTATCTAAGCTAGTCAAACACCGCATTGCCCGCAAACCATACCATCGTATTAGCATGAGGTTACACCTCGATTACCAAAACTCATTAAAAGCCACGAGGCATCACGAAAGCCTCGTTTTTCGGGGACCCTGTCGGACCTGTCAACCTGGAACTTTAAGTACGTAGGTAAGGGGAGAGAGAGAGAAGGTTAATAAATATGGGACCGGCGCTGTCAAAAAAGCGCGAGATGGCGGAGATATTTTCCTTGCCTTGTCGTCCTGCCCCGCCTTTCGAAAGAATGCTGCTGCTTAATTACCTAGGTAGTTAACTGTTAACTAGACGTAAACGTGTGTGAGGTGGTAGAAAGAATTGAGACTAGCCCTGTTGCAGATAAAGCCCAAGAGCAAACTAACCCATACCGAGTTACCAACGCTGGAGTTGTAGGGCTTACTGTCTCTTTTTTGTGCTTTCTCCTCTTCCGAAGGTTCCCTTAGCTATCTCTTTTCAACTTGCCTATGTAACCTCCAAGCTCTACTAGGTAATGGATATGTTCCATAACTCTCCTAGGTTAGGTAAGTAGGCCGATTTGGTATTACTAGTAGCCTTAGCCATCGTAGATTTTTTATGTTACCTATTACCAGGTAGTTAAGTGTACTTACGTGTAGGCGTGTATTATGGATATCTTCTTTTTGACATGGGCCGCAATGGTTTGCCGCTTAGCCACGTCTACCATTGGTCAGTCAAAAACACGCTTAGGTTCAATGTTATAAACGGTTCACTTTCCTTTATATGCGTATACGTATGTGAATCCATATGGCTGCAAAGGCAAGGCACGTTTAGGTCGTACACTGGCTTTTCTTCCATGTTGATAATGTAGTACATGTATGAATTCCCGCATCTACGTACATACCATACTCCGCCAGCCGCGTACAGAATATGTTCATGGTGTACTACCTGACCTATGTGATGTCAGTAGATACATACATACTAGACATACATATATGTAACTCGCACGCCTTATATCCTACATACACTACCAGACATGCCTACATGTACTTACATAATGTAGCACTGGTTAGATTTCATACCGGAGGTTATTGACGAGACCGTTGTCGGTCGATTCAGTAGGTCCCACTGACACTAACTTGTCTTAAACTGCGCTATGAAGTAAGGCGAGACAGGCCGAGTAAGACATGACGCCAAGGTTAAGGCGCTATTTGCGAAGCATTGAAAATGTTTATAGATATGTATTGATACTCTAGGTGGTACATAGATGCCTACCGGCCCTACCCATATATCATTGGGCTCAAGTAACTATTCAAGAAAGTATTGATGTGTGTTCAAGTTCAATATTGAGAGTATGTAGTACTTATCGTGTACTACTAGTAGGTAGGACCTGGTAGGTATATACGGATGTACCATATGTAGGTTAGATTAGTACAAATTGATAGTATTTCGCGCGCTGCTATTTCCTGTAACTAATGGATGATTAAACTTGAAATACACTATTATGGTATGTACTTACCGTATGTGCACTGAATCTAGGTAGGTACAACCTTCAGGGCTACCTAACCAGCTTAGAGCTAACCCTACTATATATGTATGTACTAACCTAGTATGTATTGTACTATGTATGTAACAGTCTGTAGTGACACAATGGATCCAATCTGTGAGCTCCAAGGTTCTCCTTCCGACCTTTTTCGCATGCCATCTTTTCTCCCTCACGCCGCACCTACTATGTACAGATACCGTAATAGGTCCCTCCCCTCTTCTTCCATGCAAGATGCATATTGAGTCCTGACTGTCATTGGTCCACCTTTTTTGTGGTTACTCTTATGATGTCTGTTTGATGAGAAGGCAAGAACAGAAAAGAAAAGAAGTGCGAAAAGAATTAAAAAGATAAATCAAAAAAAGAGAATATACCGATCGATACCAAAACCATGCCGAATCTGTCATCTCTTATTCACCTTAGCTGCATACCAAGTACATGTCTAGGCACATACCCTACCCTAGCCTGGGCCTAGGCGCCTACCCATAGTATGTACACTATCTTACCTACCTACATCTGCCAGGTCTATGTAGCAATGTAGGTAGGTAGCTAAATTCCGAGTCCATGATACTACAGATCTGATTATGCTTAGTTTTGATGTTGCTAACCTAGGAGTCTGTCATTCGTCAATTACGGCTGAGCAGCTGGGTTAGGAAACCTCCGCAAAAAGTTGCTCGCCTAGGTACCTTACTTGGCAGGCTCCAAAAAAAAAAAAAGAGCCATCGCAGGTCGGCCATATCTCTTCTATATTCAGATGTCCCAAAGTCCTCCTCACCGCTCTAGTCAACACCTATGGCGACTATGCAGCAGCTAACTAGTACCTATCTTAGGTTATTAACCTACCATAGTAGGTATCCTAGGTACATACAATGGATACACACATACCTAATTGTCCGCCGTCCTTCCCCAGCAGTCGATTAACAGCACACAACAATTAGTGTACGGCGTACAGCATATCTCACATACCTACCTACTTACCTATCTACCTACATATATGTAGGCATGCAGATTCTATCTACATACATACATACATACATACATACCTAACCTACATACATGTACGTACGGATCGTGTGTATGTAGGTATGTATAGGTAGGTAGGCATGTAGGAACATGTTGGATGGTAGGCAAGATAGGTATGTATGTACCTATATATCATGGCATTGTATGGGTCATTACCCTATATCCTTTCGGTCCCAAGGCAAGACAACACGGTGAAGAGGAAAGTACCGTAACATCATTCAGCGACTAGCCGTCTCTGTGGGCGTCAGCCAATTCCGTTACCGTACCCAACACTCAGTGCTTGCTGGACTACATACACTACATGGCTACCTATACATGTCTACTATGTAAGTACATTCGCTGCATTGGCTACGGTCTACTACATTAGGCCATCCACATCCACTTCGCCAAGACGCGCAATTACAGTACCTCTCTATCGATCGCATGCTCGTCCGTCCCCATGTTATGTTCCCATGCTCCATTGCTCCATGTTCCATGCTCCTTGCTCCCATGTCCACCAAAGACCCCTGCTTTTTCTTCCCATGTACTCAAAGTATACAAACTAAAGACTCTAGCTCACCCTGTTCAATGTTGATACATACGTGCGCCCATCACTTAACCAGCAGGGGTCTTCATCGCTCGAATTTGGAGCGTAAGTACAGTACGTACCGCTTTCCCAGCTTCCAGGGCTTCCAGGGCAAATCGCCTCTTGGACGCCGAAATAACCTGAGCTGTCATGGATGACCGTTGACGACCCTCTTTACCCACTCTGTTACTCACGCTGGTCTCGCGGTTTTCCTTGTTTGACATCCACCAAAACCTCGTCGTCTCCTAAAGCTTCAACGGCGTCGTTTCTCTTGCTCTACAATCTTGGAAAATTCTTGGAATCCCCCTCTGTACAGTAGTAGCCGTAGCTTCGTCTCTGCCCAACTGCTGATCATTCTGGATCTTGGGCTCCGGACCGTAGAGCTTCACCCAGGGACCCGGGACCGCAACTCCACGCGACTCGTTCGAGAACTGGCAAGCTCACACAGCCTACCCCCTACATTACTATACGTTGCCCATATGTTCCCTTAAACGTCCCCTACACTATACGGAGTACTTGGACAATTACACCGACCCTTCAATGTCATCATACCTACACCAATAAGAGCTGCGACACCATCAGAACTCCTTCCTCCACACAACCAACTGACCAGCGCGCAGTCTGAGCTTTGTCTTGGCACTCGAGGAGCCGATTGCTCCATACCTGCTCGGGGCCATTTGGTCTCCTTCCTGATCGCCTTTCTCATGGCCACCTTCCCCGTTGTTCTTTTTGCCTGACCTGTGCTTGTCCTTCTATCCGCCGCTTATGACTCTACGCATATAATACCCCAAGCATGGAATCTGGGCCGCCTGAGACCAAACGCCCCCGGCTCTTGACCGGTTCGTCATGGTCTTCGCGTCAGACCTTATCGCTCCCTCACCCTAATTCCGCACACCATACACCAGTATCAGGTCCTCACCATCCTGCGCCGCCGCCGTACCAACACCAGTCCCCATTCTCCCGCCCCCCAGAGCCTCCCTTGCCGCCGGCTCACCATCTCGAAGACCGCCGCCACCATGAACATGAGCAGTACCCGCCAATGCATGATCCTCACCGACCGCCCCTGCCCCCCTCGTCAGCGCATCCGTCCTTCTCGCCCTATCCACCGCGAGATCCCATCGTGAAAAGAGACCCGGGCGAGGAAACCTCGCTTCCCCAGTTGCGCCGGCCGAACTCGACTGGTACCGTTGCCGACAATATACCACAAGGTCCCCATGGTCCTCATCATTCTCATCCTCATCCCCCTCCTCCCCCAGACGACCCGCGACGACATATGAGTTACGACAACGGGGCACCTATGCCACCTTCGCCAGCCATGTATAGACCGCCGCAGAATTATCACCCCCCGCCGACTCCAGTCAGTCAGCATCCTCAATATGACAGCCCTCAGATGTATGGCCCGCCGGCATCCATGTATCCCACATTAGAGATTGCGACTAGCGCTAAGCGGAAAGCCCAACGCGCCTCACAGGTAGTGCTCCCTAAGCGAGCTGTTGTATATTTTTTTTTAGCTGACTTGAACCCCGTAAAAGGCATGCGACAGTTGTAGGCAGCTCAAAGCTAAGTGCGACGAAACTAAACCGTGTAAGAACTGCCGAGAGAAGAATATCGATTGCAAATATCGAGATCCTCCAGCAAAACAGTAAGTCCGATATAAAAAGGGTGGATAATGGATGAGGTACTTACTAGAATTGTAGGCCGGATAAAGTAACAGCAGATTTGTTGGAAATGCTTGCCTCTATGAGAGAGGAACTAAACACCAAGCTTTCAAGTATAAACGAAGAACTTGCCGGTCTGAGACAGGACAGCATGAACCACAACCAGCGGGTGGCCAATTTGGAGTCCAAGGTCAAACAGCTGAATTCCGGGATCGACATGAAGGTTGAATCGATAGAAGAGGAGGAACGACCAAGCTTTCCTGGTTCGCCCCAGCCCACTGGTAAAACGCAAGGCGATGAATCATTATCTTCTCCTGGTGGGACGGTGGTAGAGCCTAGCCTCACGATGGATGAAGCTCACGCCACGCTCCAAGAAGCTAACGACGACGAGCAGATGGAAGATAACCCAGGACCACTTGTAACACCTGGCAAGCCTGCTATGCCTCCGAATCATACGACGTTGGCTGGATTGCTTTTAAAATGGCCTTCGATTAAAAGAATGGTCCATCATTTGATGGAGGCAGAGAAAATATATCACCCTGACGAATACCCAATACGACAGGAGCAACAGCGGGGTATGCTACGCGTCTTTGGAAGAGGCGAGGGGTTCGACCAAGATATCCGCGCTTCCGATAAAGAGACTCCACCGGATCATACTATGACGGATGTTTTGGATGACTGCTCAGACGTTGCGTCTCCTTCACCTATGGGAGAGGCATGGGGCCAAGTAGGCAGCTTAACTCCCCCACCAGGCGTTGAATATAGAGGCGGAGTGGTGAATGTTGATGGGAATCCGGATTGGGACGCGGCGAAGATTTGGAGATACGTGGCCAGCTTCGAGAAAAACATTCTCAATATGCATCCGATAATAATCCCCAGGGAACTCCACGCGATGGTCAAGGTATTCCTTGAGACGTTACCAAAGAACCAAAGCACTCAGGGCAACAAGCTTGGTTTAAACGCGAGATTTGTCAACCAACCGAGTGCGATACCTCCGTCGTTCTCTGAAACGGGAACCAAGAGAAAGAGGTCACCCGCCGCTGATGAGCAGACTCCTTCGACATCGTTTTTAAAGCCTGGACGACCATATCGAAGTGTTCATAGTGCACTTGTTCTGCTGGTTTTCGCCCTCGGGAAAATCTGCCAACATAAGGATAAAATCCCAGAAGCGGTTCACGAATCAGATTCGCCAATGCATCACTCGCCTTCGGTTCGAAACGGCGTTCTAGCTTCTCCTTTGCAGGGATCACCTCCGGGAATCATGTCTCACTCACAATCCTCGAATATGCCCTCTCCCAAGGAGAGTGACCGAATTCCTATGAGTCGAAGACCTTCTCTTCAAGGGAATTCCTCGGGTTCAAGGGGGCCACATTCGCATAAGCGGAATCTAGATGTGATTCCTGGTCTCGAATACTTCGCTCTAGCCATGGATATCATGGGTAGCCATATCGGAGGATTTAACCTGAAGCATGTATATGTGCATATTTTAGCAGGTCTTTATTATGGACAGCTTGGGCGTGTTCTTGAGAGTTGGTCGTACATATCTCTTGCCAGTCGGAATCTGCAGGTCATACTTAGACCGTATGTTGAAATTGGCGATAAATTCTTCTGGGCAAGAGCAAATTACTAACTGAGAGTATAGGAGCCTCGATCGACTTTCAAAGTTTCACGATGCAGGGAAGAGTCTTGGATCATCCCGTAGGGACAATCAGTTGGCCTTCGCTTTCTGGACATGTCTGCAGTTGGAAAGGTAGCTAGCTCTGCCTGGAATCCCCCTCCCCCGTTATGTCTGAAGATACTAATACGCGTTGTTCTTAGTGACATTCTTGCTGAGCTGCCCCTTCCCCACTCAAACATCTTGCAATATGAAGATAGGATGCCATACCCAAACTCCGAGTATGCCGTCAACCAAGGTTTCTCGGAACACGTCGTAACGGGTTACATTGCGCAACTGTATCTTAGGAAACAGCTAAACCAAGTGCACTCACTGCTCTACGACTCCGAGAAGCAAGCCAAACATAAAAATGGAATAACGTTAGACGACCCGGCGATCGAAGAAGGCATCAAGGGGATTGAGGAGATGCTTAGGAACTCGAGAGATTTTTGGGTGCCTAAGAGTTACCAGTGGAATGATAACGACCTACCGGCAGCAGATATACTCGGGGCTCGCCTTCGTGCCAAATATTGGGGTTCCCAGGTCATCCTCTACCGACCTTTTCTGAGGGCAATACTCGAACGAGAGCCGTGGCCATACCACAACCAGGGATCACCAGATGCTCAGCCAGGCCTAAGCCTCGAAGAAATGCCCCCGAACGTGGACCCCAGGATTCTTAACTATGCTGGCTTAGCCATCCACGCCCTCGTGGAGAGTACCAGAGCATTTCACGGGATACCTAGCAGTCAACGGATTATCATTACCAATGTGTTTGGAACTGCTCATGCGTAAGTGCGATGAGTATAGAAAACGGGGGGATCAATGACTAACTCAGATTTTGCAGTCAATGGGGAAATCTTTTAACCTTAGCAGCGTGCTTCAAGGATAGATACCTACGGAGGTTCATCGACGGGGAAACCTTGAAAGAACTCTTTTCTAAAACGATCGCCTTTTTCCAGACGATCGTCCAGCCTACCAGTGCGCTCAGGGCCGATATGAATATTCTTATTGGGTTGGCGAAGGAATTTGGCTTCCCTTACGAAGAATACGACCCTGTGTACTCGAGCTTCTCCAGCATGTCCGGTAGCGGTCCTCAACCATCTATGCATAATAATCCCAACGACAACTACCACGGCCCTCCAGGACGCTCGCATTAACCGATGTCCTAGGCTCTCCCCTTCCTAGCAGATCTCGTTTACCACACGGTTTTTGGTTATCTCGAAATCAGTTTTCGATCTCCTGGTTGATCTTGGAAAATCGAATTCCAAAAAGAAGAATCTTTTTTTGGGTTCCCACACATCTATCTATCCCATATATTTCCGATACTAGACGGACTGGACGTTTTCGATGTCGTTCCCACTTTATGGTGTTATTATTTTGATGGCAGAATTATTGGAGAAGGGGGGAATAAACCATTGTTTGGCGGGGACTTTTTTTATTTTTTTTAAACAAACTTAGCAACGGCGTTTTCATCAGGATAACATACATACATACATACTTGTCCGGCGCGGCATTTTACGTTTTTTTTGGTTCCACGGTTACCAAATTTGCATACTTTTTTTTCACTTTTTATACTATTACAAGAGAGAGAAGAGAGAAGGAGAGAGAGAGAGATGCACGCAAACGTTCATGGTTTCCGGCAAAACTATTTTTTTCGTCACCTTTTTTTTTTCCTCCCCAAACCGAACCGAACCTCATCATATTTTCTCCTTTATAAATATTTCTCTTCAAGTTCTACCTCCTTTTTTTTTTCCCGCCGCCTCGCGCCTCCTGTCTTCAATCTCTCCCATCTGGAATATCGTCTCTCCCATATCTCTGTCTTGTGGCGTACCAGCCCCACAAAACTGGAAGCATACAATACCGGCGTTTACTTTTTCGTTGTCGTTATTGATATATATATACGTACATATAGGTATATATATATTTAACATCGAGGCTGCATTATTAGGAAGAATCATTCGTGTTTGTTTGTTTGTCTGTCTGTTCGTTCTGCTGTTCCGTCTGTTGCTGTTTGTTTTGTTTGTTTGTTTGTTCCTGTTGTCTGTTTTGCACGCACGTTTGGCACACCACACTTCTCCGTGAATAACCAACCTACCTAACCTAGGCGAAGCATCCATCCTCCTTTCCGCCCCCCCCTTTGTTTATGGCCGTTATTCATATCATATCATATCATATCATTTATCTACGGATTAACTTGAAATCGAGAAGCTGAGGATACCCCCTTATGCGAGCGGCATCGTCATCTCTGGGTGGTTTAATGTTTTTTGGTTTTTTTGGCTGGTGGTGGTTTCTTTTTTTTTATTGTGTGGTGTGAAACCTGCCTTACCTTCCTGCCTGCCTGTTTATTTTGATGGATGCTGGGTATAGTACAGGTGGAAGGGGTGGGTAGGTAGGCAGGCAAGGTTTATTATCTGAGCCATGCATACATGCATATATATATATATATACATCACGTCTTATTATTATTATATATATATACAGAGGTATATAGCTCGCTAGCAAATGTCCAAAGAAACGTATATAAAAATTACAAATTTGAAAAATTCTGAATGCTTTGGTGTTTATGATATGTGTCTAAGTTGCTTGGTGTTGGTGTTTCGTGTCGTGTAAGTACATGTATGTATTATTTCTTTGCTTTGGTGCTTGCCTGGTAGGTAGGTAGGTACTATGTAGCCCTGGAGTTTCAAGTTGTTTCCGTGAACAGGACCAACAGGTCGGCCGGTATGTAATGTAGGTACATATTTACTACTTACTACCTACCTACTCAGGAGGAGTGAAGGTGAACTTCCCCTTTTTCCTTCCAAGAGTTAGGCCTTGCGACCTACCTACCTATCTACCTGATATCGATAATGTTTAGGTTTAGGTGGGGATGTTGTTTGTCAAAGCAGAAAACCTGCAAGTATTGTTGATGTGTATCCATCCATGATTCCATATGGACATGAATGAAGTCTCGGGGGGGATTAAAGGGACCATTACACGAAAACCCGCACCTGGCATCCATCACGTCTAACTACATGCATACCCCCAACTGTCTATCTGTAATACTTACTTACACTAGTTAGGTGTGAAAACATTGAAGTTGAAGGCAGCAGATGCCAGATAGATATACCGATACCGATGCGCAGATATAAAGACGGACCACACCGAGCCGGACGAGTTGAAAAATACATAAGAGAAGGGGAGTGAGCGAGCGAGTGAGTGAGTGAGTGATAGAAGAGAGAGGAGGGATAATAAATATGAAGGCGGGTTATTCAACATCAATGAGCGCAGCAACACGAGCGCTGCTGTATTGTGCTTGCCTTCTTTCCTCTCTTGCCATTACTAGGTACTATCATTCTTGATGTAGCCGTAGCTGTAGTTGTGATTGTTGCGGTTACCTATAATTGTCATTGTCGTCGTTGTGCTTCCCACCTCCCCCCCTTCCTTTTCTCAATTCAATGCGACGGCGCACTTCTGGGGCGGGTATCTGGTAATACATACCTACATGCACAGGTAGATGTGGCAAAAAAGAGTGTAATAGTGTATACCACTCATCTATTTCTATTTCTTTTTCTTTTTCTTTTTCGCGCGAGAGCCTATGCGTCTACATATGTACCTACATATGTTTGCAATCATCATATGTATGATGTATTCGTCTATGTATTTATTTTGTTTGCCCGTTTATTCGCTTCCCGAGTGGGTGTGAACAGATACCTACATACCTAAATATATATAGAAAGGCCGGTAGGCCGGTAGGTCGGTAAGCAGCTACGTAGATCAGAACATCAATGATCAATGGGCACGCGTTGCGTTGCGTTGCGTTGCGCCGTGCTTGTCGTTGTATGCGGTGCGTCGGAGACGTGTCCGCGCCATTTATATCTTTGGAAAACTGCCTCTTTTCCTTGCCTACCTGTTCACATAATTCACACAATTCACATATTTACGTACATACCTACCCACCGACTCTCGTCTCCGGTTTTAGTGACAGACCGGGTAAAATGGCTCATTAGGTAGGTAGGTATGTCATGCTTTGCTTCTTGCCGGTTGCCGTTTGCTACTGTTGCTGTATGCGAGGGTGGCATTATTATGGTGCCATTGATAGGTAAGTAGGCAGGTACTAGTAGCTGTGCTTGGCCCAGCTGTCATTCGATGCTCTGCCTAGGTAGTTATATATTCTGGATTTACTTTGGTACATGTAGGTATAGATAGGTACAGGTACTTAGGCTAAGCAGAGTAAAAGGAAAGCTGCCCCGATCAGGAATATAGATCTATTACCTAAAGGACAAGTACCACAGGCCTGTAGGCTGACTTCCCAGGCTATTACAACTATTCCTTCGCCTAGGCCCTAAAAACATCCTTGGGGAACGACCATCCATCTAGTACATATATCAACGTAGAGTTTGAATAAGTAGGGTGAAACGTATGTAAGCTACAGATCTAATGGCTTGACAACCAAGCACAGCCAACCATCCGGATACGCTGCCTCGCGCATCAGCTCCTCCAGTGGGGCATGGAAAGGTACACTGGCGCCGTGTAAGATCACGTCTGCTAGCACGGGGTCCCGACTACTCGGAAACAACCTGGGGAGAAGCCGACGAAGCGCAGCTCCGAGAGTTTGGGGGGTGCCTGGGTACATGGGTAAGTGAGTGAGATGTTTTTTGTAAAGTATAGTAACAGCAACTGACGTCATGGCAGATAGGGAAGGGGGAAAGGGGAGGGTGGGACGACGTACGGTCGTTTACGCGTGGCTGCACAAGAGACTGGACAACCTTGAAGGAACCCGTCTGGGCATTGGCGGCGGCGGCGGGGTTATCCGACGATTGCGGGATGTATATCCGGATAGGCACGTGCCGCAGGTCGCGCGAGCTGTTAAGCAGGACGGAGTTGACCTTGCTAAATGAGGCATAATCGTCTTTGTGCCCACCCCCAATCAATGTCAGTGTTCGTTTTGGGATGCATCGTAAGTGCCAAATTAGGAAGAAATAGAAAAAAAAAGGGGGGTTGGGCTTGCTGCTGCTGCTACTTACTATCTACTACGGCGTTCCAGAGCGCTGTCGTATGATCCTTGGATAGCGCCATTATCTGGTGTGCATTACCGTTACGCACGAAATCGGCCTGTTTTCCACCAGTTAATCAGCCAGCCAAGTTACTTAGCTAGACAATGGTCCATTTTATATATGTCCCTTGCGTACTAGTGTGTAGGCGGGAAAAGAAAAGAACAAGAATACGCCCGAGGCTGAGATAAGGGTGGGCTTGTGGCAGTGGTAAGGTTGCAAGGGAAGAGGGGGAAGCGAATAACTTGCCTCTTTGGCGCTGTTCAAAAAGGTATCGCCAATATCCCAGCTCAGGCCATCGGAGACGACAAGCCGCCAGGGCAAGGTAGGTTGATAGAGATCGGCGAGGAGGCCGACTGCCAGGTTACGCAGGAGGATGTCCTCATGGTGGAAGCTAGAGCAGGGGAGGCCGAAGAAGGTGGATAATCGCGGCAACAAGAAGGCCAGGTAGCTAAAACGTGGCACTAAAGTGACAAAGGGAGTGTTGGGAACGCTCGCGTGGGTGATGTACAAGGGCACCTGTAAGTCCCAGATGGCCTGGGGTATCGTCGTAGATGACGAGGGCGCCGGTGACGACGATAATGACGTCGTGGAATTCATCTCCTCCGAGTATAGTTGAACTACCGGTACCTGTCTTTTTCTAATGTAAGAGTGTCGGATATCATCTTCGCGAATCCCTTCCCCACAGTTACGAATTAGTATGCAGTATGTAGTGTGGTATATAGTTGAATCAGTTGGCTGAGCCGCTGAGAATCCTTGGTGTATCAGGGGATGGATGTATGGCCAACCACCGATAGATTCCTATGGTTCTGAAGTAGTTGAAGTCAACTACAATTAGAAAGATCCGGGGTCTTACACCTGTAAGAACTTACATTAGACACCTTAGTTAATCCATGATAGGTAATAGGTTCAATGTTAGTAGTCAGAATTTAGAAGAACAACTGGAACAACTGGAACAAGTGGAAGACAATTGAGACGATTCGATCAGCATTGCATGCAAAAGTGGGGTAGCAAAGTTAAGGCTGAAGAGCGGGGTCTAGAGCTTGAAGCTACTAGTACTAGTAGTATGTACCATGTACCTACTCTAAAATAGACTAGCGTCATAATAGCTGACATGGCTGGCAGCTAAACCGAGATAGGCTTGACATCAGGGGTTCCGAAGATCGGCGCTCCCTTGTCATCAAACTCTCTTTTCCGCGTCAAGGTCAAAATCAACTATGAATGGGCATCTCACACAAAGTCCTACATGGCAATCCTGGTCTTGCAGTCACATGGGTAGCTTCTTATTTAACTATTCTTTTTACTCTTCTTTAAAGCAAAAAGAGTCTTGACACATGCTTACATACATTCAACGATACATGCATGAACAACCATGTGATTTTACTGTATCTCTGTCCTGGACCCACATAACTCACTAGGTTAGTATGTTTCATTCCCTGGCGCCGGTTCCGTACGCTCGGGTCCGGAAACTTTAAGCTATCGGGCCTGTGACGTCGGAAGGGATGGCACTATTACTTACCTATTCAGGTACTTATTACATTACATAGGTACCTACCTACCTACCTACGCATGCTTTTGCAGAAAAATGCCACAGGTCATAAAAGTAACACGACCAATGAGCAAAGAGATAATAATCATCTTGATCTAATAATAGAAAAATGACCCGGCGCGTTTCGGTTTCAGATTGTCGGGCCCGGCTATTTGGTTGTCATATGTACTAGGCACCTACATACTTAGGAGGCAGATCTCCTTTTCCATCTACATACATCATCCATGGATACCATGTGTAGAGATTTGACAGCCTACTACATCTGTTACCAACTAAAAATTTCTGTCGTCCCTTGCATAAATGCACATGAGCGAGTAACTAGGTAGTCGTCTCGTTTATCTCTGTATATCGTATGTACGCACGTAGAACCCTAGATAGATTCGGATGATCCGAGATCGACTATTATGTAGGTAGGTAGCATCTATCGTTTTCTACTATCGTACAGATCTCCTCCTCGAGTCCACGTTACATGGAGAGCAAACAACATTACAAGTACTCGTCACTACCTAGCACTTATCATGACCTTCGTATTTGCATAACAAGCTAACTAACCTAACCCCTGAGTCTCCTGCCTGCCCTAAAAATTCCTAGCTTTCCTTCGCTTTCCTTGTTTGATTACCACCCAACCCGCCTCATTCCTAAGAGGCAATCCTCCCCAGCGGCGTCGGCAATAGCGGTAGCCGTGGCACCGACCCGATGGACGAGAAATACTCCGCCAGATAGTACCTAGCCAGGTAGAATCGCAGCGGTGCTGGGACGCAAGGGCGTAAGTTTGTTTGCGAGGCAGGTCTTTTTGTCAACCGCCTACAGGGCTTCCATACCTATGTCCGATCAAAATAGCTGAATAGAATTCAGGCGTCGAGTAGTAGCAGATCTGCAGAGCTTGATGGTTGCAATGCCGAATCCATATCCACCAGCCCATGTACTGTAGCTACGCGTGTACCCAGTGCTCATCATACTTCGTCGACGTTGCTCTTTCGGAGGGGGCTCGGCAACTTCGTCTGTTGTTCAAGCCAGTTGATGAGGCAAACATAGTCGAAGTCTTCGGTGGCCGCCAAGGTCGAGGCAGGGCTTCAGTGACGCGATCGAGGCAGAATGACCCGCCACAACCTGTTTTGTTCGGGATTGTCGGTGTTGCCTGATTGTCTTCCTGGTAATGCTACTCCGGCAATGTCGAATGTACTCCGTGTCCCAGAACAGCTCCCCCATGAGCGATGCTCATCTTAGAGGTCGCCAGCCTCTTTCTGTTAGGTTCCATCGTAGGTGTCAATCCAAGGACAATCAGGTACATGAATCCAAATCCTCTGGAAGTGTGGCTTTTGCTACCACTCTAGAGTGGGAGGAGGGGGGGGGGGGGGGGGGGGGCAGGCCCCGGTGGGTTCGGGACGAAGCTGGAAGCCGTCGTGGAGTTTGTCTCACTGGGGAGGCCGGGGACAGGCCAGCCTCAGGGGTTGGACTGGATGATGTTGTATGGGAAACCGGAGAGAGAGAGAGAAAGAGTCATGGTGGATAGGTTCTGGGATACAAGAACGTGGCAGCTGGGGCAAGGTAGTCACAAACGTGAACGTGTAATTGTCAAGCGACAAACCGCAGCCATGGTCGTTCTCAGCAGCAACAAGTCCCGGCCCTTTTGGGAAGCTCTGCCTTTCATTGCTGCCAGCGAGCCAACCAGAAGTCGATCAGGAGCGTATCTAGCATGAGGGACAGTTTTGGTGCAACCGGTCTGCGCGTCGACGGAAGGGAACCATCCACTGGTTCCAATCTGGACCCAGCAGGCGCCATAGGTCGTGTCATCTCCAGACCCAGACCCATGCCCTGTGATTACTCAGTGAACGCCACGCGATGGTAGCCACGTTTGTGTAGAATGAAGACCTCCCACCATCTGCGGGTAAAACTCATCAGCATCGTCATCTGTGATCACAGCAATGCGTTGAGCGCTGGCTGTAGAAGCAAGGCTGCCCTCTTTATTCTCCTTGTTACTCTTTGTCGACACTGTTTAGTCATCGTCATGGCCAATGACGACGAAGACAGTATCATGAGCACTGTTTATAGAGACAAGGCTATTCTCTCTTGTTGATGCCCGTCGACAGCATTCTCGTCCTCGTCGAATACGAGGACGACTTGAGAGCGGATTCTGATGTGGTAAAGCCCGTAGGGAGAACGCCCGAGACATATATCCGTCACATTAGGAGTTGTGACCGCGGAAATTGTAGACTCGAGGGTACTGGCAACTGTCGTGGTCTTTGACAGAGTTGTGGTTTCGGAGGCCTCAGATAGAGCAGTTCTTGAGTACTGTAGGTATGTAGAAACAACCTGGAAGCCTTCTCTTCTTCTTCTCCTTCGCCTTCGTCAATGATGGCAACATCTTAAGTTGTGTCTCCGGAGGCATGTCTATCCTCTCTTCCTATTTGGCGACATAATTCTCATCCTCATCGAATGCGATGATCGGATGTGGAGAAAGGCGTATAGAGGCAGGCTTATCGTCCTTGCTTCCCTTTGTCGACGGTGCGCTCGTCTTCGTCCATAGCCAATGATGAAGACGTCTTGAGTAATAGTTGTAGCCGACAAGCTATTGTTCCCTTCGTGCTATTTGCCGACGTAGTTCTCATCCTCGCCAAATACGATGATCAGCTCCTGACAAGTGTGTGTGTAGAAAGGCAAGACGTCTATCCTCCTTTTCCTTTGTCGACAACGTCTTCGTCGTCATCCTCGCCGATGACGACGACGTCCTGAGCAGTGGTTCCAGAGGCAAGCGCATCCTCTCTTCTTCGTATTTACCGACAGTATTTTCGTCCTCGTCAAATACGTCGATCATATCCGGAGAAGTGTGTGCAGAAAGGTATATCTTGTTTTTGCTTTGTCGACATCGTTCTCATCTTCATCTTCATCTTCATTAGTGACCAGTTATGAGGACGTCTTGAGTAGTCGTTGTAGCGGAAAGACTATTTTCTCCTCTTCCTATTTGCCAACGTAATTCTCGTCCTCGTCGAATGCGATGGCCAGTCTCGAGAAAAGCATATATATATGCAAGCCTATTCTCCTTGCTCTCCCTTGACGACATCTTCCTCTTCTTTGTTCTCATCAATGACCAAAGACGAGGACGTCTGGAGTAGTCGTTGTAGTCGACGGACTGTCTTCTCCTCTTCCTATTTGCCAACGTAATTCTCGTCCTCGTCGAATACGACGAGGAATAGGCCTCTAGGAGAGTCTGCAGAAGCAATGTTGTGTTCTCCTTATTCTTCTTTTGCCGAAGTCATTCGTGACGTTATCATCAACGCGAGCATCGGCATCAGCCCAGGCGAAGAGGCTATCCTCCTGTATTTCCTTTGGCCTCTGTTTGACATGTTCTCCGGCTTCGCAATGGCCGATGGCGGCGACAAAGACAAGGTCTCAAGCACTGTTTATAGAGGCAAGGCTATTCTCTCTTCATATTTCGTGTTCGCCGACATCGCTGTTCTCATCATCCTCCATCGACGACCAGGACTCGGAGCAGTGTATGCAGAAACGCGAGGACACTCCCCCTCCTTGTCAGAAAAAACAATTACTCGATCGCGTTATCGTCCACAAGCACACTTTCACTCATCTTCGTCCCCGTCTTCGTTCGTCAGCTGCGACAGTCTCCTCTTGCTGAGACCGCCGCCCACAGAACGCGCATCGCTGTGTTGGAACTGCAAAGACGTTGGCTTCTCGTTGCCCTCCGAATGAACGAACGTAGGACAAAACGCCATAAACTCGACCAGAAGCACAGCCGACCAGAAGCGCAGCGACCGCCGTTGATGATGTGTCGCATTCGACTCGGACGCGGACACGACGGCAGCCGGGGGCTTCTTACTTCTGCTGTAGTCGCAGAAACCGGCCCCCCGTGGCCTTCGGAAACACTATTGTCACCTGGGGGCCCCCCATAGAGGTGGGATCTAAGGGGGGAGTAGCTGGGAGGGCTGTGGCCAGCCGGCTGCACCGGTGAACAGGCGGCGGCGAAAGGCCAGTTTGACGGCCTCCGCCGCCGCCCGCGTGGAGAGGTGCTGGTGGTGCTGGAGAGAGAGAGAAAGAGAGAGATCTGTAGGTAACGCTAGATCTGCACAGATTGAACCGGAGAATGTCGCGATGTGTATAGTTGTGAGGAGGGCCAGCTGAAGCAGGAAGCAGGCGGCGACCATAACCTAATTGAGTATGGGGGGACGATGAGCCTGTTGGAGGCAAATGGTCGCCGCCCGCGTGGAGAGATGCGAATGATCTCTAGGCACCCAACCTTAGCACTGTGAAAGGCATAGTTTTCTGTTCTGGGCCATAAATCCCTTTCCAGGGCAAAAGTGACGCAGACCCGTTACCTTTCTCGTTCTGGACGTTCACGGGATTTGACGTGTATATCCACCGTTGATGGCGCCCCAGAATAGCGACCAAAGTTTGTTGGGGCGTGAGACGAAGGTTTCCTCATAAGCGTAAGTATTGGTCAACCCTGAAGTCGAGCAGAGCAGAACATCAACAGCCGAGCATCATCGGTTTCTCGGATCCCTAGGCCCCCCAGGGCCCAGTCGGCTGGGTGTCATGAGCCGTCCTCTAAAATGTGACGGTCCACCATAGGGAGGTGGGCTCATATATGAAGCCGTAGCTCCATGGAGTGGCGTGCCCCTGTAGACAAACGGGTAGAAGTAGTCTTAGAGACTGCTATCCAGGATAGCTGGTCGCCTGATAGTTGTGGTGTTGGGGTAGTGGGTAGATTTTGAGCTGTCCCGCCGCAACATCAATAACCGACAAGATGACCATACTGCTCTATTTTGTATAACACCACATCTTGTCATCATCCTCCTATCCTTGAGCCGCATTCGGTGCCTGGTAGTGTGCCCGTCCCGCGTTTCGGGGTTCTCGATGCTGTTCCACGTAGGTGTCGTCAACCACGAATGGAATATGATGAGTAGGTAGCTTCACCACGAGATAGACAGGGAAGGAGGAAAGCACCACGCTATAGACGATTCTTGTGTTGTGCGGAGAGAACCGGAACCTGTAAAGGAAATTGGACGTTCCAGCTCTCGAAGTTTCACAGTTGTAAATGCCACCCAAGTAGGGAGCTGATAGAAACCGCCCACGGGTGATTGTAGAAAGTCTGGTCGTAGTTGTCGCAGAAAGCCCGCAACCAGCTAATGCTGGCACTCTTCGTAAGATCCGGACGCCGAGTATAACGCACGACAAGTCACGGAAAGGAACTAGAGGTCTGGTTCAGAGGACCAATCATGTTGTTTCGAGTGGTATCTGTTCCCAATGCTTCCTCGATGTTGCGATCTCCATTGACATTGTTAAACTCGAAATGTCGTGTGGTAGAACCCGAGGAAGATAAGAGCTTTATACCTATGACAAGCTCGGAATAGGAATAGGTAGGCCAAGGGTGACTATGGGTGACTATGGGCGACTATGGGCTCCAAGAATTATGGACCTCATCCATGCATCCATCATTTGCTGTCGTCACAGAGGGAATGGAGAGAGCCATGCTCTCCATTCCCTCGGTGACCTGATCAACCTCGGCGTTGGTCATCTCGGCATCTTCGCCTTGGAAATTACCAGACATGGATATCTCCGTCGTCGAATTCCTCTTCATTGGCGTGATTTCAAGACAGGTAATGTCCACCGATGCGTTGAGCATTCTCCGTAACAGGTGCAATCGTTCTTGGTAGCCGAACAGAACCCCCACCCTAGCTCTGCGAGCACACTGCAATGTCCAGAATATCAGGCATCGGGAGCAAAACGAGGAGGTGGGCGAAGCCCGTTTTGCTGAGCTTGTCCGAGTTCTGACCATGCGTCCCAGGCCGACTTATCGTTAGGTGCTCGATTGCCGTTTTCGTATAGGCTGTTGTTTGTGAGCTTTAAAGGCGGAACCATGGGGAACATCGTGCCGAATGGACCGCCATGAAACGGGGCACTTGGGCTTTGTTGAGGTGAGCGCCGGCCATGCATCCCAGGCCCGGTATGTAACTATTCATGTCACTTTTTCGTGCAGGGTAGTTGGGAGCACAGACCGGATGGCGCAAAGCATGTCATATCTCCTATCCAGATTTTCATGTTGCGGAACACCTGAAACTCATTGGTCCGGGCTTCACCAAACCACACCGGGCCGGTGCGAAGGCTCTTAATCTCTGTTCTGAACTGAACTGAACTGGAACAAGCATGAAGAGATACCCATTCAGACCTCCACGGAGCGGAGCGCTCGAGCTTCGTCCGCACGGCCTCCGACCATGCATTGGAGTCCAGCTTGGGACTGCTCGCTTTCCTTTGTCGTGTAGGTTGAGCTCTTTGTTGTTGCTGGGCTGGACGAGAAGACGAGGGATCTCCCATCTAGGGCTCCATGTCTCGGATCTGTTTGAGTGTGTTGAAGCGAACCCCGACCATAGATTCCAGGTCGTTGTGCCATTGCTCGATCTGTTCTTTCATCTCGATCGAATTGCTGGCAGTTCGGAAGTGGCGAGAACATGGAAAGTCTCTCATGCGGATCTTCATATTTCAGAGCATCAGTATTGCAACAGCGACCTGCTTGTCCATATGTTTGGACCACTCGCACTTGCCTGAGCTGGCGACAACAAGAAACGACTCCCATAAGGACCTTCGTATCTCAAGGGCATCAGGATCGTATCGGGGAACCTGTTCGTCCATGGTGCTTTGACCACTCGCACTTGCCCCCGCCAGCTCAAGCAACGAACAACGAACAAACGTACGCCCCCCCCCCCCCCCCCATCTCGCGGGGCATCTCCTTCCGCCTTCCGCGTCCCGCCCCATCATCGTCCACTTCTACGATGGGGCGGACGATGAAGAGAGCGAAGGGAAGACGACGCCCCACCCTTGCTTCCAAGTCACGGTGGGCCTGGCTCTCGCATAGACTTGGGAGTGTCTGCATTTGCTTCCACCCATTGTCCGGCCAAGCGAGCCAGGCGGAAAATGGGTGGAATTGACGAGAGCCAGCCGTGGTTGGAGAGGGCACGATTTTGCCGAGCCTCCGCGTATCCCGGAGCACCTTCGTCGGAGGTGCTCCAGGACACGTGGAGGGGGGGGGGGGGAGGGAGGGAGGGAAGGAGGGAGGTGTAGAGGGAGGCAAGTAGCTGTTCCAGCAGTAGAAGCGTAGCCTGAAAGCGTGCCAACGCTCCCAACGTTTGTGATGGCCCCGTGTTCGTCTGCACCCAGTTGTTGCTCGGTGGTGAATGATTGGAATAAGGGGAGGAGGCTGGGCTGTATATTGACTCCTCGTTGCAGGCTCCCAGCGTGTAAGTTGAGTAGATGCCGCGGAACAGGGAAGTGGGTTTTGCCCTCGGCGGGCTTGAGACAGGCCGTCATGGAAGAGTCTGTATATGATACGTCGTGACTTGCCGATGTTGCTGAAGCGATCCAAGGGTTGCTGTGTTTGTTGTACTGCAACTCGCCGACGCCTAAACGGCTGTATGTTGTCTTCTTGTGCTGTAAACCCCGCCGACGAGGATCTTCATGTAATATGCATCATTGTTGAGGAGGGGGGGGGGAGGAGACAGCGCCTTTTGTCTTTCACCAGTAGAAGGGAGCAAATCTCTCCCCAGTAGTTGAGGGCAGTGGAGCTTCTCCCAGTATTTGGAGACCTTGTTTCCAAGAAGCTCCACCACCCTCAACTCTGTGTCGACTCGCTGCTTGAGACGAGCCTCCAGCTCCAAGGGCCGGCCACCACCGGCCACGTGATAGTTCTCCGGCCAGGCGAGAACGGAGCCATGGCTGATAAGGATCTCCCATTCGAACCCCCGTGTCGCCGGTCCAGATGCTCGGCGACACGGGGGATCGAATGGGAGAAAGGTGGTGAGGTCTGTAAGCAAACAGCTCTAATACCATGATGATACACCATCTTCGAGAGGTCTTGGTGGTTGATTCGAATTGGTAAGAGAACGATTAGGAGAAGCCTCAATCCCTATACTTGTTCGTATATTGTGATAGGCTACTGTCGAACTCAATCATTTTTTGTAGAGCACCAGTAACCTGCGACTCGGTCGATTCGTATAAGATTGCCAACGACTCGGGAGTACTTCAGGCATCTTCACATCTCTCGAGGCAAGAAGCCGTGTAAGTCAGCGAGTGAGAGAGATAAAGAGAGAGAAGGTATGTGTAAGTGAATAATGGTTGAGTGAGAGTTTGAAAGACCGATGAAAGTCCCACAGCTATGTTGCTGGATCCTTTTTGTTGTTTGCTCTTTTCGGACAGTCCGGGGGAGGAGTCAGATTTGTTTCTGCTGTTGGGCCAGCAAGGAGAACAAGCGATGCAGCTGAAGTAGGTATTCGCGAGTCTTTTTGTAAGTCCTTCCAGCCCAAGCGTCTTGAGTCATAGAGACTTCAGCTTCCCGAAACCGCCACGTGCGCTTAGCGCATCCCGTTGTAGACAGACACACCGAGCCAAGCTCACCTTGTATTGAAAGTTGATCCAGAAGAGCATTGGAGGGCTATTCTTTGGTTCGGGCTGAGTTTGATTCCCGTGTCGGATACCACGATTTTGGTTTGCACCATCGCTCTCGGGGTTTTCTGATAAAACCCCGTCAAGGGAGTGCAGAGACCACCCACCCCGTAGCTGGGGGGGTACCATAATTGGGACGAGGGGAAGTCCGCCTTTGGAAGCAGGAACATTTAGGGTATTGCATATCCCACTCCTCTTCGTCGTGGTGGAAGTTGGCTGAGGGATACCGACTAGATTCCAACAAGAGCGGCCACGCCGTGCGTCGTCAAAGTTGGCCCACGTAGTTTGGAGGGGGCGAAGGCCCCCATACCTTCAATTGGCGATAACCTCATCCACAACCTGCTTCCAGATCTAGGTGTATCACGGAGGATGCGGTCTCATATTGTTTGTTGAGAGATGCAGATGGGATTTCCTGAGACGTCGGACCAATAATGAATTGATCCGTGGTGTCCCGGCAGCGCCAACCGTAATCTAATTAGAATATAAGTTAGAATATATAACTTTAAAGAAATGTCAGGTGTCAGGCAATACGTACCGACATATCGACGACCCGGCTCCCACCCCCATGGCCGGCTTGGACGGCTGGGGAAGAAATTCCCTGCTTGAATCGTTCCTCGCCGGCCACGGGGACACCATTCCGAATTCGTCATCAGCTTTCTAATCCCACCCATTTGGTGTTTGGGTTGTGTAAACCGAATGGATTTAATGTAGCTAGGTGGGATTTCTGTTGCTTCAATGTTAGCAAGGTTCACTTTTCATTTGGGGTCAAGTGCTTCATTTCATACCTTTGGCAGCCGATTGAAAAGGGTGACTGATAGCCACCCATCAGGGAAAGGGCTTTCTGGGAGATGATGAGAGGGTTGGGTCAACAAGCTCTGTAAAGCTGACGCTTTGATCGGAATTTGTTGGTAGATGATTGATGATGATTGATATGAAGAGTTTATCAATAGAGAGTTGTGGTGTGAGAAGTGAAGATAGAACCTCAAGTTGAAGGATTGTTTTTGGTGGAAGAAGATTGGAAGAAGATTGGAAGAGTGTAAACAATGTAAACAATGTAAACATTGGAGTAATGGTTGTGTGGATGAGAAAGGTTGGGCTCTTGGAGATAGGTTGAGGTTGGACAGCACCAGCCCGCTTATTTGGTGACAGGTATGAAGATGAGAGTAGGTACCTAAGACAGTTGTGGGAAAACAAGGGCTCTGATAGTGGGAGTGAAATATGTAGTGCTTAGGTAGGTAGGTGAAGGATGTGTTATGTTAAGAGCTGACATATTGAAGTAGTAGAGTAGAACATAATGTATGTTTTGTTGTAGACCTGGAGGAATTTGTGATTGAAAGTGTGGGTTATTATGAAGATGGGATTGACTGGAAAAAGTTGTAAGAGGAGAAGAAGAGAAGAAAATAAACAGAGGACAGAGGGTTTATATACTGGTCCTGGAAGTCGAAAGGGGTCCGTCTAATCAGTAACATCGAAGAGTAGGTACCATTCCATTTTGGGAATTATGAATATTGTTGATTTGGAAATATTATATATAATAAATGTGAGCCTGAATCGCCTCATGGACATAAGTTCTCGAATAGGGGCTCTGCGTGGGCTATAGACTTGGTGCGTGGGCTATACACATTTCAGGGGCTAAACTAGGTCTATAACTCCGCCAGCTATTAACTCTATAACGCTCCCCCCCTTTTCAGGTACAAGACAGGTTGTCAGGCAACCACCAAAATAAATCAAACATGATCCAAAATAAACAAAAAAGAAAACAGAATGTGCAAAAATAATCCTATTTGGGTAAAGTGTCTAAAATACCTGTCATGATTTTATAAATCAGATCACAGGATGTGAACAACATGAAGCAAACATCCCGTTTAGGACTAACATGACCCCTACCCATGACTCCATATTCACCATCCCCATTTTCCCCTTATTCTCCTTTCAGGCCTCTCCCACCATAGCACCATGTTTCGCGAGAAAGGCCTAGCAAAGGAAGCCCTAGGCCACAAGCTTTAGCACTTAGCAGTCCTATTAGTGGTAGTGATAGTGGCTGTAGGTACCTAACCACCCCCTAGCAACCTGAATTCGATTCCACCTATCGTCCTCAGTCACCCATGAGAATATTCAGCAAGCTGCCTAATCTACAGGTACCTAGGTAGCCTAATCCTGCTTTCCTTTGTACCTAGAAGATTGCCTAGGTGCCTAGGTAAATATCAAGAGTTCGCAGGACTCATCATATGCCTCCTCCCCCGAACATAGGTAGGTAGTTTCTCATACAGGTTCAACATTTTGATAAATATAGTTACCATAGCAACACAAACCCTTCCTAAGAATTCTAGATCTAGTTTAATTTATGAACGGAGACTCTAGCCATGCGATATAAATATCTATTAAATTACTATATAATATAGGTATTCTAGAAACTAATTTCATATTAGGTAGGCAAGAAGCTACATCTGCCATGCTAGTAGAAACGGAACCAGTGTACGGGAGGTTTATGCCACGAGGCGGAACTTATAAAAGGCGGTACAATAGGCAACGCTGTAGCGTGAGGATCTCTAGCATATGTCTCCCTAGAGATTGCTAGGTATGGGGCTACATCTAACTAGGTACCTATGCTCCAGGGCTATAATTACTTGTAGCCGTAGCTGGCCATATAGACAGGCCCCTGAGAATTTAACTTGGGTACCTAGGTCAGGTAGGTAGGTACCTAACCTAAAGGGAACCGAAGGTACTCTTCCCGAGCGTAGTATATGTAGGTACTTGGTAGGTAGGCTAACCGCTAACCTAGGGATTACGCTATGCTCAGAGCTTACCTAGTAGGTTAGGCACTTTAGGCACTACAATGGCCAGAAATCATGCTAGATCACCTAAGGGGTATCATAATATAGGTACTCAGTACCTACAATAGCCCTTCTACTAACAAAATCAACAATACGATAGGTAGCTAGGAATGATCATTGTATTGTAGCTAGAAATTAAGTCAAGGTACAGCCTAATACTTAAACCTTCGACACCTAACCCTACCTAATCTTCCATATAAGCCTAGGTACCTAGGAGGCACCTATGCTATGCTATCACGTAAACATCGTCCAACATAAAACGAAAGCTAGTATAAATTCCAAAACCAACACTGTAGCCACCTTTTTCTAAGCCCTTTGAGATAACAGCCATACCCCTTACACCTTGAACCGGAATCCGTGAAGAACAGCCTCTCCCGGCAAAGCATTCACGGCACCCTCGACGAACTCACCAGCATCAAGTTTACGGTTCAATCGGACGAGCATGATGCGCATGACCGTAGCAGCCACGATCGCCATGAAGGTAGTGCCGCAGTTGACAGACATCGCGATGACATAGCGTGGTGCCATTCTATCTTCGTACATATACGAGGCGTAGATACTCGAAGCATTCGAGACAGCATTGATGAAAGCGAGAGCGGCGGCACGCTTCGCCGGTGGACGAGGAAGTGTGTTGCTGATCCAGGCAAGAGCCACGACGAATGCGCAATAGACTCCGGGAACCTTCTCATCGTTAGATTCATTGTCCTCGTCAAGTAAGTAGTTTGGTAGGTAGGCCTTACCATAAGCATCATAGCCACATATCGCGGCGCCAAGTCAGTCGTCGCCGCTGCAAGGATGAAAGCCGCTAAAGCGACAACCAATGACAATGTGATATGCCAGTAGCGCTCACCAGTCCGATCAGCATGCCAAGCATTGATGAAGGTAGCGATGACGCAGAGTACGTATGGAGGGCATGTTAGAAGCAGTGTAACCACGTTATTATAACCCAGGGTTTTGACCACAGCTGGGAAAAAGTTGGTGACAGAGCCACTTGCGACGATACCGAAAAGTAGAACCAACTACAGAAAGCCAATTAGCAAATCTTTCTTTACTTTAATGTGTTGGGTAACAAACCAAGACCCATGTTTTCACATCCGTAAAAGCGAGCCTGGCACCTTGCCACAACGACTGGTGTTCGCTGTCGATCCAGTCGTCCTCGCCAATGTCCTCTTCTAATCTCCAGATAGCGAGAGCTTTTTCTTCCTCGGTAAGCCACGAAGTCGTTCGAGGGAAGTTAGGAAGGATGAAAAAGGCTATGAATGAGATTCCGATTGTGATGACACCCTCTATGATGAAGAGCCACTGCCATGCGCTAAATCCTCTTGCGCCATTCATATTCTGCGTAATGCCGGCCGACATCAATCCAGAGAAGGCACCAGAGATCAACGCGCCCGAGTACAGCATTGCTGTCCGCAGACCTAGCTCCTTTCGTGTATCTAAGACGTGTTAGCATAATCTTGAAGATACCCAAGCTCGCATGGTCAATGGCTGTTTAGAAGTATGACCGAACTCGAGACCAAAGAGCAAATGATGATCACATACTAGAAAAGTTAGCACATGTATAAGTGATGTGGAAATAAACAATGATACTTACCACCAGCAACTCAAGTAGTATAGACAGCCCGGCTGCATGGTTGTTAGTTGGGAACTCGAACGTCGTCCGTTCAGGGGCCTCGTAAAACTTACAAAGTACGCTGCTTCAACAAAACCTAAGAAAAACCGAACAGCGATGAGGCCACCGAAATTGGTGACCGCAGCCGTAGCCGCCGAGATGACTCCCCAGATCATCATCTGTCATATTCTTGTCAGTTGCCTACTACTAGATATCCACTCGAGAACGGATTATGTAAACAACTAAATTCGACATGGGGCCGGAACATACACATGCTGGAAGGTATAGAGCTGGCTTCCCGATCTTGTTTAGGAATAGGTTCGATGGTATCTGCATGAGGAGGTACCTAGTAACCCAAGATATCAGCTTTGGTTGATGCCTACAATTGGAATACCTGGAACTTACCCAACGAATAGAATGCTCACGGCTGTCTACGCGATAAGGTCAACCTATTTAGCTCCGAAGATCGGATATGAGATTGCGCACCTGGAACTCGCTCGCATTTGGGTCCAAATTCAAGTCTTCAGGCAACCCAGCAAGTTTCGCTGCGGCGATATTGTTTCTACATTCTGTTAATGACAACTGGGGAAGGTGTAATCACTGTAGGCAGTCCTAACCGGTCGATATAGTTCAGAATGTCTAGACCGAAGCTTCGTATTAGCCCAATTCCATGCTACGGTACGGTCAACAGGTAGCAGAGGTTGACAAACACATGAGAATGAGCATTGGAAGTAATCTCAAGTCGATCTTTTTCCGCAATCGCGTTTCCAGCTCGACGCGCTGCTCAGGACTCAATCTCGCGATGATTTCGGGTGCTCTCAACCCCCTCATATTTGGTTGGGCTAATTCTGCCACGTTAGGCAAGCCAGCGGCGGAGGCAGTGGTGGTGGTAGCCTCGCCATCTTTGCTAATGGTCGTCTCATTCGAGATAGCTCTTTCGGGGTCTCCCTTTTCGCTCGGAGGGTTTGACATCCTACTTGGACTTGGTAGGTAGGTACCTAGGTAAGTTTGGTTCTCAGGATCGTTCCAATATTTGAAAGTTGAGATATTGGCGAAGGTATAAGTCGTAGCAAAGGGCCCGTGGCATGTAGTTTAATTTATCTTCCGTGGCACGCTTTGTTTCGGTAAACGACCAGGGCGGAGATAAAGCTGTATTACGGGATTGATACGACATTGCATATCAAACTGCGACCTCTATCTTGGAGCAAACCCTGCTCTGGAGAGCTCTGACGCTGTCTCTGAATCCAGCCGTCGTACTTTAACCAAGTCATAATACGTTATGTCAATCGAACCTATTTTGGTTACTTGACTCGGGAAGCTAATATCCCCTCAGTCCATAAGGGAGTTAGTGATATATCTTGGAATGATGAAGACAAGGACCTCGTCTTGGTAAATGGTATACTATGTAGTAGATGAAGAAAAGCATAGAAGCTTATTGGTTGTGGTTGAAGAGAAACCCCTACGTACGGTAGGGTAGAGAACGGTTAGAACCCCCATGCTGCTAACGGTAGTACTGTCAATGTCTGTCATCGCTGTAATAAGGTTAGCACACCCCTGAAATCGAGCTAACCCACACGCTACGGGCTAAAGAACCCCGGAGTTGCGGGGTTTAGCGGCCGTCTCGTTGTGCGAGGCGATGGAAGCGGCCAGCAAACCAAATACATAAAATCCCGAGACCTCCCCCAGAATAGCTAGGGCCTGTAGGTTCCTGTTACTATTCCTACTTAGGCATGTACGTAACCATAATAAAAAATAAAAAAAATAAAAAATAACAGAAAGTTATAAGAACATTTAAATATAAGATGATCTTGATCTTTCTAATCCCATTCAAGCTAGGTTAGTGGTTTAAAATCTATAGAAGTCAATAATTCAACTTCGACAAACATCACATAGTCCTACGTAGCAAAGACTAGGCCGAATAAAATCTAACCTAGTACGTAGGTATTTATTTCTCTATTTCTTGTTAGTATAAACAAACCCTCGGCTCCCGGTTGTGAAACGATTCCGAAAATCGACGACACCCATGATAATCCTCCTCTCTCCTCCACGGGTTGCTGGCCGTCTGCGCCGTACACAAAAGCCAATGACTTAAAAATTGATATCTCCGACTACCTAGTAGGTAAGCACTTTACTTTAGGTAGTAGTTGCGGGGTGCATTTCCAGCTAGACTCCAAATTGGTAAAGCAACCAGTTCAAAAAAATTGGAGTTAATGGTCATTCAGACTCTTATGGTGATGATTAGATTTCTTGGAAATGCTGATCAAGTTCAGAACTTTTTCCCAAGTATCTAAACCAGGTTCCCGGCCAGGGGGAAATCCTCCTATGGCTATTGGTCCTCGAACGTGAATACGGCAAGCAAACGCGGCTCATCGTGAGGGTCAGACAACGAAGGTCAGACAACGGTTGTTTGTCATGTAATGCTTTTTTTTTATTATTGGGGTATCATGTAAAGGCGACCCGACCGACCCAGCCTATCTCTTCTCATGGATCGTACAAATTTGGGAACAATTCCAACCGCACTGCTTCACTTTTCCCCCTCTCGAGCGCATTCTCAACTTCTGTCGCTAATATGGTATCAATCTCCGCGAGGCGTGCCCTGGTCTTGAATCCTCCCAACAGATCCAGCAGCTGCTTGAAAAGGCCCATATCTTGCAGATACTTCTTCTCTGCTTCCAGGCTCATGACTTGGACTCTGCTTTCCGAATCAAAACAAACGTGGTACATCCTACAATACGATTCCCATTCGTTGGGGCAATCTATTGCTTCACCCTTGAAGAGCCACTGCCACAAGTGCTCCCAAATTCTACCTGAAATATAATCGTCTAGACTGGTCTCCAGTAACCAGTCCATGTTCTTTCGGTATTGTGATCGCGGACGGCTTCGCACTGCGTCTTTCGTTACGGCAAACTGGGAGCAGCAAGGCCCCGCCAAGATTTCGGGAACCTGATCTGTGGCGAAATTCTCCATGAACGCGTCGTACATATAGCGCTGCTCCTCCTTAACTTTGTTGCCCGTCGTCTTGGTAGTGTTGATCCAGTCCGGGCATGCGTTTTGCCATGAAACGCGCAAGTTGAAATATTTCTGGTGTAGAACCTGCTGAAGATCGAGATGCGACAGGGCAAAGGCAACGGACGAGTTTAGGGCACTCTCCATATGCCAAGGAGTCTCATCAGCATGGATGAAGATACTGATGTCTGGAAGGTTGTCGTAATAATCGTGCAGGTAAGTGAGATAAATCATAGCCTCGCGCCCCTTCTTCGGTACTGGTGGATGAAACTCTGCGTCGGTAGAGTCGCTAATATAGCGGATAACATTGAGGTTAGGAATTGTAATGTTATCCACCCAAGAGATGTCGTCCTTGCGAAGCGTAGCCATCACCAAGTTAACGGTGGGGTTCTCGTTATGACCAGGAGACAAGCCATTATTAGATATTTCGAGGGTGTCTTCTAATTCGCCCAAGCGCTGCTGAGCCGGCCAGAAGGTCTCGAGGAGAAAGAATGATGTGATGAAGAATGCAATTACTAAAACGAGGGTTCTCCAGCAACGAGGCAGCCAGAGGCTACGCGGGCTTTTTGAGGGTATCATGGGATGAAGAATGCTGGCGCATGTCGATCCACTTATTCAACTTGGGATTAACATCGGAAAGGGTGCTTGGTGAAATGAAGAACGATTGGCGTTGGAGGTTGCGGCCACGATAGGTAGTAGATTGCTGATGAGAAAAAAAATAAGACGTTAGAACAGATAAACAACGGATACCAGGATTACAATAGATGGGTTGACGAGTTGATCAGAGCTAGTCAGTCAGTATGACGCGGAACTATAAACTATGGTACAGGAAGTTGGAAACACGAAAGAAGCGTGAATAAGTATGTCGAGTAAGTTGTCAGGTCAGGTAAGTAACAATTTAGAAGACAGGACTAGGTTTAGCAACAAATAGTGAGATTGGGATGGTTATTCCAAACTAATGTGCATAGCATAGACATACCTAGGAGGTAGAATAGTAGTAGATCGATTTCTAAAAGTGTTTTTGTTTAGGAAACTCCTTTTTTTTCTATTTTTCTTAGATCGTCAATTTCAAGACGGGTTACGCATTGCGACGGGAGAAGCGTGATCTTGCGCAGATCGAAAGCTACTTCAGGTAAGTATGACCCAGTGAAGTTTGCTAGGCAAGTCCTGTTGCAATCTCCTCCTTGAAGAACTAGGCTGTCCCTCCTATTCCACCTTTTTCCAACTTTGGCTGCCGACTGCCGGTCTTTGCATACGATGACCGCACACTGTACTTTTTCATACTCCATTTATACGGTGCCCAGGTGCCTACATGTAATAAATAAATAGCACTTGGGCCCAGGACTCTGGGCTGGGTGTTGGTTCTGAAACTTTGGATGTCTTCAGCAAGTTTGTTTATAGTTAGTAGACAGTCAGTGCTGTCTAACACCTTACATCCTACTCAAGGCTATGATATTTTTAAACCTCAACCCAAAAAAAGCCACAATTGTTACACTGGAAGTTTAAACATACTAACAGCAGTATCGAGATGCCAAATTTAGGTATGTAGGTACTAAAGTTACATACATCAGGAGGCTGCATTACATATACATACATATATGTACACTACATAAGGGGAAGGTTTAGGATTTAATAGGGATTTAATGGGGATTTAATAGGGAAATATACGGTACCTACATATGCAATGGCCAAGAAAGTGTCGCATCTTGCGCATGTGGATTTGGATCCCTGGGCTATGGTGGGGCATTATAAACACTAACCCCCTAGGCGTCCAATCCTACTAGGCTTTAACCAGGAAGGTCGCCGGTAACAGAATCTTCATCCCCACCTCCAGTACGTAAACTTCATTATCCCTTTATGGTTACGTAACAGTGGAGGAGCCTATAAGATCTCTAGTAGCGAAGCTATTAATGGCTAGAGCCACACAAGGCTTGGCCATCTCTCTGCCTTGTCCATAAGCCGCGTTTCACCCCCTTTCCCTAATTCGATCGCCTATCGAGACGATCTCTTTGCACTGTAGATCTCATTGGCTTCTTCATGCAGCAGTAGTACGCAAGCAGCTGTGATGTAAGTAAATATACTACGTCTCTATCTTTCCTATCGTCGTCGTCGTCGTCCTTTTCTTCGTCATCGTCGTCCTCTTATTCTTCATCGTTAACCCCATTTACGCTGGACATGTGAGAAATCATACCAGAAAAATTTCTATTAATGAAAACGCGGTGTTACTATTATGCGTCGAATCGAATGTCTCGTTACAAATACCTTGAAAGATTATTCGGCCCATTACACGTAAGCCTAGTACAACCCGGCCTTACACCATGAAACTAGGACATATTCGATTGACGTATGTATATAAATGGCTCTGCTGCCGTGGTCTAAGAAAGTCCTTTCCTGTAAATAATTGTTTGTAGGCATAGCCGTGGCAGAATTGTTTCATCAACCTCCCATCCTAGCAGTGAAACGAGACATGCAGTCATGCGCATATATACATGTCCTTACATGCATTAGCGATCACTCGATATATGAAAAAGTAGGTATTGCTTTCTATTTGGAGGCTCCAAATTCACCTTATGCTATTCGGCTTTTTCCAAGGAAATCAATAAGGCCTATGAGCTACATACAGTCGCGTGCCGCAATGAGGCTTCTTCCGGAGGGTAGCAATGCATATGTCACAACTCACAAGCCTGCCGTGCGTTTATCACCAGTTGAATTCTCTAACCGTTAGGTACATGTATCCTATTAGGTTGAGTAAACGTATCGGTGTATCAATGGGACATACCTGTAGTTTCAATGGATGCCAAATTTATACTAGGCGGGCTGACGTCATTGGGTTGCACATCACAAAGAGCCCTGGAGGCTTCGACGTAACAGCCATCTATACCGACATATATTAGGATAAAGGAAGCTAATTTGGTCCCGGAGATAATAACTACATGTGTAATTACGATGATACTTTTCTCGAACATCATTCTATGTTTCAAATATCTGAATCGAGTTTGATTATGTATGCGATATCTTCATACATAAATGGATATCTAGCGTAATAGAAAAGTGAGAGCAATCCTTGGGTAAGTACACCCTAAGGGTATAAGCTACGGAAGCGTGATGATCTTGTTCCCGAAAGCAGTCCTGGAAATGTCATATAATGGATGCCGATTGTAGTTTATTGTAAACAGTTATCCAGCTATAATTTTGCCTTTGAACCCCCTAACTGAGGTGTAATAGGTATCTTAGGACGATTGCCGGCTAACTTCAGCCCAGTAATAGCCTCTAGCTCTTCGACTGCCTCGTACGACCTGCCTAGAGATACCTTAATGGTTCGGAAGCCTAGTGCCTTAGCTGCCTTCAAGTTCTCGCCAATATCGTCGAGGAAAACAATCTCATCAGGTCTGACACCATCTTGCCAGCCTAACGATATACCTTTTCCCTTCTTGGCGTAGAGTTTGGCGGTCTTGTCTACCTTGTTGAGGGCGTATTCGTAGATCTTAGGATCCGGCTTCCTTAAGCCCACATGCGCCGACGATACAAAGACATCGAACAGACTTCGAATAGGTTCGGAGAAGAAATCCTCTCGATAAAGTGGATGGCCGCGAGGGAAGATGACAGTGTTGCTGAGCGCGGCCAAAATAAACTTTCCGCTCTTCCTCAAGTTTTTCAGGGCCGGATACATCCACGGATCCGGGGCGGTAGAGGATGTCATCATATCATTGAAGAGCCAACGTTCATCGATCTTTGGTACCGGAGGAACCTTAATAGGAAGACTTGGGTTCTTTGACTGCTGAACCTTGTAAAACGCGTCCCACCTCGCAGGGTCATGAAGGTCCGCGTGAAAGCCGGCATAGAATGCATCATTCAGAGGGATCTCGCCTTTCTCTAGTCTGTGCCAAAACCCATTGGGTGCTGTTTTCGAAAGCGAATAGTTGATCCATCCTGGCGGAATCCCTAGACTCAGCTCATAGTCTAATATTGACTGAAAAGGCGAGATAACCTGCTACAAGTTTAGAATTCCTGAATCAAACACTGCCTAGAAGCCTAAGTGCAAGTTAAGCAATAGGTCGGAGCATAGCAATTGCTCGTCTACTATTGGATTGCTGGATTATCTAGAAAACAATAACACTTACGCAAACGCCGCCGATGTCGAATAGGATCACTTTAGGTTGTCTGTGAGTCGCCATTGCAATACTTGGTTCGCAAGCTTTGGATTATTAAAATCCAAGCTTCAATTGACCCAAGTATTTCATTGGTCTTGTAATAAAGAACAAGCAGACTTGATCAGAGCTCTTGCTGTTGAAACGACTGAACACAGATGAGATGCCTCGGCAACTTCAATGTTGGTTTAGGTAAGCAACATTGAGTCTTCTTAATCAGCACGGTGCCAATCAGAAGAGTGGTCCGTGCACAGCAACCTTGCAATGCAGTTGTTCTGTTAGTGAGCTCGTCACCCACCACAGTTCGCGTTTCCCCTACTGATTTTCACTCGTACGCCACTACGCAAGGGTTCACAAGCGAAATTTATGCCCACATACACTAAAAATTTCACCCACAGCTTTTTATCTCGTCGCAACTTTTCCACTTTCTCAAACCATCAACCACAATCCTTTCTACCAACGCCTTGTTAATATTTCGTTGGAAAATCAGTCAAGATGGTAAGTCCTACATGAAATCAACTATAGCAATGCTAGAAATGGCAAATATTGCCAATATGGCCTTGGGTTACGAGAGTCAATGCAAGATGCTTCGGAGAAGGAGATAGAAAAATCTGAAGCGCAAATTGCTGACTCGATGAGGTTTTGATAGACGTTCCACAAGGAAGTTAAGAACAGCTCGTACTACAGGTGAGTAACAAGACCTCGATTGATATTGCTGGGAATAGAAAACTAATTGCTCAATTTCATAGCCGCTTCCAAACCAAGTACAAGCGCCGTCGTGAGGGAAAGACCGATTACTATGCCCGCAAGCGTTTGATCACCCAGGCCAAGAACAAGTACAACGCACCCAAGTACCGCCTGGTTGTCCGCTTCACCAACCGCGACATCATCACCCAGATCGTCACCTCTGAGATTGCTGGCGACAAGGTCTTTGCCGCTGCCTACTCCCACGAGCTCAAGGCTTACGGCATCGAGCATGGTCTTACCAACTGGGCTGCTTCCTACGCTACTGGTCTACTCCTTGCCCGACGTGTTCTGAAGAAGCTCGGCCTCGACGAGACCTTCACTGGTGTTGAGGAGGCTGATGGAGAGTTCACCCTAACCGAGGCTGCTGACCAGGACGGTGAGGAACGCCGACCATTCAAGGCCTTCCTCGATGTTGGTCTTGCCCGAACTTCCACTGGTGCCCGTGTCTTCGGTGTCATGAAGGGTGCTTCTGATGGTGGTATTCTCGTCCCTCACTCCGAGAACCGTTTCCCCGGTTTCGATATGGAGTCTGAGGAACTCGACGCCGAGACCTTGAAGAAGTACATCTACGCTGGCCACGTCGCTGAGTACATGGAGACTCTTGCCGACGACGATGAGGAGCGATACAAGAGCCAGTTCCAAAAGTACCTCGATGACGACCTAGAGGCTGACGGTCTTGAGGATCTGTACACCGAGGCCCACGCCGCCATCCGAGAAGACCCCTTCAAGAAGGCTGAGGGTGAGGGTGAGAAGAAGACCAAGGAGGAGTGGAAGGCCGAGTCCAAGAAGTACAGAACTGCCAAGAGCACCAAGGAGGAGAAGGTCGAGAGAGTCAAGGCTAAGATTGCTGAGCTCCGTGAGGAATAAACGGGGGGCTTTGGGAAAGGAAAATGGCATTCCAGATTTATGGCTGTCTTCAGGCATCGGAGTTTATAGGGATTGCTCATCATTGACAGGTCACTAAACGAATTAATGAAGTTTTATGCACCGTCATCGTTTTTTATTTAAACCATTCTTGCAGTTGTCTCGTAAAATGCACCTGTTCCGACTCCCGAGTATTTCTAATGTTTAACAACCTCTCATCGCCAACCAGTAATTCTCTAAATGTAGATGCCCAATAAAGCGCCTTGCGCTTGCGCTAGTGGTGTGTTTTATTCCCTATCAAGGGCTTCGGGTGAACATGAAAACTGCTTTACTACGTGCATAGTAGTAGTAGATACTTTAGATTGGTTGAATTTGTGTGATACTATTTGGAATACCACGTGTTGGATGCTGACTTTTCTGAGTCTTGTGGATATTTGCGGCAGGAAAAACTCAGCAGAGGGACTCATACGCATCCCTGTCTATGCTAATCACAGTCATGACACAGGACACGCCTTGATGAAGCTCCTGAGAAGGCTTTGTCTTTTGCCTTGTCTAGTATTCAATAGCCCAGGGTTGTAAGGAAGGAAAATACTTCCATATGTGCTCAGCTTTGCTACGTATTGGGTTATCTACTATAGAATATGTGACCCTATTAGTCACGTGGAGCACAGACACTTTTCGGTCACCAACCCTTCCTAGCCTACCCTAGGTAGGTAAAGGCGAAGGTTCTATAAGCCAATGTTCCAGCAGTACAAACATCAACAAGTCAACTGGTCCCATAGCTCAGTTGGTTAGAGCGTCGTACTAATATTGTGTACCAATCAATATTGTGTCCACTTTGCAGTTATGCGAAGGCCGAGAGTTCGAGCCTCTCTGGGACCATTCTTTTTTCTCTTTTTCTTGCTCATTATCGCTAGCGATGTGATGCGATGCTGTGTCACATGTTAACTCTTTTATTATCTTATCATGCTTCTCTAGTTTGCTTTTTCTATTTTTGCTGTTTTCGTGTCCGAATATCGACGTCGGATATTAGCGAATTGTTTGCTCTTCATCTATATCGCATACAAAGATAGATTATCCGTACCACCATCTTGCCCTCTGAAACAAACATTAACCTCTACAGAACAGCTAAAAATGCCTTTACTCTCACTATTGAGTCATGTTTAGCTTTAAAAAGCTTCGCGCCAGTAAGGCCTACATGAACGCAACTATTTCAATGTTGAGTATCGGTAGTTTCAAGTTTGGAGTTTTACTCAATTTTTCCCTTAAAAAAATTAAAGTGCGGGGTGCTGATCCCTTAAGCTCTGAGATTCGGCCGAGACCCCCCCCCCCCCCCCCCCAATCCCCCCCCAATGGCCAGCCAACCAACCAACCAAGGGTTCATGTCTTCCGAAATGCTTAAGACACTGGATCAAGAGAAGCACGTGTGAATAAAAAAAGAAAAGGGAGGGGGAATTCCGGATCGTGATTTGTGATTTTATGCTGCAACATTACGTAGGAAAAGCTTTAATAGTGCTTATTATACCCTTATATACATAATGTTATACATATATGATATGCATGTCTCTGTGTTTGTGTACACGCATATTCTTGCTCGGATCTCATCACTGGCATCATTCGGGGGTCTCACGAGAATACTGGGGATTAGTGAGATGCGAGACAGATGATTGTTGAAAATTTTTGAGCGTGGGTTTTCTGGTCTGATTGACTGACTGGTTGTCTGCATTGGGGTTTTGCTGATAGCCAATCGCATTGCAATGGACGACTATGGTAAGGCTATAAGCAAGTCTGAGAGTTACATGCCAGTTAGTTGCTTGGGTAGATATCTAGCTGCTTCGGCAGTGCAGTAGTTGAAGAAATTGTATCTACCTAGGTAGGTACTAGGTAGTGTATCTCCAGAGGTCAAGACTCAAGACACATCATTGCTGCGGGCTAGATGAATTGTTTTAAAGTGAAGCCAGATCCTGTTTCGTTCATGGGACACACGACATAACTGTACCTAACTAATGCTTCATCTCTTTTTCATGTACATATATGCAACTTGCGCAGGTGGTCACAACGTTCCTGTCTTGCATAACGAATATCCATCCATCTCTCGACCTCCATCTCGTGGAAAGTGGATTGCGTGATGAAGAATGCCGTCATCCCTGATTTGACTTTGCAGCGATGCCAAGTCAGAAACTCGCCTAGCGTTTCCGGTGACAATGGCAGCTGTTGAGGAGGTCTGGAGAGGAGGTCTGGAACGGCCCAGCAACTCAACTCACCTCAAAGCAACTGCCTACATACATTGCCTACCTACATACATACCTAGTACCAGATAAACCACCAACATTGGTCCAACGAATAGGACCGGCAAATGTCGGTTGCGAGCTAAAGTGAATCTAGTCTGCTACATACATGTTTACCCCCCTTCATCTCGACATTGTTTTTCTACTTGCTTGCTCTTAAAGATGAGGAGTTACACATGTATGGATGTGTTCGTATTCGAACCCTTTGCCGGGCTGTGGGGGCTGAATAATATAAACCAGTGGCATTCTTTCCTTTGCCAATAGATGCGAACAAGACCAGAGAGATGATGGCGTCGGCAGAAGCCGGGCCAGTCAGCTGATGGGTTCATGCTGGTTCATTGCCCATGATATCAATCAATCAAGAAACGCCCACTTCCTTTTCTGGTTCAATGGCAAGGCACTACATAGTTACCTTGTACGGTATGGATGTATCTTCCTAGCTGAACTGCAACTTGAACCCATCCAGCCAATTGTTCTAGTTTCTTGGAAGTTGGTTCTTTTTTTTGTATTCTATTCTTTTCTTTTTTCTTTTTTCTTCTTCTTTTCCTCTTTCTTTTCCTTCTTTTTCTTTTTTGCCTCCTTGATACATCCCTTAACTTACCAACTACATACCAACTACATTTATGATAAGGCCGTAGTCACAATTCCCAAGATAATGGGAGCATTGATTTATTTACCGTTGTAATAACTACATAAAGCCGTGACGTCCTTGGCCCCAGGCCTACATATGTAAGCGTCTTAGTACCTAGGTACCTACTTTGTAGTCACGTACACATGGAGATATACATACAGTGTTCGCTAAATTCGCTAATGAGCAACTGCTAACGCTGCACATATGACCGCATCCATGGATACACCGTTACTGTTTTCAAGTCTGGTACCCAATGCGTGACATTTAGGTGGGTAGATATCACCATGGGGGCAGGCCTGTCTGCTGAATAAGGAATAAGCCTAGCCTGAATTTGCATGAGCAGGCTTGAGCAGGCTTGAGCAAGGAGGTTACAACCATTGATTTTGAATTGAAAGAGAAATAACCAAAGACCCTGGCATGCCCATTGCAATGATTGCCCACATGTGTGCACTTCAATGTTGCTCAGTGTCCACTGTCCACCTACTATGCAGTAACTATTCAATGTTTAGTACTATTACTACGTAGTAGTTGGTCTATTAGTTAGTAGTACACACTTACACCGTAGTTAACTACAGTGCCTCATCTTAGCTTGCAATCGCTGTATTCATGTTACATTCCAATCGCCATGAACATTGGATGAATCGGGAATTGCCCTAGCAAAATACACAAGGACATCCCTACTAGGTACTTACAACACTACTAATTATTACATAGGTACCAGACTTGTGTGTACGAAGTATACTTGTAGATCTTAGTTCACCTTAATATTGAAAGTCGCAACAGAGCCTGGCAGTTTCGATGTAGTTAGTTACATGCTAATCTTTTCTTCAATGTTCTTCCTTCCTTCAAATATTCAATGTTGAATAACCTTGTGGCATTAAAGCATTAAACATTAAACATCCATGATCAATCATCAATAAAATAAGGTAAACACTGTTCTTGTTCAATCACCTATTATTTGATATTCCTCATATTTTTATAATAATTCGCTACCTATTCTCCATTCTCCATTCTCCATTCTCTTCCATCATTACTGACCCCATTCTAATAATATACTAGCCTGGACGTCTACATACCTGCATACGGACTACTAAAAGACCCTACCCAGCCCACCTTTCTTGATAGATGGATATTAGTATATTGCATCACTTTCAACTCGATCCTATAAAGAATACTAGGTAGTTGGACTCTATCATCAAGCTTGAACCCCACCCATATTCTTTTCCCTCCAAGCTTTGGGGGCTTTTTTCTTTTTATTCCTCCATTCCATTTCATAAGCCGAGCTTCGTTTTCAGGAATAGAGCCAGGGTTGCATGCTTAAAAGGAATCCGCTATTACTTATCGATCTATCCCACACATAACATCATACCTACCCAGTATTCAACTATTCGAGATGGCGAACCGCATGGACGAGGCTGTTGCATGATTGTCGGATCCAATATAGTAATTCGGTTGGCAATATTCTATTCGATTTTTCCACCTCCTTGATATCTGGATATATACCGTACTCTTCACCCGGCAACCCATCACGTCACGGCCCTTGCCATCCTTGCAACCCCTTGTGAAAAGCGAGCTACCAAGGATTTTTATTTGGTAGCCCTGCCATTCCGACAACCTCGTGAGCGCACTTACCCCAAGACCCGCTCCGCCCACCACGAAGCGAGGCGAGACATACTGTACGCCCGTGCCATTCTACATATAATAAGGCGTTGGGTAGTAGGGGGGGCAGCATCACACCTTCTAAGGTATCAATCATAATCGAAATAAGTCAGCTGGGGGTATTTACAATAAAGTAAAAGCAAAGCACAAGGGTGGGCGGAATTCATGATGGAACAGGTTATGGATGTGAGTTGGATGACACATGGGAAAGGTAACGTCTAGATCTCGATATTGTAACACCTCTCTGCTTATTGTCCCCATCTTGGCTGCCGACTTAGTGTATTCTGGCCCGGTTCTATGCAGACACATCAAACTGACATCACTCTCTGGCACGCAGACAACTGGAGTAACCAAAACACAAATAATCATTCGTCGTCCAATCAAGCAAATAATCCTTCAGCTTCGAATCATATATCGAAGCCTCTGAACTCAGCCAAGACTAACGGCAAGCCACCTTCACCAACACCTAGTCCTCCCTCCAACGGCTCTGTCCCGCCGACAGAGTCGACAACTACCGCTAAATCTATACCTTTACGTTCTGGCAGGAATAGGAGCCATTCTACGGATGGGTCGCCGCATCAAAATGGCACACCGCCACAGAGGAGAGGGTCTTGGTTCTCTAGTATATCGTCGAAATTCTCCACGTCGCCCGCGAATGGACACACACCACCCCCAGCTCCCACGGCGGAGCCCGATACTGATGGCGTAACTCCTCTACCCAAAATAGTACAGAATAAGAATGCCGTTCTTACGCATGCGTCGCGTCAGACCGGCGACGCTCCATACATCCCTGCGCCCCCAAAGACGAACCAGCAAGGCTTCTTGGGAGTGTTCCGTCGTCTGTCGTCATCAAATGGACCTATCACTCCAGGCTCCAGAGCTAGCCATGGTCTAGTGGAGCGAAAGGTTTTAAATGTCGACCAAAAGAGAGAAAGGTGTCGGGTGAACGAACTGACCCAAGCCAAGCTTCGTAGGGTCGCCTTCTGTGTGGATGTCGAGATTGCGCCAATGCCCAAATACGTTGAGGATGAGCCCACATCTAAAAAAGCGGCTGATAAAACCCAGAAGCGGAAGATCACCGAAAAAAGTGAAGGCGAAACGCTGAAGAATCCCAAGGTTTCGGAAGAGCAAAAAGAGAATGTAGGAGTAGTCAAGGCGACTGGAGAGATCCTACCAAAGGAACCCGAAAAAGAGGGTACAGAGGTGACGAATGGTCAGCCCAAAGAGAATAATGCCATAGAAGAGAAGCCAATTAAAGAAAAAGAGCCTACGCGGAAGAAGGAAAAGAAGAAGAAGAGTGAGGCGGAACGAAAGGCCAAGAAGGAGCAAAAACGAAAAGAGGCTCTTGAGAAAGGCGCCATTCCCATGGAAATCCACCTGGATAGCGATAGTTCGATGGAAGACGGCTCAATTCGATCCGGATCCCCAAAGACGCAGTTTGCGCCCACAACCAATCCTGGAAGGATATACCGACGATGTTGTCAACTCCGAGAGACTGATATCCTCACTAAAATTACCCTACAGCTACCTAAAGCTTCGGAGTTGGGTGCCAATGGCATTGTTGACAAATTGGATCTTACTGGATACTTCATGTCGTTACCAGACCTAGTCACGTTAGGGGATTTCTTGGCAGTTGTTCCCGTCAGAGAAGTCATCTTGGAATCCTGCGGTCTGACTGATGAGGGCTTCCGTGTTATTCTCGCTGGACTTCTTGCTGCTCGAAAATCGACGACCATGAGGCGAAGAAGCGTGACTAAAGCAACAGACTTGATTCAGCAAGGTGGTGGTGTTGTGGAGAGGCTCGTCCTCAAGAACAACAGCAAGATTGGCATCGAGGGCTGGAAACACATCTGCCTTTTTATCCATATGTGTCGTTCTATCAAATACCTCGATATATCGAACTTACCATTTCCTAGTCCCGTAGAGCCCCATAAGACGCCAATCAGCCTTCATCTCCACCCCAGCCATAGCAATGGACATGGACATGGACATGGACATGGACAAACTACTCCACCACCACCCCTCGACTTATCTCTTCTCTTCTCGAAGTCGATCGGAGAACGGCTAGCCGGTTCCGAATTGGAGCTTCTTAATCTTGGATCAATTGGTCTAACCACGAATCAGCTCGGAGCTATCGTAGACGGTATTCTTAAGTCAGGCGTGACGAGACTCGGTCTTGCGAATAACAAGATCGACGCACAAGGCGTACAACACGTTGCTAGATACTTGCGCAATGCAAAATGCGAAGGGCTCGACCTCGGGGGTAATGATCTTAGAGACTACCTACCTGAGATAGCCGAGGCTTTCGGCGAACGAGATGAACTTTGGGCACTCAGTCTGGCCAATTGCAATCTCAAACCGACGTCTTTATGCAAACTATTCCCCGTGTTGGCGAGACTTCCTAATTTCAAATTCCTCGATTTATCCCATAACCACGACCTCTTCGAATCCGAACCCAGCGCCATCGGATTACTTCGCAAGTAAGTTACATACGCCTTGGTTAATTATAAGTGGGGGGTTTGATACTAATGTTGCGTGTCTAGATATCTCCCACACATGGATAGTCTTAGGAGATTGCATCTCGGTGACGTCTCATTATCCTCAGAGCAGGCGATTGCTCTAGCTGAAATCTTACCTGAAGCCAAGGCTCTAGCGCACATCAACCTCCTTGAGAACCCAGAGCTCGTAAGTTTGGCTGGTGCGAGGACGGAAGAGGCCCAGGAAGAAGCTTGCGCTTTATACGCCTCGTTATTAGCTGCTGCACGTGTGTCAGGGGCACTGGTCAAGATCGACATAGATTTCCCCACCGCGGAATCAGGTGAGGTTGTGAAGGCGTTGGCGAACCGGGTTGTAGTGTACTGCATGAGAAATTTGCAGGGAGTGCCGGATATCCGCGACTCTACTGGTGAAGACGGCCAAACACTCGGCAAACTACCGGACGTTCTCCGACATCTCGTAGGCCATGAGGAGGATTCCCCACTGGCGATTATGGATAGCGATACCGAGCCGGCACCCGACGAGGATTATGTCATTGGCGGTACGGGAGTTGTGAAGGCTTTGGCTTGCGTCTTGAAAACCCGAGGAGACGATTCTAGACAACTTTCTGGTGACTTGGCTAGGGATTTGGAAAGCGGAACTACGTCGCCTAGAGCGACTCTGCCTCCTGGGAAGGTCAAGGAGATGTCCAAGTATTTACTGGTCAGCGCTCGAAAAATTCGGGCTCGCCTACAGCCCGCATTAGCCATGGCCAAGGCATCTCTCAGCGAGGACATTCATAATTACCGTAAGCTCGTCCCCGTATATCAACCACAAAGTGAGATTGCTAAACAAAAATTTGTGCAGATCGTCTTCTTTTCCTCGACCAAACCATCGAGGGAATAATAAACCGCTTTGAGGATGAATTCCCAGAGACGCGCGAAATTCCTTCAGAAGCTATTATATCTGATGTGGCCACTTCGAACGTGCCCGAACTTGGTACCTCTCTTTCATCACTCGAGATAGATGCCGGCGCGCTATCAGATACGGAGGATATAGAAACTGCGCTTCGTTCGCCGACATCCCGATCCCGTTCCAACTCCATCATCTCGCATAGCTCTAAAGCTCTCGTCGAAGAAGAGGGCCGCGTTCTTCGCGTCGGCCATCGATTCCGTCGTGGCCTTATCAAGCAGGAACACTACGATCTACTTACCAGTTCTGAATTGATCCGCAATGATCCTGACCAGTTGAGGCTGATATCCAGCATGATGGATGAGCTAATGGAAGAAGACGACCCGATCCGCAAGGACGTACAAGCACATGGCTACGTACAGGCGTTCCAACAGAACAAGCAGGAGATCGTCAAGCGCCTTCGCGAGGCGGATCCGCAGTACTGGGAGACCTTTGTCGAGTCGCAGGAGAAGGCCAGGGCGAACGTCCAGATCGAGACCAAGAACGAGTGCCAGCAGCATGGACCGTTAATTCCTGACGAAGAAGCCATCGCGGATTAGCAGTTTGCTACAGCAGCAGCTTAATGAGTTAAGAGATGAGAGTGGAAGAAGAGGGAAAGGGGGGAGGACTGGTTAGGCTCATATTGTATTGATTATTGTATGTATAATATTGGTGTCTACTTTGCTACCAAACCAAACCAACCGACCAACCCATAAAACAAACGACAAAACAAACAAACAAACGATCGAACGCACAGTCGATCGAACAACCAATCAATCAAATACATTGCGAGAGGCGTTTTTGTCTCTCTTATTTTCTGATCATATCATTTCTCTTTCAGCCATTGGCGAGTGCTTTAGTCTTTAGGGGTGTTTTGAAAATTGCATTAAGTAGAAGTAGTAATAGTAGAGATAATACCTACTAGGAGTGGAAGTTGGAAGTACATAGCAATAGAGATCGAGGCTTGGCTAGTCGCTAAGATTTCGGGACTGGACTGGACTGGACTGGACTGGATATATATGTAACCTAACTAACTAACTAACTATGTGTGCCTTAGTTACCTTCCGGTTTTGCTTGCTTACATAGCTAGGTTAGTACCTAGGTAAAGTAGAGGAAGAAGAGACAATAAGAGTAAGAGGGGAAGAGGGATAAGTAGGTACCTACCTCCTAATGCTGCTGCTGCTGCTGCTGCTGCTGTCGTCGTGGTATGTAGGGTAGGGTAGGGTAGGGTACTATGTAGGTAGACCAAGGAGAGAAAGTCTCAACAAACTTGATGGGTATTGGTATTCGGTTCTGCCTAGGTAGGTAGGTAGGTAGGTAGGTACCATTTCACATTACCGCCCCATGATGTGTGGGCGTCGGCGGATGCCAGGCTACATAGGTAGGTAGGTACACCTAGGTTAGGTACTGTAGGTAGGTAATTAATCATTACGTTCAACGAGGGATGAATGAATCTATCTATCTATCCATCCTCATCAATGATAGATAGAAGAAACTAGGAGGAGGAATTATTCTTAAATCTTGTAATTTAATTATATGATGAACAGGTTCAGAAGGAATTTCTCGCGAATAGGGGGGGGGGGGGGGTGGGGGTTCCCGTTGTGGTAAGTAGGTACGAAGTAGGTACTGACCATAATAATAATGTCTTTCACAACTAGAGGGCACACGCTCGCGCGCGCCACAAATGCCCGAGTTTTCTCGGACCCAATTTTAATGTTACTAAAGGCTGCTTTCGGGCTAGCGCAACGCTAAGGATTTAAGGTCTTGATAAGACGATTTGATTGGGTGCAGCACCCTTTAGATCACATGACCTGCTTTTTCAAGTTGTAACTCTTTTTTTAGATGGTAGGGAACACACGGGCCATCAACACTTCTTATTCAACCCTTCCAATGCAACCCTTCTTATTCAATTCAACTGATTGACTTGGTCGGATTAAACTGATCGGATTGAGCTCGTCGGATTGAACTGATCGGATTGAACTGATCGGATTGAACTGATCGGATTGATTGATTGAATGCAGTACCTTTTGGATCACGTGACTGCCTGCAACACTATTGGGCCATCAACCCTTCTAATTCAACCCTTCCTATTCAACCTTTCCAATTGAACCCTTCTTATTCAATTCAACTGATTGAATTTGTTGAATTGATTAAATTTATTGAATTTATGGATGGATTGATTGATGGATTAATTGATTAAATGGCTGATCTACATACATATCCTGTTGCAAGCTGGCTGGCTGGCTGGCTGGCTGAATAGGTGGCTGAATAGCCCGGGCCAGTGCATCCAACGCTGGATCCAAAGTTGGATCTAATAGCTGCTCGAATAGCTGATCAAATGCCTGATTTACGACCTGATTTGATAATTGATTAAAGACCTGATTAAATATTGAATCAAAGGGATCAAGGGATCAACGCAATCAAGGGGATCAAAGGGATCTAAGAGCTGATCTAAGATGTTCCGATCATGTGACTTCAATCACATCAGGTGATCAAAGTCTCGGAACATCTTTAATCAGGTCCTTAATCAGTTCTTAGATCCCTTGATCCCCATAATCCCATTGATCCTTTTAATCTGATATTCAATCAGGTCTTCAATCAATCAATAGATCAGGTATTTGATCAGGTATTTGATCAGGTATTTGATCAAGCTGGGGCCCTTAGGTGCACTTTTAGGTATCGTACATCTGCTAGGTCCCCTAAATCTTCAAATCCGGGCCTAATCTAGCGCCCCTAACCCAAACCACATTCAACCCTCTTTCCACCTTGAATAACTTTTGAATCAGATATTGCACCATATTGTAACCGGACCCAATTGAAAGCGCATCTAATTGCTGATTGATTGATACCGGTCTTGAATTGATGTGATATTTGGTCATGAAGTTATTCAAGTAAATAGGTGGCAGAACGGGAAGCACGTGATCGCCCTTAAAGCCACACTAAGGGCCCTTAGCGCCCTTGGAGCCCTTAGAGCTAAGCCTTATTCAACACTTTCAACCTTAAATAAATTTCTGAAAAATATAGCTGCAAAGGACCAACCGGATTTAATTGAAAGTGCATTCAATTACAAATTCATTAATACCGCTCTTAGATTGGGGCGATACTTGGTTGAAAAGTTATTTGGGTATATATAACTATTGAAAAGGGCCATGTAATACTGCTTAGGATGACCCCAGGTGGCTTTTAAGGCTCTTAGGCGGCTCTAAAGGCCCTTAATAGCTCTTAATGTGGCCCCAACGCTAATCACGTGCCCCCATCTTGCCAACCTATTTACTTGAATAACTTTGCAACCATATATCGCCTCAGTTCGAGATCCAAATCAATCCACTGGCAATTGAATGCTCTTTCAATTGAATCCGGTTGCATCGTTGTGCCACTCATGGTTGAAAAGTTATTTGATTGGATTGATGTGGGCAGCTGGGGGCACTCACTGGATCACATGACCTACTTTTTCAAGCGGCAACTCTTTTTTTTTGGATGGTAGGGAATATACAAACCATCAACCCTTCTAATTTAACCCTTCCAATTCAATTCAACTGATTGAATTAATCGGATTGAACGGATTGGATTGATTGATTGATTGATTGATTGATTGATGGACTGACTGATTAAATGCAGCACTTTTCGGATCACGTGACTGCCTGCAACAATTTTTTCTGGTATAGCAGGGACCATCAACAACCCTTCCAACTGAATTCAATTCAACTGATTGAATTGATCGAGTTAGATTGAATTAATCGGATTGGATTGATTGAATTGATGGATTGATGGATTGATTGATTGAATAGCTGATTTACATATCCTATTGTAAGCAGGCTGCGTAGCCAGCTTATCCAACGCTGGTTTCAAAGCTGGATCTAATAACTGTTTGAATAGCTGATCAAATAGCTGCTCAACAACCTGATTTATTGATTGATTAAAGACCTGATTGAATACTAGATTAAAGGAACCAAGGGGATTAAGGGGATCAAGGGATTTAAGAACTGATTAAAGTCACATGACCGGAACATTTTTGATCAGCTCCTTGATCAGCTTTTAGATCCCCTTGATTGCGTTGATCCTCTTGATTGCATTGATCCCTTGATCTCTTTGATTCAGTATTCAATCAGGTCTTTAATCACTCAACAAATCAGGTCGTTAATTAGGTATTTGATCAGCTATTCAAGCAGCTATAAAATCCGGCTTTGGATCCAGCGTTGGATGAGCTGGCCCGGGCTATTCAGCCAGCTTGTAACAGAATGTGTAGATCAGCTATTCACTTAATCAATCCATCAATTCAATCAATCCGATCAATTCAATCAGTTGAATTGAATAAGAAGGGTTGAATAAGAAGGGTTGAATTAGAAGGGTTGATGGCCGGTGTGTTCCCTGCCATACCAAAAAAGACAGTGTTGCAGGCTGTCACGTGATCCGAAAGATGCTGCATTCAATCAATCCGTCCATCAATCAATCAATCAATCAATTAATCAATTAATCAATTAATCAATTAATCAATTAATCAATTAATCAACCAATCAACCAATCAACCAATCAATCAATCAATCCATCAATCAATCAATCCATCAATCAATCAATCCAATCAGTTCAATCCGATTGATTCAATCCGATCAATTTAATCAGCTGAATTGAATAAGAAGGGTTCAATTGGAAAGGTTGCATCAGAAGGGTTGATGGCTCCTACAGTCCAAAAAAAAGAGTTGCAGCTTGAAAAAGCAGGTCATGTGATCCAATGGATACTACACCCAATCAAATCATCGTGTCAAAACCTTAAAAATCTTTTGCGTGGCACTAGCCTGAGAGCAGCCCCTTGGACCCACAATTCCAGTGATTCCAGCCAATCTCGACTTTCTTGCACGGGCTATTGAGGTAATTGAATACATATATTTTCCATTCTTATAACAGCTGTAATAGGTTAAACAAATCTTAATAGCCGCTAACGGATCTGAATGTTTCCAGGGCTTATAATAATATTAAACCTTCAATATTCCTTATTTGAAAGCTTAAGCACTTAATGAGACTTGAAGCTTAAGCACTTTTCCATACGTGTGGCTGCATTTATGGCTCCCCACGTGGCTTGATAGTCTTGGCAAACCTTCCTCTTTTGCAAAGCCCAAAATTCCTCCCCTAAAGACCCACAAGCTTACGTGAACAACATCCCCACCTTCCTAAAGTGGAAAAAGTTTCCTATTTGAGCCTAGCGCGTCTGCTTAGTAATCCAAATCCCCTTGAGAAAAAAACCGTACAGTAACCCTCGAAAACTCGGGCATACCTATGTATGTACCTAGGCACTCTAGCGACGTAGGAACTATGTAACTTAAGGTATGTATGTCTTACATAGGTAAGCTCAAACCGTTACTTTAGAATCAAATCAATGATAGAATAATATAAGATGATCATATTGGATTATGTAGGCAGGTAAGTAGGTAGATAGGTAGCAAAGCAAGTGTTAGGCACCCGAGAATCCATCTCGGCTTTCCCTTTCCCTTTCCCCTTATCTCCCCTTTCCGTTCCTTTCCTCTGCTTCATCTTTCGATAGACCGATCGATTTGATCTGATCCGGTACTCGCCGGACTCCGTACAAACATAGGTATATAGATCTCGCCCTCGAGTCTTCCTCGGGGGGGATTTCTTTTATAAAAAGTTCATCAACGCTAGGTAATAATCAAACCCCCTTCTTCGATCATCCATCCACCAAAGACTTTCGCTTTCTTAAGTAAGTCATCGTGCCATGAATACCGCGTCAACGCATCAAGCAAGTAAGCAAGAAAGAAGAATAAGTAAAGCTAATCGTTTCGTTTCGCTCTTGTCTTGTCGTTGCATAAACTCCACCTCTTTTCAGGTATGAGAAGTCTTCCCCAAAAAAATAAAATAAACAAGAAACTTCCCACACGTTAAACCTAAGCAAGTGGTTGGGTAGAAAAGAAAATAGCAAAAGAAAACGCCGTATCGTCGTAGTCGCGATGGGGTATATATCCATATGAACCTCTTTCCCGACCTCCCGCTTCAAAACACTCCAAAAGTAGGTTATCGTTTGCTGTTAATTAACCAATTAACCCCCAAAATTTATGTATATCTCCATTTATTACATGCGAAGCCTTAAACGTAGTTTCGCCCTGCATCCAAACAACCCATCCCGTCGGCGGAGAATCCGCATCGGCCGGGGCGCATACCAGTGCCTTCTTCAACGACGCCCCAGGCGACGGGGCGGAGCCAAAGATCACCCCCGCCCCCCGCCCGAGGGCTTTGGTCTTCGGGAACGATGTCGTGGTTATGGCACTTGGCACTGATGACGGCGCTGCAGGAGCCACCGCGTAGAACGAGCGGATTGCCTTTGCCCTCGCCGCTAGCGAAGGAAGCGGCTGGTGCGCGTCTGAATCCTAGGAAAACGATGGCTAGGGCGAGGAGCAAGAGAAGAGATGCTAGGGTTAGTAGCGCTTGCGTGCTGAAAGAGATGGCCACGATGTCGTCGCCAGAAAGGGCTTTGGGGCCCGTGGAGGGGGTCACGGGTGTGGAAGATGGTGTTTGGAAGGTGATGACACCCGGGAACACGGCCTGGCTAAGGGCAAACCCCATTGCCGCGAACCAGGCAAGTAGGGCCCAGGAAACGGGTCGCGGAAGCGTAAGGAAGAGGCTCGTGGTTTGCGAGCCGGCCGGGTTGGAGGAGACTCGAAGAGGCTGGGGGCCAAGAGCGAATTGGGAGAATTCGTGCGACAGAAAGTATACCGTGAGGTGGGAGTTGACGACGAGATATAAAGCTGCCAGGAGGAGCTGTGGTAATGCAGTTAGGAGCGCCGCTTGTGGTGTGTCGAGTGGAATGGGTGGGCGGAAAGTCAAGCGAGATGTTGCGACGCCAAAAAACGTCAAGGGATTGTCCAAATTTGTGCTGACCATCAACCCTAGAGCTACGGCAGTCGGGGCCGTAATCAAGGTCCAGAATATTACAGTCAGCATCCAGCGTGGAGGCGACGGCGTCTGGAACCACCAGCGGTTGGCTGGAACGAAGTACTGGGATTCACTAGAAGCCCAGGATCCTTCTTTAACGTCGGTTTTAGTGAGAAGGCATGCATTAGCTGTCGTCGGGTCTGGGTTGCGAAGAAACGAGCGGATAGCGTCGCCAACGGTTACGAGGGGTTCGAAAGTAGACCTCCCTAGAATAACTGCCATGCTAATAACAGTGGTAAGATTGAGTAATACTACAACGCCCAAAATAGAGCCGCTGAGGTTAACGCTACATGTCTGTGGCGCACTGGGATGCGCAAGACAATATTGAACGAGTGAGCCATCTGAGGCTATAATGTCATTGTTGTTGTTTGAAGTGAAGGTAGTAAGTAATGTGCCAGGCTTGCTAGTCGAAATGAGAGAAGAGGTAGTCGATACCGAGTCTGTAATGAGTAAAATAGCATCAAACGAAGGTTGGAAGACTCCGGAAAATTCCTGTAAACAGGAAACCGAAGTTAAGTTAGTTAAGTCACCTGCCTGGCTGGCGGCATCTTGGAGGAAAAGAATGTCAGAGCGTGAAAGTTCGCCTTCATTGGTCTCTGGGTTGATAGTGAAAGGAGCGTGGTCGAGGAACGATTGTGTGACGGATAATACGTCGTAGTTGACTACATTTTGAGTCGTGAAAATTACTGCATTATATCTAAACCCCGTCAGCAAAGAGCAAGCTTGCTTATTTTCACGGTATTTTACTTACATTACTTGGGTTGCAACTGCGCCCAACAAGACGAGGATCGCAACCGTCCCTCTAAATCCCGAAATATGCGTGAAGTTACGTATCGATGGTATACCGATGTCGAGCCAGTGCTTGTTCTCGTGGGCCACGGTTACTTCTCGTCTTGTTGGGCTCGAGAGGACTTGAAAGACGTAGTTGGCCCCGGAAACCAGGGCAACGCCAAATACGTTGATAACAAGATGAACTCCCGTATTGATATGATTTGCTTTCGCACAATCACCCGAGAATATTGCTGATTCTCCGGAAAGAAGTTTCGTCTTGGTGATGACCAGTATTAAGCAGATGATCCCGACAAGCAAGATAACGCACGATACCAACGAGTTGAATATGACTCCACCTCGCCATCCCGTAATATGCCTCCGCAGGCCGCTTCGTCGACTCCAACTGCTGCGTGTATTCAAATCACGGGCTTCCGTTTCCGGCGAGGCATAGTTACCGAACTCCACAGGATACGACGCATAGGTGCCTCGACGTGGAGTAACCTCCACACCATGTTGGCCCCATTTGCTTTGTTCCCTCTTCCTTGCCAAGGTCTCGGGGGTCTCTCCTCTCATGAAATTGACCACATAATCGGGAACAATGCTCCTATCAATACTTGCGGCATCGTCGTGAGGGCGGAAAAAAGATCTGGGTTGCCAAGTTCGAAGGGTAAAACGACTCGACCTTGAGGTGGAAGGTACTTCAGAAGCGTTCCGACCATGGAAAGGCCATGCAAAAGAGTTCTGTCTTGAGGCGCTCGAAGGCCCTGACCTGGACGCATTATGCTGGTGGCCTTCATGTATTGTATCGGATGGAAGATCTTCGAGGCGAATATGATCTCGTCTTAAACTACCTGCCCAGAGACTTGGTCTCCTGGTCGACTCCATTGCGGCGGTTGAATGCGTATCGGATCGTAGACGGCCCATGATTGCTAATTTTTCTTATCATGTCCATACCGAGAGGAGACCACCTAATTCCCTAACCGACGAAGTATACGAAGAAGAAGCGGAGAAAGAAGATAAGAAATAAGAAGCGAAAAAGAAGCCAACGCACCACCTGGGAGTCCGGGATGAAAGAAGATCGATCAAGTTCAAGATCTAACGAGGGAGGAAAAGTGCAGGGTCTCAGCTCTTTGTAAGGGAGACCACGGTCTAATTTGGCCATCTTCTTCATCCATGATCGTCGTAACCCTGTTCATAATTAGGCATGGATATTAAGGCATGGATGGGTGAGAAAGGTGAGTAGGGTGGGATGAATGCAATGGGATGTACACGAGCCGCGCCAGGATAGCTTGATGCATTCAAGTGTGACCGGGATGCGCATAGTCCCTCAATTTAAGATGCCAGAGCCAATTGGAAGTCCGCGTTTCAACCAACTGGATCTGGTTTGGGCTTTTGCATTGATAGCATTGACACACATCTTGTGTACATTAGAATAGGTAGTACTTCCGAACGGGAACACCAATGTACGGCATAGTAATGCACATGTGGTTGGCTTCCCGGCTTTCTTGCCCTTTAGCTTCCCGTCAAACTGGGTGTTGACTCGTTTTGGGCTCCCAAACGAATATAGAAATACGAACGAGATTGGTGATCGTCAATCGTTAGATCTTGCCACAAATAGATCGGACGGTGGAGTGAGTATGTGAATGCCTAGGAATGCTATATATAACAAGCTTTGCGAGTTCCATTGTTGCTAGAAGACTTCTTCCAATGTCAGTCAATGCCAACCTATTGCTTGGCAGAGCCGCTCAGTCCACTTGGATGGGATATAACTAACTTACTTCCAGAGGGGTTTTTGACACACACATTTCCTCAGTTTAGTTATATGCTACCTCCAATAGAATGAAAACAGGAGTAGTGCCCAGGAAGATGCCATGTTTTATCCCCTTCAACTTGAACACAGCAACACGCCACTGGTCACAATGCTTAAGAACGATAATTATCTTCGTGCTGACGTGGGATTGAAGTGTTTGGTGTTGTGAGCGAAGTGGGATAGTGAGATAGTGGGCATGGTGTGGGCTTGTTGGTTGCGGAGAATTAAAAGAAAAATTAGCATCTCCAGGGGGGTGACCCGGCACTACAGGGCTATACATGTGTTTCAACCCTTCTCAAGGGAAATGTGACAGGGCCTAAAGAACCTTGGAACCCACCACATCGTCCAACAAGTTACAGTACTAATACTGTACTATGCAGTACAACTGCTGAAATTCTCGATAACGCAAGCCGCTGTTTCTCCTTTTCGAAGCGAAATGGAGTTATCACTAATTATAATAGGTGGGCACCCTTCCGTGAATTTCTTTTGATAATTCTTCAACGGTAGTGAGTTTGAATATCCCGCTACTGTGTACAGCCTCCAAGGCTAGAAAACAACCTTGAAGTTCCAACACGTAGGAATATGCATACCTGCTAAGCACGTATATAATAATACCTACGTACTACTAGTAGTATACGTCATGAAGGTATAGTAGGAGTTAGCGGGTTTGCATGTGTCGCCATTTGATTCGTGATAAGTCGAATGGATTGATGTGCTATGTCGCTTGCGTTGTTCTTGCGTTCCAAGGCAGCAGCAATATTGAACTTCAAGATGAAGGTTATCCAAGTATCTAGTTAGGTAACTACTACATACAGAGTCATTATTACAGACTGGAACTCGGAGTGGAGCTGATTGATTTCTTTCTGAGGGTCAAGATCTAATCTTGGCGCGTTTCACCTCAAGACCAGACTTGTGTGACTGCCTCTGTTTTAACCGAGAAGAATCATTTCAAGGCAACTGCGAAGCTTTTGACATGTTGATGACGAATCGATGCTTCCATTTCTATATATTTTCAAGTTGTAGTAACTATTTGATGTGATATTAGTAAGCTTTCTTCAGTCATATCCCCGAATTATTTGATTCTTCCAGAGGGGGCAATTTGATGTATTTGCCAAAGTGCTTAAATCTTGTATGAGTTTTCTACGAGGCCCTAGATATTAGTTCTCATAATGTTAAGTTGAGGTTTCCAAGCAATATCTCGATGGCGTACTTCCAATTATCAAATCGACTACAGCCACAGCTTCAAGCTTTATCAATGATTAGGTAATCTTAGTTCTCCTGCCCCTATATTCCGGAAAATTTTCATATCCTCCCAGAGCTGAGTATAGGATATACAATGGCATTGAGGATAAGGGTACAGTAGGTTAGAGCTTTGAAGCCGTATTCGCCGGAGTTGTTGAAGAAAACGCAACAAAAAGCACAGTGATCATACAATAGCAGCTATTCAAGCCCTTACCTAGGAAGACTGCTGAACTCTTTCTATAAAAGGGGCGCAGAGAAAGTGGCATATTGCACCATCTGAACGATAATAAGACTGAATGGAATTTCACGACACTTCACTCTGCCATGAACGCATATATTCTATCTCTTATATGAGAAATTCCTCGCAGACGACAGTTGCCCTCGAGTTTATCTTCTGTTTCGTTATAGTTAATCTCCATATGATATTGTCCCAGCCTGATACTTGTAGAATATATATCAGATGAACAACCATGTGACCGCATGGTTCCCGTGATATTGACGCTTGTTGTATAACGACGTTCAGGGGCGGATATACAAAACCTGCCTTGACATCTTAGTTTGAAGGCAGTCTTGCTCAGCAGCCCTAACTATCCATTAATAGTGCTGTAAAATGAACCCCCCCAGGCCTACAATTCACTGCTTGTATAAGTTGGTAGTTGGCGTTGAAGGGTGATACCGCACAGCCTATATAGCCATAGAAATTGATCGACTCTCCCGCAAAGTACATAGCAATACTTCCCACCAGAGCTCACATATCGACTTTCCGCACATCGTGGCCCCCTCACTTTTCGATATGTACTTTCCCACTAAACCTAGGTGCCTTCAGTGCCAATAACCTACCTAAGCACTCGCTGCCAGTGACCCATGGTAGCCTTACCACCTGGTGTAACTTTCACCCTCGCCTCTAGGGCACCCATAACCAAGGCCAGCTAGAAGGTTCCTGCTGTCTACCTAGGTACCCTCTGTCCCTTGATGCATTTCTGGCACTGTCAGGTTGGCGTCGGTACCCATCTGAATGCTTTCTTAAGCTGCCAAAACTTTCTAACCCTTCTTACCTGATCCAACCTCCACCCACACCTTCATTTCCACTCCACCCAACACCTCCAGGATTGTCCGCAGCACTACACACTTTTCATAGGGAAGTCCCTACAGAAATTCACGTATTGCCTACAGGCATTCCTTTTCTCTTCTTATTCTTCTGCATACTTGATAAGTGTGTATCGTACCTTAAGCTTAAGTTTAAGCTTCTTTCCTCGCAACTTCATCCTCACCAATTCCTAGCCCTCGTTGCTCTTTAATCACTTGCCCCTTCACAATGGATCGCAAGCAGAGCCAGCAGAACCGTGGTGTCATGAACGGCGATGCCACGAACAATGAAAACATCAACGATGCTGTCGGCGGCGCCATCAACGACGCCGTCAATGATGCCGTCCACGATGCTATGGAAGATGCGTTCAACAAGGCTATCACCAAAGCTACACATGATGGTCTCCGTACTGCCATCGACTATATTATGAACGACGACAACATGAACGATGATGCTACGAACGGTGATGCCATGGTCGTGGATGACGAGGACGTTGACATGGACCAAGAAGCCGCTGATGATAATGATGACATCGCCAGTTTGTCTGACCTCGTCCCCATCGTATATGCCGACGTCCGTCGTGAAGTCCACGTTATGGCAAACTACATCAACCCGCGACCCCCCCTGTCGCCTACCAACACGTCGATGAGCGAGGGCAGTGATGATGATTTCGAGCCCGAGGGTAGCGGCATGAACCCAACGGACCTCGATGATAGTCCACCTCCACGACGCAGCTCATTTATTCCTGAGTACCGAAGCAACATGATCTTCATGCTTACGCCCGAGTCAGAGGCTGATATTGAGGCTGAGGATGAGACTGAGCTCGAGTCAGGCTTGCCGGCATCCTCTGCCAGACACCATCAGGGTAGTATGGTATCGTCGCCAGTGCCTGAAGAAGACTTGCCGCCATACTCCGGCACTGGTCTCAGTGACGTTGAGCCATCCCCACGTCTACCTCCATCCTCGAACTATTTACGAGGCAATACTGCAGGCTCATCTGCGAACCGCCGATCACGCGATGTGACCCCAACCCCGAGGCCCATCCAACGCGAGAGCAATGTCATTGCAAGTTCCCCCTTTAGAAGTAACGCGACAACAGTCGTCGCGCGAGAAAGCAGTGTCGTCGCACGAGAAAGCAGTGTCGCCGCACCCGAGAGCAATGTCGTCTCTGTTATAGACGAGCCCCAGGTATGTAAATCCGACCACAACAAAAAAAAAAAGAAAAAAAAGACGAGCAACACCTATACTAACACCTCTTGAAAAGCAGGAACATGACAACGCGTACTTCCCGATGTACTACGAAGTTGATGAAAACAATGTCGTGAAAGCTCTCGTTCCCGAAGTTACAATATCGATGGAGCAGGCTCAAGAGCGTGGCTGGATATTACCCAGTTACCACCCAACAGCCCATCTGTCCCCGATACAGCTACGCGGCCACAACGAAGTTGCGATCGAGGTCAACGAGTTCAAGTTGCCTCTCTTGCTGCACGATCTTATTGATTATACCAACCCACACGTCATGGTGCTTCATCAAGACCGCGCTTTCATCCAGGGCCCGCACGCAGACGTCATGGCCTACTTGACGAAGCTCACCCAGTCGCTGGATCTCGAGGGAAAGGCCGTATTCTGGTACACCGAGCACGCTTCCGGCGCTCGCGCTACAGCCTACGAACGACGCGGCCACCGCCGCGGAGAAGGACTCGTAGACGTCAACTACGCGCGCCTGCCCTTGAAGGATGACACGGTCGAGTTCCTCCAGCAAAAGGCTTGGACTAAGGGTTCTGGCCATTTCACCGTAGCGATGCTGATGGTAGCGGATCCTTCCGGCCCCGACGGCTATGGCCGTGGACGCCGTCTCGAACGCGTTTTCCCAGCCCGAACGCCTTGAGCACGAAGATATGATTTGATTGGCTATTCCATACCCCCAACACCTATGAATGCAATTTACTAAGTTCCGAAGGGTTTTTTGCATCGCACACACGGCAATGAGTGGCGGGGAACATAAGAATAGCAACTTGGGAAGATGGACATTGTGTTTTCTGGGAGTGAACAAGGGCTTACGGAAGTCTACGGATATTCGGACGAAATGATGATCTCGAACTCATCGGTGGAATTAATGGCTTCATTTGCGGTGAGGTGAGCTCGAGATAAAGGAAGTCTATGGATATTCGGACGAGATGGTGACTATCTCTAGGCTCATCGGTGGAATTAATGGCTCCATTTGCGGTGAGGTGAGCTTGGGATAAATGAACTTGATGATTTGACATAAAATTTGGACGCAATCTGGAGGAGTCTGACTACTGGATAAGTGTTGACGATACTCGGCTTCTAGGCTTTGAGTCAGTCATAGGTAGTTACTGGATTACAGAATTGCAGTCTTGAAAATATTTTCATGCTTCGTAAATGTGAATGTCGTGAAATCTTGGGTACCCTAGGTAGTCAAATGTTTTTAGTAGGACGTAGGTAGGTATAGGTATAGGTATAGGTATAGGTGGAGGTGGAGGTGGAGGTGGAGGTGGAGGTGGAGGTGGAGGTGGAGGTGGAGGTGGAGGTGGAGGTGGAGGTGGAGGTGGAGGTGGAGGTGGAGGTTTAGAAGAGGCACGATTAAATAAGCATTTGGCGGCCCGTCTATGGGTGGATTCTGTACGTGTACTTTAGTAGCTGGACCCCTGTTCCTTTCCCGCCCTCCGTAGCTGCCTGCCTGCGCCGCTATGTACGTATTACAGCGTCTAACCTAGAATGTTTCACAGCATGACATGGAAAGCTGCATGTACTGTACATGTAGGTACCTCCTAATACCTAGTACCTATCTTATTCGAAATTTACATAATTACTTGACTGCTTCATACCAATATCTTCATAATCATGTTGAGTAATTCATATATATCTACCTAGTAATATACCTACCCAGTAAGCGGCATACTTGGTCCTTGTTACCTAATGTATGCAGAATCCTTGGAGACTGCTACAATCCTACAACCGATGAGACGAACAACCTAACCTAGCGCATAAGGCGGGAAGCTATCCATGAGACGGGAGGCCGTCGATCGTCTCATAGAACTAACCACTAACTAACTATGTTACATGCAGAAGGCAGCAGTATTTCTCATCGAGCCCCCCTGCTAATTTTACCGACGCTTGCGGGGTTTCTGCAGCTCACACGCGCGTGGTTGCGCCTGGGCTAGACCAGTTTAAATGCGAATAGGCACATAAATCACATCAGGCCCTGACTCTTGGGTTTTCAGCTGAACGGGGCCCCCAACTCCAATGGTAGGTAGGAGACACGAAAAGGGAAATATGTCCAATGCAAATCCAGCCTTTTCTTGTTTTATACAGAAGCCTAATAGGTCCATCTTATGGTCTATTGTATATATATATGGTCTTTCAAAAGGACTAAGATTGGTCAGTCGATTTTATGTACTCTGTCAGCTTCGTGTGTGTTACAATTGTATGAGATTATTCATATATTCGAGCTTGTCTGGCTGGTACTTATACTCGAGCACACCCACCAGAACCACGTTACAGATGATACACACATTCCATCATAGCTAACACCCACCCTTCTACCAGTTCCACCACCTCTTAAAAATGGACGATGCAAACCTCGCGGTGGCCTGGCTGTCCTTCGCAGCCACAGCCGTCGGATTGGGAGGGTTGATAACCCAAGCCAGCGCCATCAACGACCAGCTGGACCCCTTCCACTCGACCCGCACCGCCGAGTACCTCGGCATCTGGTTCCAGCGGCAGCAGCGTTTCCCGTGGTGGAAGATCACCAAGCCCCCGCCGCTCGGCCCCGTCATCTCCGCCCGCATGGCCGACGGCTTCTGCGGCGTGAATGTCTTGCATGTCACCCGCATCCCTCTTTTGCCCCCTGGGAAGGCCGGGTGGTCGATCCTGATCGCCATGTTCAACGATCAGCCGCCTGTGCTGCAGGCGGGGGATGGGGGTGTGGACGACGCTGCGGCTGAGAAGGGACCCTTGTCGTCGGTTGTGGTGGCGTCGGCGGAAGTGCCCAAAGGCGCGGAGAAAAGTCGTGCTCGGGGCGGAAGCAATTGGGGGAACCTCGAGCAGACAGCTCTCACGCGGCATCAATCTTACGCTTGCATCACCGTCTCGCGGACAACACTCATTACTATGTTGGTCGCGACAAACGGCCGCCCGGTATTTCAGTATAGCGACGCGACTGGCTTCCGGGCCGGTTATGCGTCGTACTGTGGACAGTGGTGTAAGTTTTCATCCTCTGAACTTCCTACCCTACCTCTCAACCCTCACCCCCCATTCCACACCTAAACGGCGTCCACCACTCGTCACCCCTTTACTTACCACCCACCGCAGACATAACCTGGCCCATCGGCCAAGAAGCCATCGTGAAATTCGCCGCCCACGACTCCATCGGCAAAACCGAGGTCTTACCCCGCAGCTTCGCGCAGCGGATCGACCGCTGCGGCCAAATGGTCTCCGGCGTCGTCTCCTCGCCCACCTCCTCCTTCTCCGTCGGCTTCGGCGGCCGCAAGAGCAGCCCCGGCGCCTACCGCCTCGAGCACGCCATCAAGGGTTTTCAAGGCGCCCACAGCGGCCGGCACCTGTACAACATGATGGGCGGCAAGGCGTACCAGGTGGACTTTATGATCGCGCGGCCCATCGCCGACGACGACGAGATCCAGATCGACGCAGAAACAAGCTCTGCGGACCTCGTGCTCCACCTCCCCAGCAAAGCCGCAGCCGCCAGCGGCAGCAAGACCCGCGACGTGCGCCTGCACGTGCCCCCCCACGAACAAGACATCATCCGGCACGCGCTCGACTGTCTTCCCTGGACCAGCCTCTCCTGGAGCATGCACCGCGGGCTGCGGGACCTGCTGCTCGCGTACTCGCGACCCCTCATGGACGCGCACCGCGCGCCCCTCGCCGCCCTCCTCCAGCAGACCGTCTCCGCACACCCCGCGCTCCTGCGCGCGCGGGGCTGGGACCCCCAGTTCGTGCGCGAGAACATGGCGCTCATGGCCTCGTCCGCGATCCTGTCCGCGGGCGGGAACTCGGGGGACTCGGTGCGGGTCGTCACCGACATCGTCGCCGTGTACCTCGCCACTACTACTTCCACCACCACCACCACCACCACCGACAGTACCAGCGAATGGGGCTTCGCCCGCCTCGACGAAGTATCCTTCTGGCGGCCCCTCGGCCGCGCCGACGCCTTCGACAGCCCCAAGGTTGTCGAACCGCTTGACCCACAGGCCGTGGTGGCGCTGACGAAGGTCTTCGTGCTCGAGTGGAGCCAGGAGTTCGATTATCAGCTGTATCACTTTTTGCCGATTTCGTTGCTGTTTGGGTAGATGGAGAGGAAGAAAGGTGGGTTATGATGTTTTATGTGTGATGCGTGGATGTCACGATGCTATGATACCTAGGTATGTTACGATATATTAATGCGTATCTTATTTCGGAGACGTACATATGAGGAGGCGTTTGGGCGGCTGATGTTGTGGGAGGTGTTTTGGACAGATGGCAAAATCTTAATGATTCTATCAATATATAGTTACCTATGAATAGACGATTGTTTATGGTACTAGGTACCTACCTGTCTAAATGAAAAGGGGAGACAGCACGATCTAAGATGCTCAGAACTACCTACCGTCGGAGAAGGTAGATACGCCCCCATATCGACTTACTATCATATACCACGAGAAGTTGGTTAGCAACGAGGCCAGCGATCGATCATGAGACTTAGTAGACGTCTAGTCGGACTACATACCTGTAACTACATCTCTCAATGCATACTTTTTATAGCATCCACGTAGTTACATACCTAACCTACTTAGGTACCCGAGTACCTACAACGAAAAGGGGGTAATCAAGTCACAGGCACTAGCGTCACTCCAAATTCATCCAGTCCATCAGTTACTCATTTATGCATATAAATTCTACCTGCACAGAGCCACCGCACACTATAGACCTAGCTTATCTCAGCTCAGCAGCCACCAGCTTCAGAACCTCCTCAACACTCTTGCGCGCATTCTTCGGGTTCTTCGCCACCGCCTGCCAAACCTCTCCGTGCCTCGGCTCCACACCAACGCATTTACTAATAACCTCCTCCCGCTTCTCCTCCGTCCCGTGCTCGAGCAGGAACTTGTAGTACCACGCCCAGCTATCGCCCAGATCTGAATCCCGCACCAACGCCTTTTCGAACCAGTTCTGTGCCTTCTCGAGCCGGCGCTCGCCCCAGAATATGCGCGCGACGGCTACTAGTAGGACCGGGTCGTTGTCCACCTCCTTGATCGCTTCCAGCGCTCGTGGTTTTCGCTGCGGCCGCGTCGTGAGGTGCCAGATCTTCTCGCACCAGAGGATGCCCTGATCTGGCTTAGCCACATCGCGGAGGGCGCGTTCCATAAGTGACTCGGCCTGCTTCATGTTCTGCGCCCGTCTCTCTACCCGAACGGACTCGCACCATAGCTCTGCCGATTTCGGTACTGCGAGACGTGCACGATCAAGAACAGAGCGAGCTTTGGGGAGTTGTCCAAGCTTCTCTTCTAGGCGAGAATAGAGTAGCCATAGAGGAGCTGACTTGGGCACTGCCTTGACACCTGTGCTATAAGCTTCACGAGCTTGTAGCGGCTTTTCTAGGTCCTCGTAGATCTGACCCTTCATCATCCAGAGCTTGGCGGAGGCTGGGAAGAGGTTAAGAGCTTGTTGGACAAGATCTAGAGCCGCGTCGAGATCATCTAGTTGCCATTCGAAGGTGGCACTCTTCATCCAGACACGATCGGTTGGAGCCTCTTGACGGGCCGTTTTCAAGAGGCCTCGTGCCTGCTCAGTTTGTCCATTCTCAGCCTCTAATTTGACGGCTGCGAGCCAGATGTCTTCGTTGTTTGGATTTTGCTGGAAAGCTCTAGCTAGAACACGTCGTGCGTTGTCGATTTCTCCAGCCTGCCATTTCTCCTTGGCAAGCATCATCCATAAAACTTCACTGCGAGGTACAGCATTCACAGCTTTTTCGAGGACTTGCCACAGGTCTTCCTTGGTGCCGTGGTTTCGTTCGAGATCTGCAGCTGCTAACCAGATCGTCTTACTTGTGGGGAATACTCGAAGCGCATATGCGTAGATGGCGCGAGCGGTTTCGAACATACCCCTATTAATACTTCCACGAGCATCATCTAACCAAGTATCTTTACGATCGTCGTCCTCATCCAGGCCATAGCCAAGAGTTTCTCGGATGATTGCGCCGCAAGTAATGATGGCACCTTCTTGCTCGCACTTCTCTGCCTCACCAATCCACTCCTCCCTTTTTGGCATTGCGGATTCTTTAACAAGAACTTGTGCGGCACGCTTCATGACGTTGACCTTCTCTCCTTGACCAAGCTGCTCTTGTAATCTCGCAGCAGCTATCCAGATTTCGTGGGATGTCGGACAGTGCTTACGAGCTCTGTTGAGCACCTTTTGGGCATTTTCTGGCGACTCAAGTCTGGCCAAGGCGAGCCACAGGTCTACTGAGAGTGGGATGAGTTCCGTGGCCTTGGCTAATAGCAGTCTAGCATCATCCGGGTCTTCTTCTAGATTAACCGCTTCCTTCCAGAGTGCCTCGGATTCAGGAATGTGATCTAGAGCATGTCGTATTACTCTTTTCTTTGATCTTGAGTCGCCTTCTAGTTTCATCGCCTCCACCCATAATCTCACCGAGCGGTTGTTCTTTTGAATTGCTTGCGCAGCAATAATCTTAGCGTTACGCCCTTCGTTCAACCGGATATTCTCAAGCCAGACATCCTCATTTTTTGGACAATGTTCACAACCACGTGCTATCACATTCCGCGCTGCTACAATTTTGCCTGCTAGTTCCTCGACACGAGCTGCGGCTACCCAGCCAGGACCATTGTTGGGGTTGGTTTTGATGACTGATTCAAGAAGCTCTCTCACTCTGTTGATATCTCCTACTTGCGCAGCGCTTTCTGGCAGCTGGGTTTTTGCTAGACTAGTTAGGTAGCCTTTGGGATCAACGCTTGTCGCACTTCCTGATGTCGCAGTTCCGTTTTGTGACGCTTGATCAAGCCTAACTTGAAGGACTTTGTCTCTTGCTTGACCAATCTTGGCGAAGTTGGTCATAGTTCCATCTTGGGTACTCGGGCCGCCGGCTGTCGTGGTCGCCCCGTCGTCGGCTACGGTTGATCCAAGCTCTCCGGCACTGCCAGCAGCGGCCAAAACGCTATCGGGAACAGCATAAAAGCGCTGCTGCCTTGCCTGTTTGCTCCGTCGATTCTTTCCGGTAAGATCACCGACTTCAGGTAATGCTGCCCATTCTTCTTCGGAAACGCCTTCCAGGCTTCGTTTGAGGTCGGCAAACTGTTGTTGAATCTTGGGATTTTTGCGCTCGTATTCTTCTTGTTCAGCTTTTTCGCGGGCTTCCCTATTCGCATGACACAATCGTCGGTAATCTGCTCCAACTAGTTTTGGGATGAACTGTGAACTTGCTGGGGGGAACTAAAGGGGCTAAAAAGAAAAAAAAAATACTAACCTTCTAGCTCTTCGTCGCTTATCCATCTTCTCATCTATCTCTCGGTATATCCTATCGGCCTCATCGTCATCTTTGTCGTAAACACCACCGGCAAATAAGCCGACCTCGTTATCCGGGTCTTGGAATCGCTCTTCGTTGTCATCCTCGTCGTCCTTTTTGCCGGGTACTGCGTCACCGAATCCTAGTTGAGCTGCTCGTTTCGCAAGGGCTTCCTTAATCTGATCTTCAGAGGGTCCCTCTCTAGCTGGACCTAAATCTGATCGAGTGGTGAAACCGGTGGCACCACGACCTAAACCTGCAACATAGTTCTCGGGCGCCGGCTGGCTTAAGAAATCGCGTCGCGTCGTCATTCTGAGTGGTTGTGAAGAAGGCTAGTCCGGGGAAACAAAAAAGAGAATTTACTTATAAGTGGAAGAACAAATTTGTACAATATGGTAACTAGCCATGCGACAGAGCATGTCTATATCACGCCTTTAAGGTGGCTTCAAGTTGAAAGATTTGGGGAGTGAACAATTGAATTATCAAAATGATAAAGCAAGAAACATTTGAAAGACTTCAATGTTAAAGGCGACGGAGACATCCTAAGAAACTAGCAGGGGTACCATGTAATAAATCTGACGGCTGGGTTTCTGGAAGTTGGTTGAAGTGCAGGGATGTTGATAACGATAAACTAGCCACACTTCAGCCACAACACCAAAAATTTAACTAATGTTCTGCACTAATAAAAGTTGTACTAAAAAGTTCCAATTCCAAATTCCCATTCCTGTCGCATCCATTGCCCTTGCCCCTCCAAGTCAAAAACCTGCATCTGGAGCATTCTATCACGAAAGTGATAATTCAGAGTACTTTGAATCAGTTACCTAGATTAATCAGAAGCAGCCATGGGAAAAGCCAAGGCAACTAAGTCCAAAGGCGCAAAGTCGGGTCCCTACGAACGACCCTCCAAGCACCCGGCCGCCAATAATGTCTTCAAGTTTAGCAAGGATTTTGGACAACATATTCTAAAGAACCCGGGTATTGCAGAGAGCATAGTAGCCAAGGCGAATCTTAAACCGACCGATACTGTCCTAGAAGTTGGTCCTGGTACGGGTAACTTGACAGTCAAGATCTTAGAGCAGGCCAAGAAAGTCATTGTAAGTTTTCGAAGCAAGCAAGGCTTGTATGGGACACTCCGGGGCTAATAAAGGTCATATTTAGGCCGTGGAAATGGATCCCAGAATGGCTGCCGAAACAACGAAACGTGTACAGGGGAAGCCGGAGCAGAAAAGGTTGGAAGTATTGCTCGGAGATGTCATCAAGACCACCCTTCCTCAGGTAACACTTACATCCTCTACTTCAAACTCGCAATGACTTACAAAGCGCAGTTCGATGTCTGTATTTCGAATACCCCTTACCAGATTTCGTCACCTTTAGTATTCAAACTTCTCGCCCTCCCAAATCCACCCAGGACATGCATACTCATGTTCCAACGAGAATTCGCATTGCGTCTTACGGCGCGTCCGAATGACCCTCTATACTGCCGTCTCTCCGTAAATGCGCAATTCTGGGCACGTAAGTTACCTATCAAGACGTTATAATATTCTCAGAACCCGAAGGTCATTCTAATATACTTGTCCCAGGGATAACGCACATTTTAAAAGTTGGAAGAAACAACTTCCGACCTCCTCCACAAGTAGACTCAAGTGTGGTGCGGATAGAGCCCAAATTGGGATCAGAGCGCCCAAATATTAGCTTTGAGGAGTGGGATGGCATGCTAAGAGTATGTTTCAACCGGAGGAACAAGACCTTGAGAGCCTCGTGGCTTGGCAATAAAGAAGTCCTCTCCATGCTGGAACGAAATTACCGACTTTGGTGCGCCACAAACAACATCCTCGTCGACGACACCGTAATAGATGATGCTGAGGATGACGCAGACGAGATGGATTATGACGAGCCAGATTTTGCAGGATTTGGGGACGAAGAGACCATGGACGTTGACGGAGCTGTCGACGAGGACACCCCCTCATTCTTCCAAGAGCTGAAGAATGCTGGTAGTGAGGTACCCAAAACGAAAAGCAAACGGAAGAAGACGAGGGTGGCTCTTTTGATTAAAGAGAAAGTTCGAAAAGTTCTCGAGGACGTGACGGAGCTTGCCGAGAAGAGAAGCGGCAAATGTGACGAGAACGACTTTCTCCGTCTTCTTGCGGCTTTTAATGCAGAGGGGATACATTTCTCGTAAAAGCTTGACTGTGGTTATCCATATCGCATGCAATGGATAAGTTGCGACATAGGCGTTATAGGAGGGTCACGATTTATAAGCATATGGCATGAGAAGCCACGGCGTTTAAGTTTAAAAGGACCTGAATGTCTTGCGACCATATCGTGGGGTTGGTCGGCATTCTGAACTATTCGGAGACAAAAATTACTATTAGACACTTTGATACCAACGTATGAACATGAATCGTACTGAACGATTCGATTAATTAGTTGAGACGATGTTTGGAAACTAGGCCAGCCTCTGATTCCTTAGGCCTTTCAACCCTATACCATCAGACATTTATTTACCGCCGCCGAACCAGCTCGAGATACCACCCTTTGCCTTAGCTGCCTCAGCTTCCACCTTCTTGTCGAACTCGTCCACCTTCTTCAAGGCAGCAGACTTGGCGTCCTTTGCATAGTTTTCGGCTTCGGAGGCAGCCTTTTGCAGTTCAGCTTGCGTCTTGCTTATCTGTTGAGTGGGCAACGGTTAGTCTATCCACGGCACTCAAGTAGAAGTACCTATGAGACACAAAACTCGACGAGTTACTTACAGTGCTGTCGACCTTGGCACCCGCTTGCGCGCCGTACTTCTCAGCGTCTTTCTTGACCTCTTGTCCTCGGCCGGGTATCTCAGACTTGAACTGGGCAGAGGCCCTGTGTGCGTCGGCTGTAGGAGTGGTTAGCGTTATGAATACGTATTCGATGTGCGACATGACAGCTCAGAAAGCGACAGCTACTAAGTAAAATCATACCTTCAGCCTTCTTTTGAGCAACCTTGGGGTCGCCACCGGCGCTGTATAAGTAGTAGCCGACACCGCCAACGGCAGTCAGGCCTAGGGCAATAGGTACTCTGGATCTCGACATGGTTATGAGAAGATGATGTAGGATTTGATTATGTAGTAAATGGATGCGAAGTCTCTGATTAGGAGAGTGTTGGTGGTACAAATATTGGTTGGGTAGGAAAGTTGAAGATGGGAAGTATGTGGTTATTGGACGTCAAGACTATAAGAGTTAAGACGGACGGGCATCAATGTATTTATTACGACTAATGACTGCTACATATACGTGTTGTACAAACATTCCAGGTAACATACGACATTATAGCTCTAGGTGCTTGCCGACTCGTCTACTACTACGTAGGTTAGGTACATGCCTTAGGTAGGGTAGAGACATAGTGATGAGAATGGGAAGAGAGAAGGAAAAGGTTACATATGGTTGCTTTCATTGCCACAATATATATGACGTAGCTGGTTGGTGAACTGCAAGCGGGGCATGGAAGAAGCATTTACATGTTGAAGGCGCATAATTCAGAAAGAGACTTTGGAGTGACTTTACCTAAGCTCTAAATATACTTGGCCATGCAGGTTCCTTCCAAGTATTCTACTCCAAATCTGTGATTCGAGACCTGCAACATGTGGAAACCCCACTTCACTTGCTTCAGATCAGACTAGGTTCGTTCGATTTTTAGTGTACAAGGATAGTACCTAGTTTAGTCACTTTAGTGTTGAATAAATACTAACTACCTAGGTATGTAGCAGCTCGTCGAGTTACATCATCAGCTCAAGGCGTTTACTATTATTATTGTACCTACGACAACTTCGAAAAAAAAAACTTAATCTCTTACATTCTTCCATTACCCAAAAGTTCATTGAAAAAACATACCCATACATTTACCACTTGCAGTTGATTAAGTACATGCCTACATATAGTACCTACTAGGCACCGATAGCTTACTAGGCAGGTACATTTCACTCATTAGCTGTCTTCAACCGGTTTCCAAAGCTTCGCCAGGTTTTCTTAGCCGCATTCGTCATTGATGTTTAGCTCACAGTCCAAACAATTTTTTAGCTTCTATTAAGATTAACGGTAACCTTGGATAGAGAGGCATTGTTTATCATTGAGGATCCTTATTCCAATCTGTGCTTATTTCTCCTTCTTTCCCTTCTTTGCTGTCAATGATACCTACCTATACGTAGTATCTATCTTGTCAGACGGCGACCAAACAAACCCATAGATTCTAGTTGTATGCCAGCAGTTCATATTCTGCTGTGTTTCATAACTGGGACATGACTCGTCTGATGACTAGTGCTCATTTAAACCTCATGCCGATACAATAGCTATCAGTATGCTAAAATTGTCCAATTCGAACGATGCCCAAAACCAAAGCGCATATGCGCAGCTCCCGTCGCGCACCTGTGCTCAGAGATAGCGAGATCGATCATGAAATAAGCCTCGTCGACCATTCGGTAGTCGTAGAAGAGTCACAATCTCTTACTCCCGAAACCACCAACAATATTGTCCACTCTCCCTCAACTCAACCCCTAATCTCGAACGAGAGTAGAGCCCCATCTACGCAGCCTCCTGAAACGGAGGATGCCCGACCGTCGAATGACGCAAACACCGAAGCAGGATCATCTGGCGCAGGGAACACAACACAGGCTGGTACAGTGGATACTGCGATCCCAGAAAATGGGGAAATGCCTGGGTCAAATGGAAAAAACATTACGAAAAACCGTTCTGGTAGCAAAAATCGACATGCCCGTAAATCCAAAGAACTCGAGACTGCAATTGACATCCTCTATGAGAACCAGCGTGGAGGCTTTCTTTGCGGTATTCCTCTATTCTCAGCTGCCGCATTGGGGAATCTCGATCCTACACCTTGGACCAACTTCGCTCACAGACCCAGCCCGACCGACATAACCACGGCCCAGGTGCCCGATCCAAGCTGGGAATGGTCTTGGCCTGAATGGCGTGTGAACCATGACGAGGCGATTAGTACCGACGGTGATGGGTGGGAATATTCGTTCATGTTTTCCAAGAAATTCTCTTGGCACGGTCCAAAGTGGTACAACTCATTCGTGCGGAGGAGGGCATGGATAAGGGGACGAATCAAGAAGGGTCGTGGTTACGAGGCAAATGAACTCCTCGTTATGGGCCCCAACTACTTTTCGGTTACTCCTACGAGGATAGAGGGTGGACGAGCTAGTATCAGCCAGCAAATGGACCATTTAACTCATGATGCTATTAGGAGATCTCATGATTCCCGGCTGGGAGACGAGCACTACGAACCGAAAGCCGAGTTAACTACGATGGATGAATTAATAGCGGTTTTGAGGAGATCGCGTATTGATCGAGAAAACCTCGACGCGATGGAAAATTACATCGAGCATTGCTCGGACGACTTGAAGGATTTACCAGATCACATGCACGAAATTATGTCTGTATTCGTCTTCCAGGCATCCCGGAAACTACTCTTGGCACGGCTCATAAAACTCCATGATGACCAGGTAGAGAGCGAACGGAAGGGGAAATCCATAGCAACGAAGCTCAAGGCTGAGAATCTAGCCGGGGCGATTAAGCACGCTGACGAGGAACTCCGCAGACTGGAGTACTGGAGTGACATCAAAGGAATGGCTGAAAGTGGTGAGTCCAGAGGTGCGGCGGATTGTGGGAAGGGATGGGGCCGTGGTTGGGAAGGCGTTGATAATAGCGGCCCTAAAGGTGTCAGACCAGAAGGCGAGCCTCTATGATGGGGGTGATGGGTGATGGGTGACGGGAGGTCTATGGACATATTATATTGGTGGTGAGTGATGACGTAGCATTTTTGCATGGGAGTCTGGAGCAAAAGGACCTTTTTTCTTTTTCTCTTTGGGTTTCCAGTCATCTTTTCTTTGGGATATCATTACCAGTAGACGGACAGCCCATCCGGCTGAGCAGGAAGGAAATACTTTGGTTAGTCACATATGTAGTGTTCAGGCGTGTCGTGTCACACTACATATAGCATGTACATACATACATACATACCTATGCATTAGCAGCATGATAGGTAACAAAAGCACTCGAAGAACGAACGATGTTTCCAGTTATTTTTTTTTTATTTCTTTTATTTTTTTCGGATTTCAAAAGGCTTATTAATTCCATGGCTGTTGGTTGCTTGCTTGCTCAGCCCCCGAACTACTATGCAGTAGGTAGTACCTACAGTAGCTTACCGCATGGCATACATGTACATAAGTAATTAGGTTAGGGGATCCGTCAATCCATCAATACCTAGGTTAGGTACGTTACCTACCTTATACTTACAGTACCTAGGTTAGGTTACATACCTCCCCTGACCTATGTACATACTATGCAATGGCTTTCTAGATGATCTAGGTATGAATAGACTGGCCGAGAACACGACGCCGGAAATAGTTAACGGCCACAGATAGTACCTAGGTATGTATGTATGTATGTATGTATGTATGAAAATGAAGATGTTAAAAAAGAGAAAAAGAAAAGGGCCAAGAGCTGGCTGACTGATTGATGGGCGGGCTGAATACCTATCGAATCTCGCTTGCTGCAGGCTAGATAATAAAGAGAAAAAAATCCAATATTGGGATAGCTGTTTATCGCAGGTGGCGCTCGAGATCCCGATGTGTGTGGGTGGATGACTACCTAACCTAGGTACCTATGTAAATAGCTACCTACCTATGTACTAGGTAGGCAATCTATGTAGGCAAGGCGCGTGATCTCGTATAAATCGTGGCGAACTAATAGATGATAAAGTGTAATATATCATATCTAGGTACTTGCTTGGGGACTCTCGCTCATACTGTCCGGAATCAAGGCTCCCGGAAAGAAGGATTAGGATTAAAGGGGGTTGTGTGTATGTGAGGGGGGGAGGGGGGGGGGGGACAGACGACGGGTTTAGTTTATAAAGTCGAGTGTTTCTTTATTTCTTTCTCTGTATATATATATATAGGAAGCTAGGTGGGTATGTTACCTATCTTCGCGCTTTCGAATTATACCTACGTACGTAGGATATTTACCTACCTATGAAGCCCTCGACGGCTCCGAAATAAAGGAGACCCAACTACACCAACCCAACCCAACCCAGATCAGACTCAGGCCAGACTTATATCAGAGCAGACCAAGACAATGAAGCACCCCCAAACCCCAGCCTCAGCCTTCGAGCTCCTCAGGCCTAATCCAACCCCAACCCCAACCCCAGCTTCGACCTCGACCTCAACTTCAACTTCGGCATCTTCTTTCAAGTCCCTCCCAATACCCAATACCAACAGCCACCCCCCCAAAAGCAAGGGCAAGGGCAAGGGCAAGGGCAAGGCTCCAGCGCAGAAGCCACAACCATGGGTCGATGGGCCGTGGCCGCTTATCGAGACACCGGCGCGGTCTCAAAAGGCACGTACTCCATCACTTCACTTCTCTTCCCCCTTTTCTCCCCTTTCTATACTAGACTAGTGGTATACCTACCTACCTACCTACCTAGTACCTAGGTAGATAGATAAAGCCATACCCACATCTCACCAAACTAACCCAACCAAAACAGATAACCCATAGCGCCCTACACATCGCCAACGAGCTCGCCCACACGCACAACGCCATGCTGCGCGGCCTCAACGCGCTATACCTGCAAGCCCCTTACATCACCCACACCCACACCCACACCCACGACCCCCACAACGACATCAGCGATTTTCTATTTCTGGCGCAGGCGTGGGCGGTCTGGGTTCTCGAGCACCATACCCTAAAGGAGAGGGTGCTGGTGCCTGGGTTTGAGGCGGCGCTGGGGTTGGCGCCGGGGGATTTGGGGAGGCGGGTGGAGGGGGTTGTTGAGCGTGGTGGCGGTGGTGATGATGGTGAGAGGGGTAGTGGTAGGGAGCTTGAAGGGGAGGGGGAGGGAGATGTGGATGTAGATAGGGGTGGAAAGGGCAAGGGGAAGGAAATAGATCAAAAGGAAGAAAATAACGAAAAGGATGGGGAGAAAGAAAAAGAAGAAAAACAAAACCCCATCCCAACCCACCTCACCAACCTCCACACCTACGCCCTCACCACCCTCTCAACCCTCTCCACTCCATCCTCCCCCTCCTACTCCCCCACCACCCTCCGTGCCCTCCTCTCCGCCCTCGCCGGGAACCTAGTCCCGCACCTCCACGCACAGATCCTCGTCTTCTTACAGATGAAGGATCTCTGTCCATCCCCCTCCCCTTCCCGCCATCCCCGCTCCCACAAACCAACACCAGCCCCCGAACCCCTCCTCTCCCAATCCCACCTCTCCTTCACGGCGACGCACAACACGACCATGGACCGGTTCACCGTGCTGCCGATGCTGATGCATTCGCGGGACATCACGTACGAGAACGGTAGCGGTGGTCGGGGCGGGGGAAGGGTTGAGGGCAAGAATGACTGGCCGGGGCTCTCGGTGCCCGCCGTCCACGCCGTCGCGGACCGCTTGGCCCCGAAGCACGCGGGCGCGTGGCGGTTCTTGCCGTGTGATGTTTGGGGGCGGCCGAGGGAGTTGGTGGCGTTTGGGTTTGGAGAAAAAAAAGGGGGGGGAGGGTTGAATGAATGAATAAAAAAGGGAAGGCAGTTTGATAGAAAGAAGGAAAAGAAGGATCGATATATATATGTTTGAGGGGGAGTGGATTGGCAGGTGATGAACAAGGAAATGTCGGTATAGATATGGATAAATACCTGCCTAGGGTACCTAAGGAGGGAGGACAAGTTGAAGTTGATAGACAGGAGGAAAAGCTACCATGTACCCCTGAAAACTAAACCAGTGTACGTACCTTGTACCTACATAGTATACCAGATTGTAATTCATTTCCATCTTTTATACACGACTCAACTCCAAGTATACTTACCTCCAATACATCTACCGCAGTATTATTCAAGGTACTGCATCAAACACTATAAAGTCTCCAATTATCAACATAAACAAAAACAAAAATAAAAACAGATCGTAATTTGATGTATTTGTATTGTGGTATCGCGGTATGTATATCTTGGTGGTCAAACACTTACTGCTGAGGCTCCTCCGCAACATAGTGCAGATATGCGCCAAGAAGCTTGATGCCCTCAATGTAATTACGCTTATCGAGCTTTTCGTTGATCGAGTGCGCACCATCCGTCGAGCTGCCCATCGGCAGTAGAAGCACATTCTTACCAGTAGCTTGCTCAAACGTAAGAGTAACAGGAATGCTGCATTGATGTGTTAGTTGTCAATCCATTTAAGAGTCGTGAAAGATGGGTTTAAGCTTACCTGCCACCCTCGCGTGTAAAATCTGGCTGTACTCCCCATACACGCTCAACGGCCTTCCCAGCAGCGCGGAAGTTCCAGTGGTTGGGACTCGCAACCCACCACTTTCCACAGTGTTGCGGGTACACCTTCATGGTGTTTTTGCTACCGAGCTTCGCAAAGACTTCCTTGACGTACTTGGCTACCAGCTCATTCGTCTTCTCGATCTCCATATTAGGCACAGTGCGGATGGAGAACTTGCCAATAACCTTGGCGGGGATGACAGTCTTCGCACCAGGGGCTGAGAAGGCACCTTCGATGCCGTGCACGGAGAGCGAAGGATATCTCCATCGCGCCATCAGCGTCGACTTCTTGTCCTCAAATATGGTTGTCTTAGAGCCGAGGGACTCGTGTAGAGTTTCCATTGTGAAAGAGATGCCGTCGTATAGTGACTCTTCGTCCTTTGTAACGGGGGCAACTTGGTCCATAATGCCGGGTATTTGAATCTTACCGTTCGTGTCTACTAAGCTACCTAGTACACGAACAAGATCTGTCATAGGCTCCTGTGCCGTACCGCCAAAGACACCACTGTGCAAATCTGCGCCTGGGCCAGAGACCTCGACGCTGTAGTAATTCACGCCTCGGAGACCGTATGTCAGACATGGCTTCTCTGTACCTAGCCAGTAGTTGTCACTGATGCAGACGGCGTCAGCATCAGCAAAGAAAACCTTGGCCTCTTGCTCGATGAGTTCGTCTAGACCTTCGGATCCGTACTCCTCCATACCTTCGAAGCACATCAGCAAGTTGACAGGGAAGTCAACGCCAGCTTTCTGGTGAGCTTCAATGGCATTCAACCAGCCAAGAACGGGGCCCTTGTCATCCGTGCTGCCACGACCAAACATGCGTCCGTCCTCGCCAACGGCTAGGGTGAAGGGCTCCGTAGCCCAGCCGTCGGTCTTGTCAGCCGGCTGGACATCGTAATGTCCGTACACGAGTATGGTCCGCTTGTTCTTATCACTCCCGTATCTGGAGAGGATGACGGGGGGTAGGTCGAGGGCGGGGTTATCAGGTTGCTTGCCAAGAGGCCGTAACTCGACACTAGCACCTAGAGCCTTGAGCTCATCGGCCAGAAAATGAGCCATACGGACTACATCGGGTCGGCGAGCAGCATCTGACGAGATAGAGGGGATGGCAACGGCTCTGCCGAGGCGGTCGATAAAGTGCGACGAGAGCTTGTCGACTTGGGTAAAGTAGCCGTCGAGTTGAGGAGCCATTTTGCGGGATTGGTGTGCTCGAGTGGCAGCAGTCAGGTAAGTTCGGGTTCCGCTTTGGAGGAGTCGGTTATGAAAAGAAGAAGAAAAAAGAGCAGCGGCAGGTGATTTCAAAAAGGTAGCACGTCTTATAGAGGGGGATGTTGTTAAAGGAAGGTGCGTCAGTGGACTACGGAGTCCCGTGAGAAGAATGCGGGGCATTTATTTAAGCCTGTTGGAGGGGTAAATAGGGCGAATAGGAGACAAGATATTGCAACTTTGCAACTTCCTCTGATAATCAACCTTGAGAGAGAGATAAAGTGGTTTTTTGGCTGCATGTAGAAGGTACCTAGGTTACTTATCTCAAACTTGCCAAATTGCTTACTTACAGCACGTTACATACCTAGGGTACAGTTGCAGTACCAACTGGGAAACCCGGCTATTGATGGGCTTAGGGGCTACGGTGCCAAAATAACCCACTTATGAGTATGCACCTACGTAGATTAGGGAAGGTATAATAATTGGCAAATTGCATGTGTATAACACAGTTACATTTTCAGAGGTTATTTACAACATTGAAATATCATTTACCTAAATATTCCAATAAACCCCATTAGTGAACCAACACTACTATATATATATAAGGTTACATAGTTGGATGTCCCTTCGAGATACTCTTCAGTTTTATTCAAGATATATATACAGCATATGTACTCTCGAAACTCTACAGTTCTATTCAAGATACATATACTACATCTGTACTCTCGAAACTCCATCGTCCAACTCAGAAGAATGTATCTGCATTATGTTTTTCTAAATATAGAATAACTAGCTCGATACTCTTCCTCTGTCGTCAACAGTATTTTCACCGTGAGAAGCCTCATGGCCTCAGTTGTCAAGACTTCGCCATTCTTCTGGGTTCGGTGTATTGTCGCGTCCATGCCTAATGCTTCCTGAAGCTTGTCCGCGAGCCACACACCTGGCCTCATGCCCTTCGCCTTTTCTGTATAATGTCTTATCATGTCTGTTGCGTCAGCCAGCCCTCGAGATGCTCGCACCTCCGCTAGATCTGCTTCTCCGAATATCATGTTTTCGCACATCTTCATAAATGCACGCCGACCCCCCAACTTGGGTCCCGGTTCGAGGATCCGCGACAGGGCGCGCCGCATTCCCCCGTTGGTTTGACGCGCAAGTACGGCATATCGCCATACTACCCCGACTGTGTTGGGGTATCGTCTGAGCCAAGCAGCTCGGTACAGTAAATGATAGGTGATATCATTTGGCACCAACTCCGATGCCCAACCCGGAAATCGTGTTGGCATGGTTCCCATCAACGCTACCTTATCCTCTAAGCTCATCGTATGGGTCAGCAACGTATTCAGTGTGGCCGCATTTGGCGAGGCCATTCGCGAGGCATATACCACCCTGAGTAAATCGTCACAAGCTTTCCACTCGTCCCGAGCGCCAAGATTGGCCACAAGCTTATTGAGTGTGATTGTGTCTAGCCATCCCACTCCATACTTTTTTGTCTGGTGGAGCAAGTATCCCTCAATATGTTCTACCAACGAAGGTTGATACTCAAGATTGGGTACTGCCATCTGCCTACCAACTGCGCGAAGTATCGAAGGATTGCGACGTAGCCCCTTGGCCCCTAATCTCGCTGAGACAAAGCGCTTGACTTCCACGTGCTCTATCATCTCTATAAATGCGACCCAAGCACGGCCATCGGGGGAAAATCCTTTCTTGACCATCGATCTTATTATACTATTAAAGCCCCCAAGGTCCCTGGCCCTGGAGGCACTGGCGAGAAATATGCCGAATATCTCGGCGTCCATAGGAATTTCCAGCAGCTCGACCTGGCTGAATATGATTCGAGACGCTTGGCGAAATCCGGAGCCCTTGGATTCTATGTATTTAATAGCCATCTTCAAGGCAGACATAGATATTGCCGATTTGGTCTCTTCCGAAGTGAACAAGTTAACGAGGAGTGATACAACGGTGGCTTGGTGGTCAGGGAAATTGGGATATAGAGCTCGCGCTACATGGGTAGGAACCTCGGCCTGAACCAGCGCAGCGACGTATTCCTCGAAAGAAATCCTGGTCCATATCGTAGGTTGTTCGATCTCGTCGGCGCGCTTCGACAAAGTGTAAGATTTGTACATTCTTTCAGGGGCAGTAGAAGGAGGACCGATTAGAGTCAAGGTGTTGTTGTCTTCTGCAGCCTCCCTATCCCCTAGACGTCGAATGCTCGATTGCTTTACGGTAACCGCCGTCATCAGACCCGACAAAAAGGGTTTCCATTTTGGATCAATTAGCCTGATGGCGGTAATCTTACCTACTATATCGATAATTTCTATTATCGATTTTCGGACAGACTTTTCGGGGCCAGCTACGCTAAGACTCAACTCGCCATTTTGGGAGTGGGATTGCTCGAACTGGATGAGGCATTCGTTTCTTCGACCAATCTCTGAAAGGCGTGTGTCAGGTACTGAAAGCGCCGCATACGCTTCTGCGGCACGCCCCTTTCCTATGATGATTCGAAAAAATAGCTCGGCTCCGACCTTGTGCGTGTGCCGTAGCATGAAATCGAGCGTCGAGCGCCAAGTATTCGGCATTCTGGCAGCAGCTTCATGTCGATCATCGTGTAGATATTGTCTCGCCACGCTCCTCCTAAACCTGCGAAAGCTAGCAATCGATTTGTACTTATTGGGATATTGAACCGGCAGCTTCACGAGTATAGGTTCATTCGGTACTGAACCAAGCTTCTTCTTAATTACTTGTCCCTGTACGGCCCTAAATAATGCCGAACGAGATTTGCCACGCAAAAGTTGACTTATGATACGATCTCTTCTTGATATTGTTGGGGATGTTTCCATCTTCCTTGTAGATGTCGAGAGCCATTGCCGCGAATTTGATAGCTGTGATAGCTGGAAAATCGATGGCTTGTATTGCTGCTCCCTGGGGAACAGTGAGAGCCCTTTGACACGAGCTGTGTAACTTGGGGCTCTCCCAAGTGATGTGATCCCCAGGGACATGAGCTATAGGGTAGCATGCATATGTTTTCCCAGGTTTGAGATATTGTTTTCAATATCGTATATACCTAGGTAGATGTATGTTTTTTGTTTTTTTGTTTTTTTATACAACGTGAAGGCAAGTGTAAAAGGCCCTTTGGTGCCCACATAACGAGACTATCAAACTTGACGAAATCTTTTTGTCTTATCTTATCTTATAGGTACTTATCGCATATACAGACTTGTATGTACAATACTTACCTACATATTTATCTCAGCAAGCTCAGACTAGGAGGACGGTTTTGCTTTGTACCTTTTGCGCCACAGCACTTTTTAGCCAATCAGACCCCAGACCTACCCCTCCCACGCAAAACCGTTTCCTAGTCTGAGGCACGAAGGTGATCGTTTGTATTGAGCGTCCCCAACGGCAAAAATCAAAATTATCAAAATAACCATTAATCAAGAAATAAGCATCCAAATTTACTCCAAATCAAATAATTAAGCCATTGCGAATTCAATACAATTTTTTTTTGGTATTTTTACGGCGTTTGGTTGTTGGTATATTCCATAAAGTTAAGTATCGTCACTCCCATCAGTTGCCACATCAAACTCACGCGATACGCCAAATAGTTTTCCACCATAATAACGGATAAACAATCGTCTTTATAGCCTGTCCAGGCTACGAGAATAGTATCGTTATCGCTATAACGAAATACAGCGCGTTGAACCCTTCTAAGATGGCACATCGTATCATCAATCCAGTCAAGCCATTCAAAGAGCCATTCAAAGAGCCATTCAAAGAGCCACGCTCTTAAATAACAATACAAATACACTCGGGGCTAGAAAGGGCAATTATTCAGCTATTATCAAAGTTTGAAATCAATTGGGGCATTATTGGTTGAATGGTTACCGAGTGTCAATATAAAGGTGAAGTGATTTTCACCCCTCGAATCAAATAATACATCAACATCACGCCAGAGAAATCAGAAAAAATGCTAACGGGCTTTAGAATATCTATCACTAGCCCTAAGAGCTTGTTTGAAATGGATAGGGTCTTTCGTTGCTTCGCTGTCGCTTAGTAGGGGTAGTTATTGGATTGTTGTTGGGAACGCTCCCAATTTGCTAATTACGTATAATTTACTTGCACCCTTACTATAACACAAAAAAAGTTGATACAGAGTTTATAATATGGTATATCTACCTCCGACATTTTACAAATTAAGAATATCTATTTTATTTATTTAGTTATGAAGTGTTTTGTTGAAAGGTCGATTTCTTTTGTATGGTGGTTGTGGGGGGCACAGCCAAAAATTCACCTTCGTGTCTTAGACTTGAATTTTTGACACGACACGCACAGCCCCACAGATACATTGGCATGGTCCATGTCTGTGGTGGCTGTGCGTGTGTGGCGTAAAAAAATTCAAGTCTAAGCTCGCTAAGATAACTACATATGTAGTAGTTATCCACTAGAATATAGGTACGTAGGACCTTATTATTGAATCACGTGCATTGCCAAAAATACTAGATATGCATATAACCTAGATATGTACGTACATAAGGTAATAATAGTATGTTAATAGTATGTAGTATGTACGAATCTTGAGGTCTTTGGATGCACATCAACTAAACTGTCGGAGAAATTCATACATTAAACAGGTATCTATTTAAAGAAAAAAGAAAAAAAAGAATATAGAAGAAAAGAAAGAAGAAAAGGCAGGAATCTGTGAAGAGGTTCTTTGGGATGACATTGATGCATTTTATCAAAAGTGCTACTTCAGCACTCCTAAGAAAACTATAGAATCGATGCAAGTAGGGGGAGTATTCGCGTAGTTCTTATAGCATATGGAACACCCCTCAGTTGTCAAAATTCCTTGAAGAGTCGGAATGTAATTCGTTGAAAAAACCCTCCAACTTTACATCGTGGGGCTTCAAATACAACGTGGTGCCAATCGTCCTATTGCGTGCCTTGAGTCTCTGTCGTACCATGTCCCTTTGTCCAGGTAGAACAAATCCGTCCCTGCACCTCCCATCCCCATCCCTTCCGTCGTTCCCACATGTGCCAAATAATCAAACCTCTTCATTGCTCTTTCGTAAACCTCCCTGTTCATTTCGGGCGTGATGTGGGGATGAGAATCCTAATAGTTACCAGGCGAACAGGGTTAGGCCGCCCCACGATACAGTCCTGACCGCTATCCTGCCTAGCAAACTTGTACGTATGTATGTTACAGTCAGTCTTTCGATGCGACGGCAGCAGCTTCTGCTTTGGCCTCTTTGGGCTCTTCCTTTAAGGCTTCTGCGGTCGTTTCCGTCGTAGTTGAGGTGGGAGTCTTAGACTCGTTAGTCTTCGTTTGGGCCTTGTCTTCCTGCTTTTTTGGCGTTCGCGGGGGAGGCGAAGGAGCTCGAGGAGGTAGTTTACTGTCGGCATCACCATCGACAGATGAGTTCTTGGACACCTGACTTGCGAGGTCCTTGTCCTCTTCGGAATTATCAAACATTTCGGTGTCGTCCGAGTCGGTGAGGACTTCAGTACCATCGCCAAGAAAGATGATGCGGCCCTTGTACCCACCGATCCCAAATGGCTTAGATTTGTTCTCCATATCAACATCAAAACCAGTGTCACTCTCGTCCGGGTTGTGATGCACACCAGGTCCTCGGAATTCAGCTGGGTCTCAAGGTCAGTTTTATGATTTACGTAAGCGACCCTGGGCTCTAAGAAGGCATACCGTATTCGGGAGGGGCACAAGGACCGTCGCCTTTAGCCACCCGGCTGGCAACCTGTTCGTACCATTCCTCCTTACTTCTGCCTCTTAAGAAGCCCACGATTACCATCGTCATGTTGTCACAACCAACACCACCAGTCTCAGAATTCGACGCCAGACAGTTGTCCATCATATTCTCACAGATCTTATCCAACTCCTGTTTCGCAACAATTCCCCTCCGAACGAATTCAACGACTGCTTGCGAAGACTGGCAATCCCAGATGCCTAATATGTTCAATTAGCCGTGTCCAACCGAGATCCCACTTTTCGGGTAGAGCCAGTGCTTACCATCACATGCGATGACTAAGAATTCATCGTCGTCGCTGATCTCATGTGCCACAACGTCTGGGTACGCAGTCACGATCTGCTGTTCAGGTGCGAGTTCGGCACTCTTCTTGAACTCGAAATCTCCGATAGCTCGGGAGAGGGCAAGATTGCCGTTGACACGACCGAAGTCAACAAAACCGCCAGCGGCAGTAATTCGAGCTTTCTCGCCTGTGTAAACACAAAAACATTAGCGATTGTACGGGATGTAGAGATTTAGATATAGGTCTCCAAACCTTCGTTCTGTGGTTTGTGATCAAAAGAGAGCGGCTTCGCTCTGCCTTTAACCCCTAGAACACTCCTCGAGTCGCCAGCGTTGGCCTATTGAGAAAAAAAAGGTTAGCTAGGAATTTTACATATGTTGTAGATTAGATAGGTAGGTACGAACAATGTAGATCTTCTCGCCAGTAATTAATCCAACGCAAGCGGTGCAACCGGAAACCTCTTCTTCGTATTGAGGATCTAGATAGATAGATGTTAGACTTCGAATATAGTATAATTGGACGGGCGAGAGGAAACCATACCGCTGAGTATTGCTCGATCAGTCGCAAGGAAAGTATCCTTGAGAGACTGCTCGTAGTTGCCAGCCTTGAACGTATCTTGCTTCTTGAGGATATCGAATATATTTTTTCCGGCGAACTGAGCAACCTTGTCGCCACCATGTCCATCAAAAACACCGAAGAAGGACAATCGCGAAGGGTGAACCTTCTTCTCTTCACCGTCGGGCGTCAAAAGGTCGAGAATAGTGCAGTGGGCATCCTCCATGCTGATACGCCATCCTTGCATAGCAGACACGCCGTACAACAATCGATCATCTTCGCCTTTGTCGGAAGCCTAGGAAACGAGTCTTTGAGTTAGCGACAGTGTAATCAATAGTATCAAGCGATGTACAAGTAGGACATTGCGATAACATGACATGATAGGCAACAAGCGAGCAAAGCCATCATCCTTCAAGCGCCGAGGTCACGAGCGAGGGGTTGGGTAGTGGGGGTCAGGAAGGGAAACAGCGCAATTGAAGATAATGAATAGAGAAAGAAATAACATCAACATACCTTGTCGACGACAGGCTCAGAAAGGGTTTGACCCATGGCGAAAAGAGATTACTTTGTCGCACCGCGAACGTATTGAGGTGTAGTAGGAGATGGATGGATTAGTATGGTCGGAGGGACATGTACAGAAGGAGGGGCAATATCGTGCACGGGGGTGGTGCTTGGTTTTTGCTGATCGTCAAAATTTTCAATCGCCTTGAAAGAATATGTATGGATAAGTAGACAAATACGGTAGTAGCCGCAAGTAGTGCCTTGGGGGTGGAATGATGTAGGTTAGATACCTAGGATAGATAGTGTAGAAAAAAAAACTCGAGTAGCAGGGCGTTGCGCAAAAAGAATTGTGATTCAAATGGTAGTTCAAGTTGGTATGGTGGTAAGTATTGAAAGTAGTACTGGTTACTTTTGGTCTTGGTACTGAATGGCAATGCTGGTGCTGGTGCTGGTGCTGGTGCCTGGGTTCTGTTGTTACATACTACTACTACTCAAGGCAAAGGTCAATGATAGATAATGGTAGTGGTATGGTAGAGAAGCCAAGGCGGGGTTTTGCGTGTGTCTTGTAAAAAAACCCTTTGGGACTTGAGCATATTGAGACAAGGAACAAGGGACGTAGGAACATGGGGGGGACTTTAGGTCACCTAGTAAGACATGGGGCAGCCGACTGGGTATCGCTACATACATACATTATGATACATACCTGCTGTAAGTAGTAACCAGGGTAGGTACTAGGTAGGTGAGTACGCTAGAGCATAGGTAGTGATTGGAGGTGAATGGATGCAATCAAACTGGCAGTTGGCAGTTGGCAGCTGGCAGCACATGTGGCTACTACAAAAGGTACTTGAAATCAAACCTTTCAAGGTCCAGCTGCGTGTTGGTGTACGAATACAAGTGGTCGAATATTACGAATCCTGTATGTAAATCTGAATTGTGACTTACTTATAACACTCGAGATGCATACATACCTTGATAATATATTAGTACCTGCGCAGAACATTGGGCAATTTACATTTAAGTCTAGGTCATGTACATTGATATAATATATTAACAACACAATGCTTTTAATGCTACATTTAATGCTACATTAAACCGTATGTGGACGCTTCGAAGAAAACATTAAATACAGACGCCACTATGATGTCGCAAAGATACTTATATTATGCGTCACGACATCATTAGCCATGCCAGTGGTTTGGTAAAAGCAAATAAGCAAATGGTACATACATTATAATATACATGTACCACATTACCACATTACCACATTACCACACTACCGCTATTCAATTGATTCTGTTTTCTCGGGTCTTTATCGGATATTTAAAGACGGAGTTTTACGCCGGAAACAAAGGCGTCCCGAGGTCTCGTGTCTGGTGCTAATGGCATCTGGACCAATCTGGACCTCGGAATAGGGTCTGTACTGTTTAGGTACATACATTAGCATAACTACCTCCAGGCTCCAGGGCTACTAGTTATGTTGGTACCTACTAGTTACTAGTAGTAGTAGCTTTTAATGCTATGAGCACTTCATTTTGAGTTTCAATGCTCAAATGTTGTGCCAGGTGTTCTACAGCAGATGGGAAATCGCATTCAACCATACATATGTAGGAAAGTCCATTCACCACTTACATACATGTATAGCCTTGAGGTACCTAGTATTTATGTACACTTGTACGTGTATGTACAAGTACCTCTAATGGCTAGCATCCGCCACCATAAAACCAACATTGAAACCCTTTTTGGACTTTTTGACTTCATCGACGATACTCGGTCTGTAAGTACATACCAATGAACAACAACCAAAGTCTGAAAATCTCAACCAGATAATACCCAATACACATAATCGGGCAAAATTGTCGTTACATTTTGTCCTCATTCTCACCACTTGCGTGTTTTTGCACTAACGAATACCATGTATCTCGAATGCCCCCCCCCCCCCCCCCCCTCCTCGGATTTCTCGGAGTAGTGATATGGATACAACCTCCCTCTAGCCCAACCCCAATCACGCCTTCAGCCTGACCTGGCATGCTAGGGCACACATTGTGCCCTTCGCCTTCAATATCATTCTTATCTTTGACTTCTTGATCTCATGCTTTACTCACTTGGTGCAAGTGATCAACTCAGACATCGTCTTCTGATTACCTCTATATATAGTACCGTTTGTGTGATCGATCAGATGCCGATCATCTCAGAGACTTGTGTGTGCTTATAGCACAGCAACTAATTAGATAATAGATGAATAGTATTAGGCCTTAAGTTGGTTACTACATAGTAGGTGGGTAGGTAAGTAGGTATCATATGCCCCTTTTTCACACATATTTATTATATATAGACCGCAAAACTCCCTTCACTATCACCATAATCATCCCATCCATCGATAGTCGTTGGCGGTCGGATGTCTTCCCATGCATCTTCGTCGTCATCGTCTTCATTTATCCAAACGCTATGCATGCTTTTTGCACTCTTCATACTCCTTATTGTCTTCCAGCTCTTCTTTGAGCCTTGTCCCTCCCCATAAAATATTTCATTAGGTCGATCCCCTAACGGGACCCTAATGGGTCGCGTGGGAGTCTGTGGTAAAGGCCGCATCGGTGGCGCCCACCCGTTCTCCGGCGATGGCGTCTGAGACGTCATAGCCCTGGACGTGTAAGTTTGATCAGATCTCGAGCCAATCGACGGCGTGTGATAGAGGATATGGCTCATGCCTTGCGAAGGACGCCGTTCCTCGATTGCTCTACCTTTGGCCTCGCTTCCAAATGCCCCATATGCCATTGGAGGTGGTAAGCGAGGCAGCTCGCTAGAGATATTTGCAGGTGAGGTTCTTGCTATACCTACCATATTAACAGCTATGTTGGGCTGCTGTGGCCATTGGCCCGGAGACAAGAGATCGTGCATGATCCAGTTGTTTTCTTGAGCAATCTCCTCCGACGGCTCTCGTTGTGAAGGGGCTAGCGCTGGCTCGGTAATGAGATCCTTATATGCGATTCCTAGCGAATCCCTCGCATGCCGATCCCACGATGAGTCGCTATCGCGAGGCTCTGTGAACCCTTCCAGAGTCGGCGGCGGTTCCGGGTTCTCAAATATACTAAATTCCGGTGATCCTTGGGCTAGCCCAAAGTTTCGCGGCGATCTTGTGAGCGAGCGACCACCGAAAAGTGGTGAGGACCCGTCTATCCTTCTACTCAGCTGCCGCACCTCGCCTGGTCTACTGGGTATATGTATTATAGTTGGCCTTGCGACGATGTTCGTGCTTGCTCTAGCCTCCTCTTCCGCTCCTGCGGAGAACCCAGATACGCCAGATGTTAAGATACTGGTGCGAGTCGTTTGGGTTGTGGTATTACTACCGATGCTATCACGTCTTCGTTCGTCGAGCGTTTGATTCGTACTTTGTTTGTTCCATAAGTTCGACAGCCTTTTGCCGACGCCGCGAAGGCTTAGCCCAGAATCTCGCGGCTGCTGCTGCTGCTGCTCTGATCTCCGCCGCGCGGTGTAACCTACTGGCGGCGGAACTGCATCCTCGGAGCTAGAGTCGTATTTACCGCCGGCTATATAAGCAATCTCTGGCGTGGTCTGTATACTGAACGGTTCTGAATATGTCGGGACTTGAAGAGTCCGGGATATCTCTTCCTGAGGTCTTTGTGTAAGGACATACGAATGTGATTCTGCAATATGCTCATCCCCTTCCCCAAGACTCGTATCCGATAACAGGCTACCTTCTTCTGGTTCTCCTATCCTCCTAGGGGACGGCTCGCCATCCCGCCCCGTAGATGAAGAGCTACTTGCTTCTAGAATGACGCTATGCTTGGGAGATCTCGCCCTCGAATACATCGCCATCATAGCATGAGGCATCATACTCCCAGTTAGGCTCGGACTCCGGGATGAGTGTCGATCCGAGGTAGCGTGGCTATCTCGCGCAGGCACGCTACCATCAGACGGCCGCGATGCCCCTAAATCCATCATCTTCCTGAAATCGCGGTCGGAATCTGGAGCGAGAGTTGACTGATTGGCCATAAAGCTTCCTGGAATAGGTCCCGATACTTCCCGGATATTGATTCTCTTATGTTCTTGACGCCCCTGTCGCCGCCTTCGGACGTAAAAGAGGAGGACTATGATCCCAATAAATACCAAAAATATTGGTATCACAAGTAGCCATAGTAAATTCCTGTTCCAGTCACCGTTACTAGAATCCGGAGGTGGGTTGTTCGGCTCAGGTGTAGCAGTAGGCGGTAACGCGGCAATACGTATGTTCATGACCTGAGTTTCTGTCTCGTTGGTACTTTTCGATGTCGCCTGGAAAGTAATGCTTGGGGCGGTTCGAGATTTTGCTGTGAAAGACTCCGGCACGGTTCCTGAAAGAATTAAGGAAGACGAGTTAAACCGAGCCCACGGCGCATCCTGATCATCATCTATTGTGACCTGAATATCCGAGGGCCTCGAGAGATACTTCTTCAAATCGAACGAAAAGTCATCACCAGCCGTGAGATCGAGGTCAGGTAGGTCGGAAAGAAATATTCCGAATCTGATCGCGACCGTTAAGTTCAGGTCGTCGAAGTGCTGGTCTACGACAGCTATAGTGACATTAGTCGACTCGGCATTTGAGTCTGGTGTACCGTTCAACTCCCACGTCTCGTTATCAAAGGATAGCCAAGAAGGTAAGTCGAGCGCTGCAATAGTTGTAATGTTTTCCTCCTTCAGGGGCTCCCCGTCAAGCTTAAGCACAGTCGGTAGACCATCATACTTTAACAGCTTTCCTTGCGTTGCATTGAGCCTGATGACTGGCGGCTCGGCCGTCAGTTCGTGGACACCGACTACGAGTGAGAAGGGTACTGAGATGGACGCGAACCCGACAACGTCCGACGCAACTAACTGGAAAGTAAAGGCTTGCGGGGGCTGGATAAGTGACTCGAATGGAGGTGTTTCGCCGGAAAACGCAAGAGTGCCGGCGTCGAAGGTTATCCATGACGGAAGAGGCACGTTATCATCGGACACAGCATAGTAATTAAGCCCACCGTCTCCACTACCGGTGCGAAATGTGTGCTCGTCGAAACTAAAAGAGAAGGGACTCGAAGGGTGAAGGTGTAGTGATGAAGGGGCTATGTATGTCCCAAACTTGGGGAGCTGCTCTGAAACGGGTATGGCGACTGTAGGCGGCGGGTTCCTAGACACCACAATAGTCGGACTCGTCGTCGTGGCGCCAGTCTCGTCCTCCGCGACTAGCTCTATGGGGATCCCCACCACCTCACCGGGTGGGATGTCATCATCGCTCGGCGTCCCGTACAGGCGGCGCGAGGAGCTGTCTATCGAAAGCCATGCCGGGGCGTTCTCGAGGCGATATGTGAGGTTGAACGGAGAATAGAAGGTTAGGGGAGAGAAGGTGAATTCAAATGCCTGGGATATCCGGGCCACGGGAGGTAGCTGGGAGTTGAGAGGGAAGTAGTCGAGGGGGGCGGCGCCGGCGAGTCTGGCTGTTGCTATTACCACTGCTGCGCCGAGCGCGAGGACGTCTTTACAGGCTACCACCATCGTGCTGTAGGACAGCTGCTGAGGCTGCCGACATGAGAGAAAACGAGCGACTGGGGTTGAGATTTGAGCGAAAGGCGTTGAGGTTGGCTACCTTGGTAGACGGGTATCTGGAAGAAAGAAAGAAAGATCGTAGTAGATAGGTATCGTGAGTAGGTAGAGTAGAGTTGGGAAAGCAGGAGCAAAAGGTTTCGAGAGCAAAGCGTCAGCCGTTTGGCCGACACTACTATGCCAGGAGGAGGCCATTCTTCAACAATCACGTCGCGGGCTCCCTTGTTCCTGACTCGACTCGACTTCGCCTCGCCCTGTCGTGGGAGGTCTGTCTGTCGCAGCGCAAACGAGACGCGCGAGATTCGATAATGACGAAAAGGGGGGGTTGGAGGGTCTCATCACGTACTTAGTCAGTCTACTAACCTGCTGTATTGTATGTAAAGTGCCTACCAATTCTTCTTTTTGGGAGGGTCTTCTCTTCCTCGCGTAGGGCTGGTGGAATGCCAATGTCTTAGCCACGCGCCGACATCGATTGGCTGCGGCTGGTGGCCGATCTCCCATTCCACGGACCGGGCAACCCTCCGATACTAGGTTGACTACTACTTACTACCTATGGATGTATGCCGTCCCTCAATTAAAGTGGCAAGGGAGTGCGCGCGAGATATTTGAAGCATTTTAATATAAGCGATTTCGATTTTTTTCCTTCCCTACCTCCCCTCCCCTACTTAGTATTTTCTCTGCGAGGAGGAAGTGGGAAGTGGGAAATGTATGGTATGGTCTTTCAATATTGTAGGCTATATATTGTGTGTGAGGCTAGGTAAGATAGATGGAAAGAGAGAAAGAGAGGTAGGTACCGATATTGGAAACCCACGTGAGTCTGTTGGGTTGAGATATGTAAGTGCTCAACCCGCGACCTCTATGTCCTGTGGCATACCTAGACCTAGGTAGTGGGTTTGGTAGGTACGTAAATGGGTATATTGGTTTCAAACGAGGTCAATTGGAAGTGCGTTGGTAGGTGTGATGTGATGTTACATATCATGATAGAGTGTTAGAGGGAAGACGTGTGGAGTTCTGGAGTTGTAGAGCTTCTCGGTCAGGTGGCCAAGTAGGACTTGCAATTTTTGAGAATCTTAATCAAGCCACTGTTCGCATCGCGGTGTTTGAGTGTATCTAGCCACAGATCTTCATGTATCTAACATAGAAGGTAGGTACGTGAACCTTTCGTTTCTCTCTAGCATGTCCCCAACCACACTTGAGATGGGAGTTATCGTGTGTGCGTGGCTTGGAAAGAAGCCACGGAACGATTTGTGTGTTGGTGTGATTCATGGAATAGGTAGGTCGGTAAGATGGAAACGTCATGTTTCTTGACCAGGTTTGTTTCATCCTCGGGCACTCGAGGTATGTGATGTATCTATAGTTAGCCGTCGCTCATGAATGAACCAGCTTTAAAGCGTCCTGCTCTGCCTACGATGTCGTTTTGAAGGGGAATGCAGTCAATAGTAGCAACTACCCTAGCAATTACTATCCGTCCACAACTCGAAACTTGCCAGCAGGTTAGACAATTTGGCGGTGCTTCAAAGATTTGTGGGAGATTAAAGTGTCTTGTAATGGGATCCCTTGCTGGCTGGACAACGACGAGTGAGACATTTGTTACCTGATAGTAGTAGTAGCCACTTTGGCAGTCGAGGGGACTATCACGATGTCTGAGGCTTAGGGGTTGAGTGTATGTATGCATAGGAGATGATGGGAAGATTAAGTCTAGGTAGGTAGGTTTCTGGAAGGAAGTGTGTCGTGATATTCATCTATGAGAATAGATAAATTCATTTATGCGAGTAGATCCCTCAAAAAAGTACTGTAAAAAGTAGTTACTGTATAATGCAATAATAAATCATGACGTTCTAGATCCCAATAGACTCACAGGCAAGAAGCACGCACATAACCACGCAAACTCTTTTTATCTTTATTGGGACCAGAGTCCATAAATTCATTGTCTTAGTAGACCGCAAGTTTCGTCATACATCTATCTACAGTATCTAAGGGAAATGCAATAACATACAGGTAATTAGTTGAAATACCCACCAGATCAAAAAACTGAGATAGTTAACATGATACCCCCTATACGAACCCCATCCCCCGAGTTCTCGCCCTTGGCAATCGGCGAGGACTTGGCTCCCCTTCCGGCCTACAAGTCCGCCGGCACTGCTTCTATCGATTTCTCGGGGCTTCTTGCCGACCCTCTTAAACTACATGAGGATCTTAGCTCCGGGTGTGGCGGCCAGACCTGGCCGGCAGGCATGGTACTCGCCAAGCACATGCTCCGGTATCACAAAGATGACCTAAGTCAATCACGGATGTAAGTTATTTGGCTCTGTCCACGGTTACCTATAAATGTACGGATTATTAACCATACTTTCCTTCCCAGACTAGAACTCGGGGCCGGAGGCGGATTGGTGGGCTTGGCAGTAGCCAGAGGGTGTGCCGTGGAGAGCCCGCTCTTCATCACCGATCAGTTGGAGATGCATGCCTTGATGGAACTCAACATCAAACTGAACCATCTTGATACTCAAGCCGAAGCTAAAATTCTGAACTGGTCAGTCTATTCTTCCCTTCTTCGTCTTCCCTGGGACTCTTCTTATCCCGTCTGCAAGACCATGCCCGGGGCACGACAACGCCGATCCCAACGCATACATGCAGCTACCTACCTACTTATGCTAACACATACACTACTTACTTGTTACAGGGGCGAGCCACTCCCGAAGGAAATCGTAGACTTCAAGCCCGACGTGATCCTTGCGGCCGACTGCGTCTACTTTGAGCCCGCCTTCCCGCTGCTATTGGCCACCTTGACAGACCTCCTGAAGCTGTGCCCGTCAGCCACCATCTACTTCTGTTTCAAGAAGAGGAGACGTGCCGACATGCAGTTTCTCAAGAAGGCGCAGAAGATGTTTAAGGTCGCCGAGGTCGCAGATGACGATCGTCCCATCTTTAGCCGGGAAGGGCTGTTTCTGTATACCTTCAAGGCCTTGTAAGGAAGGGTGCACAGGTACCTCTCGATTTGAGTGATATTTATGCTATTGTTGCAGCGTTAGAGCTTGTTTGTAGATGTTCATTCTATGCTTAGACACCATGCTGGCCAAGGGAATCATTGATGCCTATAGAAATGAAATTGCCTTTGTCGTTCAGCGAACTGTTATTACTAAAGAAAACGTTGTACACCTATTTACCCCAGGTTCCGTGTAGAGCAAAGACGGGAATGTGCAGATTGATCGCCCTCATTAATCTTATTCCTCGGGGTATGCATAAGAAGCGTTGATTTTGTATATGGGCAGCGGACAACATGTGAGTTCAAGTTTGCGCTGGAGATACAAGTAGGTAGCTAATAGAATTGAGGTCGGTAGCCTGCATGTGGGCATGCCCCCCCCCCCCCCCCCCCCCCCCCTTTCCAATGCACATACCCGCCATCCAACATGATCAGACATGTCGTCGTTTGGAGTAGGTAATTACATAATCGTTCTTACGTACTTCATTCACCCATCTCCAACTCGAGGAGGGATTCGGGACCACCCCTCGGTGGTGCCGACCAATACACGGACATAACAGAGACTTACATAGGTATCCTCTTTACAAGTTGGAAATCCTGGTGGTGGTGGCGGCGGCTTTAGAAGTGTCGAGTGTATTTTGAAACTCAAGATATTTTTACCATTCTTTTTTTTACCTACCTAACACAAAGCACTAATGCAAACCAACTTGAGGGATTTTAAACACTTGAGAGGCTGTCAATGGCGTTTACTAATGGCATTAGCGGCGGAAAAGGGTCAAGTCAGTCAAGTCAGCTTATCGCTCGCTCTCAACATCGTTACACGGCCAAAAGAGTAGTAACATAGGTATGTAAGGGTAAAATCAAATGCGAATCGAAACCAGCAAAATTCTCTCGTGATGGATGCATTGCAGGAAAATCGTGGCACCCAACTTACATGTATATTCGCCCATTCTCCTTGGAGGAGGAAGGCAGAAATGTGGCTGCCGTACAGGCGAACTAACGCAACCCCCTAGGCCTCGAATGACACGGCACAAGAAAACGCCGGCGGCTTCACTACCTACGTCTTTTGAATGGCTGCCGCGCGTTTTCGGCGCTCTCTCCAAGACCAAAAAGCTGAGGATTATCAGCGACGTGGGAATGTATGTATGTAGAACGTAGGTACAACGAAAACAAGTTCAAGTTGGGGGCGTTTGGGCCGATAAACCGATCGATAAGGGGCAATATAGGGGGGACACAGAGATCATTTCACTTTTAGTACCGAACATACGCAAGTAAAGTTGGGTGCACATGTGTGTTTAATACTTGTCTGATGCTGTACTCGGGACACCATTCGGAAAATACACTCTGGGTTGGTGCCGCAACTTTAACATGTTTAAATTGACGTTTTCTTTCTTTTCGTTTCGTTCACAAAAACATTGAAAGGATCATCCCGTGGAAATGAGACTAAATGCAACTTACTTAGCGCCCTGGATCTGAGACGAGCCGGCAGCTTTATGGTCTGTAATCCATCTTGTACGCCAATGTGGATGCGAGCCACGACGTACATATGTAGGATATGTATGGATGTAGGCTCTACGAAACGATTCATCCGGATTTAACATCTCTAACCTTACACAAGTAGGGGGTAAAGCTGAACCAGGTACCACAGATGGAGGCCGTTGGGGGCCGTCAAGGTTCCCTTCCAACTCAATGCTGCTTCTACACATAACAGCGCATGATCAAAGCCAAACTGACGTAGTTGATGCGGGCTGCCGAACGATGTCTGTCACCAACGGCAGCCAAAGGAGGGGGGTTTTGAGTGCCGACGTTCGGGTAGCCACAGAGCGGAGAAATACAACGATTATCTACCTAAGTACTCCAATGTTGAGGCGGTGGAACAAAGTCTAGATGATCCGATGACCCGCGACGACCCGGACGAGAGCGATCTCCAGGTCCGGAAGTCGACCGTTTAAACTTACCATACCATACCTACCTACATGTAGTGGTATAATAGTGCCAAGCATGTAAATGTGTGCATCTCGATTCCCAAAGAGCTAAACCAACTATTCTGTAGCATCGGTCCGAGTCCCCATCGCGGGGAGCCCTATCATACGTTCCTAACGTTGTTAGTGTTGTCTCTATTCGTTGATTGCAAAATCTTGATTTCTTGTTAGGTAATGGAAACTTGGTGCAAGTAGCCAATTCACAAATATTTCTAACCTACATAGTACATATGTAGTTAATTTTCAGCCCTTTCCCAACCGCTAGCAACGTGGCCCAGTTCAGTTCAGTTTGACGTGGAGACATTCTTAAAAGCCAAGCCAAGTATGACTCTATGTGTAATATGGTATGATATGTGTAATGGTATGTGCGGTATGATACACAGTTGATTTGCAACTTACAGGCAGCAATCACGCAAGAAAAAAAATAAAAAATAAAAGAAATGGAACTGCGAAGAATTAAAAATAAAAAAATCGGCGAGTTCGGCTGGCTGGGCATGCTGGGTTGGCCGGGTTGGCTGGAGTGAACAAGGATTGGGAGGGTCGCAAGGATGTAAACGAGAGATCGCCTTAGAATGGTCCTAGCGCTAAAATGAGCTATTAAGCTTGTCACTCTTTAAGTTCCTTTTTTCCCAGGGGTACCAGTCATCTCATTGGCTTGTCTGACGGTACCTTGCATGCATAGTTAGTGGATGGTAGGCAAGGTACGTAGGGTACGAATAATTCGATCGGGTACACCCAGCGGTCCCAGCCCCAGCCCTAGCTGACGGGACGACCTCCATAAGCCACGTTGATTCCCTCGTCCCTTGTACCCATCCCTTGTTCCTAAATCTTGAGCGATTGATTGGATCGACCGTTACTAAAATGAGCTAAAATGAGGAAAGAAGATCAATTGATCTGGGAAACCCCAGTTGCCTGCTGTTTCAACTTGCTCCGTCTAACAAGCCAATAAAGCCACAGTCAGCAACACTACACTTGGTATGGTTTAGTGTATTATAGAAGTGTACCATAGAAGGGTACTATGTAGTACAGTACATACCTGGAAATCATGCTTTTTCCCTGTTGTGATTTTTCCTCTCTTCGTCCTAGTTACTGGCTATTCACCCCCCCTGTTTTGTTCCCTGCGGCCTCCATTGCAGCTTTTCTCTCTTTTTCTTCCCACAGCTGAAATAAATAAACCCCGGACGTTCCTTTGGAATTTCATCACCTTCTCTTGCTCACCCTCTCTCTAACCTGCTCGTGCTTTTCTGCAACACATACTGTCAACGTTCCTTTCCAAGAGCCGTGCTCAACTGTATACATTCCTTCGGTATCACTACTACCTCACATTCATTCTCAAGAGGAAGAGAGAACACAGAAACCAACTTATTACCAAGACAACCAAAAAAGGAGCCTAAAGAACAAAACGTTCTTTGTTCAACAAACTTGACAAACATCTTTGAAGATATCCCCCCGGCTGGATCCTCCGCACATCGCACAACCTTGATTTTTGTCCATTTCAAGCATATACATTACAGCAAATCAATATCCAACATGAAGTCTGCAGCTATTGTCGCTACCCTCCTGGCTTCGGTCACCGTTGCTCAACCCCATGGCCATAACCGTCATCACCATGCGAAGCGAGACTTGTTCACGGAATGGGAGACCGTTTGGGAGACAGCTACCGTCATAATTGATGATGATTCCACCCAGACCCTTCCCCCCTCGCCGCCAGCAACCAGCACCGGTGCTCCGATTCAGTTTTTCCAGGCGGAGTCTAGTACCAGTGCAGCCCCCGTAGAAACCCCCGAGGTCCCTGCTCCTGCGCCCCAGCCGACTACCACCAGCAGTGTCTACGAGGCTCCTCCAGCTCCTACCACCACATCCACCCAGGCAGCCCCCACTCAGCAAACCACAACGTCGCCCGCCGCCCCCTCGAGTAGCACTTACGTTCCGGCCCCCGCAGCTTCCACTAGCAGCGCTTCTTCAGGCTCTAGCGCTGGGCTACCAGTTGGCAAGACATTCTCGGGTGATATCACATACTACAATGCTGCGCTAGGAGCCTGTGGATACCCCGACGTAGGCAAGGACGACACTGAGAACATTGTGGCCATTCCCAAGGGATTCTGGGACAGCATCAGCACGCTGACTTCTTATGGCATCAACCAACCCGCGCACCCCCTCTGCGACAAGACCATCACCATCACCTCGCCCAGTGGCAAGAAGACGACGGCGACGATCCGCGACCGCTGTGATGGCTGCGTCGGTGATGCCATTGATGTTACCCCCCACGCCTTCCTCGACCTCTTCGGCTCTCTTGACGGCGGCCGCCTGGAGTGCACATGGGAAATCAACTAAGCGAGAAAGGCTTTTACGGCGACGCAACTCCCTGGTCTCAGCTAGCTTGCAACCAGGGAAATCCGCGGTTCGCTAGTCGGATCTGTTTTCTGATTTTATGATAAGCATTTTCGCAACAATCAATTTAGGGGGAAAACTTGGATGGATTCAGTCCAATGATGACAACCGGGCATATATATAACCAAGCCTTGATGAAACACACTCTCTCCATTCTTTTCACTTGGGACAAACCGGCAATAAACTGTACGGGACAGGCAGGCAATTATACCCAAGGGGAGAAGAACATAAAAACAAGCGTTGGGCGCTTTTATAAGTCTAGCCCAACCTAGATCGGCTGGCACTTACTTACATACTATCTATCGTTCTTACCTACCTTTAGGGGAAGTTGATGGATCCCATTTTTGTTGCCTTCTTCAGTTCTATATTTATTGCTCCGGTCTATAACGCTTTACTCTTTTAACAAACGGACGGACGGACAAATATCTACCTAGGGAGCGAGGGGGGTGGAAAAAACACACTTAGACTTTTTATTTTCGATTCTCGATGTATATATTTTACATATCTTTTATTTACTCGGCCTTTTGGGTTGGGGAGAAAAGATATATATTTTTTGAGGCCCCTTGAAATGGAATGGCTTTGAAACTTTTAACTGCTGCTGTCTTTGCTGAGTGTTCCGTGTGTGGTTGATGGTGATGAGTAGGTATGGATATTTTCTTGCTACGTTGGCATATACTGACTGCTATTTTACGGAGTATCGAGTGATCATCATACCATACTAGTCAGGCTTTACTCTCTTTGGCCGCCCATTCACATATCCTATTTCACCAACCCTTCCTTACCTAACCTTATTTTCTTCCTCGCGTTAACTATACTATTACAAAATCCAACAACTTACATACTAAGCTAAGCTGGCCTAGTAGTAACTATGTATATGACTAATTATGTATTGTATGTACATACGAAGCATCAAAAACGCCGAAGCTCTCTCTGAGTCTGATTAAAGGAGTTCGGCTGCTATTAATACCTACAACACATCCCATCCGTCGATCAACTAAGGTTGGTTAGTTAGTTACCCTAGCCTAGCAAGGTATCGTATCCCAACTGAAGCAAGCGGCTCACATGATAATAAATATACATAACTAATATTACATAACTAACACGAGCGAGCATTGAATTTGAGCGTGGCTCAGCCCCGAAGCTAGCGGGAGGGAGGGTGGTGTGCCCCCCAGGGCCCCCCCCACAGTAGTTACTGTGTTCCCTGGTTGTGGATGTAACCTATGTACGAGCCTCCTTGCTTAGGAAGTTGACTACCTACATAGGTTAGGGTAAGTGGTTAGGTTAGTTAGTTGGTACGAGTTATTAAAACTTGTTGGTAATAGGTAGTTACTGTAGGTAAGAAACAAGAATATTAGTTAAGGATGAAGGGGAAGTGAAGTGATGAGTCCTTTAATTCTATTGACGTATGTAACTATCACGATTTAGATGTTAGTTATACATGTATTTAAGTAACTACATACGTTGGGTAAAATTTAAATATCTACCGAAAAGTCCCTACCTTCAAGTGCTACATAAGTCGTCGTTTCATCTTAAGCATGTCATCTACTATACCTATACCTATGTAGGGAGTCAGTCGGGCAACACATACAAATACATAGGTTAGACGCCTGGCACCTGCGCACTTCAACATGCATCATCCGTTGTTTGGTTTGCTTCATTTGTGAGTCGGGAGGGACCCATCAATTACCCAGTCAGTAGGCATGGTACTGTACCTACACAGCGGCATGTGCTCGGTTCTTCAGACTTCGGGCCTTCGACTGTCGTATGTAGTACTGTAGGTATGTATAATCGTACAATCGAATAATACAGTAAACCTAGGTACCTAACCTACCTACCTACTCATGAACGTCATTGCCTAGTTCGAGGTGCGTAGGTAGTAGGTATACGAGAGCATATAGGCATGCAACTCTCATGTCATATCATGCCTACCTATAAAATGTATGTAATCCGTCGGTAACAAAGATGCAGAGATGAGCACATCTCTCACTCTCACTCACCCTGTCTCTCTCGCGCATACCCTTATCCATAGTAGGTAAGTAAAAGCCAACTCCCCTCCCTCCCCATCCAATCCATCCATCCCCGACATCACCATCACCATCACCATCACCACCCCTCCCACATCCCCCCATCCCCCCAACTCTCCCTCTCCCTCTCCCACATCCCCCCATCCGCCCAACTCCTCTCCCCCTCCTCATCCTCCTCCTCCTTCACCGTCCCCTCCCCACCCCCACCCCTATCCCCCCTACCATCCACCCCCACCGGCCTCCAATGCTCCTCAACCTTATATGTACGACTGCGATCATGCAAGAACTCGAAAGCGCGGGCCTGGGTTCCTGCATTCGCGTCGCGCTCGCCGATACCACGGGCAGTAGTGAGGTCGGTATCGTCGGGGAGCTCGCGCATGACGGCGTAGCGGTGGTCGGATGTGCGCATGGTGCGCTTGAGGTGGAGGGCATCTAGAGAGGCAAGGGTAGCTGTGTGTGTGTGTTTGTGGTGGTTAGTGAGATGCTGAGGGAAGGGGGGGGGTAGGAGGGAAGAGGGAACGGTACCTTGGTCGGCGTAGGGGTCGCGGCGTCGCTTCCGGCTGGGCGGTGGGAGGTTTCTGAAATGGCGTGCTGGGAGGAAGGGGAGGCGTGTTAGTATTTGCGGTTTCTTTTTTAATTTTCAAATTTTCTTTTTTAACTTGATAGGGGGGGGGGGGGAGAGAACTTACCATCCTCGAACCTATAACAGCCATTTATCAATACTAAAACGTCATGCATAAATACTAAAACGCCGTATTGTGTTAGACAAACCAAACCAGCCCCGTATTTACAGTAGAAGTAGTAGAAGAAGGACATGCGCATACCTTCACGTAAGCAGGGCAAGGCATCTACTTGCCCGTGAAGCGAGCGGCCGTCATCCCTGCGGTCCTCGCTTCCTCTGCGCGGAAAATTTGGTCTCACGACTCCGACGGGCTCGATATGCCGAGCGATCACCTGCCGTCCGTCCGAGCCGATGCCCCACAGCAGCTCAGGAACAGAGGGCAGCCTCATGTCCAGCTTGGGGTAGGCCTGCGTCGCGACCTCCAGCGGCTCGTGGTACGGGTCGTTTTGTCGTGCAGCGTGGACTGGCTCCGGCAGCTCGGTGCGGAAGCGCTCGTCGTACATGACGATCTCGTGCGGGGGGGTAGGCATGTCGACTTTGGGCTTCGGGACGTATCGCGGGTCGATGATGAGGCTGCGGGAAGGGTCGTTGTAGTCGCAGGGCTTGGGGAGCTGGCTGCGCGTTAGCCGGTCGTAGGACGGGGCCTCTATTGGTCTGTCAAGACGGTCCTCGCCGTCCTCAGGTTGCCGGTACTGGCCTGCTAGCACCTGGATGCAGATGGAGGTGGCTTCCTCGAGCTGGCTGATCACGAGCGAGCAGTGGCGGTTCAGCCGGTAGTAGTCGGCAGGGCGATTCTGATTCTTTGTGTCTGGACAGTTAATCTGTTCTCGAAGCCAGCCGGATTCGTTAGCCTTCATCAAGAAAGTATCCGCGTTCTTGAGCGAAAGGTGTAGTTTGGTAGTCAAGAGGAGATAGACCTGGTCGTGGAGGAGAGGTACGTTTGGGAATAATTCGCGGCCTTTGGAGGATTGTAATCGAGTGAGATTGTCTTGCATGGACTGGATTCCTTCGACTAGGTCATCAATATCCTTCCATAGGTTCAGAGGAGGAGGAGATCGATCTGGCGTTGCGTGCGCTAGACAAGAGCAATGTATCAGTGCACCTAAGGAGGTCAAGGCCTCTGTACAACTCACATGACATAAGACCTATGGAATGGAGTTGGAGTTGTTGCGAAGGTTTTTGTTTATCATAAAGTAACCTGAAATCAGTGATGTTTCGAGTTGGACGATAATAGGGCTACCTCTGCTTTGGGTTGGTTTCTGGTCTCTCCTATGGCACTGAATGATGGAGGACGATGCTACGTATCTTCGTTGAATATAGAGCTAAAATGGAATACTCAGAAGTGATCAAAGTTCCAAAGGAGAACCGTGGTCATTGCTGTAGAGAATAAACCCCAAAATATGCCCAAGATTTCCAAGATGGAAAGGTATAAGGGTAACTTGAACGACTACTAGAGACTTAGAACTGGCTGGCGATGTGAATGAGTTCACTGGCAATATCTTGGAGTAAACAGGACCTCATGGGCAAGTTCCCAGCACTCAAAAATTAAGCTTCTACGCAAGCTTTTGTTGACTTCAAGGCTGTTGCTTTGGAAGGGGTCAACACCTAGGTTACCAAGGTAGTCACTTATTCATCATATCCAGTGCTCTTTCCAAGGTTTCTCATTTTGTAGGATGCTAATCATCGCCTTATGATTCAATGCGTGGTAGGCAAACTACTCAACTTTACAACGCCTGGGTAGATAGTATGTTCTACTGATTGAAGAAGATCGCCATTATCCTCATTCTACCCCCTATTCTTGCCAAGCCTTCTTCACCCCCTAACACGACAAAGTCCCCCAAAATCCATCAAATCCAGAATGATACGAATGATAGAAGGAGAAGAAGTTATCCCTTTGATTTGTTTGGCCAAATAGTTAAATCGAAGTGTTCGAAGAAAACCCAATTTCAAGCCACCACTACAACTAACCCCTATCTGGATCCCAGGGCTCGAACCATCAGCTACTTAACAACATCAACTTTTTCAATTTTCTTTTTCTTGTTCCTTCCCTCCCTCTAACGCGCTAAAATTCATGTATTCTTACCAGGTAGGTAGGTAGTTAACCTACTGACTGCTCTGTCAACGGAAGGGCCAACTAAGCCCCAACTTACTCACTTTAGGCCAACACAAGCAGAAGCTGCAACAATTTATTTTAAATTTCATTTCATTTTCTCATAGATTTCCCCCAGGGATCCAAGATACTCGAACTACAACTTGATGCGTCCCATAGACTCAAAATCATAGAAACACATTCGAGAATCAATCACAAGTATCCCCAAGCAAGCCTCCTGTAAGGCTTTTATCTCAAGGCAAACCCTCATCTAAACCACCTCACTATAACAGGAGCCTTGTTGAAGCACGACTCCTTAATGCTGAAAATCTTTCCTTATCCATGTAGAACCCATAACCCCACCTAACCTCTCTTACTCGGTCTTGATTCCCTTAACCTACAACCCGTGTCGCTCCGATTTGCACCGATGCTAGAAAGACCAAACGCCACAGAACGAGATCCCTTTATCGACCTAGACTCAATAATCCTTCAATGTACTTTCTCGTATCCACGCCAATGCCCTGGGCAAGACGACTCGCTCCTTCTGTCCAGCTACCGCCCCCTTCCGCATACGAGCTACTCAATCCTCTAAGCCTGGTATGCTCGCCCGCCCGGCGGATGAGGAAAATCTCTTTGCTGACTTTCTCTCTATGTTGCGTATCCTTTACCTGACTGTACCGGGAGCTTAGGCTATTGACTGATTTGCTATGACGCAGGCTTTCAGCTTGACCAGCATCTGAAGAGCCGTGTGATCGTGTAGGAGGCGGAGAATTGTCCTTTTCCATAATGCGTGTCCATACGATCCACCAGCCGCGACTAGTCTTGCAGGTGCGCTCTAACTCGGCCGAATTCGACAATGTTGCAATATACGTATTGAGAATCTGATTGTGAGTATTGATTGCCTCGATACGTGACCAGACTGATCGGGTGTTTTCTTGTACTGCCTGTCCCAGTGTAGGTATGCTTGGAATAGTGGAATGTACTGTCATAGCTTCTGGATCCCAAATGAGGTCAAAAATGTGGGATCCTACCGGACCAATATCTGGTCTTCCGGGACGGTAGGCTGTCGATGTAGCCAGAGGGTTTCGAAGAGGCACAAGCTGCTGGTGCAGTGATCGGTACAAGCCATCCCAGGCCAAGGAATCGGTCCTGTTACGGAAAAGAAATGTATATATGAAGGGTTTATGGACGTATACCACCACTCGTACTTTTTCGGTTTTGTTCCGATCTTGACTTTCGAACGGTGCTGACTCTAGTGAACCTTTTTGACTAGAGCTTGTCGCTGATGGCTTTCTGTCTTGGCCCCCAAGGTCCCTACTCATCTCATCTTCAGTGCGATTTCCATTCTCGAGCTCTACAGTAAGAGTCCGCAGCAAGACTCTCGAGTTATACTCAGCTTGCTCGAATGGTTGGTCAGACTCTTCTCTACTTTCGTCTTGCTCGGCAGTACCAGTATCATCAACGTCTCCTAGGAGTCCAATAAGATACTGACCCGAATCAATGCTAAGCGCTTTGGACGGATATATATCCTTCTTAGTCGCGTCTCCCAGTGCCGCCCCATCTGGGCCAACTCCCCCGGCACCACCTAATGTCCAGTGAGTGCCGTAACCCATCTTAAAGTAAGACATAAACCTGTTAACGCCACTATCGTCCGTCACTTCTTCTCCGTTACTCGGAGACGCCGTTCCTGATGTATCTGGAGCGGAAGATTGGCCTTGGGAGCCTCTTCGGGGTGTATCGATTGAGCCTTGAGCCTCGGGAGCTACTTTGGAGGTCCCTCGCGTATGCTTAATGCTGGGCTTCCTCGATTTTCTAGTCTGGCGTATCGAGGCTGGGCTATCTCTAACTCCGTAGGCATCCTCGCCCCAAGCGTAAATATCCTCCATCCAATGGGTGATATCACGGAGCGAATTTTTCGATAGAGTCCCGACGCCTAGAAAAATAGCACCGTCCTCGGCCCCTGGCTCTTCGCCAGTTCCAAGCCATTTTAGCAAGGGATCATTGGCCGATTTGGGGTTATTTGAGGGATCCTCGCCGCCGTCAGATTCGGAAGGACCAAATTTGGAAACGACCAAGTCAAGCAAGCCTTCGACTCTATCAACAAAACCCTCGAGCACCTCTCTCTCACCACTCCCCCGGTCTTCTTCCCCCACACCAACGCCAAGCTCGCCGCACGCAGCAATTTTAATTCCCCCAAACACGTTGGTAGCGGGGTTGCCGTGTAACATGACATCCCAAGTGGATAGAAAAAGGTCCCAGTACCGACTCAAGATGCTGACAAACCTAGACCTCTGTGATCGGACAAACAAGGCACTCAGGGAGGCGGCATGATGTAACAGGAAGATAGAATGTGCGCGGAGCAGATCTTGCATGAGCAAGGCTGTGGGTTTGACTTCCCGCGAGGAAAACTCGACATTTTCGGAGCGGTTATCTTTCTGGTTTGGCAAGGGAGTTCCCAATCTCGGTGGTAAGGGTAGTCTCGTCAAGTCAATAGACTAGAAAGATAAAACGTGTCAGTCCTTTCCCATTTCAATATTTCAATAGAAGAAGATCATGCTGAAAATATGTAAACGCTCATGCTTACAGCTAATATCCACCAGCCAGGCTCGAGTTCGTGAAGCACGACGCGACTCTTCTCCGTTTCTATAGTATCGAGGGGTTTACCATCAGCGAAGCCACGACTGAACTCGACCATTCCCTGTGCCAGGCCAATCTGCCGTAATCGTTCGTTCCGTTCATCCTGAGATATGATATCGGCAAGTTTGCCGCGCGAGCGATGCCGTCGCTTCTTTGACTGGGTGTTTACGGAGGCATAGTAAACGATCTGGTCGTCAATGGTGTCGTCGGTGGTGCCTAGCGATGGATTGAAGATTGCTAGAAAACCTAGCTGAGCTGGTACGACGGTGGTCAGAGGAGGAGTTGGGTTGGCCATTGGGGAGACGGGTTAGGTATTGTTGCAAGCATGGGTAGGACTATCGAACGTATCGAACCTATCAAGCCGATCGAGGTGAGCTACCACCAAGAAGGCCATGCCAGATTAGTGATGCATGGAGACCTAGGTAGGCAATAAGAAGCTCAACTGAAAGATACCTAACAATGGACCCTATGCAGCTAATATGTTGTGTATGGTTAAGATATCTCTGGGCTATATTATGTTATACTATGTTAAAATGCATATCAAAGCTTGTGTATAACTCATTAAATGAATAATATCATTATATCATTAAATGCACCAAAATCAAGATTCAGACAGTGCATATTATATGGGTTCATTTACTTTTCAATAACATTGAACCTTCGGAATTTACGTGAAATTAACTACAGTACGTACTCCTATTATTGTAAATCTCCTTCGTGTTTTCGTTTTCAAGCGTCGATCTTTAGGCCATCTAAGAGACCCTTATCTAGATTGCATCGAAATTATCTCCGAGTCCCTATCTACATACGTAGTAGTCTCTGCCTATTTACTTAAGAAAATTCGTCATGGACTCAGTGTTGTAACTAAAAGTCACTCAGGCGAGTAATATGCTCCCACGGCTTCATATCATCAATCACCTTCTGCGCACTCTTCGCAATCTGCTCATTTGCATCACTGCCCAGCGGCAAGAACCCTGGAAATTCGCGACCGGCGGCCACACCAGAAGACGTGACGACATCGTAGATGATTTTCGCGCCCTTGACCGGGTCGCCGGCCTGGTTTCCGTCGAAGGCGGCGAAGTTGCGCTCGGCCGTGGCGTTGAGCTCTGCGTAGTCGGCGATGCGGGTGGCGTGATTGGTCGCCGCCATGTTGCCGTCGGGCTTTAGGAGCTCGGTGCGGAATAACCCCGGCTCGATAAGACAGTGCCGGATCCCGAAGTCTCGGACCTCTTCTGCAAGGCCCGTCGTCAGGTACCGCAGCGCCGACTTGGAGGCGTTGTACATGTTGCACCCTGGCATGGTGTACCAGGCAGCCATGGAACCGATCGTGACAAGGGTGCCGGCTCGCTTCTGCCGCATGTGTGGCAGCACGGCGCGGTAGACATTGATAGGCCCGAAAGTATTAGCTTGAAACTGCTTTAATGTTTCCTCTGGTGTCATTTCTTCCACGGTGCCGGTTTGCACGTAGGCGGCATTGTTGACGACCACATCGATCGTGCCGTGGATATTGATGATGTCATGGATCGTGGCCTGGAGCTGTGGTAAAGGCTCGTTGTGATCCAGGCGAACCGCAGTAATGCCGGCCAGATCACTGATCTTTTGCGGAGATCGGGTAGCAGCAAAGACACGATCCCCACGACTGGCCGCCACTTTAGCTAGCTCTAGCCCGAAACCAGAGGATGCACCGGTGATGAGCCAAACACGGGACGTGGCCATTTTCAGTAGATAGGTTTAAAATGATCTAGATGTGATTTAGAGAGCGATGCTGATTCGAGGATGTAGGCTTGTCTAGAGACAGCGTAGTCTTTTTGGATTTACCCAAACACTGAAGGCCGAAATAATGGAGAGAAGTCTCGGTTCATAGTAATCGGTTACGAATACCGTAGATAATTGTCATTGATGGTATACAGGCAACATTATATATCTACTGACGTTTTTCTAAACACCTAACCGATAGAGTGTAATCGCCTAGGTGACCACCCAGGTTAATCACCTAACGCCGAATAGGATGTAGAGCGGGGGTGCCTCTACTCAAGTTTGCCAATCTTTCTCTGTATGTATGTAAGTAGGTGCGAAAAACGTCACGAAAACCTGTCGAGGGATATGATTTATACCAGAATGCAGTTCCGAAATTCGTTGAAAGGGCCCACTTATGTATATAGGGATGGGTCCTTCCGTCCAAGGTTCATATCGTCTCGAGTGGCTTGAGCGGTGATGATATAGACCTTGATAGTGTAGAGTCGTCATCGTCATGACTTGCTGATCTATGTCTTGGAGCCCAAGTACAGGTGTCAGTGGCTTCAACAGGTCATAGAGTCCTCCAAGAGAAATGAACAAAGATACGCTGTAGAGAAATGCCTATAAAGCATGGAATTCTAGCCAGGTCTAACAGATAATTCTACTCGCCTTCATGCACCAACACAGTACGACACACACGCACACACACACACACACAATTCCATTGACAATTATTCCCACACACTCATCATGCCTACCGAAGCTCAAGTCGCCGGCGGCCACAAGGCCAACTTGAAAAACTCTAACTCCAGCAAGGAGTCTAAGGAGCATTCGAAAGAAGCCCTCGAGAACGAGTTCAATGGCGGTGATGGTGAGTGTTGACTTCTACCATGGAAAACTCAGTTACCTAATATAGTTTTTAGTTCCTCACGCCGGAGACAACGAAGACAAAAACCCAGGTAACGTCGCTGGCGGTCTCAAGGCGTATGTACTACTTGATCGAGACACTATTTTGTGGTGCTAATATCTCTTACTAATATTGATGATAGAACACTCAAGAACCCCAACGTGTCTGATGAGGCCAAGCAGAGTGCGAAGGAACGTCTTGAAGATATGTAAGGTGTTAACGGGATGTCGCCTAGAGGATGGTAATCAATTAGTGCTTGGAGCAGTTTGACAGCTTATAACATCGACCATTCAATTTACACATATAAAACCTATGCCATGCAACAAACCTACTGCACTTGCGAATAATTTCAAGCCTATGTTAAACAAGTATAGCTTTGCCAATGAAACGAGTGTTCGTAAATTCTTGGAAGTCTTTGGAACTGGTAGTACTAGCAGTTCTTGGTATTTAAGGCCATTCCAGTAATTCACCTCATGTCATCAGAACTTAGCCTATCACACATACACGAATTAGATTCAGTCACTCATATATAGTTGTCGTCGCTTCGTAGCATACCGCTATCCACACCCACTAGTTGTAATGCAATACGTGATATATCCATTCAATAGATCTTGTCCACCGACAGGAGCATCTATGAAATCTACGTACATACGGACCTGCATACCCTAGGTACATACTTTGTAACAATTAGGCCACGTGATACCTTATGAAACAATTAATGCCCCCATTTCTTTCCAATTTTTGGATTGTGCAAATCTATATAATCTCGTCATTATCCCCTCGAGACCCAACACCGGGCTTTTTAGCGCCCCCCATTAAAACCTCACACGGGCCAGGCTCGCTACCAGCTTTTTACCATCGACTATGTACCGGTTCAAATAATAGGCGCGTTTTTACGTGTAGCAGCAACGCGTGGTACTTAATTTTTTGGTCCCGTTTGTACTCATCCTTCAACGCTCGAGAAACCTTCTTAACGACGACACCGACGGCAATGGGTTTAATAATAACGATATGTTGCTTATTTGTTTTAATATATTTAGGTTAGCGATAGGAGAGCCAGCCAAGTCGTATACAAGCTGTTGATTTATTTAATTCTAAATATAATTAATAAAAGTGGCATAAGTTAATCGCTTGACTTTTAAATGCCTTATTCAAAAAAAGACGCGTACAAGTATCAAAAGTTTAATTGATTTTTCTCTTCGAAGTAGTGTACAAAATGTTCAAAATAAGCTCAGATAAATATATGGAGAGTAGGTCCAAGCTCTTGTATTTTATTCGCCAGCGAGGCTCAAAATATGGGGGGCGCTAAAAAGCCCGGTGTTGGGTCTCGAGGGGATAACATATCGACCATGACCGCAACTTCAGGGGAACCAAATTGTGCTACAAACATCAGCATTTACAGTGGAGTCAAAAGGAGGTTCGTTCGTAGTGCACTATACAATGTCGTGTACGGTAATCGAATCAGGACATGGACTTGAATCTTATAGGTGGATATGTTGGGAAGAATTGTGGAAAGGAAGAAAACGTAAGGCTTTCTCAGTTGCACTCCTATTTTATTGCTAATTGGATTGCTGGGTAAGGGGTCACTATGATCAGGTGATTTGAAGTTCGACGAACGAGGTTGATCCATTGATCTGAGCCGTCGGGAAATATCTTGTGGTCGCGCGTCATTAAGTCATTTCGGCGTTTAGGAGTCTCGGCACGGTGCAGTGCCTCTTGAAGATTGCGCGTCAGATAGTAGGGGCTGTGTAAGTTGTATGTGTTGAAAAAGCAAAAAAATGAAGTCAGCATCGTTATCATTACTGAAAACGGGAGTAAACGCAACGCGGCATGCTACGAATCAATATTCCTAAGAATCTCGGAAAGGAATTGCGAATAATTGGCGCTTCTGTCAATCAGTTGTACATAAACGTAGCACTAACATGCCAATCTTGAGAAATTCTCGACGGCTAAAGACTAAAATGTTGCGAATGTTGCGATAATGGAGAAATGGCGAGATAGCAAATCAGAAAACAAGATTTCGATTTGTCGGTACGTCCTCGGATGTTACAGTATCTTGATCCAGAACATCTACTGAATTCTATTGGCTCCTATTGACCTAATACCCACTAAACAAAGCCCCTGCCTCCCTGTCCGTCCTGAGCCTTAGTGCGACTTATTTTGGGGGAGGCGCGCAGACGCACAGGCGGGGTGCTGAAGCTGGGGAGCTAGTACCTTTTTGACAGGGGCCAGTAGGGTACACAGCAGGGTTTAACGGGCGCTTTCAGCCAACCAAAAGACCAACCTCATTATTTTCGTCACCAGCCACTCAATTCAAGCAATTCAAGCCCTTCAAACCCACCTGCCCGCCTCAATCCGGTACCTAAGGTATGGAACTTTAATGGATACTACTACCGCTACTACCACTTTCTATCACTTCTGCGAGCCGCAAACCTGCAAGTCATCGATTCTTCTTTCTGCATTCTGCTGCACTCTTCTGCTTCCGCGGTCTTGGTCCAATTACTATCTTCTTCTATTTTCATAATATTGGATTGTTAACTGGATTCTCTCCTTCTTCTCGTTTTATTGGGCCTCATCAAAATAATCCATTTCTTCTCATTTTACTTTTTCCTTCTTCCGATCCTTTCAATAGCTCCAATAGCTCGTATCCATCTTCCCGCTCTTTAACATCACCAGCAACCAGTGACCGGCAACCACCTAAGCATACCCCATTTTATTGCCCATGGGGTCGTGGTAAAAAAAAAAGAAAAGAAACGAAAAGAAAAAAAGTCCAAAGTCAACAAAGGCATTGAACTTCAACCGTCGAGCCGAGAAATCGATATACTATTGCTGCCTAAAGCCTCCACCACTCCTCACTATTCACATTGTTCAACTACCTATCTGATTTACCTTCGACGCCGTTGAATGCCCATTGATAGTGCAAACTCTCATCACAAGGCTACTGGCTAGTCTCCCTTTGTTCGGTTATTTTTTTGGGAGAGCTGGTAGAGATTTTGGACCAAAATGGCGGCTAAAACTAAGCCGTCTAATCCGTTAAACGGTATGCACACGGCCGGTATCTTTTCTGATATGAGCATCGATGGGCCTGAGATTGGAACACTCGTCTTGATTATCGACCGTGCGAAGAACCTGCCAAACAGGAAGACGATTGGCAAGCAAGATCCCTACTGTGCTGCCCGGTTGGCAAAGGAAGCGAAGAAGACGACCACAGATATCCGAGGCGGTCAAACTCCAAAATGGTATGTATATGATACCATGACAATCCTTTTATGCTTTCTTCTAATCATGGAATATATGGTGTAGGGATCAGGAGCTTCGATTCTTAGTTCACGACTCACCCGACTACTATCAATTGAAGCTATCGGTATTCAACGACGATAGAAAAACTGAATTGATTGGTGAAACGTGGATCGACCTACGCGATATAGTTATACGAGGCGGTGGTCAGAGTGACCAATGGCACACCCTAAACTGCAAGGGAAAATACGCCGGCGAGATCAGAATTGAGATCACGTATTACGATAGTCGTCCCAAACCCGAGAAATCAGCTGCACGCAAGCTGAGCAATATAGCTCTAAATTCTGACCCTGAACCTGTTATCGGGTCTCAGAAGACAGCAGTGAAACGGCGTCCTTTGCCGTCTGATCCTGTCACCGGTCAAGCCCCTCCGCCCCCAGTTGTAGAGCCACTACCTACGCCGTCGCGGCCTCAGCCAATCCCCCCCACTTCATTCGCACAAAGCCAAACATCGCTCCAGGCATTCGACTATGGCACATCACCCTCTAGGTCCAGTCATCAACTCGATCAATACCCTCCCGCCCAGTCTAATGGAGGCCAATATTCGACACCACCTCACAGAACGGACCATCATCTACAGCATCGACCCCTAGATAGGAATTATCAGATCCCCCCTCATGAAAGTGAGCATCTACGCCACCAAGAGTCTTCCTATGCTCGAACGTACGATTCAGATCCTAGAGCTTCTTTCAACCATATCCAGCCTAGTTACGAGTCTGCCTCACCTCCGGTTCATCACTCTCGGAAACTAATTGACAATGGTGACCGACCTCCACCCCCGCCAGCACATCGAGTTAGAAACTCGAGTGCTACCTCGACTGAGTTGGTACCTCGCGGAAATTATGACATGACTCAGCAGAAAGCTACGCCGCTTATGAGACACGATGTTTTACGTAACGAGGCACATCGTTATTCGGTGTCCTCCCCATCGTCAGCTTACCCAGGTCGGCCTACATACCGTCCGTACGACTCAGCGCCAGACATGCAGAATACGACTCAATACCATGAGACTGACCTTGTTCAACAGTCAATCCCACGGCATTATTCCTATGACTCGGCGGTGTATGAGCCCCAACATCGATCAATGCAGCCGACAGTGGAAGATGTTCCAGAGTCCTGGACACCACCAAGTGTTAGAAACCGAATGAGTGGGTCTCGGGCTCCCCAGTACGATGAACGAGAATACCAGCAAGGTTCAAGTCCTGCTCCCTTGAATATCGGCGGCCGTGGCAGCGCGGTATCTGAACGTTATAGTCCTAGTCCTCTTCAGACCCAACAGCAATATGACTCGAACCACTACAGCCCCTCCCCATCACCAATAGCTACCGAGGATTATTCCCAAGCACTAACACTGGTATCTCGACCGTACGGGAGACAGAACGACCACTCTTGGAGCTACCCTAGTGAGTTGGAAGATAACCAATTTCAAGGCTCGAATAACTACGATCTACAATCAGTGCCTCCGACACTGGTCCCAGGAGTGGATCCGGCTATGGCGCGTGAGATGTCAGATCGATACCACCAGGAAAGGAGCCATGGTGGACGCCGATATACCCAACCTCCTCCCGTGAACACCACAACCCGTGGTAGACAACACAGCGAGCCCCCGTCAAATTATCTCGTTAAGTACTCACCCAATGTTCACCAACAAAGCAACCCAAGAGCCTACGACAGAAGCCCAGGTAGACATTCTGGCAGAGGACCATCACCAATTCCGCCGATGGCTCGGGAAGTCTCTCCGAACCCAAGTACTAATCACATGATCAAACGCAAATCCGTCAGTCCGGCGCCTCCTCCATCTGATGGACGACGATTGTCTGGAGTGCCTTTCGGTCCAGATTCTTACGATGCCTTGAACCCGGTGGTATCATCAACGAAAGAGGCATCGAACTCTACGGAGTATACCAATGCAGACGGCAAAATAGTGACGCCAGATGGCCGCGAGGTTGACCCATCTGATCACTTGCCCATGGACACGTGGGCGCCGGAGCCCGAGCCGAAGAAGCCACTCGAAACGCCCGAAACACGATCACGTCCAATACCTGCAGGTGCTCAACCGATGCCACCTTCAGGCCGACGTGCACCTCGCGTATCGCCACGACCGCAATCGGTAATCGCTCCTTCAACTGCCTACTCTGGCCCCGAATCTTTAGGGCCTTCTCCTGGTAGCGCTGGGCGTAATCGCTTGCAGAAGAAGGCGCATCGAGCATCAGCCTTGCCAGCACCAATTTCGTCAGGCATCAGTCCACTTGGTCCTTCAACGCCTCATCAACGTAACAGTACACCGCCACGGGCTCTAGTCCGCGCAAGCACATTCGACTACGAGAATCATAACCAAGGCACTGCTCGCTTAGGATACGGTAGCGGGCCACCAATCCCGGCTAAGATACCTATGATGAGTGGTGGCTTGGGGCCATCAACAGGCCGAGGTGACGACGAATGGGCTCTCATGGAGGAAATGAGTAGAATTGACCTCGGCTCAGGGCGAGCACGACGACACGGTAGATATTGAGGATACGAAGAATGAAGTATCACGATTCTAAAAGTGAGGTGAAGGCGTTGTATACTAATGTTTATTTTCTTTCCCTGGTGTGAAACTATGGAGACACGGTGTCTATTGTTTTGTTGCCTTTACTCTTGTCTGTTTACTTTTGCTTCCCTTTCCGCTGGTTTCTTGTCCGGTATATTAGGAAAGGTACGGTGATTTTCTCATTTCAGTCAGGGTGTTCAAGGTTTGAGAAAGGGTCGATGTCGCGGACAAATCTGTAAGCACTTGTGGGCAAGATGTATGGAAAGGGGGAAAGGAAGGATGAAGGAAGAAAAAATATCTTGTAGTGTGGATTTCTATTCCTTTCCCTAGGTACCCACATTTTTGGAGGCGGAAGGATTCGAGGAACGAAAAGAAAGGAAAGAAGGAAAAACACGTCGCACTTGTTGGAAAACTTGGGCTTTATACTACTCATGCTTCTTCCTCTCTCTCCCTTGGTCGAGATTGACTATATTTGGTGAGTCGATATATAGTGGGGGCGAGGATGAAGAAGATAGGGGTGAACCAAGAGGTAGTAGATGTCGGGGAGCTCGGCTGCTAATGGTAAAACATAATGTGCCCAGTGGCTCCTATGTCTACTAAGGGATAATGGGTTATGGGCGATTGCCTAACCTACCTACCTAGTTTCACGTATCCCTAAAAATACAAAATGATCTAAAAAATAATCCGTATCTGTTTGCGAGAGTGCTGTGACGTGTAGTAGAGACTAGAGAGGAGCCTACCACCTACTTACCTAGGTAATGAACGGCGGCCCTTGCTTGATGTAATATGTGTTGCTGCCCAGGTGTACGGACTAGGCTGGTCTCGTATGTAGGTACAGTACGAATAATAAAAGATATGCCCTACCTAGCTAGATAAGCAAACAGTGAATCGAAGCTTCAAGTCTACCTAGTATGGTTATAGGCACCTAATAAGTAGGTAGGTATAGCTTCGCAATACGCTTGGTTTACACTTAATGAACTAGGCTAGGCACTATCTACACAGGCAGGTGCTCTGGCTTGAAAAGGGGCGTGGGGCACGCGATCACCCTTTTGATCTTTGATATTTCCGATATAGATTTAATTTAGGTAATGTTGATAAACATAAAAGTTGTATCTAGGTTAGTAGATTCCCGGGCATGTATGTAGTCGTGAGCTTTTCAATATCACCACCACCTCTAGGAGGATTTTTTATAGTGAATGAAGTCAATGTATATGGTAGGTGCAGTAATCAAGGATTCTTATCACGGCTAGGCACTGAAGGGACGGGATCTCCAAGAAGATATTGACCTGTTGTTCTGTCCTGTTTGGCTTTATCTTGCTCTACCTAGTTTACCTATCTATGTACACCTACATACACTTAAACCTACTGTACATCTAGTACACACCTAGATAGGTAATAAATAGAGTTGATAGGTAGATAAATTAGATAGATTTCCATTCCACTGTATCCTAAATCGAATCGATGAACTTTTACACTACCTAGGTGCCTACATACTGTAGGTTGGTGCTTAAGAGAAGAAAAGAAAGAGAAAAGGGGCTAAGACTATGCCCCTCAAGGTTTACTTTTTCTGATCTCTTTATGTACCTAGGTAGATAACCTCCTTTTTTCCCCTTTTGGACCGGAAACCGGAAACGCCATCGCCATGCAACAAGCATATAAAAAAAAAGAAACGAAGTTCAACGAATTAGTTGACTGTTTCCTTCCTTCCCTATCCGTATCTCCACATTTACATTTGCCATTCTTGCCATTCGCCTCCCGTGTTTAGGGGCAGAAGGAGTAATCGTACGTATTTTCCCTTAACCCTAAGCTTAATCCGTACCAACAAGCAAGCTCCCCAACATCCCACCCGTTTGCATAGCGGTCTGAGCCCTCTCGACCTCGATGCGGACGCGACGGTGCAGCGTCTTGAAGCCGGTCTGGAGCTCTGTGCTACCGTCGACGAACTCGGCGTAGAGGTCGAGGAGGTGCATGGCGACGTCGACGCACATGCCGACGTAGCGCGGGTCCATGATGTGCACGTGCAGCCACTTGAGGATGGGCTGGACCGTGTTCTCGTCGCGGCCCTCGAGGGCGTCGCGCAGGGCGCTGCGGTGGCGCAATGCCAGGAGAACCGTGAGGACCGTTAAGGGGCTATGGTCCTTGGCTGTGGGGTCGAGCACGCGATCGAGAGCGGCGCCGTACCGGGCGTGCCGCAGGTCTTTCTGCCAGCGCGTCTCGTGCTTGGCCCTCGACAGGTCGTTGGCGATGACCACTTCGGTGCCCTCGCCCACCATGTCGAGCCGTTTTGCCAAGCCGTGGCGGCGCTTGCGCTTGTTCTTGGCCTTGTCGTGGGCTGCGATGGTGCCGGATAGAAGAGCGTCCATTTCCTTCTCGCGCTCGCGCTCCCTCGTGGCTTCGGGCCCCGTGAGCCGCGTGCGCAGCGAGAGAACGCCCGATTGCATGCCTACTGCCAGATGTCGGTCGTCGCCATTGGCGCCGGCAGTGATGACCTGCACGGAAAGGATCGGAGAGGGGTACTTGGCACCAGCGACCACATTCCAACCCGTCGTCTCGAAGATCTTGACGTGGCCATCCAGGCCACCAGATACTAGACGTCGACCGTTGGACGCGAGCGAAAGAGAAGTCACGGTCTTCTGGTGATTAGATATTATGTGCTGCGGCTTGGCGGCTACGAGGTCGAGGACAGAGATTTGGTTTTCGGATGAGGCGAGGACGGTGGTGCCAGAGGGGAGAGGGAGGACATCCTCGATGGGGGCAGCGTGCTTAAACGTCATGACGGCAGTGCCCGGCTTTCGAGGATCCCAAAGCTTGACTGTTGCGTCGTAACTACCGGAAACTATCATGTTGGACATGGTTCCAGGCATGAAGCTGCCGCTACGCACATAATCGTTGTGGCCTACGAATGTAGATGTGCTTCCCTGACTCGGTAGGTCCCATAACCGCACAGTCTTATCGTCGCTCGTGCTCATGAGAGTGGTGAGGTCGGCTGGCGAGAACTTGGTGGTCCATACGGGCTGTTTGTGCTGGGTCCACGTTTTGAGAATAGCTCGCGATCCGACATCAAACACCTGAATCTTGCCCGTGTCGTCACCGGCCACTACTATGCGTCCATCACGCCGTACATCTCCGCTCCGTGCTATGTCTCCAAAACGTGTGATTGTCTTGACTAGTTTCCTCGTCCTTATGGAATATATCTGGACGCGTGTTCCAGTAGTAACGGCGAAGTAGTCATTGTTGGACGAGCCTACTGTTGCTGGATTCGCAGCGGGGACGGTGATGTGAGTGATGGGGTATTGAGTCGGAGAAGGAAGCACAAGTTGATTCTTAAATGTCTTCCAATATCGTTGTTCTGCAGTGATTGGAGAAGGCCCTGCCGGGAGCTTCAGCTGTGGAAGTGGCGCAACTTCTGCTGCCATCTTTTAAAATTTTCGTCGCTGTCGTGTGCTTCCCGTTTTCAGTTGAAGAAAAGAAAGAATTTGGAGTTGCGATTGATAGTCAAACCCAATCAACTTTTTTTTTTTTTACATTTCTATCTAAACTAGTTGGGGCTTAGTTAGTGTAACGTGATAACGATCTCGATAAGATGAGGTGTGGCTGGAACATGGATGTTGCCAGTGATCCACCCAGCAGCTAAAGATGCCTCGGCAAGTTTAAGGCGTGAGACAAATCGCATATTAAGACCTCGACTATAAGGAAGGAAGCAAAGGATTATTTCCATTTATTTTGCATCTTTAACATCTTTAACATTTATCATAAACTTCAAGTTATTAATAAATTACATGAATATTTAAAACATAATTTAAACTACTATAAACCATGTCTGAAATCATTAAGGGGTACTCCGAGTTCAAGCACTTTCTTGTTACATCTCCCTCTGAATTTGTGGCTCATGTCGAGATCAATCGAGCTCCTAAGCTAAATGCGTTCACGGAGGAAATGTGGATTGAGCTAGGAAAGATATTCGCAAAATTATCCTACGATCCAGACGTTCGCGCCGTCGTCTTCTCTGGCGCCGGCGACCGAGCTTTCACAGCTGGTCTAGATGTGCACGCAGCTAGTCAGGGAGGCATTCTCAAGAACACTGGCGGAGAACAGGATGGGGCAAGACGAGCCACAAAGCTACGACGCAGTATCCTCGAATTTCAAGACTGTATAAGCCAAATAGAGAGATGCGAAAAACGTGAGTTTCGATATAACCATTATTTGGTATTCCCACTCTGAATTGACTAATAAACTGTTAGCTGTTATATGTGTTACCCATGGCATTTCACTCGGCTTGGCCATCGACTTGGCATGTTGTGCCGACATTAGAATCTCCTCCAAAGATGCCAAGTTCTCTGTCAAGGAAGTAGATATTGGTATGGCCGCAGACATCGGGACTCTGAGCAGATTGCCGAAGATCGTCTCTAGCTTCTCATGGGTGAAGGATGTCTGTTTGACTGCTCGAGGGTTTGGTGCTGATGAGGCTCTTGCTGTTGGTTTTGTCAGTCGAGTGCTAGAAACGAAAGCCAAAGCCATCGAGACTGCTGTCAACCTTGCGTCTCTTATATCTTCTAAGAGTCCAGTCGCCATCCAAGGTACAAAAGAACTGCTGAACCATGCTAGGGACAACAGTGTTGCGGATAGTAAGTGTGATTCCGATGAACAGGTAGTTCCATCGTTAACAGAACTAGGTCTGAAATATACAAGTGTGTGGAACCAGTCGATGCTCCAATCCAACGACCTGAAAGACGCTCTACTGTCAGGGCTGCAGAAGACGAAACCAATATTTGCGAAGCTATAAATTGATACTGGTAAAAGGTGCGCGGAATAGTAGGTATTACTCGTTTCGAGTATAGTCGAAATCTATTTACAGGTTATGTGGATTCTCCGTTCAAGAAGCTTCGAATCCATAAACCGTTATATATCTAATGTACTACTAGACTTAGTCTTGACAGAATGAAAGTGGTCTAACGGGTTTTCTATTTGACATCCTGATCAGAGTCGGAGTCGCCCTCAACCTCGGGGACGTTCTCTCTTAGACGCTACGATACGTTAGTGGTTAGCCAGGAATTATAAGAACAGGAATTATAAGAACAAGAATCGTATGGAAAAGTCAAGCATACCATATCGAGTTCTACTTTCAGCTTTGCCACCATGTTGTCTTTAACCACAAGATGAGTCTCGTCGAGGTCCTCGATTATGTATTCATTGTCTTTGCTGTCGATGTTGATGATGATTGATTTGATCGAGGGATCACATTCGACCAAAGTGCCTAACAATGCAAGTAAGTATTCGTATAATATACCCTAGGTAGTCAGTCGACTGACTGCAGGAACAGTAACAACCTTTGATAGCCCGAACCATTTTGGGGTTCGCTTCCGAAGTCAGAATGAATTTTGGGATGGTTTATAAGTCGTATATGTAGTTCGTGTACGTATACACGTATAAATGCTTGGCTACAGGGTACGTAAGGAGGCACTCCGTTGTTATGTAAATGATCTCTTTGATGGGATCACGAGATTGCGCGAGTGTCCTAAGTCTAGGTAGAGATAAGCAATGGTCGGTCAAAAGTAGCTGGAAATATTGATCCACATAAAAGATCTTAGCCCCGTTGAATAACAAAAAAATAAAGTTTAGGGCGTAGTTAGACTAAGATAGAAACCTTGGCAACTCGGTTCTTTGTACATCCATGGATACTACTAGGTACTAGGTAGGCAGCCTTGGTACAATAGGTACCTAGAAGAAAGAAGTCGGAATCGACTCAAATAAATCACTTTACTTGAAGGATATAGAATAAAAAGACGAGTTCAATATGCAAGTTATATTGTGGAATACATATATGGCGCTCAGTATCCGAAGCAAGTTACCCAAAACTACTACTGGTACAAGTATGTAAGCACCTAGGTAATAAATATATTGGATGATTTCAACTTTCATTCATCTCATCATTGATGCATTCGATGTTACTTAGGTTAGTAGGTAGGTACTAGGTACGCAACATTGAAGTACATGTGCGTGTATGTACTTACTACACATGTACGTAACCGAAGCTGCGGGGCTGTGATGACGGGACTGCGGGTTAGGTACGGTACCAACTAGGTAGGTAAACAGGTTACTAAGGTCGTTAAGCTCGCAAATTGAAACCGCTGACGTTTACGTATGCGTCGGGCGGAACAATAAGTTCAAGTTTTTGATATGCAGGGAAAAAGTAGGTATCACCTACATGGAGTATTGTACATACATATGTATGCCTACCTACCTAGTAGTAGGTTAGTACTACCTAGTAGGTAGTACATAGGTTAGTAGTAGTAGGTAAGGGACTGTATTGTACAATACAATACCTAGTACATTACCCTAGGTACATTACCTAGTGGGATTTCAGGGTCAAACTCTATATTCCGAGCCTACCGAGTCCCCAAGTTCCCAATTTTCAAGCATTTTCAATATTATTTAAACACCAAGCTATTTAAGCATTACCTGCATCTACTATCACACATATCTACCCAGGTACACAACTAATAATCAACAGGTAATCCTGAAGAAGGAGTCAGGAGTCTGTTCAAGTTATTATATGTTATATACATACATACCTACATATTGGCCAAGAGGAACTTATTCCCCATCCACACATCCCATCTATTGTTGGTCCATTCATAAATGCATTGTCATCTGTGAACCGCCAGATGCAGTTGAGCTGCCGTCGACGCTTTCTTGCAGATCTCTCCCCATGTGATGCATTCTGAGATACCGCAGCGTTACAAGGCCGACACCATACCATACCACCATACCACTTGATGATACTTGATACTACTCAAGCCCATCACTTTTTATATGAATTCGCTACCCTCCATCAACACCTCGTGCCACAAAGAAACTCCGCGCTCTCTCCTTCTCTCTATCTGTCGCACTTAACATCCCTTTATCTCGTCAAAAATTATCTTGTTACTACTGGATATCTCGTATATTTTATTGTATTTACTTCATTTCTAAATACATACTGTATAAAAGTTACATCTTCATCCATCCTTGAAAGCCAAAGGAACCTCTCCAGTTTGGAGTTTGCAGTTACGACTCATTTCAGTCTAGGCGCTCAAGATGGATCCAAACGCCGACCAGAGCGACTCTGGGAATATTTTTGCAAACTATCCTTTCTCGTGGATACTCGTTCCGCTCATCATATTCGTCGGCGTTGGCACACTGCTTCTATGCTACCGATACCGCCGACGACAGAAGCTACGCATGCAATATGGCACCAGCGCCTTGGAACGAGATATAGAAGCTATGGGGCGGCGGTCGAGATCGCGGGTGATGCACGATCGGCGGACACGAGAACGCGGGCTCGGTATCGGAGTTGGTAGCAGAGAGGAAGGCCTGAACGAGCTAGGCGAAGCACCACCAGCTTATACGGCACCGCAAAAACGGCCCGATAACGGCGAGGACGTGGAACTATCTCCAATACAGCCACTATCAGGCGTGGCGGTGATAGATGGCGCTGGTACTAGCAGTCCCCCGACATATGACGAGCTACGTCAACAGCCAGCCCATCCACCACAGTCTACCGTCCCTACTCCAACTTCGAATATGCCAGAACCACCCCCGAGAGCAGTATTAGGCTCGAACTGATATTTCAAGTATATATTGATACACAGATGTAGGATGAAATGAGAATACATATTTATGTGGGACCATGGAGTTTCGGGATAGCATAACGGACGGGGCGGTTACACTTGTCTTTAAAAGAGATACGATGGGCGATGGATTCCGCTAATGGTACGCCGGGCTACACGGGTTATTGGCCTGTCTAGGATATCAGTGTGATACAGGTATAAAGGGAAAGGGGTTAGAATCTGCACGGGAGTTTGCTGCAGATCACCAGCATCAGGCGTATCTAGAACCTCCTTACAGTTTTTCTCGCTAGATATTAATTACTAGGTATCTTCTTACTCGGCCAACCTACCGAGAACGAGTTACTCGAAACAACTATCGATATTCTAATCTGTCTGCGTCTATTTTTCTCCGTGAACTCTCTCTTAACCGTAGATATGTTTATACACACCTAGGCAGTAACCTTGGTCGAGTATAATCTGTAGGCACCTAGGTAATTTAGGCAGGCGTCCCATTCTAGAACCTCTCCACTATAGCCGGCGGCTTGTTCTCCAGTATCTCATCAATCTTCTCCAAGATCTCAGGCGTCAGCTTATCCACGACCTCCAACGCCCGCACATTCTCATACACCTGCTCGGGCCGGCTCGCGCCCGTGATCGCCGAGCTGACGTGCGGGTTCCGCAGCACCCACGCCAGCGCCAGCTGGCCCTGCGTCACCCCCAGCTGCTCCGCGATCGGCCTCAGTCTATTAACGCGCGCGATGTTGGCGTCCCACGCCTCCTTGCCCGTCCGCCGCCAGTACCCCGCGATGTACTCGACCCCCTCCTGCGCGAAGCGCGAGTCCGGCGGCACGCCGTCCGTGTATTTGCCGGTGAGCATCCCGGACTTCATGGGCGAGTACACGGTCAGCCCGAGCCCCGTCTCCCGGTACAGGTGCGCGTACTCGCGCTCGACGCGCTCGCGGTCGAGGAGGTTGTACAGCGGCTGTTCCATCAAAGGGCCGACTAGGCCGAGGCGGTCGGCGACGCGCCAGGCGGAGGCGATCTCGTCGGCGCTCCACTCGGATGTGCCCCAGTATAGGGCTTGGCCGCTGGAGATCAGGTGGTTGAAGGCGCGCACGGTCTCTTCCATGGGTGTGAGGCGGTCGGGCCGGTGCGCGTAGAGGAGGTCGACGTAGGTGAGGCCGAGGCGGGTGAGGCTGGCGGAGGTCCCCTCGAGGATGTGCTTGCGGCTGAGGCCGCGGTTGTTTACGGGGTTGGCGCTGAAGGCGGAGCCGTAGTAGACCTTGGGGGGGGGGTGGGGGTTAGTGGGTTGGAGGTGGGCAAGAGGGGGTGTTGTGCGTTGATAGGTTGGTGGGGGGATAGAGGTAGGGAGGTAGGGAGGTAAGGGGGTATGGGGGTTACCTTGGTTGAGATGACGAGATCATTGCGCTTCCAGCCGAATTTACGGATCGCTTCGCCCATCACTTCTTCTGACTTGCCATCTATATTTCCCCTACTGTTAGCCCTTCGGCTTTGATACATTATTCTTGGGGGCGGGTTGGTTCAAGCCTCTTTCTTACCTGCATAACCCTCGGCGCAGTCGAAGAAATTTACGCCACTGTCATAGGCGGCTTTCATGCATGCGAAGGTGTTTTCTAGGTATCGGCGTGTGTTAGCGAGTAAATATGTAAATACAGCAATCCGCAGTCTTTTGCGGTATGTAGGTGGATAAGTAGGTATTACTTACCGTCATCAACGTGGCCGCCGTAGGTGAGCCAGCCGCCTAGCGAGATGGCCGAAACATAGAGACCGGAGCGGCCTAGGAGGCGGTAGCTCATTTTCGGGAGGTTAGGCGGGGCCGACATGGTGAATGTGGGGAGGGGGGCGGTTGTCGGTGATGGAAAAGATGTGTGTAAGCAGGTACCCGGAGAAAAAGCGTATAGATTTGGTCTTGTGTGTCTATTAATTTCTATCAGTTTACATAAGTGACAGTCAGCGGAGGCCAGCCTTTTTTTATGTGTTTCTGACAGTTCATTTTCTTCTTTTTTTCTTGCTTGTAGTCACTCACCGAGTAAGAGGAGACCCGAGAGTCGATGCGCTGCGGCGGATATGCACGTCTCCGATTTCTAACCTAAACCTACTCGGGTTACACGAAGTTGGAATAAAGGTGTAACTTGAAACTACATACCCCTGGGCCCTGGCTACTGTTGGAGGTCCTTCGGTGACAGGTCACCCGAGTCTTTGTAAATCCTAGTACATGCCTACCTGTAGGTCGTGCTTACCTTGGATACTGCGAGGTATGTGGGTAGCTACCTAAACACGACTGCAATTTATCGAGAGTTTTGAGGTTTTAACCTACATATGTACTTACATAAGTTATGTCCTGAGTTCTTGTCTTGTCGAAGTAAACCCATGTTTGATGCATGATAACGATTTGAGGACCCGTCGACGAATATTAGAATCACTGTTTGCCTTTCCATATTTTTCAGTCTAATTATCATAGGCATACCTTGAAAATTGTGATTTAACTTAATATATAGTGGAATATGTTAACTTTCAGGTACAGCATGAATATATCCCACTTCTACACTCAATGATATATATGTAGGCACCTACCTAGGTAACATAAGTATAGACTACATATGTAGTTAGGTATGTATATAGTATTGCATACATCAGATGAATCATCCAATACCCTCGCTAGGCAGGTACCACCAGTATAAGGTCCACTGGTCCAGGCTATCCCCAACTCGGGGACCTTCAGCAAACACTTGACGTCTGAACAAACGCGCTTACTTGGTAGCACATAAGCGGGCTTCTATGCTCTTTCCCGTAGATCTGATGACAATATTATTGCTATATGGCTTGATATTGCTATCATTTCGACCAAGGTGAATGAGGCTGGAGTAAAATTTATGAGGAGAGCTCGAGCACATCTACTGAAGCCAACATCATGTAAAGGAAAGTTTTATATATCTATTTATCGTTTCATTGACAACACCTTTAACATGGTCATTTTATTCGACTGCCTACCTCCAGAGAGAAGAACTACTATTGAATTGAATTCTTTCCTTGCCAGGCATGACACCTGCCGGATAGATTGGTCCAGAACTTTCCAGATTAATATCAACCCAAATTGGCAGCAATCTAATAATGTAGGCATGCATGTTGGCAAGTTATGGTAGCCTTAAAAGGCCATAAGCTTGGGCTCACATTAGTGACCCTCTCTACATACATAAGAAGCTCTCTGAGGCTCAAGTTCAGGGTTGGCTAGGTACCTATGGGTGTGTCATGTAGGCACTTAAGTAAAAAATACCTAGGATTTTCGATCTTCTTTGCAAAAGTTTTCATGCCTGAGATGGGTATTATAGCATATAGTACTATCACATAACTCTAGGACAAGCCAAAATCTACCAGTACAGAAAAGTGGCAGGTTAATCACAATGATCTTTGTATTTCCCTTTTCGACTATGTCTGGCCTTGATAAAGGGACATGAATTAAAATCTCATGAATGTCTTGAATTGTCCAGATTAGGACTAACACAGTTTTTTTAACCAAGAATCAAAAGATGGTGCACAGGTACCTTGGGTAAGTACCTAATATGTCGAAATCTCTGATCTGCTTAGCCATCCACTCGCCAATGAACATATTGGAACAGAGCACCTAATATGGTATGGGGCTGCCTCACTGATCATTTTTAATTGATCTTGGAAAAAGATTTTAATTTTGGATGTGTCTTCTTTTGTGATTTTGTGTGTGCCATTTCGATGTTGGCATAACAGTGGCCGAAAAGGGGGTGAAAAGGGGCGAAAGGGGTAAAAGGGGTATATGAGTCCTTGATTACCAGCATATATGAACGTACTTGTCTATTCATTTCTAATGACAAGCACTACACCTTGATATCTAATATATTTAATACTGTTAGATACATACCGTTTAAATTGTGTAGGTTATTTATTGGGTCACTACGTTATAGGTACTTGCCTTTCGAGTTTTGGAATCTGAAGTATTACGGAAAGCACGATTCAGTGATAATCGATATTTGGTCGCCCCTACCTAATAATATAAGAAACGATATTCCTGCCTGAAATTAAACAAATAAGTAATTGCCTAGGATCGAAATCACAATCAGTAACCACTGGACAATAATATTTAAACTTGCTGCTCCATCTGCCTTTCTCTTCCTTCTTCCTTCTTCCACCTCTTCACCTCCCCCCCCATACGAACGAACCTTTCTGGGAGATCAAGTCAACATTGCACTTGCTCTGCCAGCCCTTCTTCATTCTCTTCTATCTTGCTAATTGACAAGATAAATACCTACTTCCTGTTAGGTAAACGGAGACCTAACACTGAATATTCACAACACCAGTGACACTTTCCATTAGTTGAACAGGCCCTCAACCTGTTCAATCCTATCCAGTTCCTTCAATTGATCAACTCAAGGTATGCCATGATAACTTTCTATTTATTAGTCATCTACATATCCCTTCCTTCCCAGGATTCATTACACAAAATTGTCTTTTCACGATTGCCTCTATCTTTCCCCCCTGCTATTACGCTTCGCGTTGGTAGAAAAGTATCTACACTTATCAACACATACGCTGAAGCCCCTCGAGAGACCGGTCAAGTTGAAGATACGCAATCTCTTCTTTGGCTTGGATACCTGACTTTGTTTATTCCTCATCCTCGCTGTCGGCTAAACCTTGGTGAGGTCGTGCCTACTGCTTGTTGATCCCCTAGACTTTCAGCGAGCCCAGACATTTGCCATTCATCAAACCAAAAATTACCTTCCAATACACTTCTTTACTTTCATATTTTCATCGTCGGTTCGTCGGTGATCCCTCATATTCTCTGATAATTTCATTCAAGTGTTCTCCACAGCAGAAACCTTGTTTCTGAATAGCACTCTATCCAACAATCCACCATACGTCCGGACCCCATTTCTACCAACATATGCAGAACAAAACTAACGAGAGACTTAAAAATATTTAGGGACTATACCCAAGTAACCAATATGGCTGAATGGGACGGAGCTGTCACCTCGTCTTGGGGTGGCGATGACCAGAAGGCCCATACTTGGAATGATGACAAGATTCAGTCTTGGGACGACGGTGGCAATGCCGGTGCCGCTTCCACCACCTGGGACGACACTCCTGGCGGCACTGGAGCCGGAGTTGCAACTGGAGCCGGAGATGGCCGTGGCTGCTTCAACTGTGGCCAAGATGGGTATGTTAAATCGTTGATTAAGGGCATCTGGGGTAATGTTTACTGACACGGTAATCAAGTCACAACAAGGCTGATTGCCCTAACCCTCGCGTCATGAAGTGCCGACACTGCAATGAAGAAGGTCACTTGATTCGTGATTGCCCTACTGCTCCTCCCCAGGAGTTCACTGGAGAATGCCACTTCTGCAATAAAGAGGGCCATCGAGCTAAGGATTGTCCCGACAAGCCACCCATGATCTGCAAAAATTGTCAGGAGGAAGGTAAGAAATAAAATCAATTCAACGTGACATGCCCTCACCAGGTAGATAACTAACCATATTTTCTTTTTTAGGCCACATGGCCTCTGAGTGCAGTAACGCTCGTAAGATTGACCGCTCGCATGTACAGCAGGTCACCGCCGAACTTGCCTGGGAAAAGATCAAGATGGGTACTGTAGAGAAAGACATGGATAAGGCCAAAGAAGGCATCCAGGAGTATCTCAAGCCTGAGCCGACAATTCAATACCCTCAACTTGAGACAGCGTTTCGCTCTCAGGGCATTGGTCTGTACTTGATCGCTGTCGAGAACCCTTCGATGTTCCCAACGCATACCCACATGGACCTCCAAGGCAATCTCGGCAAGAAGTATCGTGTTCTCTATCGCTTCAGTCCCACTCCCCATCGTCCCCGAGAGGCTGAGCATTGGCCTTCGTCGCCTGAGGAGAACTTGACACGCCTCCAGGATGCTGGTGATATGGTCGATCGCGGCTTGCCCTTGTGCTCAAACTGCAACGAGCTTGGCCACATTTCAAAGCGATGCCCCCAGGAGAAGTTTGAGATAGAGCGCGTGGTCATAAAATGTTATAACTGCGAACAGACTGGCCATCGCATCCGCGATTGTAAGTACGATGAAAATTATTCACATTTATAGCTCGCTAACCAAGATAAGGTCCGGAGCCGCGCAAGGACAAGTATGGCTGCCGAAACTGCGGGTATGTCTGCACCTACTATAAAATATCAATCGTCGATCGTTACTAACCATATACCCAAATTATAGTCAGAGTGGCCATATGGCGTCAGACTGTGAGTAACACCTATTACTCATACCAATTTCTCTATTAACAATAGCATAGGCCCCGAGCCCCGTCGCGCCGGTGATGACGTTGAGTGCCGCAAATGTAACGGCAGTGAGTTCTTATCCAAATATTCAACCTCCTTGAAGGATGTCACTGACTGAATTATTCTAGCTGGTCACTATGCCAAGGACTGTCCCCAGGGAGGAGATCGTAACCGCGCATGCTACAACTGTGGCGAGGAAGGCCACAACTCTCGAGACTGCCCCAACCCGAAGAAGATTCAATGCCGCAACTGCGACGAGTTCGGTCATGTCTCGAAAGAATGCCCCAAGCCTCGTGACTGTAAGTGCCTGCCATTACGATACACTTTATGATTTCACGGCTAACAAAGTTGATAAACAGACAGCCGTGTCAAGTGCTCTCGATGTGGAGAGATGGGCCACACTGTGGTTCGATGCAAGATGGAAGAAGCCCCGGTTGATACATTCGGCGCAGAGAACAAGAATACTCAATCTGGCAATGGCGAATCTGGCTTTGATACGGCCGGCGATGGTGAATGGGGCTCCTTCAAGCCCACCTCGGATGATGATTGGACCAAGAATATTCGTCAGGATGCTCAGCCTAGTGATGAGGGTTGGAAAATTCCTGCAGAAATTCTTACCAAGAATGTAGAATGGTAAACTCCCGACACGAGTATCTGGAAGCCGTGGGCTATGGCTATAATGATTATGGGGCCTTGGTTTCGTTTATATTCAGTCAGAGGGTTATCTGGTCTACAACAGATGCATGCATACATGCTTTTGAGACGTTTTGTTCTTCGATGCTAAGGAAATCATGCGCAGTTACTGGAAAGACAGGTAGCTACCTACACGATAACTACTAACTTAGGTTAGATAGATAGTTGCCTCAATACTAAAGCAGTTTTGCGCATACATTGGGTTTTGAAGTATTGGATGTTGGTGATATTGAAGCCCGACTACTAATAGGGTACTACCTAGGTTAGTATGTTTGACGCGTGCCAGTAGCGTTTCAGCCACACATATTTAGTAGGTACCCATAGACCTAAGGTTACTGTAGTAAAGTGCCCCCACAGAGAGGCACATGGGGATTGGCAGTAGGTGCCCCTCCATCCCCCCTCCATTCTCTCTACCTAACATTTGCGCGTTCACAAGCTTCATAAAGTAAACCTTCAAAGTTGGATTTGTTTATTTGTTCAGACTCTCAGTATACCCTTTACCCACTGTCTTTACAAGCTTGCTATTTATGAGAATAGTCAAGATATTTCATTACTATTACTAGGTACCGGAATGTCGATAACGATCGAGAAGATACTTGCTGCTTCTCCGGCAACAGCCAGAGGACAACCTACGCAGCTATCGACTGACGCTAAAGGGGAAAGAATTGCTTACGCTGTAGGTTGTTTATATTGTTTGATAGGCTTTTGTAGGGTGATGTAGCTGTTTGGTCTAACGATATGCATTGTTATTAGTCTGCGAAATCGATCTTCGTTCGGTCCATCGACGATCCCTCTAGCTGTAAAGAATATACCGGCCACACTACCCAAACGACCGTAGCTAAATTCTCTCCGAGCGGTTTCTACATTGCCAGTGGCGACATATCAGGATCGGTTCGTGTATGGGACTCGATAGAAGCTGTTAATACCAAAGGTACTGGCTGCTGGCCGGGGTTGTGTCGATAGTTCGAATATCAGACTAACCCGGCGCGCCATTCTAGGAGAATATCCCATCATCTCGGGCCGCATCAATGACATAGCATGGGATGGCGATTCGCAGCGTATAATTGCCGTAGGTGATGGGCGTGAGCGATTTGGACATTGCATCACTGCAGACAGCGGCAACAGCGTGGGTGAGGTATCAGGCCACTCCAAGGTCATCAATTCGGTTGCCATAAGGCAGATGAGGCCACTTCGAGCTGCAACGGTTAGCGATGATATGGAAATGTGCTTCTTACATGGTGCTCCATTCAAATTTAACTCGAAGTCTACCGGCCTTCATAAGGGATTTGTCCAAGGCACTGCCTTCTCGCCGGATGGCAATACCCTTGTTACCGTCGGCGCAGATAAACGAATTCAACTGTACGACGGGAAGACAGGAGAGCCAACCAAAGCCATCGGCGAGGGTGAGCATACCGGTAGTATCTTCGCTGTCAGCTGGGCGAAGGACTCGACTAAATTCGTCACGGCTAGTGCCGACCAAACCATAAAGGTATGGGATGTGGAGGCAGGAAAAGTTTTGCAAACATGGAGATTTGGAGGGGATGGTGGTGTTAGTGTTCCAGACCAACAGGTTGGTGTGGTATGGCCTCACGGTCGTAGCGATGGCCTAATCATCAGTCTTAGCCTGAGCGGAGACTTGAATTACCTGGTGGAAGGAAACCCGAAGCCTATCAAGGTCGTTCAGGGACACAACAAGAGCATAACAGCTCTTGGTGTGGGCTCGGATGGTAAAGGCCAAACCCTATGGACCGGTAGTTTCGACGGCCGGGTTTGCAGTTGGGACGTCGTATCTGGACTGGGCACCATTGTAGATGGGCAGAGCCACACCAACCAAGTAACGCACTTTGCATCTAGTACCGGAAGGGCATATAGTGTTGGGTGGGACGACACTCTACGCATAGTCGACGAGTCGGCCAATACGTTTGCCGGTGAATCTGTGAAGCTATCCACTCAACCCAAGGGCGTTGCCTCCGCAGACGAACGCGTGTATGTGGCCACAGCCACCGGCATTGAGACCTACGTCAAGGGCCAACTCGCAGGGACACTCGATATCGCCAACGCACAGCCTACAGCTATTGCGGCTCATGGGCCCCTAGTCGCAGTAGGGCTAAGCAACAACGCTGTGCGCTTATACAAGTCAGATGGCAACAAGTTGATGCAAACCCACGAAGCGAAGAACTCGCTGACCCCAATCTCGGCTCTGGCATTCTCACGCGATGGGGCGTTGTTGGCTGCTGGCAACACGGCAGGCAAGATTTACGCATATAAAACCGGGACACTCGAAATAGCGACGGATCGGTGGTCTGCTCACACAGGCCGTGTGACGAGCATCGCGTGGAACGAGGCGGGCACTCACGCGGTCAGCGGTGCGCTCGATACGAACGTTTACGTGTGGAGCTTGGCGAAGCCGGGGAGCAGGGTCAAGGCGCTGAATGCACACAAGGATGGGGTCTACGGTGTTGCGTGGGTGCAGGGTGGTGGCAGAGTCGCCAGTGCGGGTGGCGACGCGTCCGTCAAGATTTGGGGAGTTACTGGTTTGCAGTAAAGGATGATGATGATGATGAAAGAGTGAGAGAGAGCATGATTCATTACATGAAATGAAGCTAAGGCTACGCATGAGTATCAGGACATGTGCCGAATGATGAAGAAAAAAACAAATGAACATGGGAATTAGCAAGAGAGGAAAATATTATATTCTTTTTCTTCTTCTTCTCGTACCTAGCGGTCCCACATTGTCTTCGCAAGACATTCCTCCTTCGATGACTACATATGTAGACAAGGCACGTTTATACAACTCGAATTTCATATGACAAGTACCTACCTACTCGCTGATCTGATATACTATGAATTATTTTTGTGGTTACCTAGGTAAATACCTAAGTACATACCTAGTATGTACTTTGCTCACCATATATCCTTATGTCCTACCTTAGGTAGGTACTTCTCTATGCTTGGGAAATCATGCGCATATTCATCATCAGAGGATATGAGAACCTAGCTAGACAGGGAGGTAGATATTTGAGAGCTCAGTACCTAGCTCTGATGGCCATATCAAAGGAGGCTAAGGAGATGGTTATAAGTAGATCTTCAGATCATTCATTCATAATGCAAGCCAGCATATTGAAAAAAAAAAAGCAAGCATGATCTTGCTGTTTTTGAACTAACTGCTCATTGAGTTCATACGATAGGTACGATAGGCAGGACCTAAGTTAGGTGCATATCCCACGGGGGATGGTTTAGCAGGTAACTAATTGTTACTTATAGAAAATCAAATTGGTGAGGTAGGTAGGGTATCAATAAGAGCACAACCCCCGATCCATCCATCCATCAAACGCCGAGATGCATTCGTTTACGCGTTCATTCATTCATCATTTCATCGGTTAGCCCATCATTCCTCCACGCATCATCAAGCCTGGTTATCCACCGAGAAGGCATGGTGTTTGCCAGAGATGGGGAGAATACCTTACTTGGCGGTGCGATCGGATAGCTTGCGCTGGGGCATCAGGGAGTTGATGACTTCCCAGAGACCGCCTTGCCAGGCCGTGTCGGCGGTGGGCTCCGGGGGCCACAGGTTTGTGGGCTGGGTTAGAGTGTCGTCGTTGATGAGGGTTGCGAGGGAGCTGGAGGGGAGGGGAGGGGGGGTTAGTGTTGTGCTTGTGTGGGTAGGTATGTGATGAAAGTGAGATTTGGCGGGTGCGTGAGTAAAATGATGACTAGCTGAGCGAAGGAAAACATACCCTAGCTTGCCCTGGATGAGAAATCCCTCGTTCTCCATCTCGGTGGCAATCTCCGACTGGTGGTTGTCCATCAAAGACGGATTGGGCACCGCAATGACGGTAGTGTCGAAGTCGAGAGCATCGAGGATGCTGCCGGAGCCTGGCGTTGGCGAGAAAAGAAAGTATTAGCAGCGTGAACCGAGACTTGAGATGAACGTTGCTCTCTTTCTTCTAATCTTCCACTGCCTCATCCTCTCAAAATTGATTGGACGGAAATACACCCAGTGCTTCACTACGGAACAAACCTACCAGCATGCGTAACAATGAGTCCCTTCTCGCGAACGAAGACGCTAGTTTCCTTGGCGGTCGTGAGCTCCATCTCCTTGCGCAGGCTCTCCTTGTAAGCGAAGCCGGTGACGATGAGAGAGTTGTTGTCGTTGAGGCCCTCCGGGGCAGGCTTGGCGGCGTCGAAGCACCTGAGGTCAGGGCCGTACTGCACGATGAGGTGCGTGAAGCGCGCGGCCCTCAGCTTCGCGATGAAGTCGGGCGAGAGGACTTCGGCGATCAAAGGCTGGAAGCTGGCGCTTGCGCCGATGGTCACGAAGGCGATTCGTTCTTTGCGCCGGGGGGCGGACATGGTGGTGAGGTTTGGTGGGATGGATGGCTTGATACTATGTAGTTGAACATGTTGAACATTGATGGATGAGAATATATATGAGAATATGTACATATGTATATACACTGTATATGTATATACACTATACATGTATATACACTGTACACTTGCAGTACGTACCTGTGGCGTAGTGTCCCGAAGCAAGTACCTAGTATGGTGGGGTCGGTGATTGACCAATCACAAGCCCAATCTATAAAGGCCGAATTTTGAACTTTTTGAGCTTTTTGCTACGCAATTTATTGGTGTAATTTATACCATTTTACGATTTCGTATCAATTCAGCGAACTTGATCCGAACTATTAATCCCAAGTTGCATCTTGCCGAATTCCACATTCTTCGCAACTTGATCGGATGCTGATGACTAGCCGCTAATTCCCGCCATGGCTTCTGGAGTACAGTCGATGCGGATATGCCTGCGGGCTCTTCGACATACTCCAGCTCCCCGAAGAATTGGCGGTCCCATCTACGTCGCAAACCGCCCATTCTCTTCCACTCCGATACAATGGGGCCCCGGTCCAGGAAAGAATCAAAGCAGGGGGCGGGAAGAGAACGAGGACGATGAGGACGATGCGGAGATAGCCGAACTGGAACAGGAGCTGCACTACGAGCAGACGTGGAGTCCCGAATTAGAGGCAACGATGCGATTGCAGGAGCACACTGTGGGAAGAGCAAGCACCGTCTTGGTCAACGCCCAAAAAGTACCCAAGATTTTTCAGAACAGGACTTTCTGGCACGATGACGAGGAGGATACCGACTTACATACCGACGAGCGCAACGAAGACGAGTTCGACGAAGACGATATCATGAGCATGGCGCATGGCAAGTTGGAGGAGTTCCGTGAACACAGAGAATATGCTCGTATCGCTGCTTGGGAGATGCCCTTGCTATCTAGTGAGTAGCCTTGTGCTCTGCTACACCTTGCGCTCGCACAACTTCCAAGTCACCCATTTCGTTAACCACGACCCTTAGAACTCGCGAGGCCTTTCGAACCCCCTACCGCCCAAGAACCTTTACGGTTCCGATATACAACATACATGGGCGAGTTCCACCCGGCGGAGAAGAAAGTCGTGGTGGAGTTCTCGCCGAAGGATTTGCCCCTCACCGAAGCCCAACAGCTAAAGTTGAAGAAGTTGCTGGGCCCCCGCTTCAACCCGGAGACCGAAGTCGCGAAAATGAGCTGTGAGCAGTTCGAGCATCAGGCGCAAAACAAGCGATATCTAGGCGACTTGGTGGATAGTCTGATCAAAAATGCAAAGGTATATATTACGCCTCCCTATAACCTACTTACTTACTCTACTCCGACTAGCTAGTGTAAGACTGTTTGCTTACCATATACCCCAGGACCCAACCGACATGTTCGAGGACATCCCGCTAGACGTGCGCCACCACAAGTTCAAGGTCAAGCCCAAGTTCCCGCGAGAGTGGCGGATGACGGAGGAGCGGCGGAAGTTCCTCGAGGCCGAGCGGCAGAAGTCGCTGCTGCTCGACCAGTCCAAGGAGGAGGTCGGCGCCCTGATCAACGGCAAGGAGAGGATCGAGCAGTTCTTCAGCTCGCCCCGCGGCGAGCACGGCATGGCTGATCTCGTCATGGCGCGGTCGCTGGGATCGGCGCAGAGGGGCAGCCAGCAGGCTCCGTCTAGAAGGTTCTGATGAGGTGTATATTACTATAAGTAAAGAAAAGCTGAAGCCAAACTTCGGCCTTCGATGCGCAGCTGGTTGTATAAATGTAAAATACATGCAAAACATCAAAGTTAGCTCGGCCTGGAGAATGGTCTTGTGGCCACTGGGAACTGAGACGGAGAAGAAGCCTAATGCAATCCGGAAGGGTGACTTGCAGCTGTAGACGTGCCCCTTCAGGTACTCTCCAAGAGCAAACCTGGAACCCGGCAATCTGGTTCATGCCTACTAATATTCCAATCATCTCCCACACTTGGACATGCGGCCCAGCCTGCCCAATAGCCTACTATCCAGTAGCCTACATAAACCTTTTGGAACAAGCGTAGCTATGTATTGGTGTACCGATGATTTAAGTCAGGGGCAGGTACACATAGATGCATGAGAACTTGGAATTCTAGGGGTTCCTGAGGTGAGGTGCGTAGGATGGTGCAACCCCATGGGCTGGGTTTGTAGATAAGGATGCGAAGGGTAAGGGGACCGAGGTCCTAATGTCTATGTCTATACCTATGTTATACCTACCTACTTGATGGCATGCCCAGGAACCTTTGCTGCCTACCTACCTAGGTTAGCTATGTTCTGAGTTATCTCTCTCCACGAACTGAATTGGTATCATCACATTGCAAGCTAGGTCAGCCACAACTACCAGGATAGCATTTTATACTGTAACCACCTAGGTTAAGTAATCATCGATAAATCAGCGTTAGTGAAATGGCTATTCGGCTTCACTCTGCGGTCCTGAACGGCGGGGCTCCACATGGAATGCAAGTGACAATTGAGTTATTGCCAAGGCGGCATTCGGCATCGATGCATGTCTGATTATTCTGGAACCCCCGGATCCAGCGCGGAAGTTCGGCTACGGGATGCGCTTCTATCTGGCGGATATCTGCCCAGGTGGGTTTTAGAGAATCCCACCTACCTGGCTGCCTAGTAATAAGTGCATACACACTTATGTAGGTTAGAATGTAGGTTAGGTAGGTAGATATATGTATGTCTAACTCCACTTCAAAGCAGACAGATGTAGTATGTAGTATGTAGTACATGATCTAATTTGACTTGATTTCAGTAGTTTCGAACAAGGAACTCGAGGAGCATACAATTATTGAGAGAATAATACTACGTAGGGAGATACATATGAGAGGGTTGGGGCTTAGTAAGATTTGGTGCGTCTCGAAACGAAGGCGAGGGATGTGTACTGAATGATGACGGCTATGTATCAATGTTCGAAGCCACCCGACCACCTCCCGTTGTAAGCCGTCACCGAATTCATGTTTTTACCCTTCATTTTGCACATGTGTTTCTTGAGTATGTGCCACTTTGCCTGCCCTCCATCATGAGCCACACATTTTACGCAGGTCCAGCTCGTCAAGGTCTACACAGCTATAAATATACGTAGTACATGATCCGAATAAGAAAAAGAGAAGAAAACAAGGATCATACTAGATCAGGACCGCGCGTTCCAATAGAATATCAAGGTTGGCAAACGTTCCAGGCGAAGTACCAGACTGCTAAGTACTACATATGTAGGTAATACTAGGTACAAGTATTAATTAATTAGGTAGGGCCTAGCAGAGAGCTTAGCAGCGGCCTAGACCTCAGTGCTCAAAATCGAAGGCGTCAAGCCACGATCGTAGTGTGTGACTTGCCACACCACTGCCGAGCTGCGCCACATTATCTGACGTCATGTCATTCCAAACATTTTTTTAGACTCGTGACGGCGGGAAGATCACGAGAAGCTATGTTTTATGCAGGTACTAGAAGCTATTGGATTATCTCATAGGTGGGTGGTTTTCGTAAGATGATTGCATACATAGTACTTTTTTGAGTTGATCGCCAACTTTGAAGCAAAGGTAAAGAGAGATAACTATGACATATAGCAAAGAGGTGGGCAGGTTACGGGTTGTAACAGAAAGTCGTATCTTAAAGTTGGATTTATGTATGTATGGACAAGCAATTCTGGATATGGGCTCATTGGGCTGTAAATCATCAGGTAACATGAATCCATCAATATTAAAGCAAAAGAACCTGACTGAACCTTCCAATGAAAGCAGGAAAAAGAGTACATAGGCACAGGTAGCTTTACATAACCTTCATGACCCATTATTATTATATATTTATTATATATTGCAAGGATATGGATACATATGTATGTACGGTTATGAGCTAGCGCACGTTTGCCCGCAGTGTATGTAGAATGTATGACGCACTAATCCCAAGCGAATTGGGTCCTTGTTTCGTTGTAAATGCATCATAGTTCCAGGGCCCCCGCGACCAAAGAAATTTCAAGGAACGGCATCTACTTGCCGTGTAATGTACAACTAGTACTAACTACCTAGTATACATACACACAAAGAAAACAGCAGATGCATTGGACTAATTGGATGAGATTGATGGTACAGACAGTCTAGTACGTCTAGTACGTCTAGTACATGTACCAAGCCTACAAGGCTATGACAATAGGTAACCAACATAACTAACATAACTAACATTGACTTTGTGGGTATCACGTATTTAAGCTGTACTCCCCCTTCCCACCCCTCGTCGTCCTTACACATTGTTTTCTTCGTTCTACATAAACATTGAACATTATTACTCACCATCTTAACTCAAACAACTCTTTCCAAGTGTTGCGCTCAATATACATCGTTCGATACCCATTCTTGATTCAAATCGAAAACCCCAACTTAACTCACAATGCCTTTCACCGCAAGGTAAGCTCCAAAACCTGTCCTGTCCTATCCTATCCTATCCTATCCTGACTATTCCCCTCTATACTTCCGCTTGACATTTTGTCTCGGGGTCGGAGGATTGTCTTGACTCCGAGGATTGTAAAGCAAGACAATGTACTGACTTGGAAACCTGTAGTGATATTTGCAAGATCATTCTTGCCATCATCCTACCGCCTCTAGGCGTCTTCCTAGAGCGAGGATGCCACGCTGACCTATGCATCAACATTCTACTCACCCTTTTGGGTTACATCCCTGGAATCATCCACGCGCTGTACGTGTTCCCTCTAACTACCCAGCACTGCACAACACTTAATTGATGTTGCGCGCTCTCTCCACGTCCTTCCGTCAAGTTCCTCTTTTCTCGTTATTCTTCTTAGCGCATTGGCTATCATGCATAAGCTAACCACCATCATCCCTGTAGATACATCATTCTGAAATATTAGCACGATGGAGCTTTCTCTCCAGTCTTGAGACCCACCGCGACGTTTCCCTCTTCTTTTGTCGTGCAAGCAGGACAGCATAGCCGGGATTTCAAGCATGAGACGGCATGGACGGAAAAAACAAAACAAAGAAAAACAAAAAGGTTGGACCAATGATGTGACAGCATAATGGTTCCTGGTTCTTTTCTTCTTCGAGACGTCTTGCGTGGATCCAGCCATGGTACGACGCTACTTGACTCGACTCGCCTCGACTCGACTATTTTACCATTCTTCGACGTTGCGCTAGACTGAAGTGGGGTGTTGATCATTGGTATGGTTTATTTTTGGGGTTCTGGAATCGACGTCACCCGACTTTTTCGTTCCCAGCCATCCGAACAAGAAAAAACCTTGCCCATGTCTAGTCCACCCGCTTTTCGCCAATTCTTTCCCGACAATCATCTACGCCAATGTCTTCGTTTTTCCTCGACCGGTTTTTTTATTCTCTCTTTTCATTCTCTTCGATATTTCCTATCATGGGAAATCTCACCTAATAATGAATAACCGTAACGGACGGGCGGATGAGTCGGACGGTCTTTGGCGGTGGCATGGGGAATGAATCTGGGGGTCAGCTGAGCAGTCCAATTGGCTGCTGCTATGTGTCTGAATGACGGTTCTAGATTTGCTACTTGCAATTAATGATTATGAATTTCGATACCCCCTTTAAAAATCATTATTCCTCTACAATTTGTCTCATCAATATGGCCGTGAAAGTGACCGTAATTCGTGATGGACATTAATGACATTTTAAAATGCGTAGATACCCAAGTTATGTGTTGTAAGTAAGCTTGCGTCGAGTCGAGTTGAGGCAAGTGAGGCAAGTGAGTGACACAACGCAGTGCTTAGGTTGTATTTCTATGTAAGAATGCAGTTGATGTAGTCATCATACATATGTCGATTATATGCGCTTCTACAACATACATAACACTAACGTGTGCTGATCGTTACCTACATATCTATATATTGGGTATGTGATAAGCAGCAATCATGCGAGGTACAAATAACCAAGTCAGACCACTTGCCGAGTGTGAGCCGAGATGTTTAACCTACATAATTACTACTTAGGGTAGGGTATGTAGGTAGGTGTGCAAGGGCTAGTTTTGAGGTTGCTAGAAAGTGAGTGGGTGTGTCTACCGTGCTGTAGGTATAATTATACCGAATGTACATTGTGGTGAAGGGTAGGTAGGTAGGTAGGTAGGTAGGTAGGTAGGTAGGTAGGTATAAGCCAAGTGTGTGTCTAAGTACATAATAGCAGGCACGTAGGTACTAGGTAGATGGGAAGTAGGTATCTATCTATCTATATTGCGACGTGAGATGGTTTCTTTTGAATAAATGCCTAACCTAGGGAGGGAGGTATATGTTTATATATAAGATTAACTATACTCGCCCTATTTTGAATGATAGCACCTACGATGATGTTATAAGTATGGTACTTACTTACTACAAAACAAACAGAAAATAGGGGGGAGAGAATGGGGAGAGGAGAGAAGAGAAGAGGGATCGCAACTTACATCGTTCTTTCCCACCCCAACCAACGCGTCTTCAGAAACCCGCACGTTCCCGACGCCCTCGATGTAGGCGACAGGCGCATCGCCCATGACCTTGCGCGCGACATCGCCGACGGTGGAGTTCTTCTTGACGAGGACGCAGTCGCGGAAGGCGTGTTTTGTGTCGGAGCCCGAGCTGAAGGTGGATATGTTGCGCACGGGGAAGACGGGCACGAGGCCGAGGATCTCGGCGGCCTTGGAGAGCACCTGCACGACGCCCGTGGACCCGTACCGGAACAGGATCATGTCTCTGTACTCCTCGATCAGCGCCTTGTTCTTCTCGTCGAGCTCCTTTAACCCGCCGCCGTCGGGGTCGCCGTCCGCGATTAGGTCCTCGCGCGTGTCGACGAACTCGGTCCCCTCCGTGTACCGTATGTAGCCCTGCTTGGCCATCTTGCGCAGGAACAGCTCGGCCTTGGCGGAGCAGGCGACCACCATGTTGGGGTCTTGCATCTTGGTGATCTTCATGAGGTTCGTGTAGGCGTCGGCGTCGTCGATCTTGTTCAGCGCGATCACCGTGGGGAACTTCTCGTCCGTGAACGCGCCGACGACGCGGTCCACCGTCTCCTCGCTCCAGTGCTCCAGCGGCTCCTTCAGGGCCAGGCGGTCCAGCGTCCGCGCTACCACCGACGCCGTGCTCCCGTACCCCGAGAACTGCCCCTGCAGGGTCTCGACGGCGGTGGCCTTGACGGCGACGTGCCGCCGCTTTATGGAGCCCCACTTCTCCCATAGGTTCCCCTTGATCCACGCCACGATCTCGCCGCGCAGCCAGGCTATGTCCTGGGACGGGTCGTAGCCCCGCGTGTTCTCGCCCTCGGCATTTGTCCGCCCGCTGGCGTCCACGACGTGGATCAGGGCGTCTGCGTGCCGGAGGTCGTCGAGGAACTTGTTACCCAGGCCCCGGCCTTGATGTGCTCCGGGGACGAGCCCGGCTACGTCGAGAAGCTCGATGGGTACGGAGCGGTGGCCGTCGACGCAGGCTCCGTAGTTGGGCTTGCATTTCTCCTTCACGTTGAAGCGTTCGCAGGCGCATGTTATTTGGAGGTAGCCGATGGCTCGCTGGGGGTCGATGGTGGTGAATCTGAGATGGTCAATCGAAGTTAGCCCTGTGAGGTATCTCTCTCGATGCTGAGCTGCTTGTTGAATGAAGACAAAAAGGTGTAAGGGGTAGGTAGGTAGGCGTACGGAAAGTTTCCTATGTCGCATTATATGTATCAGCGCCGCAAGTTCGGGTCGGACCATGCAAAATCAGGTTGGGCGAGATTTCGACCCACCAACTTTGGACGTCGCATCGGTTAAGCTGTTCAAGGTCGTGCTCTTCCCAGCGGAGGGTTTGCCGACGAGGCCGATCAAGGGATCTCGAGGCATTTTTGGTGGTTTGACTTATGTAACTTTGACTTAAGTGTGTTTTATGTTGTGTAATATTATTCAATGTTGGCTGACAGCAATCTTGAAGATAAAGTCAAAGTTCAAAAGTTCATGATAAAGGAGTCGAGGGGTTGAGAGTCAAGGTGGGGTGAAATTGGTACGGCATAGTACGATCTCTTGTCAAAAAGGAAAATTCAGACAAGGTTTCGGAGGCTGAAGGATCCACTGCGCCGGTACCCGTGGCTTAGGTACTAGCTAGCCCTGCTGTTACAGCCTAACTTACAGGGGATTTCTAGGCGAGTTTCTAGTGTATGTATTGTATTGTACCTCTCTCTCACGGGACTCACACCCCACTGCAATATAACTATTGCATCATCAACATCTTTAATGTTCATCATCGTCACCATCATCTATGTCTGTGCCTGTGTCTGTGCTGGTGTAGATCTCATTTAGAAGTGCCAAGCTTCATTATACCATATACATCTTGGATGCAAATAGTTACAATGCGGCGGGGCCATTTCTCCTTAAAAGATTTGCCAGCATGGTGTATTCTCAACAACGTTGCTTTTATCGACGTCAAGGTAGCCGATATTAGTGGTCGAGGATATGGCTTCATAGCAGAGAAGAACCTGGTAGATAAAGAGAAAGACCAGAATGACGATGATGTCGATTTCACCACCCTCTTAACAGTCCCGAGAGATTTGGTCCTATCCGCTGAAGGTGTAGAAGAGTACGCCAAGGAAAGCAAGGCCTTTCGAGAACTTCTAAATGCAGCAGGGCACCAAGTTAGTATATGGTTCATGTATAGACAGTATACCTTACACTAAGCATAGTAAATATAGTCAACCAGAGGCGATATATTGCTATTCTTATTATTCCAACTCGTATTGTCTTCTCCCGACTACAATGGTGGGCTGGGGTCATCAACGCCGTGGACCCAGTACTTCAGTCTCTTGCCGGCAGAGGTGCCGATCCCTACAATGTGGCATGAACCGGAACTTTCTTACCTAGAGGGTACTTCACTAGAGGTGAGCGGCTGTGGAGAATCTCTGAGATCTAGTTAAGCATTTCATAAATCACGAGTTGACGTATTTATATAGCCAGCTGTGTCTGCTAAACTAGGCACATTGACGAAGGAGTTTGACCATCTCCGCGATAAACTGGCTGGCTTGTCGTACTGGAACGAGCTTATCTCAATTGACGAAACTATCACTGTTCGTGACTGGATTCTTCTTGACGCCTTATACAGGTCCCGTTCACTGGATCTGCCCGGACTAGGCGAGTCAATGGTTCCGTGTCTTGACTTAGTCAACCATTCTAGCCAAGCTACTGCTCATTTCCAGATAAATAGTAAGGGCGAGGTAGACCTTCGCCTACATAAGGGATGTTTGGTAGCAACCGGCGAAGAAATCACGATCAACTATGGACAAGACAAGCCCCCGGCGGAAATGCTGTTTAGCTACGGCTTCATTGACACAGCCTCGACTACTAATAGCCTGGTCCTTCCCTTAGAGCCGCTAGACGATGACCCGCTTTCAGCAGCAAAGCTTCATGCCTTTGGTAAGGTGCCGAAGCTTCGAATAAAAGAAGACGGGAATGGCATGCCACAAGTTTCTGCACCTTTCGTCTATCTCATGTGTCTCAATGAAGAAGGTGAGGAATTTTTTCAGTGTCCACCTACGGCGTCACTGAATAGGAGAACCCCTATCTCAAAAGACTAATCTGTAACCCCTTTTTGATGTCATGGCGGTTGAAACTGACCACCGTTTATAGATGGTCTGGCATTCAGAGTCCTACAAGAAGTAGATGGATCTCGCCATTTGAAGATGTTCTGGCAAGATGACGACATTACAGACTCACCAGATACGATCCATACTCGCCTCCAACACCACGAGCTGAATAAAATATTTGAATTGCGGTTTATAACGATTATCTTTGATATCATCCAAGGACAACTTGAAAAACTTTCCAGCAGCTTAGCTAAACCGGAGTCGGCGAGGGATAGAATCTGGCAGGCTGCCTCCCATCTGAGATCACTTGAATCAACCCTATTTGAGAAAACCCTCCAAGTTCTTGATGAAAATGTAAGATCGATGTCAACAACCTTCCAAGCACTCAAGAAAAACCCCCGAATCAACACCAACCATTATGTATCTTCCTTGCTCAATATGCCGCTGTCTGCCTGTTCTACCTCGGCTATGATAATTTGCTAACACTCGGCTTTCGTTCCCAGCGGACCCAACTCCTTCAAGAAGATACAGTAATCGAATATTTGAGATCAATGGAGGCTGATCAAACCGATATTATTAGCGCCGAAGCCGCCGAGAACGAGGAGGACTTTAGCTAGTAAAAAGATTCAGGTCTTCGAGAACGCTGTCTGTCCTCAACTATATCAGTCACCCCCTAGAGGAGTAAAATCAATCTTGAATTTTGGGTTGCAATCCACGTTTTCCCCGTGAAGCATAATGGATATTACAGTACCACTGTATCCCTTAAATTGGGATACAGCTTGCTTGCGTGCTGCAGCCATTAGGCGTCTCGTTCAATGATATATATATGTGCTGTGACATCATCAGATTAGCATTTCTTGACTAGCCCAGTCACTTTTTGCAAATGCGTTTAATTGTTCGGTTGGTTTACTCAGTGCCATATAGACAGATATGGCTGATCCCATACGGGAAACTTCACATGTGGACTTTACTTTGATACCGTTGCTCCTCTTGCAAAAAAAGGATAGCGCAAGGCAATCTATAAGGATACGACTGACTGCCCTTTGGGCTTCATAAATTCGGACCGAGAATCCTGAGCCAATCCTATGTCGTGTCCTACGCATTCGGCATTGCTTCATATAATGTTGATTCGATTCATAAACATGGGGCTTTGTTCCTGACATGACCTGGTCCACCAACGTTCTATATACATACCATGACCTACCTCTCCCTTCGCCGATTTATCCACGACGTGGGCGCTTTTAACCGGCAGTGACTCCTTCCCACCCCAAAGCCGCATAAAACAGAAACAGATGCCTCATATGGCAGTCAGACATGCGATAGAATTAGGCGCTTCAAAGGTGAACCCTCGAAAACGGGCCGTATATTCTGATAATTGCTCTGGACGAGAATTTTCCGCTTGATTCCATTCCATGTTTATTGTCCCACTAGGAATCGACATGGGCAATGGCAGTGGGCTAGCTTGGTTGGTGATCCTACGCGTGGCAGGGCTCAAGATCGACCTATCCCCCCTCTCCTCCTAACCTAAGTAGGCGCCTTTAGATCTACAATGCATAAGTATCTATTCAAAGACTTTTGGTTATATTCGCCTACCAGATAAATGAGCCTTTGTGCACAAAAAACAAGCTTGAAAGGTCCGGTACCTGGGCAGACACCTATGGCTGATCTGCTGGCTTCTTCCAGAAACTAGGCTATAGGTAGACGAGCTGAAGAGTATATAATCAAGTAGGGTAAGGTTAATATAGTAGCTGATACCTACTGGACTTAGATATTTGCCAAGAGACCAAAGCTAGCGAGCGGCAATACGAATCCTCGTAAGTAGGTACCTAAGCTTCTAACCTGGTTCATTACCTACCACACACGCACGTACTTTCACGTGATGGATAGAGTCCGGTATCGAATTGATAAGTCATCTGACACATGGTATATGCTAACCCCGCGGATTGCCTTCTTTCTGCATTATTATCCTGCGAAAGCAAAGTCAGCGGACATACCTAGGCCGTTATCCTCCGATTGACTGAGGTTGTGCCTCGGTTCTCCTAGGCAAGTAAACGAAACCTTCTGCTCAGCTTCAATACTACATAGGAGACAGCCGACAGATGTCGCTCGGCGGCGGCCATGAGTAATCCGAATGCTCAGGGAATCGAGTATTTATCTAGGTGGTATGTAGGGCAGACAAGTAGGTAAGAACCTGATAGAGCGATCGAAATGGCGTGGTAGGGGCGCAGCGCTACATACGCCGATGGCAACCTATGCCCGACTTGCGGGAGATATACCGGGGGACTTGAAGACGTACTTCCGCGCTTTGCTCGGACAGAAGCCCACGCTCAGTCTTTGTAACCTACCTACAGGGGTATCAAAGCCCTTTTGCATGTTCTGGTTCCCAATCCTCAAATACAGTAACATGTTGGCAAACGCAACATCGGAACTTGCCTAGCACTACCAGACCAAACGGTGGGTCCATGAGTGAACACCAAGGATGGAATAGTTCTCGCGTATCTTAAGGAAACCTGGGGTAATCCCTTCCCCGCCGAAAAGGATTCGGGGACCTTTAAGCTGTAGGGTCTAGAATAAGAATGGGGAGGACGTTGGAGCCGAATGTTGTTCGATGAAGTTTTGGGGGGATACTAACTAGAATAGTCGTGGAGGTGGTGTCATTCCTTCAGAGTCAGTGATGATATGCCAAGTCAGACTGGTGGTAGACTGGTAGATCCAAAGTTGGTGAGCCCTTTAGTGTCCAACAAAAATGGCGATACCCACCCCAATATTCGATGGGCCTCGAGCCAACCACGGGTGCCTTATTGATCCTTTCGCAAACTTATGTGCGTGATGGCCCTATCATGCATGATTAGTGTACCAAGCTTGAACCGGCAAGGTGTGTGGAGTATAAGCTGGATGATGCAGGTTTATGAATACTCTAGGCCATGAATGTTGGGCTAAGCAGGGCTATTAGGTGAGGATGTAGTGACGGTAGTGACGGTAGTGTACTAAGGTTAAGTAGGTATATGCCGTATATGCCTCCATACATACATGTACTTACAGGTAGGGTATATGCCATACCCTAGGTAGTAGTATGCATATATGTAGGTTGGTTTGGTACTAACCTAGAGCAAGTGGGTGAAATACGGGGAGGAGGAGAGAATTCTACCTATCAGATCTTGATCAACCACATGCTCTAGTACCTCTCTCGCTCACGTGTCGATGTACCGTCAGTTCTGTCACTTCTGCGATCCGGTGTTACAGAAATGGAGCATACAATTACCGAAGATTTTTATAGGAAAAACCATCTGGAACCCCCTTGAACCTTCAGTCCTGAACCTAGCGTGCCAAGTATGCGGTATTGAACTCTAGTATATATGTACATGGATATATACTATTATGTAGTAACACTTCGAGGTTCAAATGTTCATTCTAATTATGTTAGTACTCCTGGGCATATGTACCTACCTAGGGTACATAGTAGTTAATGTAGTATATATACCTGGCTAGGTTAGTAAGCTTCCAAGGTTGTGAGCATTTGAAGCATGTATGTACTATGTAGGTAGGTACATACATCAATGATACATGTACTAGGTATGTAGCTAACCTTAGTTGTGTATTATACAGACTGGAGTGCAGAAGTCACGCCCGTATTATCGGATGGCACTGGGGTTGGCACTGGGGTTATATGGGCTATGGGTTATACTTGTTCCAACTCGTACTGGCTCCTACCCTAAAGGTGATCCCCCCCTTGCCCACCCCGGATTCATTAGCGCACCCCATTAGTATAATACCCCGCTGATCTTAAGAAATCCATCTGGAGTAGCGGGCATTGGTGCTTCCGTTTCTCGCCATTCCCTCCACTAAATCTCCTGTCTCCACGCATCCGCAATTTCTTGTCTTCTGCCTACTTTTCCTTCCTTTCATCTTTCTCAGCCTCTATCCTTCTCTTCCCCAACCCACAACCCACAACCCTTCACCTAAACTAGCCCTCCCAACCGACGACTTCCTTTCTAAACCTAGTAACCTTACGATCGACCGAGTTTTTTGCGATACGTTCATTTTTTCCACCGCGCGCGACTTTGTGTCGAGATATAAACAAATTTCCGTAGTTGCTTAGTAAATTCCGTGCTTACTCGCGAACGATCGCCGCCTAAGGATTATAACCATTTAAACGTTTTTTGGGAATGGGGGGATCTATACTGGGTTGAAACACGAATATAACTGGTAAAAAGGAACCGTTTGGGTTGGATACAATACCGCCAATATGCCTGGAATATTACCTATGAAAGTAATCAAGGTGGGCACTAGCTCACAGAGCCGCATAGCCCAAGCCTGTGACAGGTAACGTTCCCCGGGAACTAAGGGAAGCCCTGTGGCACTTCATACTGAGACAATTCGTGGTAGGTGTCGAAGCAAGAAGATTCGCTGCGATGGTATTCGTCCGTGCTGCTCGCAGTGCGCCAACGTCGGATTCGAATGTCGTACTAGCGACAAACTTAGCCGACGTGCATTTCCTCGAGGATATACCGAATCCCTCGAAGAGAGAGTAAGGCAATTAGAACTCGAAGTAAGGGAGTTGAAGGACCTATTGGACGAGAAAGACGAGAAGATCGACATGCTATCGAGAATGCATGACCACCGCCAACCATCCGTCGGATCCGTAGGAAGTCCGAGAACGGCAGAACCACGAAGAGATACCAGCTCACCAGCGAAGGAGGATACATTTCGCGTTCAGGCTTCGCCGTTACTACTTGGTGTCGAGAATTCAGACTCCTATTTCATGGGGCCTTCAAGTGGACGTTCATTCATTGGTGAGCCTATCACAAATCGACGTTGCTGTCCAACGTGTTCCTAACCGAGGTTCTAGAATCTTTCAAACGCAGACTTCAAGAAAACGGTAAACCGTGTTCCGACTTCAACCCGGAGGCCTTCCTTCACATCCAAGGATGCTACCCGCTCGTCACCAACTCCCCCCCTCCGTCGATGAGAATACCGCCCCGCCTATTTTCGGACAGATGCGTAAATGTTTATTTCCAGGAATGGGCGCCCCTATTCCCCGTCCTCCACAAGCCGACTTTTCTCCGCCTGTATGAAGAATTTGTCGCCGATTCGGAGAAGGTGAAAAACAATCATAAGCTCGCACAGCTTTATCTCGTCTTTAGTATTGCCTCCCTCTCCAGCGAATTACCCGATACGGAGCAGATTGCTGCATGTGAAGCTCAGTGGCAGAAAGCCCTCGATGCAGTCATTATGGATAACACAATGAACACACTCCAGTGTCTAGTTTTGGCCTTAATGTACTGTACTATCAGGGCCGATTACAAGCGATTACAGCACTACAAGGGCATTGCGGTTGGATTGTCTCATAGACTAGGGTTGCATCAAAGTCAGAAGCGATTTTCGTTCGGTGCTCTTACCATTGAGACACGAAAGAAGGTCTTCTGGACGCTGTATACCCTTGATTGGTGAGCCACTTTCTTCATTTTTATGTTTCGCGAAGACTAATGGACCCAGTTTTTCTGCTGCCATGCTTGGCCTGCCAAAGCTGGTGAAGGAGGAAGATGTTCACGCTGAATATCCATCCGACACGGATGATGAATACGTTACGGAGAAGGGATTCCAACCTACTTTACCAGGAGAGTATACTAGGCTCTCGAGTGCACTCGCATTATTCCGAGTTTCTCGTATCTTAGCTAGCATTCTCGAGAAGATTTATCCGGCCGCCACATCGTATGAATTATCACTGCAGCAAATTGCGACGCTCGATGCGGATCTTTCGGACTGGTACGACAACTTGCCCACTCACCTGAGGCTGAATTTTGTGCAAGATAAGCCATCAACGGATATCACTGGGAGCAGATCCCCTATCTTGGTATGTTTTGGAGGCGATTCTCAGTTTGACTGAATCAATGCTAACATTGATAGGCACTTGCATTCTATTACATTAAGGGACTTATTCACCGCCCTGCCGTAGGCTCGAATTTGGGAGGAAAGGCTGCTCCGGCCCTTTTCGCGGTTGGAGAGTCCAGCAAGCACATTGTCCAGATCATCCAGCTATTGGAAGAGAGGAGCATGTCTTTCTCTTTCTGTCTCAATAAGACTGATGTTCTCGTGCTATGTGGGACAAGTTTGCTCTACCAGAGTCTAGAGCTAAAACATGAAAGCAAACTGATGAAGGATGCAGAACGGCTTATAAATGCCGTCCTCAAAATTCTACTAAGGACAAAAGCGCCAGGGGCGTACGATTTAAAGCGAGTTGCATCCATGCTTGTCACCATCGACGTGCCTTCTCAGGCCGCTTCTCTGCGAACTAGCCCAGATACAACTATGGCTGCTCCATCGAAGACATCACCTTTATTGAACGTCACGAGGAAGAAATCGCCCTATAATTTGGGCCGGCCTGCCGGTACGACCATGAGTGAGACAGACCTCCTCTCCCAACAAGAGAAGCTACGCCGTATGACTTTACCGAACAGCCAGTCTGTTCGGCCAGAAATCCATCGCGCACAGTCACGTGCGTCACTTGATATGAGTGCAGAGCAAGCAATGCCTCGGCGTGACCATCGGTTCTCAATATCCCAAATTCAGCAAACAATGATGCGCATGTCACCCTCACACAAGTCTAAACAACGAAACCTCGATTACCTCTCACTCAACGATGCATCGAATGAACCCCAAACTTCGCCAACGACGCCGAGTCGGCATCTTTCGTCACAGTCCATGTCCCACGGCCAGCATCATCAACAACCACAACAACTCTACGCCCCAAATCAGGCAGTAAATAAGGGAGGCTCAAGTGGTGGTGTTTCGATATCAGAATGGGAGGCACTTCTTGGCGCAATGGACGGCGGGCAGATCAATGTGTACGACGCGATATATGGTGGGCCAGGCTTGTCGATGACAGAAACTCCCACCAGTACGACGACGGCTCTTGGCGAATGGTCACCGGATTCGTGGGATCTTTCTAGTATCAACATTGGTGATCTGACGAGCCATCCCGGGGCGCCGCAGAGTGTGCTGAGCATGAGCGACGAAAGCCTCAGTTCGGGGGACGATCTTACCTCCAGCGACGTGTATCTCAGGATGGGAAGTGAGGATTACCAAAACGGATTAATGCCACCACCCCGGACGAGCCGTGACGGGCACCTGATGCTGGATGGTCTCGAAATGAACTTGGGGATATAACCGTATTATTTGGAAAGCGAATGCGGCGGCCATATCACGAACGGCTGAATACGATTTAGCGACGAACGTTTTGTTATATACAATCAATATATGGGGACCGATTTCTTGGTATTACGGCGTCGATATAAAGACGGGTTGTATTTATGACAGGATTGGATTCCAATTACTTAGTGGGTGGTGAGAACTGTATTACCGGCAGGACATTGGGTTCCAGGTGTTGGAGTGATGACGGCACCCACAGCGTTGGTTTTCTTGACATATTTGGGCGTAGTTTACGCACAGCAAAGCTACCTGTGTTCGACGAGCACTTCATTCCCTCGCTCGACATGACTAAGCTATCTATCTAGCTGTTTATATGCATTTGTTAATTCCTCTTTCTTCTTCTTTTCGTTATGTATCTATCTTCCTAGCTAACTACCTACTTTACGCTTTTTGTACATGTTACATACCTGATAGGTAGTTAGTTAGCTAGTGATTTTAGAGGTACGATGGACTGGATATTCCTACGGACGCGAATTTACTAACTAGTAGGAAGACGAGAATATTGAAAAAAATACCTATTTATACTATGAACCTTTAAATACCGTTTTGTAATCACATGTTCCTTGGCCTTTGCGAAGCGATGTGGCATCGTTTTCCAAGGTGTCGAGGAGCTGAATTTAGGCTTATGGGCTGTTTTACGAATACGCCAGTGTGGTGGTAGTTATGGGGGGGTGTATAATTTAGCTCGGTATGTGCATGCTAGGTGCGTACCAATTAACTAGTTATGTAAGTACTACTAGTACCTAGTTAGTTAGTAGTGAGGTCATAAATTATCTGACTAGTAGGCACTATGCAATCTAATCGCCGGTTAACTCCAGATATCCGTGTTTTTTAAAACATTCAATGTTCAATGTTGATATACATACATGTATCGATGTATTGTATAAATTGTATATACATGCAGCAATTAATAAATATGTTACATTCATGTGTGTGTGGCTTGCATCGTTGCCTACCTTGCGTGCTTAGTCCTATCCTAGGTAGGGTAGGTATCCTATCCGACCTCCGGGCTCGTTTTTCTCTGTCGGAGCCGGGGTTTTTTATGGTGTACTTTAACTCTCTGCCCTTTCTTTCTTTCTCCCCCTTTCCTTCATTCCTTCTCGTCTCAACCTTCTCTGTGCGCCTTGGTTCGTTCGTTTAGGTAACCCTACCTACGTAAACTGGTTAAAGTTTCCCATTGCTCGGCTCCGGGTTGAAGTAAAAGATACGATTAAATACCTACCTACCTACCTGGCAAGCCACTTGATTTCCGTGGTTCGGATAAGTAAAAAAAAGTAAAAAAAGTAAAAGAACAAACAAACAAACAAACAAACAAACAAGCAATGGCCTCGGACTCGGAAAGCTCGGCCCCGCCGATCGACGATGTACCCGTAGCCGGCGAGCAGACGGCGCTGTTGTCAGCGACGAAGCCCGGCGATGCGCATACGCCTCATAGGAGCGCGGCGCCGCGGGAGACGGGTGGGAGGTGGGCTGTCGGTGAGTTTGTTCATTCGTTTGCTTGTTCGTTCGGCTCTACCTATTCCCAGCTCGAGTCGCGGGACCCTCCTCCGTTTAGCACACTCACAAGCGCACTTATACACATCCATTGATAACCCCCCCCCCCCCCCCCCCCCCCCCCCCAAATCCTAACAAAATCTCCCAGGCATCCCCCGCTCCCCCCCACCCCACAACCAGCACCTCCTCCCCCAAGCCATCGCGCACCGTGGCTACAAAGTCGCCGCCCCCGAGAACTCCCTGCTCGCCTTCTCCCTCGCCGTCGACGACGCGCGCGCCCACGCGGTAGAGACGGACCTGCACCTCTCGCGCGATGGCGTCGTGGTACTGTCGCACGACGCGACGCTCAAGCGGTGTTATGGGCGCGATGAGAAGGTGTGTGATCTAGACTGGGAGGGGGGCTTGAGCGAGTTGAGGACGACGAGGAAAGTGGAAGGGAAGGGGGAAGGGGAGCCGATGGCGAGGTTGGTGGATTTATTGGTGCTGCTGAATGAGGGGGGCAGGGAGGGTGTGTGGGTTATGCTTGATGTTAAGGTGAGGTTTGATCTTTTTTTTACTCTCTATTGGCAAAGGGGGGAGAGGGGAAAAGAGGGAAAAGAAGGGAAAGGAAAAGAAAAGAAAGACTGTGCGAGAGAGAGTGGTTCGGCTGATTTGGCGTTAGAGAAACGTCAAGTCAGTCGGTATTGGGAGAAGAGAGAGCGTGTAACGTACCTAGGAACGAACCTTTTTTGCTGACTGGCTAATATAGAGAGACAACGATCCGACCGAGATCATGCGCAGGACAGCAGAGACGATTGCTTCAGTCCCCGGGGTCCGGCCGTGGAACGAGAGGATAATGATATGTTGCTGGAGCGTAAGCGCTTCCTTCCCTTTCCCTTCCCCTTTGCTTTCTCTCCTCTCACCCAATTAACCCACCAAAAACAGGCCCAATTCATCAAAGCCGCCCAAACCCACCTCCCCGCCTACCCCCTCGCCAACGTCGGCGTCTCCACCTTCTACACCCGCGCCCTCTCCTCCCACCTCCCCCACCTCTCCCTAAGCATGCTCCGCTTCCCCCTCGCCATGCCCCTCCTCGGCCGCATCTTCATCCGCGACATGCGCCGCAAGGGCCACCCCATCCACGCCTGGACCATCAACGACGAGGGGTGGATGCGCTGGTGCGTGCGCATGCGGTTCGACGGCGTCATCACCGACGATCCCAAGACCTTTTTGGCGGTTTGCGCGGAGATGGGCGGGGACGGCGACGACGATGAGGCCAAGAGACAGAAGGAGGAAAGGGAAAGGAAGGCGGGAAGAGGAGGAGGAGGAGGAGGAGGAGAGAGGGGGGGCATAAGGGGTTTGATCACGTCGCCGGTAACGTCAGCGAGGAGGAGAGCCAAGGCGTGCGTGGAGTGGGCGCTGCATCTGGTTATCATCGCGACGATAATGGTGGTTTATTTCTACAGGTGGGGGTTTCCGGGGAGGTCGGTGAGGAAGACGTTGGAGGGTTAGTTAGTTAGTTAGATTCATTCCAAGGTTTGGTAGGTAAGAAGATTAGGTGATAATTCTGCTGGGGGGGGGGGTTTAAGGATCTTACTGCGTAGGTGGTCTTGGAGGGGTTTAGATAGATGGGCACAGGTACCTAACCTAGATATCTATCTATCTATCTATCTATCTAGGTACAATACCATCCAGATCAAGCGATCAGGCGATGGGGCCAGGTACGGGAATACCTAGAGCTAATGGAACCATGAGGTTATATGATGGCAGGGAGGGCTTAGGCTACGGGGTTCTGGGGAAACAGTCTGTCTCTGCACATCCATCACGGGCGACACGGGGCTTATCTTATACGGGTATCATGCGAGTGTGTCTCAATTCTTCCTATTTTAATTACAGAATAAACTACCTACCTAGGTAGTTTGGCAGCGTAGCAGCGTGTTCCACTACTTTTCCATCAACGCGTGCATTTTGAAAATGCTTTCCCAATTACTCTACCTACTCGACGTATTCATCGCCTGAAGACGCCGAGGGTCCCGAAGCCTCTGGCTCTGAGTCACTGGCAAGGGGGGAGCGAGGTCCGCGAGCAGCAGCGGCAGCAGCAGCGCTGCGGGTGGTGCGGGCGCGGTGGCGAACTCTGGTGGCGGGTACATCGTGGCTCTTGTTGATTTCTTGGGCTCGCTCTAGAACCTCGGGGTCTCGATCGGCCGTTGGCATCAGGAGAGCCCAGCGGGATCTAGGAAAGAAGGGAAAACATTAGTAAGGATGGATGATCTGATTGAGGTGGACAGGAGGTATAAAGCATAGGCAGTAAGTAGGTAGAGTGGGAGGAGTCGGGGGGGTTGAGGGATGACGATAACTTACTTGGCTGCGACCTCCGTAATATTGTCATTGCCGTGGTGGCCCTGCATGACACGGACCACGCTGCGGAAGTCAATGTCGGGCTCATGCTGCCCATCGACGAGCTGCTGGCCTTTGCAAACCATCAGCATTGCGGTCAATAGCTGGCACTCGCGCTGCACGCTCCACTGGATTTTTGTGGCCGTGGCCTTCTTGGTGACAGCTTGCTTCGTGGCCGTGACCTTCTTGGCGGCGACTTTCTTCGCCGTCGCTTTCTTAGCCGCAGCTGCCTTCTTAGCCGCAGCTGCCTTCTTGGCTGCGGACTTGGCTGCCTTCTTGGCTACGGACTCGGCTGCCTTTTTGGCTGCGGACTCCGCGGCTGCGGCCTCTTCTTTCTTGACAACACTTCTGGTCTTCGCCATCTTGACCTACGAGGAATTAGTGAGGGTAGCTATAGTTATTAAAGGAGACAAGTAAAACGAAAGTTGAAGGTGTAGTAGGCAAGCGACATACTTAACAGAAATGGCAATTAAACGACGAGAATGGGTACACGCGTCGCAGAGCTAGTTCGCTACAGTCATTAGTCAAACCGTGATCATGTATGTAATAGCATCAATCGTAGGATAGGAAAAGGAAAACAAGTGAGGTAATATGCCTATATCTATGTGGAAGAAGAAGCAAATGATTCTTACCAATCTTTGGAGGCTCAGATGTGTAGGTAGAAGGAGATGGGTAGATGAGGAAGGATGAACAAATGTCAAGATTGGCCTCGGGTCTGCAGTAATGCTTTTGTTTGTGTAAAGCAATTGTATGCTTTGCTGTTGATTGATCAAGAAGAGGGAAACCACTCTGCTAGAGCTGGGGAGCTGCAGGTTTTTTTTTCCAATTGCTTGTGGGACTGGAAAATAGAAATAAAAGAATGGAAGGATGGAAGGAAGGTAAAGGAAGCACAGAAGGTCAGAAGAATAATATCAGTTATCTAGACACTGGGTGGATTCTATGTAATATAAGCGGAGTATGTACAAAGTACTACAAGATAGGGAGGCAAGGCAAGGTAAAGGTGCTGGCAAGGGACATCTAGGGCTTTCTCAGGGGACAGTCGAAAGTCGAGTGTCAGCCAAGCCTCGATCCAAAGGCGACAGTGCCTCCCAGTAACTTCCCAGTCAAGTAGCCAGCATAGATCCCACACACAATCGTCACAGGCCACTTCTGCCATTCTCGATCCCAGTCTAGGGGAATTGGTACAGCACCAAGCCAAGCTCCCACACAGGCACCTATCAAGCCTCCAAATGCTTCGTCGAGGGGGGCTCGCACGCTCAGGATTTCTAACCAGTCTCTGCCTGATACACCACGGGTATATAGGAGTGGGAACAGGCCAAGGACAGCCAGATACGTTGAGCAGAGGAGCGTATGAGGTATGTGAGTCAAAAGGGGGGCTCCAAATAGGACAAGAACAACATGTAGTCCTAGAGTGGCAATGACTGACAAGATGAGAGCAACGAGCGTCGTCTGTTGTTATATCGTTAACCATAAGCACAAGAATTATAAGGCCAATAAAACCTACTACCGCGATGTTCGGGCCGGTGTGGGCCTCCAGTCCGGGCTTTCTCTTCTCCCCGGGACGGAGCTTCTTAGCCGGCTTGGCAACCTGAGAGCCTACTGCTGGCAAGCACACAATAGCATACGCAGCTTGTATGGCGACGACGACGGGAAGGGAGTTTAACATGGTCGAAACAGGATCTGCAACGAGAGCATCAAAGCTTATGAGGCAGAATGAGATAAGCAAAACCGGATGAACGTGTCTGAAGATTTGGGCCTGCAAAGATGCTACGGTTCGAATAGGCTGCGTCTGTGTGTCTCCATCTTTGAGCTTTGCTTCACTAACACTAGCATGGCTAACTAATGTTGACGTATTTGCTATTTCCAATGAAGCCATGCTACAAGTAAATGAGACGAGACGTCAAAATAGATGTGCCCGTCGTTTGGTGAGAGAATATATGTGGAAATCATAAAGAGCTTTTGTTGATATGAGAAGTGAAATGATGAATTAGGATGAGAAGGATATGAGATTGGATGGGAAACGCTAAGGTCCACGGTGTTACCATAAAGCTGTTATAATAACGTTCGTGAAACCACGTGACTACGTGACACTGATAACAACGCTTATCGGTAGTAATTGATGTGCTAATAAAAGCTTAACTAAATTAAATTTCTAGGTACAATACATACAATACAATGGCTGCAATAGCACCTGCATGAATTTTGAAAAGCTGCTGTATTTAAACTGATTTTTAGCTGATGGTCAAGATTTTAGTCGTCCAGTACTCAATGAGTAGATATGGCCTTACTGCTAAGCTAGACATGTCTAGATTCCTATAGAGAAGCCTGTCGTAAGGACATGATGATATTTCCGCCTAAATAGACCTCATGAGTAAAGTAACTAAATACCTAGGTAAACAGTACACATGATTTTCAAATGATCAAGTTGTTGCATGTAGGTATATAAATGCCATAACGGTGCCTAGAGCCATGGTCTCAAGAGCCTGCCTCATTCTTAGGGATCAGGTTTCGTAGTGACAAGTCATAAATGACATCTTCGACCTTCTTGACGTGATACTTGACAGCATCGACTCGCTTGCGGACAATATCGTTCTTGAGGTTGAGCAACTGGAAGCCAGCAAACAAGTCCTTGATGAACCCGCTGATTCGAACCGTCAAGTCGATGTCGCCCATCGTCACCGAGTTCATCGACAGACGGCTGAGCTCCTCGGTGATGTCCGTCAGGGCTAGGATGTATTCTTCGATGGTGATGTGGAATGCATCCCTATCCTTGAGATTGACTGGTACTTGAACCATACATGTTAATTACAATGGCAATATGATTGGTTGGGACGCATAGGCAGGTAGGTAGGTAGGTAGGTACCTTTGAGGATCTGTCCGACCTCCTCGATAGTAAGAAGGCGACCCAGCTCGCCTGGTCGGGACTCAGTCCCCAAGCCGCCCAGCCATCCGGTCAATAGAATGGTGGTGACGACATTCTGAATACTACGAGCCCATCTACCATTATACCTTTTTGTCTTCCGTTAGCTCTGAAGCTTCAAGAGGGGTAGTCGAAGGCAAATACTTGTAGTAAGGGTATTTGGAAGCAAACTGAGCTAGCTCGCCGACGCTATCGATCTCAGGCTTGATACCTTCATGTTCTACCTGCTGCAGGAGCGGTGCCACTGTAACTTGCGTTAGCGCTGCCATTATGCAATACCAGTGGCATCCATCTATCCTATCTCTCTCTACGCACACTTGGAGCTGGGCGTCGAGTGAATGCGGCTAAGAAGGCCTTGACATGTTGAGACGTGGCGGTTCAAGGCAGCGGTAATCTTGTGAAGCTGGTCGCCAACCTCAAGCTCCTCCTCACCATGAGCCTTGAGGTAGTCAAAAATAGACGGGTCTATCATGTTGGAAGGTCCGTCATTGGCCATTTTGAATGAATTACGAGGGGTAGGTACGTTTGTGGTGCAAATATGAAGAATCAAAGTTTTTTCTTTTTTCCGTTTGAATGTCAGAACGCAACCTTTGGATGATGAAGAGCGGAGCAAACACTAGGAAGGCCCGATGATGCCTGGTTACTATCAATAATAACCACTTGGGGAACAGCAACCACATGTACCCAATTACGAGGTTGGGATTGCCGTCACAACTACGAAGACATCACTAAATATCTGCAATCGGCGTAGAATGCTGGGATAATAATTTGATTGCCATCATATTCACAAATTAATCTGCATAGTATCTACGTATAATACGAGCAAGCTGCATCCTCGGATACAATATCATTGCACTAGTCTTCTTCTTCCTCACATCTCTAGTCAAGCTAAAGATGGCGACGAAAAATGAATAAAAAAGGTTCGCGTCACCTGGAGGCAGTGTAATACCAGGGACACGGTGAGAGCGATCATAGGCAAGCCTAGCGGATGCGCCCCCGCGGTATAAAAATTAGAATAATCACGATTGAGTTCAAGTAGAACTCTTTCAGAGATTAAACTGAAAAGAACAGATACTACACTTGATCTAAGCCAAAAGGCAAAGAGAGCTAAAGAAGAAAAGAAGAGAAAAAGTTCAAAAATGGTGGGAGGAAACCGAGCTATTTATATTGTTTGGGGGGCGGTCAGACCCGGCAGTATGGTGGGGTACAGTGTGAGTCAACAATTAGGAAAGACCCACCTAAGCAGTGCGAATAACTAGTAGGACTTGCCCCACTTCAGGAGTACAGTACCTAAGTCAAGCCTTTTATATAAGGCAACAGCACTGAAGATGATACTGGGCTTAATCCGTATCAAAAACCAAATAAAAATCAGTAAATGTCGAAAAAATCAACTTAAAACTCCTAAACCTTACTTAATACAGTACTGATATTCCTCCCAAGTTCTCAAGTAGGTTTAGTGTAGTTTGCTTAAGCTACTAGATCAGATGAACTACTCCGTACTAACTATCATTGAAGAACCTTCAACCCATATCGTCAAGCCTTTAGTTATGGCGCTCCGCCTAACCACCATTGTGCTGCACTGCAGCCTATCTATCACCTTACCTAGCACATGATATTCCGAATGACCTCCAGGCTCCAGCTACTATGACTCTTGAGTAGGTACATCCATGCTCAATAGCAACATCCACCAATATTAAGTTTCGTAGCGCCCATGAGCCTCCTGGTTTTTTTTTTACGTCCCCTGTAAGCCATCAGTTCAAGAAACTAAACCAGGCACTAACACAGCTTCCTGAGTCATGAACCACGTGGAAAAGAAAATCAACTGCAGGCATGTACCCTTTGGTTTTAGGACCTGCTGTAATTATCGATAACCCGTTCTCGTTCTCGTTCCGTATACGAGAGTTGGAACGGCTGAACTACCTAGTAACTTGGCCCAGATGCTTATAGATGCCTACATGTAGATGCCCAGATAGGTAGCCCTTCCGTGCTACTATGTATGACACAGGCAACCTTGCCAACCGCCAAGCATCTAGACAGCCGCCTGAGCAAACACCTGCCTGTCTGCCTGCCTGCCTGGTGTCTAGCTGGACTACTATCGCGTACATACCTACCTAGGTACTATCGATGGAAAGGGCTGAGCAAACACAGGGACACAGTATTATTGAGCCTTCATAGTTAGGTATTCACAGACGCAAAGCAGGAGAAGAAGACATCACAACGAGAACAGCACACAATAGCGTTGATACTATGTAGGAATGAAACCTACATACCCACGAAGCATTATGTTTAGGTAGACAAGTTCTCTGCGTAAGGGGCTTGAGAGCTTGAGATGGCACGCATACTAGTAAATATATGTACTTCAACAACGCTATTTCTATTCATACAGACTACCTAATACCTACCATATACCCATACTCTCCGCCCGTTCGCTAGTCCCTATGAACCAAGCCTTTCCTGCGCCGCAGGTCCTCTATGCGCCCACCTAATATCATCGCCTACTCCTCCTCCTCCTACTCCATCAGGCGCCCCTTTTGACATCGCAGCCTTCTCCGGAACCTGCGCGAACAAGGCCAGCGCCTCCTCAGTAGCCTCCCCAAGTCCCCCCGTCCTGCTGAAGCGTAAAGTTTCCACGCCGACCTTTCTCTCGGCGTCGGACACGATGGTTCCGTTGACTGCGGTCACGTTACGGAAGTATAGTTCGTCCGTGCTACCTCCATCTCCACTTAGAGTGCTCTTCTCTCTAGACCCGCTAAAGTAAAAGACCTGGTTAGTCGTGCCGTGGCCGGAGCTGTGCCTGCCGTTTCCCGTCTGAGAGAAAAAGGCGGTGCCGTCTCGGTAAGTCTTCAGATGCGACGCAGCATACGGCTCTCCTTTTTCTCCAGTAGAAGAGGCGCCTTCGAATGCCTCTAGTCCCGTCGGAAAAACGGAATCGCCTTCGACTTGTACCTCCATCCCCTGGATGAGATGTGCACGGAGACTCATGTCACCGTTGGGCGAAACCGTGTATGTTTGCTCGCAGGCGAGAGGGTAGGCATACGCAGCCTTGTAGGTTGCGGCAGGGCTGTCGGAGGAATCTACTCCGGTAATGGTGAAGTTGTTGGATTGAGTGACTCCAAAACTTGAGATAAATCCTTGGTTGGAGTACGATAGCGATTGGGACCAGCTGCTTTCCCCGGTCTGAGCCTTCGAGCTGAGCGTTGACTTGATGGATACAATTCTCTCGACAGTCGTGTTGTAAGAGAGAGTCTCGTTGAAGCCTGTCGAGTTCTGTGTGACGAAGCGTGAAGTTACAATATTCGGTTCGGAGATCTCAACTACTGGGTTGACGCCAGTAGTCACCGACCCTTCCTCATCCAACCATAGGAAGACTTTGCCTGTGACATACCAACTATCATTAAAATTTTCTTTCATGACGACGCTGCGATTCCCTTTAGAATCATCCAGGCCGAGAACCTTAATGGCAAAGGTATGTTCAGCACCGTCGCATAGCACAGGAAGCCATGGCGTAATATCAATCTCATGCTCTCTGAGATCAAAAGCTTGAAGACCGACAATGGGTCGGTGCAAGCTAGGTACCACCCCGCCAGTGAATATCACGGGGAAAGGCCACTGAACACCGGCAAGATTGCCATCGATGAGCAATTGCACCTCACGGAAGGGAGACGAGCCAAGCAGCTTCCCCGCAGTTTTGTTGAAGGTGAGAACATCGCTCTGTAAGACATTGGCCCACCAAAATTCCTCGGCAGCTTGGCCATTGGCAGAGATGGAGAAGACGGCCCTATTGGCGTGTTGAGGAAATGCGATCGTGCTCGTCGCGTTATCAGCTGGCAACGTAAAATGACTAGCTCCATTGGCCGCTCCTTTCCTCGCAGATATGGGGATAATTAGGTCAGCCGGAGGAGCCGCGTCTGGGTTAACGTCGGCCTGGAAGAACGTAGCGGTAAGAGTAGCGTTGAATGACCCCGTATATTTGTCGTTAACCAAGTTGCCCAAATCGAAGATCAACTTCTGAGGGGATTTCCAAAAATACAAATATTCAGTCATGTCTTTCATGAAGGTCCAACGGATACCGGGGGGCTGTGTGGGTTCTGCGGTTGAGGTCCGCCATACCTCCGTATCCCCGAAGTACATCAACGCCAGGCGATCAAACTGGCGACCTGAAGATACAACAGTAAAATTCATGATGACTCGGTTAAATGTACAGTTTGGCGGAGTATAGTTTCCTGTTGTAAGATTAGCAACTACAAGGTCAAAGTATAGTCACATTCTCTCTCTCTATCGCCTACCAACAAAAGGCATGCCGTAGCTGAATGCAAAAACATGTTCCATCAACAAGGCTGAGCACGCCTTGTGCGGAGAGCCATCCGCAGCTGGTTCGGACTCATTACTAGCTGTCGGGTAGAAATACTCGTTGTCCAGAGTCGTCACTGGCTGCGCGACTTGAAAGCATTCCAATACATTTGCCGTCGCAGTGGGTGATTCTTGTTGTCGCTTTAGGTCTGACCGAATGAAACTCTTGCACCCTGAAGGGATCCAGATTGAATCCGCGATTAGATCCGGGTAATCCAACCTGGACGCCCAAATACACGAGAGAAAAGCTAGCAGAATGATTGACCACTTGAGCTTTGGCTGATCCTTTTGAGCTGGACTGGTCTCCCGCTCATCCAAGCAGTCTGTGATATCATGAAGACTGCCCGTATAATCGGAGATCGCTTTCTCCGAAGTAGTAGGAATCATCGTGACGCGTATAAATAAGAATTAGGTATTGAAACCTATATAAAAAAAAATAGATCGAGAGGCTTAGATCGTCACGGGTATGGAGGGTTTTATGCGCATCTTGTTTGAGGGAGAGGCGTAACCTAGGTAGCGACCATCAAAGTATGAGACACCATAGCCCGACTACGATTTGACGGAGGAATCTGTCTTAGGAGTTTATACACTCAAATAGTGGCATAATGGGCGCCAGGTATGTAGGCTATTCTACGTAGTAATTAATAGTCAGGAGTTATAGTCAGGAGTTAACGTTGCTGGTGCTTATTGTTGATGTTTACAACTAGTAGTACCTACAGTACAGTCTACAGTACAGTAGATGCGATGAGATAGAGGGGATTAGGTAATCAGTGGCTTAAGTAATCGCTCGCAGGGGTTACCTAGGTTACCTCAAGACTATCCCGCCGCCATCAAACTCACTCCTCAACCATAATTTCATCATCACATTCCGTACTGACTACTCAAGCGAATGTTAGGTAGGCATGTCCAAGATTCACGTGGTAATTAATACTCCACAAAGCTGAGAAATGTAAAGGAGGCAGCATTCTTTTATCACACAATTTATACAATTTATCTACCTCCTAGGTAGTCATGTTCTTCCTCTGCCAATATAATACAGTCTGAGCATCTTCAAGGTTATTCATAAATAACCATGATTACTCCCATCTCCTAACCCCCTTCTTTCTCGAAATCCCGCTCCCGAAACAAATCGGAATCCTCGCCACCATAACCATAATAACGCTTGGGGTATAACCTGCTCGATTCAAAAGGAAAGAAAAGAAAAAAGAACAGCTGAACCAATCAGGTTGAACCGTGTAGAGTATCCATCCCCGAAACTCTTGTTATATACACTAAGGTATATACCGATCTTACGATATGCTGTGTCGTCGAAACTCTTCAGTAGGGTATTGCGGGTCTTCCGTCGGACCGGCATGATTAGGATTTGTGTACTGCACCAGGATCTCCGGCACCGGACCGTTCTCTCCTTCATATGATGTGTAATATACATTGTACTCTGTAAGGTACGTTGGGACCCTTCGTGTATCGTACTCCGGGAGGTTTACGTATGTGCTTGCGTTCTCGGGGGGTACGTCCAGGTTATCCCAGTATCGCCGTGTGGCCTCCATCGCCAGCTCGGCTCGTCCCAACTCCGCGTCCCTGTGGCGGAAGAAGTTGAATATGGAGAACTCGTCCCGTGTCATGACATACGATGATGGCGCCGCGTAAATCTTCATCCATATAGAGTCGAGAGTTCGGTCAAGAGCTCCTCGGATGATGTCATTGTTGAGAGCCTCGGGGCATTTTCTGACCATGTCTAGCGCTTCTGAACCGTTGGTATACTTGGCATCTTTAGGTACAATAACCTCGAGTTTGGGTCGTGGTTGCTGTAGCCGTAGTGCTCGGACAGTCTTCTGAAGTGATGCTATCAAGCTGCCTTTGTCGAGAGCTTCCAACCGTAGTGGTTGGGGTTCTTCGGGCGTTTGGGTAGGTGATGCGAAGTCCATTGCAGGGCTGTTCTCAGTCTGCGATGACAATGTTTGATTTTCTGGATCGGCCTCGTGGCTTTTCAGAGGCTTGGTATTGGGCAACGTCATGTTTGTTGAATCGGCAGGTGTCTCGCTAAAACTTTCGAGAACCCACTCGACAGATAGACGTTTATGACGGGTGTCCATTGATTTTTTGGGGGGGGATGTGAAGGGTTGATGGATGATGGGATTCTGCAAGTATCGAATCGCCAAATAATATCTGAAGTGAGTACGTAAGTGTAATATCGAGAGTATATATGAGATGCATAAGTTTATTACTTAGAGGAGGCTACCTGAGTATTTATAGAGAAAGCAAGCAAACCTACGATGGGTAGGTGCCCAGTAGTTAGTCGAAAAAAGGGGAAAACTTAGTTGTTAGGTAACTCCGATCTTCGACAGGGGTAACAACGTTTGCTACAGTGAGCCAAAGGAAAGGAGTTGTTTGCTAAGCACTTGAGGCAGTATAAAAAAACGAGACCTTAACGCCTCGCAAGACAATCAACGTCCAAAGTTAAGTTTGGCTAACAGTTGGTAGAATAAAGGGTCAAGACAAACTCCTATGAACTAACCCCGTTAGCGCCCCTAGCCACCTGAAATCATTTGCCATTACCTACATGTATACATTTCGTATTCGCCGACGTCGTGAAGAGATCTATCTCTTCGAGGACGGATATGACTTGGCCGAGGAGTATATGATAGTTTCGTACGCTTGTCTAAGGTTACATCGCTGTTATGAATATACTTTACCAACTTCTAACTATCATCTTACATTTCTAAGCAGCTATATACCAGAGAGTTGTAAATGTATACCGCATAAGCTATAGCAAAGGGGGCATCAAATAACCAAAGACGCACCTTAGAAGGCACCTACTTGCGTACCTAGACTGGTGCCTACCTACCCAGGACCCAGGTACCGCACCGTCGTTCTACACTATTGTGACCAAGACTAAAATTTAAACTTTTCATTCATTGGGGACCTACCCATGGCTCCCGATCCCCTGGGCTCGATCTCACGTGTCTCAACGGTCTAGAATGTGGGCTTTTACTAAGGTATTTGCCATTCCCGCAGGCGTGGTCCTTGTCACAACGTGTCAGTCTTAAAGAATCGCTTAACTCTATATGAGGTGGATGATGTATGGGCTCCAATGAGATGTCGAGTCAGCCTCGGGATTTCGGGGTCTGCTGTCGATATGGCGTAATAGTCCAATCGGCTGAGGGGGAAAATATCCGTCTCGTTAGTGGCTTGAACCATCTAGGGGGTGGTTGACGAGGGACGGCATCTTTGAACATGATACCATTGTCGACTCTAAGATAGGTACTAATTGGGGATAGACCGTCGCGAAGGCGCTGCTTGGGAGTCTGGATGGCTTCTAGTATCCCGAGATGTTCACTCTCGTAATTGGACACCATTGACCCAGAGACGCCATGAACTGTCGCTGCCGTAAGAATCGTACCACTTCAGTGCAGTTATGGAGCACATGGCGGAGGAGATATGTGAAAGCGGGTTACCACCGCATCCCAACGTCATGCTAACAGAGATCCGTTGAACTTTGTTCCCCACGCGTTCTCCATACACTGGCATACAGACCCTGATTTTGCACTTACCAACACGTCCCTACATAAATGTTAGGTAAGCTCATGGATGGGATATTCAAGCGTTTCAATGCTTATTATAATCATCTCAACTACTACCCAGGCACCTAGTTGAGATGAAGTCCTTGGAGGTATACTTGTGATCGGAGGGGTTGTGTTGTAAGAACAACAAAACTTCAATTGGGACATCAATCGTTCTCTAGTAGCTCTAGCCAGACTAATCCCCTTTCTTTTCATGCCCATCTTGGTACCTGATTTGGAGTAGGAAAGAATTCGCAATAGTGATCGGCCAATATTTGACCTAGGTTAGGACCTTGGCTATAACTCTATTGGGCCCTATTATTCAGCCCCTGACACGATATACAGGAATACCCTTGATTTTACAGATTATGAGCTTATGTAAATATCATGGAAATAATATCGACCTAGATAAATAGGTACTAGAAAGAAATGAAGACCGATAAACTTTGAACTAACTTTTTTCTCCATCATAATGCACGTGTCTTACTCCTGGATGTTCGCCGTGCCACAATAACGAAGGCCAATTGCAGTAGTTGTCGGCTTTGCCGTGATCTCAATCGGCAGCGGTCATAATTATGTTTGTCGTCGTTGTCATCACACGTCCTTTTCGCAATACCTCTGAATATTAGATGAATATTTACGGGAATTTGGAATTTTCAAACTGAGTATTGCTGTCAATTAGGTACTAGGTATGTTCTATGTGGAGTGCGTCTATTGGTTTTCTTTTCTGATAAATCGTACGACGGTACAACCTCTCTTAATATACAAGCTTACCTAGGTAAGTAGGCACTTATGCAGATGCTTAAGCGCAAGTTGAATATGCAATGACCTTCCGAAGTCTTGAGAAAACTTGGAGTAAATTCTCATTCGCGTCCTTCAATAATTTTCAAGAAGACATGCTTGATTACCGCTTGGCTTGTCGCTTCCCAATATTCCAGCCCCATGATCTAAGGACCTTGACTACCTTAGGAGTGATAGCGGCAGTCAAAGGAACTCGCAGGAAAATGAAACTCTTGTGCACAGCATAGGCTAGAGCCAACTGAGTACCGAGACCTAGTAGTGTAATCCGTTAGCCGTCTTCACTCATATAAATTTGGCAAAACTTACTGGCTTCGGCACTATGTCTTCTCTCAGCCTCCTCGACGCCCCAGCCAGCCATCTCGACATGTTCGCTAATCTCGTCGTTGCCAAGATTTTCCTTCTCGGCATCTTTTAGGGCTTTACGGTACTCGTGCCACCACTCTCGCACCGATTCGGGTATCACCTTCTTGACATTGGAAACCACAAAATGTTCGAATTCGCCTAGACTCTGTCAGCGAGTGTCTTCATTGACAGGGTGTGACAGCCAGTACTAACCAATCCTGTCCGTTCCTAGTGATCGCACGAGTAAGAAACAGAACGGAAAGTCCAGTACAGTTAGCGCTAGGTAAACTCCCAAGGAGGCCCAGCCATATTCCCTAGAGAGCTTTTTGAGCCTTGCCGAAATTCCTGTTGGTTCTTCTTTCGTGGGACCCTTTGAGTCTTTTGGGGTAGGTTTTGCGTCCCGTAATCGAGAGGTCTTGGAAAACGGTCGTCGTGTTGAACGTAGCGGTAATTTGAGCAGCTTAGATATGGAGTTGGTGGTTGTTGGTCGTGTGACTTTAGACAGCTGTGAACTGGACAAAAATGTTCGCTTCCATACTGCTCTTTCTACCTTCGGTGCCGCCTGCCGTAATACTCGGGTTCCTGACGATCCGACGATCCGCTGAAATATGGAGGGGTAAATTTGTGACATCTCGTCAGTTTTCGTCGTGAGCACCTAACAGACAGAAATTTATGGTGAGTTTCGGGGTAGCTAATGCGGCGGATAATTCGAAATTTTTCTATAGAATGCTGAGAGTGCTGACAAGACGGATGATTTCGGTCGAGAAGGTTCGGGGAGTTAGATAGAGCTATTTCCGGTTGCGCCGTGAAGCACTCCGCTGTCCACAGCTGGTAAAATCCGATTGGATCTTAAACTAGGGCATTAACACACGTGTTTCCCTAACGATTGCCAGTTATCAATCAGTGTGGTAAGTAGGATAATATCGTATTATTCTCTTCGGAGAACTGATCACGATGACACGACGATAATACAAGGTAAGCTTAGCTTAACAGCTCCGACGGAGAAAAAAAATTATCATGAGCTTAAATTGATCAATTCGGTAACACACACATGCATAGTGATGCAACTGCCCTGCTGGGCTAGGTGTCCCAAGTACCTAGTTACCTAAAAGATCCACCTTTTGTAGTCCAATGAGATTCATCGATAGTTTAACCCCGTCCGGCACCGTTGGATCATCCGATTCCGATGCCGACATTGATACAGATAGGTATCGATATACTCTGTAACTACAACATAACCTTAGAACTGCGAAGTCTGATTATCTAGGTAGGTAGTCAAGGTGTTGACTCCTTCATAATAAGCTCTAGTGATATACTCATATATGAATAGCATTATCATTACTGTTCTAGTGTAGCTTGCATAATACAGTAGCTTATTGTGAAGACACGTTTATGATTCTCAGAGGCTAGAATATAAAAGTTGGTTGTTTAGACAGATTACTCTTGATCTCACTATATACTATGTGTATGATGTATACATATATAGCCAGAATATAAAGACTGCGACGGTGTGTTGTTGCAGTAAAAGTGCTCTTTTAGGTTGGTTGTTGTTGGATACTTCGTACTCGTTATTCTTCCAAGAGATGCATATGTCCACCGAATCTTGGAACGCTAAGGGGAGACGGCAAGGCGCAAAGACAAAAACGCAAAGACGCAATATTTGCTATGTATAGATATCTTAGTTGCATGTAGCATGTAGCATAAGACTTGTCGGGTCCACTGGCTGTTGTGTTGTGGGAGATGAGGTTTCTGCAGGGCCCTGGCGGTTGCTGGGTCAAGTTGTTAAACATAAGGGTCCAATCATTCTCAATGCGGGGACTTATCAATAACGATCATTCTGAAGCTATGGCCCGGGGTGGGATGGGATACAGGGAGAGGGGTATGATCTGATTGGCTATTGGCTAAGTGTCCGGCCAACGACCTAGCACCGAGTTCTGCGAGTACAAGGGTATTTTCTGGGTATTTTCTGCGTAAGCAGGTACAAATACCTTGTTATGTAGGTGCCCTTGTTTGATTTGGAACCTTGAGACCGCAAAGAAAGTTGCAGAAATCAAGGCGACAATATAATAAGAGATCACATGCGAAACATTGAAAACAAGAGATAACAAGAGATAATTAGAAATAAATACTCTTGAATATAACATAAACATAACAATTGTTTTTCCTTTTGATTTATTTTATGTAAAAGCAAAAACGAATGAACATTGAATTGCGCCAGCGACATATACATGTACATGTATTTTCTGCGTCACTGCTACTTTTACAAGATCTGATGAGGTCATAGTTCGCCAAATATAGGAAAAGGTGCCAGAAAGTGCTATCCCGCTATCCCGCAACTGCCGATCGCCAGGTCATTGATATATCGATAATAGGGAAATATCGACATAGCGACATAGCAAAGAAGCTTGATGCGCATCATCTGATCGACATTAACACCCCATAAACCATAAATCTCTTCTCGCCCAATCATACCAACACTTATCCCCGAAACAAACAATACCAACTCATTCATACCAGCACTTGACACTTTCGTCCTCACCAACACATACTTGTATGTACCCTTAAAACCTGGTACCTACTATCTATTACCTACCTAATTCATAAATCCATAAATCCATAAATCCATAAATCCCATACTCGGTACTACATACCTATCAGTCTCTATTCATTGTGTTGTCCGACAATACATTGAACGAGAAAATCCTTCGAGAATATCATCGAGGTCATAAATTTGCGCCGCCCTTTCCGATCCCGACGCCACGCTTTATCGACGCTTTCGTCCACGACCTTTGTCGCGTATAACTACTACATAAAGCTTATAAGCTCCACCTTTACACACTGGACAACTCGAAAATAAACTACACCTACATTGCGATTTAGCGATAACTATCATCAACATGGAGACCATGATCAGATCTATCCTGCGACTAGTGCAGCTACTTCTCGTCCTGCTCACTACCGCACTCATCGGCAATGTCATCGCTAGCAACATCAATGGCGCCGAATCCGCCGTGAACTTCATCATGTTTGTGTGTGTGCTATCCTGGCTCGCCGTCATCTATGGTCTGGTGTCGCATTTCGTCTCTTCCCTTTCGATCCCTATCGCTGCGCTGGCACTCGACAGTGCTGCTACCTTATTTACTTTTATCGGCGCCATTGTTCTCGCCGCAAAGTTGCAAGCCGTGAATTGCTCTAATTTGGTACGTTGCTCCGCTATCTCTTCCCTCGGTTACCTAACCAGGTATCTGAATGAATACTATTTCTAACGCTGTTGCCTGTGCGTAGGGGCGCAAAACAAGCGACTACATCGTTTTCGGTTCCAACAACGATGAAAAACGCTGCCGCGAGATCCAAGCTAGCACCGTGTTTCTCTGGTTCCTCTTTGGAACCTTTGCCGCCAGTTTGTTCTTCGTCATGAAAGAGTTTCGACGCGGTGGCGGTTCCGTTCGCGGTCCTAACATGTCCCAGATCGGCGTGTAGGGTGTTGATCGGATCGACGACCATCATTTATCATGGTAAACGAAAGGGTGATGTGTTTATGACTCGACAAGAAAGTAATGTGTGTTGCAGCTGGAGGCTGTACGTGTGAAATAAGGGGAAGGGGGGAATAGGCGTCAAGGTTAAGCTTTTCTCTGGGAAGATCCCCAGAGTAATTAATCTCTTGCGCTGGTGCCGCAAGCTCTTTCTCTTCCCCCATCTCTCCCTGAGACGGATTGGAAAGAGTTATCGAATCCATATTATGTACGTTTTTGACGGCGTGGTCTTGGTGGTTTACGCTTGGAATACGGGATCCGACACCAACTGCAACTGTATGAGGGTGTGTTTTAAATTACACAAGGAAATGATCATTTTTTGTCTGGGTTAGTCGAGTATTTAGATACACGAGATACCAATAGGGTATCAATAATATGAACTTTTAAAGTCGGCCCCCATCCGGGACTCAAGTTGTGATACAGACGACGCTTTTTCTCTACTCCCTCCCACATGACAAACCCCTTTTTCATCTTTACTTATACTTCCCCTCGAGCAGTGATTTCCCCTGTTCCCAGCGTGCTAATCCCCTCATCGGATTCAAGTCTATCCAACGCCCTGGAAACTTCTTTATCGTAGTTGCTCCAACTAACAATCACCCATTCGAGAATCCCAACCAGATATAAGGCGACACACTGACCGATCCACAGCCCCTGGAGACCCCATCCATGAAAAGCCAGGTAAATCCCCGCCGGCAACGCACCGCCATAGTAACTCAGCAGGTTTACGAGAGCACCGACCCATTGCCTACCCATACCTCTCAGCACACCGCCGCAACTTCCGTTCCACCCATCCGCGATCTGGAATAGCGCTACCAGTGGCATCACATCGGCGACCAGCTGGACCACACGGTCGTCGTCGTTGAATATCCTGCCGAAGACATTTTTGGTGCTCATCAGAATAGTCAGGATGATAGTGCCTAAAATGGTTGACAGAATCGCCGCACTGTGGGCCGCACGCCGCGCCTCTTTGGGTTTCTGTGCGCCGAGAAGATTGCCTATGCGCGCTGACGCAGCGACCCCGAGACCGAAGGGAACCGTGTTGATAACCTGGTCGGCGGTCATGATGACGGACTGCGCGGCCAGCGTGATGGTGCCCAGCCTGCCGGCAGCGAGCGCGACGATCTCGAAGGCCCACCACTCCGTGCCGACGTGGATGACGCCCAAAAAGGCAAGGCGAGCAAACGGCCATACGTTGGTGAGGGCGCGTCGGGGGGCGAGGCCACCCCAGCACTCGTGGCCGCGGACGAAGGTCGCGTAGGCGACGAGCAGGAGGAAGGAGATCCAGTACGAGATGCCCGTAGCGAGCGGGGCGCCGTGGAGGCCCAAACCGAATCGATAGATGAAGAGGTAGTTGAGCAGGGCGTTGAGCGGCGACGTGATGAGCAGGACGTAGGTGCCTGGGCGGTAGATCTCCTGCGCCTGCAGGTACTTCTTCATCGACTCGAACCACACGTACCCCAGCCCGCCCGGGATCAGGATGTGCAGGAACTTGCTACCTTCCACGCAGATGAACTCTTCTTGCCCCAGCGCGCGGAACAGGGGCTCGGAAAACCCCCATATCACGGCTACGACGGCGTAGAAGGCCGACAGCACGATTATCCCTCGCTGCAGAAGTACGCCGAGGTCGTGCTTGTCGGTTGAACCGGTGAAGCTTGTTGAGGCGAGCGTGTCGAGCGCGGTGGTGCCGCCCATGGCGATTAGCCAGCCGGAGGCCTGTGCGAACACTGTGTGCGGGGAGGGAATCTCAGGTCAGTGGCCATTTTCTTCTTACTTCGAGACTGTCACATCTAGGCTACACATTCAAGATGCTAAGTAGTAGGCAGGTTACTCACTATAGCTAAACGCAGCCGTCGCCAACGCCTCGGGGGAGAGCCGGCCCACGATCAGGACGGAAATGGTCTGCAGGCTGTTTTGCAACGTGTAAGCCATTATCACGGGGATCGAGGTCTTGGTCAGGAGCCATATTTCGGAGAGCCATTGTCGGTATTCGGGGACTGCTTGGCTACTACTGCTCTCCGCATTGGTCGAAGAAGAAGACGAGGAAGGGGGCTTGGGGAGGAGGGCGGTCGTTTCGTCGGCGGCGTAGTTGGAGGGGTTTGGAGACACGGGGGTCAGGGTCGTTGACGAGTGGTCGTCCGCCATTGTGAGGGGGGGGGGGGGGGGGGGGGGTTGATTTTAAGGGATCCGACAGTTTGGAATGGTATAAAAACTCGAGCAAACCAGGAAATAGGAGGTGAGGAGGATATTGGTTGTCTACATGTTTTAAGGAGTGTTATACCTACCTACTACTTACCGACTTTACTTGCCTACCTAGTAGCATCCCGCTCTATCTCCAACGGGCATTATACATCAGGTTACTAACTCCTTAACACACATTTCTTCACCTTTTTTTTTTCTTCCTCTACCCAATGCCGCCCTGTATAAAAGTGCCTAGATCGAATCCTGTTATCTCTCACCTATCTCACCTCATCTACATACATACACACATACATATTTTTTTTGGCATGCAAATCCCAGGGGAGATAGATAACCAACCGCGAGCCCACTTCGTTGGAATGGAACGGGTATAGAATCCTCAATACCTACAGTAGTTTCTGTGGAGGTGCATTAAGGGCGAGTGCGTTGATAAGCTAGAGATATTCACTAGGTTAGGTACTAGGTATGTAGTAGAAAGTAGAACAGCTAGCCAATGCCGTTGCTAGATACTGTAGGTATGTAGTATGTAGATGTCAGACGCAAAGTGGGAAAGCGAGGAAGGCCCCCAATGGCAAAACGGAAACCAAAAAGGGAGATAGATAGAAAAAAAGGAAAGAAAAAAACTAAAAAACTAAAAAATTTACAGTCGATTCGCCAATCGGTTCGGGCGCCAAGATATGACGAAAAGCTGTTGTAAGTCGGTGTCCTGGTCCTTGGCATGGGGATGGGGCAAGCAAAACGCACATGCTATAATAATGCGGAGCCCCCGTTCGCTCGCTCGCTCAAAGGCCGGATTGGATTTGTCCATAGGTACATACATACATACATACATACACATGTCTCCCGCGAATGCGGGTGCTTTACCTTACTTACTTACTTTACAGTACCTACCTATCTAAAGCCAATTGGATATTATTAAGTAATGGGATGCCATTGCATGCATAATGGATGGGCATTGGGTGCTGCGACTTTGCAGCATGGACTTTTACCCAATAGCAGGTACCATAGGATGTGCATGCTGCTTATCGAAAGACAAGAAAGAACTTAATAGAAGGGGTTTATACATTACATACACCGTACCCTAGGTATGATGTGTGTAATGGGTATTATAAGTTCAATGTTATAGAGAAAAAAAAATGTAAAAATAATTACGCAGCGATATCACACTGTATTTCCCCCCTTCCCCTTCATTGGCTACGCTACCTAAAAACCATCGAAGTTGAAATAGTTGACATGTTCAATGTTGTAGTATGGGCCCGGCTAGAACTATATGCTAGGTATTCGCCTAAATAGTAGAGCCTTATGGGGGCTATCTCCAATACGTGTATATGCCAAGTTAAGAATATATAGAAGCAATAGGTAGTAGTTAGTTAGTTCTTGTATTCTTTCTTCAGACCGTCTTTATGTACATACGTCGTACCTAGACCTTGACAGGATCTCGGGTCTTGAGCTCGGCTCGACCTCCTGTACCTAGGTTAGGTAATGTATATAATAACTAATCCAATAACATAAACCTCAAAAATTTTCACGGTATAGGTACCTATTCAAAGCAAGAATACACAGCTTAGCTTACGTTAAACGTTATTCTAAACGATTGAGGTTGATTGCACTAGTCGCCCCATGGACTGGAGTAGGGGATCGCATCCAAGAAACCGCAAGCGCCGGCTCTTAGAGAGGAAACTAGGCTCGAATGAGTATATAAAATGCAATTTACTATGGGTCCAGACTGCTAACCAAGTCTGTCAACTTGACTGCACATATTTTTTCGACTTAATAACGTTCAATGAAGAAGGTCCAGGCGTAGGAATGGCCTCATGTTGCTATGTATTGTACATACAACCCTGCGGCCTCCAGGGCCGGCGAGCTGAACGATGGCGGCACGTGAGAGTCACGGCTGTTCAATGCGTAACTCGGCCGCGGGAGATATGCATTCTTGGCACTATGAAGGGAAACATGTGGTGATATTCTCCTCTCGTTCCCCATTGGGGGCGGTTTCAAATGTAATCGACGAGTACTCTGGCCCAAGCGGTCCAGGTCGCTCCATTGTGACCTCCTGCTGACCAAAAAGGTAATGCGCACCTACCAGTCGTTCTCAAATATACTAGACAAATACTAGGTAAGCAATCTATATTTATATAGCGATATATAGTAATTTTTTGGTATTTCAGAAGCGACTCTCGGATACTTCGCCATGTCGTCCAAATAGGGGCTGTGTATCAAGAGAGGAGCAGACTGACTTGTCATCCTACTCAAGGGTGATGTGTTCTCATTCATCAAACCCCGACCCCAACCCCTTTTGGACCAATTTCATGCAGTGCTTGGTCCCAAATGGTTCAACTAAACTCATGAAAGGAGACATTCAAGTCTACGACGACGCCGTCTACCTTCGCATGATTAATCGAAGTCAGCTCGGAGTGCCAAGGGCCTCCCTGGGGGCGAGCTGGAGCAATACTGCTACATGTATGTAGCCTCCATACTCTTCGGGGAGAGGTTAGAGTCCCCGCGCAGCAGCTATGCTGTTCTGCGTCTTCTAGGTCTCGCCTCGTGACACGAAGAGTGATAAATCACGATTTAGGAGATACGGCGTTCTCGTTATAATTGACGGGCCGGCCCCCCATCCTCCCTTGATAAAGGTACAACCGTAGACGCCGGTAGTGCTCATAGCTAGGTCTAAGATCACGAGAAGAGTGTATGTCCTTCGGAAGGGGGACATCGAGAACGAATGTGATCAACCATAACGCAATGTTTGGTTATATTTAGGACCTCCCCAGGTAGTTCTTGTTCAAGACGAGCTTTGTGATATCCAATGTGTGGAGTAGATTCAGTATAGTGCTTACCTTGGTACGAATTGGCATTTTCCATACTGTAAAGCGGTATCCATAACTCTTGCTTCATGCCATACTCGACAGGTAGATTGGGTACTTAACAAATTATTGCTAGAATAATTCCTATAAAAAAGGAAGCAAGCGCTTGGCAGCTTAGCCGACGAGTAGTATATCAAAACCAACGTACCTACTCACGTATAGCGAGATATTATATAATCCGTAATAGCGATACGCATTGCTGGTACAATGTCAAGGGTCATTCCAGAACTCAACAGCCTCAGCTCAGTCATCGTCAGATACATAGCCTGATGTTATATGAGGAGAGTAAAGAAGCTTGCTACCATCCATCACAATCCAATGCCGAATTCCTACATACAAGGTGTGGCTTGGAGGAACAGTCTGATAAGACGTTACACCCCCGGTCGTAAGCATACATTGTTGCTGAATAGGCAAAAGTGTGCGACCTCCTTATAGTAGTAATACTGGTAGCAACAACAGGGTTTCTCCGCACCCCGTTATCTCACGGGGAGACGGGATAGCCTTTTTGAAGAGGGCGCAGGAATAAAGTAAAGTAACCTTCCAATGTGGTGACCCTGATTTTGATGCCGGATCATGTACCCGAGGCATGTTCGCAACGCAGCCTCTCGCATCTTGACCGGCAGATCAAATAGTACTACTGTCATGGTAGATCAAATATATGAAGGCTGATGCCGTGGCTTGTGTTAGAGTAGTATGTTCATGTGTCCATTTTTTAATAGAAGGACATAAAACCGAGAAACGTTCAGTAAACACTAGGCATTGGTTGTAAATCGAACGAACCGTAATATTCACTCAAACTGCAAGAGACACTCATAATGTCTTTCGAAGATGTATCATCACGGGCTACTGCCCTTCGACAAGTGGTTCAACTTATCCAGGACGCATCGGAATCGCTGATATCATCGTGGGAGAATCCGGCTCCGGATGCGGTACCAGCCTCGGAGACTAGCTTTGCCATACCCGGTCGAAAGGCATATAATGCACAGCGAACGATCATTGCGGCGCTGGGCTCAATTGAGGAGCTTGTGGCCGAGCCTCATCTACGGCTCGTGGATTTCGCCGAGTTATACTTTGAAGTTCGAGCACTCCACATCGCCGTCGAACACGACATCGCTTCCTTGTTAGCTAAAGGCGGAGTAGATGGCGTTCCTATCGAGGAACTCGCGAAGAAGTCAGGGCTTGAGCAAAGCAAGCTCGGTGAGATATGGCCCTTAACTCGGCTTCATTTCGTCCACTTATCACTGACACATATAAGTCCGCATCTTGCGAGTCCTGACAACGCAGCACATCTTCCGCGAAACTGCGCCAGGTAGATACGCGAATAACAGGATCTCCCAAGCCCTAGCCGATGACGAGAGATTACGAGCACAGGCTATATGCAGGTAGGTAGACGCAGCTGTCTATTAATCAACATTATGCTGATGAATTATCGATCGATAGTTCGATGGGTTACGCAGCTTCGTCTGCACTACCGGAGGCGCTAAATGACCCTATTCGAGGACCAAGCCACGAGCCTCAACTCGCAGCATGGCCGTTAGCCATGGGAACCGAAGCTACCTGGTTTGACTGGATGAACGAGAAAGTTCCCCGTTCACGGGCTGGGGAAAAAGCAAGTCCCGGTGCGGCGAGAGGGTCCTACAAGCCCGTAGATAACACATCGTCGGATGAAGAGTTGGTCCCAAGGCATGACGCTATTACGTACAATATGTACTTAGCGGGCAATAGTAAGAGTTTAGGAAGTCCTCACCTATATGACTTCCCTTGGGGAGAACTGGGAGATGCCTTGGTTGTCGATGTTGGTGGCGGTGTGGGTAAGTCGCCTCTCAAAAGCTGAAAAGGCCACGCGTTGGCAGTTTACTGACACAACCACGTATAGGTAGTTTTGACCTTCAACTAGCTCAACTATACCCAGAGCTACGCTTCGTCGTACAAGACCAAGTTACAGCAATCGAACAGGGAATCTCGATGTGGCAAGAGGAGTTTCCCGAAGCTTTGGCTTCAAGACGGGTACAACTCTTAGAACATGACTTCTTCAAGCCAAATCCTATCAAGGAAGCTGATATTTACTGGATGCGACATGTCTTGTACGTCCTCGAGTGGTCCTTATATAGAAGCTATGACTAACGCCAAGCAGACATGACTGGAATGATGAGGATTCCGTGAAAATCCTCCTAAATACCGCCGAGGCTATGGGTCCGAATTCGCGGCTGTTGGTTGCCGATATCACTTTGATTGAAACTATAGGAGACCCTTATATTGAGGCAGCACCTAAACCCCTATTGGCGAATTACGGTGTTCACTCTCATCACGGGTTTGCCCTCGACATAGCCATGATGTCTCTGATGAACGGTAGAGAGCGTACCCCGTCGGAATTCCGAAAACTGTTTGAACAGGCAGGACTAGAGATGGTTAAATTATGGGACTGCCGCAGTATTTTGGGCATCATGGAGTGTCGCAAGACATGATAATGATACCTACTTGGAGGGATTGAAGACTAGGCGGCATCCATAAGTAGGTGGCACCCAAGGTCAGTCTGTTTGATCCTAAATCGACTCTCCTGATTGCTCGAGTACCTAGTAATATTTACCTACATAAGAGGTAGATGGAAGTGTGACACTGCCATACTCACCGCTCCACCTGTTCGATGTCTCAAGTGTTGCACTGCCTTGTTGGGCCGCATTTCACGATACAACTCAAGCATAAGAAAGATAAAGAAAGGCTGGTAGATTCGGGTAGATGTCAAGAAATTGGATGAGGGGGACGCCATCATGTCTTGCTTACAGATGCGTTCGTGCAGGTAGCGTTACACGGCCTAGCTGGACTTGTTGAGCTATAATTAGATGCCGAATCATGTTGACCATTTCCTAGTCAGATTGATATCATGCCACGGACAATTTTGTTTGGGAACGCATGTAGGCTGTGAAGGTGAGGTCGTACTTGGGGTTTTATTCTTTATAGTTCCGATGCCGCCAATGGTGAAGCCCCTTGGAAGTGCAGTTGCAGTACGGGAGGCAAAAGGCGCAAGGCGAGATTAATGTGTATTCATGTGTATGAATATATTTGACGTATGCAGGTAGGTACGTACTACTAGTAGTAGGTGTGGAAGAAGTGAAACTGAACCTGAGAATGAAAATAGAAATGAAAATAGAAATAAATAAAAGAGAAACGAGTAATAGAAATAGGGGGGGGCTACTACAATAAGGTTTATCACATCCATGGATACTATCTCATCAATGATTCATGCATGTACCTACCCTCCTAGAGTAGGTACTCAGGTACTTGCGTTAAAGTTTCCAAGTTTCAATGATGTTTCTAAATAAAGATTTCAGCCCGCGTTAGATCGACGGCGACCTGGAAACGGTACAAGGCCTAATCTTTGCCCCACGGTGGGGGCCAAAGGCACCTAGTAGCGGGGTTCAACGTTCATTCCAGGCCTTGGTTGCCTTGGTATAGCTCATCCATCAGCTTGCCCCCCCAAAAAAACACTCACTCACTAATCTCTGGTCCGTTTGTTACACTCCTTTTCCAACTCAACTCAACTCAACCCTGCCTTACTAAACTGAGCTTCCTCTGCCTATTTGCTATTTGTTACCAAGGCCTTTGCATATCTACCTAGTAGGTATTGGCTTTCCTTATCTGGTATTCAACTCTTGAATATAACTTTTCTATTTTCTTTGAGCCGGGTGGAAGGAAGAAGCTACACCTACTGCTTCGCTTAATAGCTTCGCCTCGTTTGTCCTACCTATCAAATCTCCATCTATCTCCCACTAGGTACCTATCTAGCTACGTAGTCAGTCACTTTGGACTCAAGTTGCGAGGCTCTCGAGAGTACAAGTAGAGCGTGTCACCGCCTCGCAAAATATCGAGAAGCATATAGTCCCTTACCTCAACCTTCCTCGAGCTTAAAGCAAACTGCCTACAACCAACACAATGGCATCCGACAAAGACCCCATCACATGTCACGTCCTGGATACTTCCGTGGGCAAGCCTGCCAAGGCCATCCGCGTGAAATTAGAAGGCGGTCATGCCCCTCTCAAGACTTTCGAATCTACAACCGATGACGATGGCCGCATCAAGGCCTGGCTACCCTACTCAAGCATCCATTCCTCCGGAGATGTACCCACCTACAGCCTAGAAGACGTGCTGAGTGAGGTCGAAGATAAGTCAACTTGGACCCTACGATTCGACACCGGAAGCTATTTTGGCGAGGCGAACACTTTCTTCCCCGAGGTGTCGGTCACCTTCACCGTCGTAAAAGGCCAGCACTATCATGTACCCTTACTTCTGTCGCCATACAGCTACACGACCTACAGAGGAAGCTGATTGGTCCATCAAGGGCCAACGGATTGGATCATATATGAGACTATCAAGAGAGACCATAGTACCCGAAAGCTCACCTACCTATTTACACCATCTTACGTTGGCTAGTTTCATTTAAGATAGACTTTACGAAATTTGTTGACGGTAAATTATCATACCTATAGTACAGGATCAGACATAGGACTCTTCACATAGGGGGGAAACGTTCGCTATAGACCCGGTCTGCCTAAGCTTACGACCAAATGAAATCAAACCATAAAATATTCGCCAATTTGAAAACATTTATATTCACTTCCTTTCCCAGCCCACTGCGCAGTAGTAATGCTTCTTAATTTGACTGGTGATGTGTTGATTTCCCATGTTACTGAATGCTGATATGTTGACAGCTGTTGTTATCCACATTGCTAGAGTTGAAAGGGGCAAAATGTATCAAAATATCCCAATACCTTATTATTCAGTCTCATATCAACCTACATACCCCCAAACATGGCACGTATAAAAGTTATAGATAATAGGTACTATTCATCCAGGATTATCTTCAAGAGTCCTTGATCTTTCTTACTCAGACACAAACGGATGGCGTGCATTCAAGCTCATCTAAGCTTAACTCACCCTAGCCTGAGTAAGTCACCAAAGCCCCCCCTATTCGGGCTCCTTTTCATAACCTGGAAATAGTAGGTAGGTAACCAGCTTATTGAAGGTCTCAAACTCTCAAACCCCAATAAACTCTATCATCACAGACATACATAAGAGAGACCAGCCCATATAAAGACACCTATCCATCTCGTACCTTAGGTACCTAGTCCCTAAGACCTCACTTCACATACCTATTAACAGCCGTCTCCAACTCCGTCCACATCCCCCCGACCCCCGCGTCCCCAAACGGCAGTATCTGCGCACACACCAAGCCCGCGACGCCGCGCCCCCTATCGCACCACCAGTAGTTATTGCACAGCCCCGCCCAGTGGCCCGTCTCTCTCGACCTCCCCGTCGCCGCGCTCGCCCCGCTCAGCATGAACGTCAGCCCCCACCCCTGAGGCGGGTTCCCATCAATGTGGTACAGGTCCGGCAGGTCGTTGCTCAGGTCCGGCTTTGCGCCGGGAATGCCCTGGCGCCCGAAGTTGGGGAATTGCGGGATTTGGTTCGTGAACATGGTGTCGACGGTCGAGGGGGAGAGGAGCTGGGCTTTGGTGCGCGGGCAGGTGCCGTTGTTGAGGAGGACGGCGAGGATGCCTATATTGGGGGGGGAAGGGGAAAGGGGAGAGTGTTAGTTATGAGACACCTAGGTAGTGACTAGATTGACTTAATAGAAAAAGAAGACCTACGAGTATACTCCTGCGGCTTCGCAAAAAGCCCCGCCCCGCCACTATGGAACAAACCCGCGACCTCCTCCGGCGTCTCCACCACCAACGCCCGGCGATTCAAATGGTCCCGCGGCGTCAGCTTCCCGTCCTTCTCCCTCTGGTGCATGTGCGCCAGCCTCTCCCTCATCGCCTTCGTGGGCACCATGTCGACGTTCTCAAGACCCAGGGGCGCGCAGATATTCGTCTGTATATACTCGTTCAGCGTCACGCCGGCGGTCCGCTCGAGCAGGATGCCAGCCCAGTCGATGCCGACGCCGTACCGCCAGCCCTCGCCCGGCTGGAACCGCAGCGGCATCCTCGCCACATCCCGCACGTCCCCCGAGAACTCGTCGATGCCCACCGGGTGGCTCCAGTCGCGCAGCGCCTCGTCGAAGAACGTGTACCCGAGCCCCGAGGTATGGGTCAGCAGCATCCTCAGCGTGATCCCGTTCCTCCTCTCCTCTAACGTCCCGTCATCCCGCAACACCTTGATATCCCTGAGCTCGGGACACGCCGCCTCGACCTGCGCGGCGTCGTCGAGCCGCAGGGCTCCGCGCTCGACGAGCTGCATGACGGCGATGCCGGTCACGAGTTTGGTGCAGCTCGCGAGCCAGAAGACGTGGTCGAGGGACATGGGTTCCGGGGAGCGGATCCCGCGCTTGCCGGCCGAGTGCGCGAAGAGCTCGGTTCCGGTGCGGTCGATCACGACGAAGGATGTCCCGGGGAGCGCGGTCGGGGATGGGTTAGTGCCGCCAGTGGTGACGGCGATGCTCTTCTCCATGATGGAGCGGAGCTCGGAGGCTGCTTCTGCTGAGAACGCCATGGTTTTGGTTTCCTTTCTTCTCTCTAAGATAGATAGGTAGGTACTCAGTTTTCGGATGATTAGTTTCCTGTGTTTCTTGTTTCCCGCAGCGCATTAAGTACCTACCAAGTATGGGGGCAAGTAAATAACTACTCGTGTCACCTCCCTAAACAGTAACTACCGGACAGAAGGATACAGATCGTATACTTACTAGGCAGATGCCTATCTAACCTCCAACTTTATACATCTAGCGCTTAAGCTAAACCATAAGTCGATCTTCAGCACCAAACTATTGTCTGCGAAGCCACGAACATACACTTGGTTGTTAGAAACTACGAACTACTAGGCAAGGTACCTGGACTAGGTACATGATCCTTCCCTCCCTTTCCTCCATTACCACCTTCGTGGTCGGAGTTGGGGTGGTATGGATATGCACGAATGAGGCGATATCAGTTTCTAGCCAGGACCAATACTACGATCGTCTATTCCCCGCATTCACCTTCAATCCTACGACTCCAGCTTTCGCATTATTACATCATGGTAGCCCCCCTTTCTTCCCTAGGAGAAATAGAGAACTATGTGTTGTCCCTTGCCCCTGGCTAGTCAGCCCGTTCTAGGAGTACACAACCATTTTATTAGTAGCCAGTGGTTGATCCCACTCATCACTAGTAGCCTTTATACGGTAGGTAGCCTACTAGATATCACGTGTCTTTTGTTATGTTATAGCATTACCATGTACACTTCGTGTGTTAAATGGCCATGCTTCTCAACGCCGTCCAACGCCATGACAATGCCTTGTCAACTGTGACTTCCACCAAATTCCAAACCATCCAGCACACTATCACAAGATAACACTGTCCGCCTGCTCCAGCCACAGGTTAGCCAGGTCTCTGGTAAGGCCTAATCTGACCTTCTTAAGTACATCCCCTGAGCTACTAGCCGAAAAGACACCGACTCTCCAGTCCCACGCTCGCTTAGGGGGGCCTTTCATGACTCCACTGTTGACTACGGATCGGTGAAGTTGAGATGCTATCATCGAGGAGCCTGTCATCATGAAACTGCCGCCTAAGGAAGAGGTAGATTGGCTGAGAAGGTCCGAAGGAGTAGATCCTTTCCCGTTACCCGATGCGAGGACCAGCTTGAAGAATTCATCGGAGGCATCGTAAACTCGAGATCCGACCGTCTGAATATCCTCAATGGACTTGAGTAGCGTGTCGACTTGTTCGAGGGTTATCACTGGAGGTGATTGGCCAACAAAGACGGATGCCTCCCCAAGTAGTGCTAACAAGAAATCCTCGCTGACAACGGCATCGCGCGTGTCATCATACAAGCCGCCTCGGATGTTGTCATCTGCGCTGGCAATAACGGCTGTTAGGGCAGTAGCAGCTTGTTTACGACGTGATAAAGATTTGCCGGATGTCTTGTTATCTCCATCACGAAGTTCGTAAAACTTTCTAAGCGTGGCGTAGCCGCTCAACATCTTTCCAAGAAGCTCTGCTGCTTCTAAATCCTGCTTCGCATATTGCTCTAGCGTTGCCGTACGTTCCCTCAGTAATTGTCTAAGGGTATCATCTAGGTCATTTTCCGGCGGATAAATCGTAGACTCCGCCAGAGAGATGGACATGAGAGTATTGAGGACATCGCGAACCTTTCCGGGACGGTGTGCTAGGGCGTAATACCAAAGCGCTTCTCCAAATCGGAATGTATCCTTAGCTAGAATATCTCCGAAAGTCTGGTGCATGTTAGCGAAATTTTGTTAACAAAGAATCGGTGTACCTACCTCAGCTGTGTCCTCGGCAAAATTTATCATACCAAGTTCATTCAGCAGCTTCCAGATCTTGTCCACTGTTTCACGAGAATCCTCGTCTATGGTACTAATGACGTTCTGTAACAACTCTTGTACTAATTGCTCAGACCGCTCAGGAGAGTCCATTCGGCCGACGACTTGGACTCCCATCTCCCAACCGGCCCGGGAAACTTTGCCATGAAGACCAACGCCCGATATGTATTTGCGATTCTTCAATTCACGGCCGTAATGAATTAGAGTTGTGTCTTTAATTCCATCTTTTTCGTCAGCCTCGCTGCCCTGATTCATGCCTAAGACTTCCAGCTCTTCCATGTCAAAATCGTTCATGTTAATAAGATTCTGAGGTTCTTGGGGGGGGAGCCATCGGCCCAACGAGGCTATTTCAGCCACTGTCGATGCGATTGGAAGTGACCACGTTCTTAAGAACCCAATCACACCTTCAACATTACCCTCAAACGCAGAAGCAACTGCAACTTCGACTGGGTCCGCCGAGTTGAAGTGGAAATCAGCTTCTGTCGCGGTCTGGAGGCAAAGCGCCAGACGATCAAAGAAGTTTTCTTCTCCTCCGGCTGGACCAGGTAGCCGGAGTGATCCAGAATGGGACATGCCGGGGTGGCGCTTGTTGTGACTATCATCCCACCATCCAAATAAGCCGATCGTTGCCTCACACCAGTCTTGTGCAGCTGCAAGGATGGCGTCCGGTTCTCCGATGAGAATTGCATAGAGGGATTGAAGGTTCTCGTAGACATCCCAGGGTATCCTACTCTCGGCTTTTCGAGCCAGTCCAGCAAGGGACTGTCGTCCATCCATGGAATCAGCAAAGTCGGAATTACCGAATCGACTCGACGAGAGACGGTCTCGTTCTTTTCCCTCGGTGAAACTAATAAGTCCCTCCTTTGCCGCTTTGGCTTTTAGGCGAAATAAGGTCCAGTCGCTGCTTGGTATGTCCCAACTTGCATTGTTTATTCCGGGACACATCTCCATAACCAAGCACAAGTCTTCGACGACGCGCTTGATGCTGGTCAAGGCTTGGCCGCTATAGAGCGGTTCACCGCGGACTTGCTTCTTGACAAACTCCCAGCCAGCCTTTCTCAGCAGCTGCACAGCTCCAGAAATCTCTCCGCGTACGAGAGAGTTGAACACGGCTTGCCAAAACAAACCATGAGCCGCGGGGCAAGGCCGATGTTGCAAGATTTTTTCGACTTGGGTTGGATCAAAGTTGTTCTCGTCTTGTTGCCATTCGAAAAGGACGCCAGGCAAGGCCAAGTTTTTGGACTCTCCAAATTCATCCCTCACGTATGGCGTATGGTAGATCCTAAGGATCAGAACGGCGACGTAGAAAGCCTTTTCGAAGGCCGGCGCCAAAGCATTTGGTCCAACCTTAGCCTCATGCTCCTCGTCGATTCGAGGAAGCTCTTCTACATACGGACCCCACACATCGGCGACAAGTCGGACACAGGCTTGGGCAAGGGTATCATCTAATTTTTCTTCGTCATCTTTGGGGCCCACGCCCTCATCGTAAAGGCGGTTCATTAACTCTTCGGTTTGGATTAAGACGTTATCCGGCTCAGTCACCTCGGCAAATTGCGACTGGCTGTAAAGGTCCTTTGCAAGTGTCGCATACTTTAGCTCTCGCTGTCGGCCCGCGGTGGCACGAAAGGACGAGGCGCGGAAAATATCATCCGCCTCTTTGCTAATACGGTCGTTGGCAGCAGGCGTCATTAGCATCATCAAGTCGGAATCGCTATCGTCGAATTGGTTGCCGTAAGGTTCGTTGTCGGCTATTTCCCTTAACAATTCTTCTTCAACATCATAATCAGCCTCGTCTTCTACCATAGGGTCCATGTCCGCTCCCGAGTCGTCATCTTCGTCTTCATCGTCGTCTAGGGGATTTGTGGTATCAGGCTCAGTATCTTCGCCTTCGGTCGTATCATCATATGGCATGCCGTAGGTGCCTGGTCTACTTGGTGGTAGATCCAATCCATCGTCGCTCTCATCATTGTCTACCTCATCTTCTCCACGGTATTCTTTGCTTAAACCAGAAGGTTGTCGTGCAGTAGAACCTCGAATGGATCTTCCTAGAGGTGCATTGTTGCGTCTTCCAGAGCTTGGCTTGGACGGTGAAAGATTCGGTCTTCCAAAATTGGGTGCCTTGATCTTTCCACTCATGGCGCCGATAGAACTCTGAAGGTATGAGGGAGACGGGTCTCCAGCCGGGGTGAAGGACGGCGCGGAGGATGGTGGAGGAGGAGGACCGGCGGGAGTTGTAGAGGGATGGTCTGCAGAGTAGCCGAAACTAGAGTTGGTTCTTCTAGAGGCTCTGTCTGGAGTAGAAGGTGACGAGCTCATGTTTGAAAAGTGGAAAGACATGTTGGCGGATGTGGAGCTCAATAGCTCCTTAGCTCTTTTGAATTGCCGTTCTGGGAGATGGAAGAAATTGATAGGACAACGTTTTGGGAATAGGCAAAGAGGATAATGATTGTAATCAAGATGACATCAATGGTGAGTGATCACGGCGATAAAATTCCATATATCAAATCAATTGGCCGTGATGATTTAAGTTGGAATGATATATTGTGCGCGCGTCGAAATAGGGAAATGTTTTGGTGGTTGGTATGTAAGGGTGGGCTACCTGTAGTTAACGATTAAAGTGAATGAGTACTAGGTAGACAACCTTGGACGCAAAAAATTTAATGTCGCGAAGCTTGAAGCTCCTAAGACGCGGTTTGCTAGGTGATTGTTAGCGCATCTAAACCTTTAGAGGTAGGTACATTCCTCAGATCAATAAGCACGGACCATCACGGTATGTAATAATTAACTACCTGGTAACACACTGAGTAACACACTGAGTAACACACTGAGTAACACACTGAGTAACACATTCATGTCTGTAAATCGTACAATGATGTACGTACATAGTCCTCCGGGTTCTCACTTGAAAGAATTTCATATAAATGCGCATTCTTCATACCATTTATCATGGTGTTCACTTGCCTACTTTCTTTTCAGCCTTACCTATATTTGTGTTTGCCTATTTATTCTAAGGAGATAATTTTAAGGAGATAAGATCAATTCACAACATTCACTTTATCATCACACATCACTTTTACATACATACAACAACTTCCAGTCCCTTCAGAGCTATGATTGTTCATCTAGCAATGCAACCAACTGGATAAAAAGCGACACATCCTGTTAGAAGATAAGATTGATCAGGATCCGATTAATCAGATTAATCAAATCACATCTCTTTTAACGGTATAAAACAGACTAACGCCTTTCTTCAGTACTATGGTGTACATCCCGAGTTTTGTCCATAATTCTTCCGCTCAACATGCCGGTTGACGATATTGCACAGCCTCTCTTACCGAGACGGAATGCAATGCAATGGAGCTATTCGAAACTATTCGAAACCCCTTGGTGGTAGTATCGAGGGCGCTAACCTTAGGATTATATACCTAAGCTGCTTAACATGTTGCTTACCCTTTAATGTTGGAGTTGCTAAGTCATAAGACGATGACAGTGGGAGTGAAGTCTACTACTACATAGTAGTACAAACCATTTGATACCTACTTACCTACATACGAATACGTATACCTTAGGTATATGTTGATATGTAAGTACAATACATGCATAGGTAAGTAGGTAAGTAATGGGCTGGACCGGGTCAATCATGTCTCCTCACTGCCGTGCCGGCCACCCCACCTCAAGAATTTACCAAGTGGTGGGGTCAAAGAGGCTTCGAGCAAAAAACTCCGCATCAAACAAGATGACCGGGACATTGCACAGTGATAAACCTGCCTAGTACTAGGTACTATCTACTAGGTACTATCTACTAGGTTAGGTAGGAACAATTCATTACTTATAAAGCTTGACAGCTCAAGATCTTTCTTTCATCTAATTCTCCTAATTCCCCCCTCAAGTTTATTTATTTCAACTTTGATACCTTTTTTATCATATTTCCAATCTTCATTATTCCAATTCGACATCATGGCTGATACCGTTGGCAAGGTTAGTTATTTCTATCCCCCTTACATATCATATTCTCTATATACGATATCACGATTATCGTGTATTACGTATTACCCCGCGCATCCGTGTTATAACCCCTTAACCCCTCAAGCTATGAAATAATGAACTTGAAGCTGACTATGTCGTCACTGTTGCTTGATAATAGACCATCAAGTGTAAGGCCGCCGTTGCCTGGGAAGCTGGTAAACCTCTGAGTATCGAGGAAATCGAGGTCGCGCCCCCGAGAGCCCACGAAGTTCGAATCCAGATCTATTACACTGGTGTCTGTCATACAGGTATATTTCGCCAAGCCTTGATCCCGAGTCAAGCCCGAGCACCCCGTTAATTAATGGAGTAGATGCCTACACGCTATCAGGCAAAGACCCAGAAGGCGCATTCCCTATTGTCTTGGGGCACGAGGGAGCTGGTCTCGTCGAATCCGTTGGTGAAGGTGTCACCAATGTAAAGCCTGGCGACCATGTCGTCGCACTCTAGTAGGCATAATACCTATCCATACATTTTCATATTTGCCTTCCATGACACTAACATGGATCAAAAGCACTCCCGAATGCAAGGAATGCAAGTTCTGCAAATCTGGCAAGACAAACCTTTGCGGCAAGATCCGGGCGACTCAGGGTAAGGGTCTGATGCCTGACGGCACTTCCCGCTTTACCTGCAAAGGAAAGGAACTTCTTCACTTCATGGGAACGTCGACTTTCTCTCAATACACTGTCGTGGCCGATATTTCCGTCGTAGCTGTCCAACAAGATGCCCCTATGGATCGTACCTGCCTGCTAGGCTGTGGTATCACCACCGGCTACGGCGCTGCGAGAATCACTGCCAACGTCGAGGAGGGATCCAACATTGCCGTGTTCGGTGCTGGTTGCGTGGGTCTTTCGGTTGTCCAGGGCGCTGTTGCGCAGAAGGCAGGCAAGATCATCGTTGTAGATGTGAACCCGAGCAAGGAAGAATGGTCTAAGAAGTTTGGCGCCACCGACTTCGTCAACCCCACCAAGCTGGAGGGACAGACAATCCAAGATAAGCTAATCGAGATGACCGATGGCGGCTGCGACTACACATTCGATTGCACTGGCAATGTTGGCGTGATGCGAGCAGCCCTGGAGGCTTGCCATAAGGGATGGGGCCAGAGCATCGTCATCGGTGTTGCTGCTGCCGGCCAGGAGATCTCAACCAGACGTAAGTTTCAAGCCTTCTATAATAACCATGCTTTGCCCTGTCCTGGAAACTAATAACTCGAGCAGCATTCCAATTGGTCACTGGTCGTGTGTGGAAGGGTTGTGCCTTTGGTGGTGTGAAGGGCCGATCTCAACTACCTGGCCTCGTTGGAGATTATCTGGATGGCAAGTTGAAGGTAGATGAGTTCATCACTCATCGCGAGACCTTAGACAAGATCAACACAGCATTTGAGACGATGAAGGCAGGAGACTGTATTCGCTGCGTTGTGACGATGAAGGAATAAAATAAAAGGGGTGTTGATCACGTGTAAAGCAAGCATGAAATATCCTGAGATTTAGTATTTAGTTTAGGTGAACAAATGAAAAAAAAGAAATAGTACAAACGAATACCAAAGATCATGGGGTGTCATCCTGCTCATTTGGAAATTCAAGCATTTTTATGAAATTGTCAACTTGGAAGCTGGGGGTGTTTATGACAGGATATAACCTTCGTAAGCTCAGGCAAACCAAGAAAGAGTACAAAAGCCACCAGTTACCTAGTAAGTAATGGAGATGCTCGACGTTTTCATGTGCCATATGCCATGGGACATGCTTTTAACCGCCATTAGGCGAAGCGAGACCGGTGATAGTATTGGACTTCGTATTGAGAAATCGACAGCGATTGTATGTATGTACTACTATGAAGCGATATAGGTGTATGTAGTCCAAAGAAGCGGCTGCTGCCAGAGAAGACTGAACGTTGCTAACCTAGCAGTATATAGTATATACGTGTCTCGGATAGACTCAGCGAGGCGGTCTAGACCCCCCCAGAGCACATCATGCGCAGGAAAAGGTACGATAAATTGGTAATGCATTAACTTGTACGCCCTCGGTGTTTAGGAATTGATATTCATTACCCTTGGCCGCATGTGTTTGTGTAGGGAGGGTATGTATGTAGGTTTTTGGTTTGTGTGAACAAAAAAGAGAACCCCTGGCTGGCCGGCCATCAATTCGAGACCCTGCTTGCATCGTAGGTATGTATGTATTACTAGTTAGAGTAGAGAGTCTCCGCCAAAAAGAGATAACCACATGATCGGTGGGTTCCCGCAGAAAGCGGTTAACTTGCAGTTCTGCACGTTGAAAGAACATTGATGAAACTACATACATACAAGGGATTCAATATACATCAAGTAGCATATGTACCCTACATACATACATACATAGTTACATACCATACATGTCAAGCATGGGGAACCAAAGAAATGCCGTGGATTATATCCTATCGGTCGACAGATGAAGAAGAAAAAAACAGCCCCCCCCTAGTCGGCCAATAGCCGTATCCCTTGGGCGGTCCGGCTGGCTGATCTAAGATCGGCGTACTCCATTTATATACATACCTGCCCACATGCTTAACGTAGACGTGATATGGGTACAGGAGGAGGAGGAGGAGGAGGAGGAGGCAGAGTAACCTAAGCATGTAGTGGCTGGTGTTGAGAGCTTGGAGCTCTATGTAGGTATGTAGTATCACAGACGATAACGGGAGTCTGTGAAACGAGATTCAAAGCACTCGCATTGAAATGTTCGTATTTAGATAAGTGCCGTGCCAACCTACACTAGACACCGTAGTCGTCAAGTATGTGATTATGTACTTACATGCCTATGGCGTAACTGGTGGCAATTGCCAATGGCCCCTAAATACGAGTCGATAAAAACTTGGCCGTATTGCCAACGCCCTTGCGCGATTGCAACTCCACTAGCTTAGCTGCCTACTTACCTACCTGCTACTAAGTGGTTGAGAGTCCGCTTGTGCCCGGGAACGCCATCGTTGGCGAAACGTGTTGCCAGGTTTCAATTGCCAAGTTGATCCGGCTGCATTGCATAGGGAAGGTAATGGTTGTAAGGTTCGTTCGATGGCTGACATTTTCCTTCTCACTCGGACATGAAAGGGCCGGAAGACGTCGCCGGTGTGTGTGTGTAAAGGTACCGGTAGGTTGATGGGAATAAAGTAGACGGGCGAGACAGGCGGACATGTGGCAGTCTAATAGACAAGCTTTCGAGACAAGCCGAACGAATAGGACCGAGTGCGTTTTTAATGACCTAGATAGTAAGCAAGTTTACGGACGGAAGGGGATGCATTCAAATGCTTTATCTATTGCTCATCTGATCACGCACTTACATACATCTATACCAACCTAGGTACATATCTACCTATCGACCCAGTAAACAGTAGGCAAAGTACAGGATGGAGGTTGCAATTATCTGACCCAAGGAAGCTGAAATTATGCGAGGCCACCGGCTCTGAACATCATGACCTTTGCGCATTGGGATCCGGAGGCGGACGTCGCTGATATCCAAAGCCAGCCGCTTTGAGCGCGAGGACTCCCGAAATCTTACGGGTGGATTCGGTTCGGTTATACATACCTAACCTATTGTATTTGTCTGTTTTATCTGTTTTATCTGGCTTGGTCTTGCTCTTGCTTGCCATGTGCCATGTGCGTTGTAATTTGGAGCCATTCACTTTGCTAGCGGTTCCGCCCGCGTTGTCAGCTATCTCCTTTTTTTTCTTGGGTCGTCCGTTGATCTCATTTAGTACCTGCTATTTGTTTTCCCCGGAACGAGATAGTTTCATACATCATTAGATATACCCAGGTTAGTTGACACCGGTGACCTACTACATAAATAGTACCTAGTAGGTACTATTAATACTAGTAGTAACAGCATTGAATGTCATGTATGATGTACTAACCATCCATCTCGGCTAGGGCCCGATGGGTTGGTAAGATGTTCATTTCAGTGATTTCACGAGTTTGTAAAAAGTTAAGAATCTTAAGATGGGTTTATTACACCGAATTCCCGAAGTATATAAATATAAGGTCATAGTTACTGGGTATCCAAGCATGATGACTTGTTCACTACATGTACAGTACAGTACATGTATCATAGGTACATACCTAGTAGTATCATTGCAGTGATTGCAGTGATTGCAGTGATGTACATATGGATGTAACTTATCGATATTAATAAAATGCCAGTGTTTCTCCATTCTCTCCAAAATTAGCCAATATGGACAAACACACCCTGTCCTAGTTTGGTTCATCGACTCCAGTCTTCTTCTTATCCCATAATCCCCCTGCTCCCTTCCCCTGACCCCGGTTTTTGACTGATACGTGCATCCCTACGGCATATCACAACTAGATTCCACCCCGTTTATAACAACCTAATCGGCTCGCCTCCCGCTTTCGGAGCCTTGCACGGAATCGTCGTCATCACCACTGATACCTAGGTAGGTATGTATACATTTACAAAGTACCACCTAGATAGTACGACACAAAACCAACGAGCATCCTCGTTCGCCTCATCCTTTGCTTGCATTGGATGTTCATAGTTACTAGGTACTAGGTTTAAATACTAGAAACTAGAATAGACATAACTACATACTAGGTAGTGCCTAGTAGATAACATTACGTGCTACTACTAACTATTAGATACCTGGCAATGCTGGCATACATACATACATACATACATACATACATACATACATACATACTTACATACATACATAAGTACTAAATCTCATTTTGCCTATACTATTCTACACCGTTCCATTATCGCCGCCAACGTCAGAGTCATTCGATGATAATACTGTAACAAATTACAAATTTTCTCTTATTGGAAAATCACAAAATTACAAAACCTGAACCATCCCTTATCCATTGTTACTCACAGTGTCTTTTTCCTCTTTTCTTGTCATAAGTAGAAATAGAAATCCTATTTTCACACATCGACGCAAACAATACATACTCCATACTCGGTCAAGATTTACTACTAAGTTGGTGATCTGATTTTCTTTGTGATTCATTGTAAGTCGTCCTATTACGGCCCGAGGCCCATTTTCACTTGGTAGACTCGTGCCACTTGAAGTGACCATCCCAACCCAACCATCCCGATTCAGCCTCTACAGTGCTATTCCTCCTCCTTTTTTTTTAGACCTGGCCAGGGCGTCTATTTTCTCCACCGGCTTACCATCACCCGGACATCCATGAATTTCTTTCATTTAAAAGGGTCCAACTTCTAACCTTCATCAACGTAGGCCGCTTTCGAATTCCTTCCCACATTCTACCCAATTCCGAATCCCCCCAAACGACCAATCCACAAAGACGACCCAGAAGAACTATATTGTTCTATCTACAACTGTCTCGTGCAACGACTACGACTAGTCAAACGTACCACCTGACTGAATCTACAAGAGAAAAACGAGGAAGAAAAGAAGCCACAATTTTCTAGATTACGATCAGCATCATCATCACCATGGCTCCCCAGAAACCTCGCTGCACATTCAAGGAATGCAAGACGGCCGCTCAACGGATTGTTGGCGACTGCGGTTTCTGCGATGGACACTTCTGCGCGAAGCACCGATTATTAGAGGATCACAAGTGCAGCGGATTAGAAGACGTAAGCATGAACCCAGCGAACCCATCTTTAGATTCCAATTCCGCCTCCTCCAGTGACTTTGACGAGGATGCCACCGAATGGTGGCTCGTCGGACTCGGCGAGTACCTCAGCGAGTCTGGTCTAGACGAGAAGGAGGTGACGGAAGAAAAAGCAAAGAAGGGAGACTCTGGCTCTGGTCTACGTATGCTAACTCGGAAGAACAACCGTAGTGCAAGAAGGAGTCGCACGAGCGCAACGCGGCACAGCTCGAGGCAGAGCGAACGCAAGTCATCCGGGGTGTATAAGCGACGTACCCGAAACTCGACCGCCGAGCGTCACCGATCTCGACGAAACCGTTGTCGCGGACTCGCTTCTACTCCTTGAACACCACCACCACTATTCTGAACCTTAATTGTCCTCGACAACACCCTCATCCACCATTCTCATCCTCATCCTCATCCTCATCCCTCCCCCTTTCTCTGATTTTTCGTTTATTCCCTCTACACACGAACAACAAGTATCAGCACGAACACGAACACGAACAACAGAAGCGGTGATTCGATTCGATTCGATTCGATTCGGCATCTCTCCCACAACACAATGCTTCACACTCTTCTATGAGGCAAAGCAGCAGCAAACAAGCAAACAGCAACAGCATGGCGTCCGGGCATTCGGCTACTTTGGTGGCCCCCCTCCCTTTTTTATTTTTTGCGTTTGCTCTTTTCCCCGCTACCTACATATTAGGTACTTTTACCAACCCCCAATCTTAGGTACCCTAGGTAGTTAAGATACTTTGATTTTTAAGGTCTGGCAACGGTTTTGAGGCGAACGGGCGATACATGACAACGGCGATCGAGGGACGCTATGATTTTAGAGTCCGCTAGGCTTCCTCGCCCCGAAAGTCTATTCATCTTATAGAGAGGGAGAGAGAGAGAGAGAGAGAGAACCTTGAAGGCTTTTATGCTTTTTTCTCTCTTCTAAAAACCCTTTCTCTCACCTATCATCGTTCGATCACCGAGAGGGAAGGGCACGCACGGCTTTGACCACCATATCCCCCGTAAACCCCCCTCATTTCCTCCTACACCACCTTTGGTACGAAGGAGACCTCCCTCGAGAAGCTACATAAGAGCTACCTACCTACCTACCTACCCGTACCTAGTATCTATGCTTTGTGAGAACCATTTCTGGTTCCTGGGGGTTTTCGCGATGGCGAGCGATACGCAATAACCACCAAACTACTGTACATATACTTGAGAATTACCCTACATTAGGTAAGGTAATCAAATTTAAGCAAATCAACCTAATGCTCTCGTCTCTCTATTATTACGTGATTAAATGAATCTCGATACGTGCATTAAGTATTATCTACCAACCTAACCCATCTTTAAACCCATAAATTAGCCCTTCCTTTGTCCTCCCCACGTGCTCACTGCTCATACCCCCCTCTTTGACGACCTCCGCGGTTTCTTAGCCGGTACCTCTCTTTGTCCCGGAGCACTCTCCGGCCTTTCTTCATCATCGACATCGAGCGTATCCGCAGTCCCGGGCTCCTTCTTCTCCTCTTCCTCATCCTCCTCTTTCTTTATGCTCTTGTTCACAACCACGTCCCTTTCAATCTTTTCCATCTCCTCCACATGCTCTTCTTCTTTGACTTTGACTTTTACTAGCGCCTTATCATCATCATCATCTTCATCGGTCTTCCCGGGTACCTTAACCGCAGTGGCGGTAGTAGTAGTAGTAGTAGTAGTAGCCATCGCACCCCACACCTTCCGCCCCTCCAGCACCTTCTTCCGCTCCGCCGCCCTGCACAGCCCCCGCAAGCCTAACTCACAATCGCCGCACCTCCGCCCCACGGGAAGACAGACAGTCTGCCCAAAGCCCACAAGCAGCCAGTTGATCTCGCGCCAGCGGTCGCGGGGCAGCCAGCTCTGCAGCGCGAGGCGCGTCTCCTCGGGACCCTTGGTCGCGTGCCAGCCCCAGAGGTTCGTGATGCGGTGAACATGCACGTCGACGCCGATCCCCTCCGTCCGGTTCCACGCGACCGACATGCACAGGTGCGCCATCTTGGGCCCCACGCCGGGAAGCGCCACAAGCCCCGCGATCGTGTCGGGGATGTCGCCGTCCCACTGATCTCTTAGGATCGCCGCCGCCTGCTGCAGGTACTTCGTCTTGTTGTTGTGGAACCCGACGGCCCAGATCATCTGGTTCAGCGTTTCCGGGTCCACGGCGAGCATGTTCTCGAGGTTGAGGCCGGCGGGGGCCCCGGGGCAGTGGGGCGGGAGCTCGGTCTGCAGACGCCGCATGACGACGGCGTTGGTGGTGTCTTTGGTCTGCGAGGAGAGCATGAGCGCGACGAGCGTCTGGTAGCGGCGATCGCGCGGGGTGGCGGTGGGGTCGGCGAGGCGCTCGCACCCCATTGTGTCGACGGCGGCGTTGGAGGCGGGCCCGCCGTCGAGGCGCATCGCTTTCACGGCGTCGTACATCTGCTCCCAGTCGGAGGGGGCGGTTACTTTGGTCTCGCCTGTGGCGGCGTCGATGGCTTTCCGGGCGGGTTTTCGCTCTCGTCGGGGTTTCTGGGTGCTCGTGGATGTGACATTCTCCTTTAAGTCGACGAGCAGCTTTTCTTCTTCTTCTTTTTTGACGAGGGTGACGGTTCGCTTTCGCTTTCGTGTGCTGCTTGGGATCACGTCTTCGATATCTACGGCGGCAGCAGCAGCAGCAGCAGTATAGGGAGGAGGAGTCGAGTTCTCTTTGCTACTAGAGCTGTTGTTGTCGCCGTGCCGGAAACGCGCAAGCGAGGACCGGGTGATCCGTCGCGGTGGCGATACTACCGCTCTAGGCGGCATTGTGCGAATGAATTTGTAGATATTTGCTGTAATACTCGGAGGAATCCCATATCCTTCCTATAATCGTTCCTTCTACCTCGATCAAGATGCTTCCAAGAATTCCTTCTACATCGATCAAGATGGTTACAAGAATTAAAATTATTGAATGAAATGAATATTTGAAATCAACGCTCCCTGAATCGCCAATCACATAAAGGCTGTGTGTGTGGGTCCGAGAGGTACCAGATCGCAGGATAGACCCTGCATAAAAGTAATCTACATTTCCCCTTTTGGCAGCTTCTCGACCCAACCATACCTTAGCGTCTTTTTCGTGTGTAGCCCCACATGCCCCACCCTTGCTGAAGGATGAAGTCATAATCAATCAAGCTCTAGCCTTTTACTCCTCTAGTAAGGAGGCACACAGGGCTTTGTAGGCGAATGCGCTAAAATTAGTACGGTAACGCCGGGTGTGAGAAACGAAAAAAAGAAAAAGTGGAGGATTGATTCTTAGTTTTTTTAGTGTAGCAGGGTATATCGCAAGGCTGTTATGGCTAAAAAATAAAGCTTGGACTTTATTTCGCACAACAATTGATAAGATAAGCTGAGCCTCCACAGCCTCAATTCAGCCACTTTGTATTCCATTGTTAATAATCAAAACTGACTAATCCAATCCATCTTTTTAATCCAATCCATCTTTTCTAATTCTTCCATTCCAACTTCTTCTTTTCAACTTTTTTTCCATTCAAACCATTCAAACCATTTAATCCATTCAAACTATTCAAACCATTTAATCCATTTAATCCATTTTGTAATCCATCTTATTAATCATCTTCAACACCACCGCCTAAATCAAATATTTCATTTACATGGTGGTGTTAAAGGTGGTGTGAAAGGTGGTTTGCTGGATTTGGGGGCTGAAAATCGATGCACCCAATCAATCTCTTCAAAAGTTTGCACCAAATGTTTCACTTTTTACTAGCGGCTCAATAGCTCCAGATTTGAGCCAATAGGATGGCTTCAATTTCAATAGGCTTACTAGCGCTTGCTGTTTGCCTTGGATTCGATCGCGATCGTTGGGGGTACGTACCGGTGGAGCGTGCTCTAGACCGGTCCATAAAAGGGCTCTCAACCCCCAAGCTGTTCTAATTTTTTTCTTCCTCCTTTCAACACTTTTCAACTTTCAACAGCTTTTCAACACCCATATACTAGCCACTCAACCCAATCCACCCAATCCATTCAATCCATTCAATTCATCTAATCCATCCATCTAATCCATTCAATTAATGGCCGATACACCTATTCCGAGGCGGGTCGGCCAGCCTCCGATACTCCGATAAATCCCTCCAATCCGACAATTTCTCCCCATCCGGCCGAGCCGATTCCAGTCCTAACACCTGTAAGTCTCGGATGGGTTGATCTAAGCTTAGTAAACGTGGCCTGAAGGTAAGTATAATTAAGTAATTCATTTTTAGCCGCGTTTGTTTTCTTATACCGGCCGATACTTTTTACTGGTGAGTCCGGTCAGTCCATAATGCCAGTATTCCTATCGTCACGTGATTATTACGTAATGTATGCTAAGGGAATCCACTGTCGCGTATGTATTATGTGATTCGTGCCTGATGTGAAAGGAACCTATCGTCACGTGATTGTTATGTAGTTATTGCCTAATGTGAAAGGAAGGTCCCACTTAAACTGGCCAATGGCTGCCCTTCAATTGGGTTAAACGTTTAGGTGGTTCAAACCTGTTTTTCTTCTTTTCAAGCAGAGCAAGCAGCCTTCCGCAGAAGCTGCCGGAGGCATAATTAAAATAAAAAAATAATTAAATAAATTAATATGTAAAATCAAAATTGTTACGGAGCGACGATTTTCCAGATATCAAATTAGTAAAGTTTTACTAATCTAAATTGCTTGTAATTTGCCGGGTATTTTAAGAATAAGGCTTAGGTTCGTTTTAAAACAGCTGTTCCATTTTAAATTTACCCGAGGTGTGTGCCTAATGACAAAAAACAGCTATTCGCCTACAAAGCCCTGTGTGCTTCCGTACTCTAGCTTAGCTAGCTACATAACTACCTACTACTTCATGTAACATTATTAATGGCTCAATAATTGTAAAACAAAAAAGTTTTTGATACGCTACAACACAACATTGATATTTTGAGGAAAATCAAGAATTTAAGCCAATTCTATCATCAGGCACATAATAACCTATTTAGTCACCCAAGACAGACAAACCGAATCATGGCCTCCTTCCTCACCCGCAGCGCCATCCGCGCCGCATCGCAAACCCCGCGTCTCGCATTCCCCAAAGCCCCCTCCTCAACAACATCCGCACTCCGCTGGTCCTCGATCCAAAACCCCCTCTCCTCCTCCTCCCGACGCTTCCTCGCCACCACCCCCGAGAAGCAACCAAGCCTCCGTCTCGGCAGCGAAGCCCCGAACTTCCAGGCCAAGACAACCCAGGGCGACATCGACTTCCACCAGTGGCTCGCCGGGTCCTGGGCGATCCTGTTCTCGCACCCGGCGGACTTCACCCCCGTCTGCACGACCGAGCTCGGCGCCTTCTCGCGGCTGGCGCCCGAGTTCGCCAAGCGCGGCGTCAAGATGATCGGGCTGAGCGCGAACGACCTGTCCTCGCACTCCCGCTGGATCGCCGACATCAACGAGGTCGCGGCCACGGACCTGCAGTTCCCCATCATCGCCGACGCCGACCGCCGCGTCGCCTTCCTGTACGACATGGTCGACGCGCAGGACCTGGCCAACATCGACGAGAAGGGCATCGCGTTCACGATCCGCTCCGTCTTTGTCATCGATCCCGCGAAGAAGATCAGGCTGACGATGATGTACCCCGCCAGCACCGGCCGCAACACCGCCGAGGTCCTGCGCGTTATTGACTCCCTGCAGACTGTGGATAAGAAGGGCATCGCGACGCCGATCGATTGGACGGTGGGCCAGGATGTCATCGTGCCCCCAAGCGTGAGCACCGAGGATGCGAAGAAGAAGTTTGGAAACGTTAGGGAGGTTAAGCCTTACCTACGGTATACCAAGGCTTAAATTAAAGCCTGCCACTACGTCTGGCCTAGAGGGCATTGCATTAGGTATAGCTATATCTAATAACATTTAAGCGCGGATATGGGAAAAGGAAGCCCGTGAACCCCATTTTCCCTCCGGATTTACATATGGAAATGTCGATGGGGTCTATGGCAAGTAAGAAACTCAGGCCACGGGAGATATATCTCAGTACGCATAGTACCGGCAACTCGCTGGAAAGCAGTATATATATTAGATCCCGCTAATAGTAAAATCTAGTCGAATGTATCTATATACCAATGAAAAAAAAACACCCCTGAATCTAATACAATGCATGAATGGGAAGGGTATCAACCACAATGTTCCCTACCGCTATGATAATTATGCGCAGAATTCCCTTTCTACCGCTCTACCGACGCCTTATTATGCACCCCGCCCGACTGATGAAAGCTCGAATTAGATGAGGAACTCCTCCTTGATCCAGTGCTCCAGAACAGTCAGACCTTCTCTGAACTTAGGTGAGTCGGTCCGGACAATGATAGCCGCATGACTGTGTCGACCAATGTGGATCCAAACTGGGTATTTTCGCCAGCCAACTTTGTCTAATTCATCAATCATAGTAAATTGAGCGGGTGTGAGGGCTAAGGTTGGGAATTGCGGATGCGATTTTCTTCGTTCGAGGGCTAGAATCCGAGTCTCGGCTTTGTTCAAGTTTCCATCCTCATCCTCGTCGTCCGACGCTCGTAAGTAGGACTCGCCTTGCCAATTGTTGAGATTCTCGTACACATCCTCGACGGTGCCGCGGACATCCTGGATCCAAATGGGACTGCGATAGTTTTCTATTTGGATACCCGCTTTGCCTGATTCGTGTAGTTGAATGCGCTTGGAGCTGCGAAACGTCTGCACGAGCGAGTTGAATAGGAACGCGATGACGCCAATAGGTACGAAAACGACTATGGCTAGCATGAGCGGTGCTTTTCGTAGATAATTCAAACTGGTGGCAGCGAGGTTATTCATCGACCCATCGCCATTTTTCGTTAGCAAGGGTGAGACCGGAGCCACGGGGTCTAAGATGACGTCTTCGTAACCCTTGAGGTAATTGACTTTGATTTTACTTAGGTCCACATAGGGATCTGTCTTGGTAATGCATGTCGTGTAATAGACGGCACTTCTATCGTTTACGATATTCGCATATAATGTTCGACGCTTGAATCTTCTTAATCCGGCCATAAAGACGGATTTGGGATCGGCGAGCACTGCAAGTAACGGCCGGCCGGTTCCACGATAGTCGTCGATGGTGAACAACTGACGGCCAGACATGGATAGCGTACGCGCACCCAGGACATTCCATATGTGATTGTACCATCCTCGCAGCGGTGTTCGAACGCCAAGATGTGGCGACGCAAAAGTCGTAAAGTTCTGAGAACCGCGTGTAAGTATGAAAGTACTTAGATAGACTTAGATAGAAATATTTTCCCACGTACCACTGGCTCAACCTCACGAAGCACACCTCTCATTTCAAGTAACCCGATAGCATAGCGAGCTACGAGACCTCCTAGGGAATAGCCGACGATGCTGAGTTTAGTTATCTTGCCGCCCTCCTTGCGAATTTTCTCGATTTCGTCCTCGATCTCGAAGCACACGCGCTCGCCGCCTCGTTCAATACCATCGTAGGTAAAGCTGCCGCTGTTTCGCTTGGCAAGCAAGAGGTAAAGGTTGTCTTCGGGATGTGCATTTCTTAGCGCCTTCGCGACCGATTTCATGTGTTCTGGGTTTCCCCAAAGCTAGAATGGGGGTGTTTGGTTAGCATTGGCGTCCGCATGCGACTGGGGCGAAGGTAGGGGATGTAAAGGTACTATACCCCATGAACTAGCACACAAAGGTGATCAGCGGCCAAACTGCCGCCGTTATATTCCATATTCAACAATTCTTACTCCTCGAAACGTTACAATGATATGATAATTACTTGTTTGTTTGCTTGAGTGAATGGAAACTAAGACGATATAATACACGTGTGTAGAAGAAGAAGAGGGGGAAGGGGCTAATAAGAACTAGTATAAACCCGATAAACCCGTCGGGAAGATGGAAGATGAGACTATCCGCATAATAGGCTTCAAGAGCTGACGTATAATTAGTTAACAAATTCAATGACGATATTGGATTAATTACATGTATGTAGTTATATGTGTACCTAATCCAAGTTGTTGTACTTCATAGTTGGGAAAGTTCACGAGGTAGTTAAGACATATGTAAATAAACAGATTAATTTATCAATATAATTTATTAAATATCACGAGTTCCCGGCCTCAAATTAAATAAAAGAGTAACCAGTTAAAAAAGAGTCCGTGCTTGATTGAAAACAATTACTACCCTAGCAATGTACAATTTAAAGACTTCAAGGTGTACTATGTATGGCATTGTATGCAACTAATTATGCACTGCCAGATCCCTGTTCGGTTTATCTTCGGAATTGCTACGTCAAGCTTTGAGTGACGTCGGATTTTTAGGAAGCCAGGAGTGTTTCATAAGGCAACTACAACTTAACTACCTTCACTTCGTGATTTTAGTTGAAATGTTCCATGTTCCATGTTATTGCTCCCTCCGATAGACTTCACAGTTGCTAAGCCCTAAAAGCCTATATATGTACTGTACTGTACTGTACTGTACTGTACTGTACTGTACCTACCTACATACATATACTAGGACATACTGGTTACACACTTTACATAATATTTCTCGGCTAGCTACAGTCAGGATCAACTATAAGACATCCACCCATAAATTCGTGACTTTCAACAGACAACTAACCATCTCATTGTCACACCTCGATTCACCTCCCCATTTCACCATAACATAGTATAAACAATAAATGAGCAGACTTAAACGTGGCATTTTATTTGCCAGTTCATATGTTTCAACCTTATCTACCTGTATCACAGTATCTTTGTTTCTAGACTAGGTAGTTGGTCACTTCGCACGTTACTCAACTACATTTACAGCCTCATTCCATCCCATCTCATTATTCACCCTTCACACCTTATTAATACCCACTTTTTAAATACCTGAAAACTTCATCATGGCAGGTTCTCTCGCCGCACTAAAAAGCTTGCCTTGTCCTGCTGGAGACCAATGTAGTGCTTTTCAATGCCTATTTAAGCATGACCGCGACGGTGATACCGCTCCCGACGGAAAAGGCTTAGCACGTTCCTCTTCTGAGATCACAACAACCTCGTTGCCAGATCAAGCTTCGTCTAGAAAACGTATTAAATTAGACCCATCAACCTCGACACCTTCCGGCAAACAGATCACAGACCAGATTGTACCAAAAGAAATCACCACATTGACACAAGGCAAAACTATTAAGAGAACCTGGGAGGCTATGTCTCAACAGGGCGAAATGGATAGTAACCAAAAATCCGAGTTCCAGCCCACCGCCGGCAAGAAGCCCCAATCTTCAACTAATGGAGCAGATTCTGGTCATGGCACTCGAGATTCTGGCTTCGAACTATCAAGCACTCAGCATAAGGTCACTTCCTTGAAGACAGGAGAATCTAAGAAAAGTCCCACACCCTCTCCTGTTGTTCAAACACCGACAACAGTGAAGCTATCACCTAGACCAGCTCCTAAGAAAGCAGAAGCTCTTAACCCTCGTCTACTCAAGTCTTCTCCGGCCAAGCACGCTACGCGCTTGATACTAATCAAGGCCCTCCATGAACAATACGTTCGCCTCAATAACGAGCTGAAGAAAGACAAAGATGCAAAGAGACTAGTGCTGTCTGATCAAGAGCTCATTGTGAAAGCATTAGATGATGAGCAAGAAATTGCCACGCGTAAATTCCAGATTTACGGCAATGCTATCAAAAATCGTATCTTGAGCCACAAAAAGAAGACAATCGCTGAGTGGAAAGCTGAGAGAAGCCAGGCTATGGGGGATAACAAGACAAATGACACAGAAAATGCATCTGCCGCGCCCCAGCCCATAAACACGGGCTTAACTCCATCTCAAGAGGTTGATTTCGCGCTTCGGTTAGTCTATCCATTTGACAACCTCACGGATTACGGTTATGTATCTTCCATACCCTCAGACGAAGACATCGAGAAAGCCCGAGAAGGTGTCAAAACTTCTGGTAACGTCGAGGTGTGCGATAGATGCACCAGAAGATTCCAAGTCTTCCCGGGTCGAAGGGAGGAGGACGGAACGCTAGCGAGCAACGGATCTTGCACCTTTCACCCAGGCAAGATATACTACACCGAACGAGGACCTGGAAAGGGTACTACGTCCCAGAAGAAATACCGCTGCTGTCACCGAAACGTCGACGATGATGCCGGAGGATGTACTACGGCATCTACCCACGTCTTCAAGACAACGGATGTCAATAGGCTTGCGGGTCTACTGAACTTTGCCCAAACCCCGCCCAACCCGAACGTCCCTGCGGATAGAGCCGTGTGTTTCGATTGTGAGATGGGCTATACGGTTTATGGTATGGAGCTCATTAGAGTTACTGCATTGTCTTGGCCTAACTACGAGATGCTACTCGATGTTCTTGTCCAGCCATTTGGAGAAGTTTTGGATCTCAACACCCGTTACTCCGGTGTCACCCCAGAAGACATGGTTTCGGCCAAACGATGGCAGCCAGGCGATGATCATTTACCTTTGGTAAACCCTTCTACAACCTCAACGAGTTCTGATGAACGTGAGAAGAGACCCAAGCTCAAGATCGTGTCCTCTCCCAAGGCAGCACGCGACCTGCTATTCTCGCTCATTGCCCCCACGACCCCTATCATTGGTCACGGTCTTGAGAACGACTTGAATGCTATGCGTATTATTCACCCTACTTGCATCGACACCGTCCTTCTGTACCCCCACAAGCGCACATTGCCAGCTCGCAACAGTCTCAAGATGCTAACGGAGACGCTGCTGAACCGAAAGATTCAAAAGGAAATAGATGAAAGCAATCCTCAAGGTCATGATAGTGCCGAGGACGCCAAGGCGGCTGGCGAGTTAGTTCGGCTGAAGATCCGCGATGAGTGGAAAGCTCTCTGCCTGAGAGGCTGGATTATCCAGGACGGCAAGATCACATTACCCTAAAAGATTTCACTGCCATGGATAAACAAGGCGGGGATGAAGAAGCCACGCTTTTAATAGCTGGTAGGCGATGGGCAATGACGATGAAATTTACGCATTTCAAGGATCGGGTTTTACGACGCGTGAAGATGCATGCGTTCCTTTCAACTCGAGGATACCACAGCACAGGGGGAAATCAAAAGGAAGATTCAATCATATCCAAGGATTAAGTTAATTTTGCTTGTTCACTTGAAAGATGTATTGGGTGGGCATGAGAAAAAGAACTGGGTCAGTTATTTCACGAATGTGATGGATTGGTCTCTGGATAATGCTTGAGAAGCAGGATTTGTTTCTTGCCCGTTGGGAAAGAACTTAATTACCTCTTCGCTTCTTTGACACGAGAGATACCCAAAAGAAATAATAGGATCATCGGTTGGTGGATGAGGGCGGTCGTGATGTTCTCTGTCTTCATTCGAAGTTTGGGAGCCTACGTGCCTGTGTACCTAAGCAGCCTTTTAATCGCAGTGTTGCAAGATATTGCCCTGCCTTCAAGCTACGATAGTCAAAGCCGAAAGCCATGTAGGCGCATAATAGGTATAAGACAACTAGATGACCAATGCATTTGGCCACAATAGCAAAAACCTTCCCCCCCATTTTGAACTGATCGATTGTGACATTATTCATATCCCGAAGTGGAGAATCGGGCAGTTGATTGTATAATATACATAGGCAGGTATGTAGGATACCTACCGCATTGCCCCCCCTTATCCCATCCCTTTCTCCGTGATCCTTCCTTCCCCACCCCCTTTTTTCTTTTCTTTACATTCTTTCATTTCAGGCTAGTAGTATAAGATCCTTCCTTCCTTCCTTCCTTCCATTTTTTCTACCGACCAACCGATAGTAACAATTGGCTGCTACCGCCGTTTCCCGATTTGCCGCCGCCGGGTATGTAGGAGACGTTGGGGTTGGAGGCGAGGGTCTGTGCGATCTCGCGGCTGGCCTCGATCTTGCGGATCATGATGAGGCCGTCGCCGTTCTTGGCGATGGCGCGGGAGATGGTCTCTGCGCTCTCGGCCTCGCCCTCGGCGCGGATGACGTTGGCCTGGCGCTCCTGCTCGGCCTTCTCGACGATGAAGCGCGCGCGCTCGGCGTCCTGCTGCGCGATCTGCTTCTGCTCCACCGCCCGCGTGAACTCCCGCCCGAACGTCATGTGCGTGATTGAGACGTCCTCGAGCGCGATGTTGAATTCGGCCGCGCGCTTCATGAGGTCCGCGCGGATGCGCCGAGACACGGCTTCACGTTGAGTGATTAGCTCGGCGGCGTCGAATTGCGCGACGATGGACTTGAGGACCTCGTTGCCGATGGAGGGGAGGACGCGCTCGTCGTAGTCTGTGCCGAGATTCTGTGGGGGAGGGGAAGAAGGGGTTAGTTAGTCATGGCTCTTACGTTTCCTTTACTTTATTTTTGATATTCCGGATAGTAAGTAGGTAGACCGTAAAAAGACATACCTGGTAAATCTTAGGCAACGACTTGACATCCGGGCGGTGCAGGACCCTCAAGGTCAAGCTGACCATCTGCAAGTCCTTGCTTCCGGTGGTGGTAGCGATATTGCGGGGTTTGGTGCGGACGTCGAAGATGATGCTGCGCTGCAGCCAGGGGACGAGGAAGTGGGTACCCTCGTTGACGACGGTCTCCTTGACACCCTGCACCCTGTCGAAGATGACGGCCCGCGTGCCGCCGCGCACGTCGTAGATGGAGGCCTGTGCCAGCGCTGCGAGGCCTACGGCCGGGATGGCAAAGCGGTAGACTTGTCGGAGGGTGCTCTCCATTGTGGCGGTTGAGTAGTAATCTTGGATTGGATTGGGTTGGATTGATTCGTTTCGTAAACTTGGACTTGACTTGGTACAACCCTTTCTTCAACTTCGTCTTCCCTTTTTTTTCTTCTTCTTAAGCTGCCCGGAATTCCCGTTCGATGATGGTTCAAAGTTAGTGGGTAGCTCTAAAGCTTTTGAGAAAATGGTTGGATAAAGCCGAAGTGGTCGGTGCTTTTTTTTTTTTTGCTAAGCAAAAAAAATCGCGGGGGAGAATTGCTTTAATGCCAAGCTTTTGCAAATGCAAGCAAGCAAAGTTAGCTACATATACTCTAAAAACAGACTGCATCCAATAAGAAACAGTCTTCGTGGCTCAGTTGGTCAGAGCGTTGGTCTCATATTGTTATGACTCAATCTACCAAGATTGGGATATCCAAAGGTCGTGAGTTCGAGCCTCACCGAGGACATCTACTTTTGCTTTTTCGACTCTTGAGGCTGGTTTTTCTGTGTAATTCAATCATCAGGAAAGTTTTGTTCCATTTTTGTTTTTTGGATCGCCGCTAATACCACCATGTACCACAATCACCCATTCTATGGTGGAATTCTGAGGTGGGACATCAGAGCTCGGAAGGTGGCCCGTGGGACTTCGAAAAACCAAGCCACAAATAGTTAACCAGCCACTTTGAGGCACCAACTTCTGTTCAAGGTTCTGGCTCGGCCAAGTCCGGCAACATCCATTCTCATCTTCAATTTTAGTGTCGCAAGTTGAACCGAGTTTCTAATTCTCAGTGTCTTTACACACTTCAATCAAACATACCTCACGTCAATCGATATCGTCATTTACGATGCGTCCTACTCAGATTCTCCGATCTGGCGGCGACGCCCCTGTTGGCCGACACGGAAAGTGAGTTTCCTCCGAATTGCGTCCTTTTTTTATTATTTAGTCTCATGAATTTTGGGCGCCTACCGGCTAGATACGCTGGGCCGAATATACTCTTCAAGTAGCATTTACTGACACCATATCTATAGATTCCTAGGTGGCTGGGGCGCTTTCGGTAAGTAACGCTATAACGTTCGAATCGGTCGTGGCATAACGATTGAGCTTGAGAGATGGGGCGCGTTGCTTCCGAAGAAGCTGAATACGGGAACGAATTATGGAAGGAAATTTGCTGATGAGGTGGAATCTAGGTGGCATGCCGCAAAAGGGAATTATCACCTACACTCTCAGCTCCAACAAGCAGAACCCGATCGCCGGTGCCTTTCACGACGCCATCTTCAACACATGGCGACGATTCGGCTCTCAAGTCCTCTACATTGCGCCCCCCATGATTTTCTTCTACTACGCCATGGACTGGGCTATCCACAGGTATGATACCTACTTATGCTCTTGGAATATTCTACTTGGAACCTGCGCGCTAATCACGAGCAGAAACCACCACCTTAACTCCAAGCATGGCCGCGCCGAGGCCAGCGACGAATAAAGGGACACACGCGGATTATACATAGATATATTTGGGGTTGGCCGAGCTGCCGTGTAGACAAAATGCAAAACGCTGTATACCTATGAATAGACTGGCGAGCAAGCATGGACATTGAACCTTTCTTGATCCGAGATGGACGAGCGTGTTGCTTATTCCGATTATGCATGTCTTTATGTGACAGTCTTTTTATGAACCTCGAGGGTGTAGCCAGTGAAGGAGTATGCGTATCGTATGATCTAATAGCACCTACATACCTCAGTCTAGCCTTCATGTATTATCCAGACGGAGAGTACACCATACATACATATTCGATGAGATTATGTAAGCACTATAAAGTTTAGTATAAACTCGTATCTTTAGTCGACATGTACCTATTCATCAACAGGTAAATCCATACTAACCTAGGTACTGAACTTTCCAATATTTAAATCAATTTACTTGCCAGGGCCAATAGCGGGACTTGCCTTTTAATTTCGACCAAGGACAATTGACGTAAAAGTAATTGGGGTCATGGTCGGTGTTTCTTCGGTAAATCCTACAAGTCGACCGATTGCTTGCTCGTAACTTCGTAACCAAACTCAATACAACTTCCTAACCGACAACCTTCGATCCGCATATTCTACTTCAAATCCGCCATCATGGCTTCTAAAGCAGTTGCCAAAGTTGCCGGAGGCGTAATGAGCGTCAGCCAGGTACATTTCCCCCCTTCCTTTCTAGTATAGGCAGTCAAAAGGGCATCCAATTGGCACCATATCATACTATACCATCATACCAATCCACCAGGTTACCCAAATAACTAACCAGCGACAAACCCCTTAGAAACAAACCCTCCAGTCAACCGGCATATGGGAGCGCATCCGGCGCGCCTTCGCCGTCGACCCCGAGCGCTCCAACGGCGTACCACTTAACCCCTACTTCCGCAACCCAACCCCGGGCGGCGTCGATCCGCTCGCCTACGACGACCCCGTCACCATCCCCGCCGGCGACATCGCCGACAACCCGTACTGGAAGCGGGACGCGCGGCGCGCCTACCCGCAGCTGAGCTTCGTCACGCAGGGGGATGCGGTAGCTTTGCTCAGCGTCGGCAGCGTCGCGGCGCCGAAGCAGGAGCTCGTCGGCGACGCGGGACTGAAGCAGATTGTGGCGGTCCAGGAGGAGGGCAAGGCGGGGGGCTTGTCGGTGTTCTTTGAGAAGAATAAAGATGCGGCGGTCGCGGCGAAGGAGGGGCTGTTTGTGGATGGCTTGCCGCCGTTGCCGGGCGGGGAGCGCATGAGGCGGGGCGATGGGAAGTGGGAGGTTTATAAGTATGAGTTGACGGAGGAGAATACGTATCCTGATACTGACGTGTGAGTACACATATCTTATGCACCTCATTCTGTCTTTTGAACTTGGGGGGAGATTATTACGGCCACTGCGTAATATGGATGCTAACTAAACGATAGGTATCCCTGCCGAACTTTCAAATAGACGAACGGATCAAGCTTTACACACGTGCATATGAGGCGGCAAAGAGAATAGAGCAAAAGGCTGCGAGGGCAACTGTATATATATGAGGAGGGCCAAGCCTAATACTATACTTTTTTACGGTTCATGTTTCATGGCGGCAGTGGGAATTATTTACATAACATTGGGGGTTTACGACAGCTTCGAGCCCAAGTTATTTGTCGCAATACTGATGAGATGGCTGATATTACAGAATTGCCTCATGGACTCAAATGGAACTAATCTAGAATATCTAGCCCTTACCCCTCGTCTCATCCTTCTTCTGCGGTATCCTCCCCATGTCCTCGATATTCTCGTTCTTTTGAGATGGCGGTGCCGGTCGGTTCCGGTGCTTATTATCTGTCGCCCCTTTCTCGGTCCCCTCTCCCACGGCCCTCTCGATCATCTTCAGTCTCCCCTGCGCGCCTTTTAGCCGGCTGTCGAAGTCATTGACAGATTCATCGTCGTTTTTAGTTGATAATGTTCCAGGCTCTACTAAGCCGTATAGCATGGTAACGTTCTTCTCTAGCCGCGAGTTGCTGTTGAGAGGTGGTAGCCTCTTTGGCGGCTCAGCGCTCTCCTCACTCGGAGAATTAGATGAGCGCTCTTGTGATTGTGATAATTGTTGGGGCGCATTGCTGTTTGGCGCATGCTGTTTTTGCAGATTGGGTATCCGATTGGCCCACACTATGGCTTTGCCCTGTAACCGGCCGGCCTCGAGAAACTTCTCAAACCCCTTCTTTATGCCGACGGAGCGCCCCTCTATCCGGCCTGCTTCCGCGCCGTCCTTGTAGCCCTCGTCCCACCCTTCCTTGTAGTATTGCTCCTCGAGATTGAGGATGTCTTCGAATAAGTCATCATCCTGAGGCATGTTTATGAAGACCCAATGTTGGAAAGATGGATGTTGCTGTTTTTTTATGAATATATATTCCGATTTCTTTTCATTTCACATCGATTCAATATATGCCTTTGTTGCTATCGTTATCTAACCTTTAAATATTGAATTTCAAAGCCGGACCGGGATGGAGGGGCAGATGCAAGATGCGAGATGCTTGCGAACGTGGGGCAAGTTTGACATAAGACGCCAATAAAAGCTTCTATCCATTTTTTTTTTACAGAGTACTTTATTTTGGCAGGAGATTCCATATAAATAAATGTATACGTCTAGCTAGTTACCAGCTACTGCTAGCTCGTTATCGATTAAGGTACATAGACCCTGGACTTTTGGGAACTTTATGTGGGAAGAGGTAAATTGGTGTGGAAGTTGCATGTGTGATATTCAACATACGTCCTTACCTACCTATCTTACTACATAGTACATAACCTACTACATAACCTACTACAACGATACCGGGTACCACTAACCTGTATACAACAATACACATCATCAAATAATTGAAGCTATTCCAACATACCTTTTCAACAAAACACAAGAAGGGAACTACCTACAACAAACACAGACACAGACACAGACACAGACACAGACACACCACAATGGATATCCGGCGTCTCGAACCGCGGGACATCCCGCTCATCCAACATGCCAACCTCGAGAACCTGCCCGAGAACTACTTCATGAAATATTACCTATACCACGCCCTGTCCTGGCCCCAGCTCAGCTACGTCGCCGTCGACATATCCCGCCCCAAGAAGACCCCTTACGACTACCCCAAGATCGTCGGCTATGTGCTGGCGAAGATGGAGGAGGAGCCCGCCGACGGCGTCCAGCACGGCCACATCACCTCCTTGTCCGTCATGCGCACACACCGACGCTTGGGTATTGCTGAGAAGCTGATGCGGCAGAGTCGTATGTATTTGTTTTTTATTTACTTTCCTATATACATATATACATATATATATTCATGTTCCCTACGATCCCTCAATCATACACATGCATCTATCCATACCTAAACAGCCATCCCCAACGTAAGGAAATTCATAAAACTAATAACAAAAAAACCCCCCCTCCCCAACCACAGAACTAGCCATGGTCGAGACCTTCGGCGCCCAGTACGTGAGCCTGCACGTGCGCGTCTCCAACAAGGCCGCCATCCACCTCTACACCAAGACCCTCGGCTTCGACCAGGAGAAGACCGAGGCCAAGTACTACGCCGACGGCGAGGACGCCCACTGCATGCGCCTCGACCTCTCCGCCATCCGCGCCCAGATCCAGGACGCCCAGCTCGACGCCGACGACAACGAAGGGTCCGAGGGCGTGGACGAGGGCGACCCCGTCGGCGACGGTGGAAAAGCTGAGGGTGATGGCAATGGGGATGGTAATGACAAGGCACTGCCGAATAGACCGAAGGAGACGAAGCGCAAGGTCAAGGTTGGACGGGCCCTTGGCGTGCAGGCGCTGGTTGAGAAGGACGAGAGTAAGCATGCTTAAAAGGGGAACGTACCTACCTGGAGATAGACGAAAAGAAAAAGGGGGGGGGATGTACCTAACCTAGCAAGTCCAAAAAGAACATTGAAATAAAGTTAAAAAGGGATAGATGGATAGATAGGTAAGTAGGGTGCCATGCCTTACAATAAATACCATGACCATACCCGTATCACACCATGCCAAAGTGAAGGAGTGTCAGCATCTACATATCTACCTAGTAAAGAGGCCCTCAGGTCTTAAGCATATTTACACACCAAGGCCACGACTAACAGCACCAGCTAAGCACTACTAATAAGTAAACGGCAAAATGGTTCCCAGGAGACCTAGGTAACCTAGATATGTACCTAGAGAGGGAGCAAGAAAAAAAAAAAAAAAAAAAAAAAGGAAAAGGGGAGAGGGGGAAAAGGGGAAAAGGGGGCTCTTGATACATTCTGAATAAAGCCAAGTGTGAAGTGAAGAAGACATTGCGGGCCTGATTACTACCCGTTTGTGCATCTATCCAGACACCTAATTATCTAACCGTACCTATCCGTACTTATTGAGGAAATCCATACGTTTGCAAAAATCTTGAATCCCATCTTGTGAGCCAGTCTCCCGTTTCCTTCCCATAAAGCCGTAACGTAATAACCGAGCACAGAGAGTGGTTGTATTTCCGGAACCTGATCCCAGCCCCCCTTGTTCATATAAGTACCACTGATCTCATAACCGTGTAAGAATCCCATCTATACCTGTAATCTTTCCATCTTGTTGAGTTCATCATCTTCAGCTTCCCCTTATGGTTTGACCATGAATGCCTAGGAAGGTATTTAGGTAGGTGTGGAAACAACATCTACCCCTTCTTGCTCTACTCCCTCAGCCGCTTCTCCTCTTCTTCCAGCTCTGCAGCCAACTGCTCATCAGCCTCAACACTCAAACGTTGCATACGGGCAGTCAAGTCCAGGATCTCGCATTCCAATTCCCTCATTTTACGTCCAAAGGCCTTGGTCTCGGCACTTTGGCTATCCACAGTCTGCCCGAGATTCATTTGGCTCGTCCGTAGCACCAACAAGGCTTGCTCTTTGGAGCTAATCTGATTCTTCAAAAGGTTCAAGGCTGCGTGTTTGTTGCCCGTCCCGTTCGAGGGCCCAGAGACAGGATTTTGTGTTGCCCCTGACGGCTGATTGGCCCCATGATTACTCATAGCTTTCATTCGTGCGAGTTCCCTGCGTAGCGCGTCCTCATGTGAGCGGCTTGCTTGGTGTTGGGCTTGTGAGAGCGCTAGATTCGCCTGTTGTTGGGCGTGCACCCGCGCCTGTATGGCTCGCGCGCGTGCGGTATTCATTTGTTGTTGGGAATCCGACCGTGTTCGCGCTGCTTGTGAGAGCGCCAGATTCGCCTGGTGCTGAGCTTGCGTCCGCGCCTGTATGGCTTGCGCGCGCGCGATATTTATTTGTTGTTGGGAATCTGACCGTATTCGCGCTGCTTGGCAGCGCGCCAGATTCGCCTGGTGCTGGGCTTGCATGGCGTGGAGGCGTGCGTGATTGATTTGTGAGGCCCAAGGGCCATCGGTGCTAGCAGGTACATTCTGCGCACTGCTAGATTCCCCAGGCATATTTTCCAAGGCCTGTCTGTCCTGCTCGGCTCTAGCAATTAAGAGCCGCTTCTTGTTTTCCATCTCGAGCTGCATTAGCTGGGCTTGGTAGTCCTGCTGAGTATTGGTTATGAAAACTGAATCATCTTCATTGCCGAGCCATGGAGGCATATTGTCTTTAGCCATCATATGTTGTTTTCTGCTTTGTTGCGCGAGTAACTTCGACTCCATATCGTGGTCTACCGAGGAATGAGTGGTGCCGTCTCCCCTTTGTGTATCGCGGTGTTCCAGTGATGCACCGCCCGGCATAGATGGGAGATTTGAGATCGGAGGCAAGCTGCTTATAGGGACAGGGGGACTAGCGACAATAGGTCCCGGAATTATAGTATTGTGGCCGAGAGGTCCAAGCCCGCCGCGCCTGGCACCCCTTTCCGCCTCGCGTTCCGCACGCCTCATATCACGTCCCTGCGTCTTATGCTCTCTCCTCTCGGCTCGGCGTTTATCCCTACGTTCACGCTTGAGAGCGCGTTTTAGCTGCCTTCTATCCTTTCGCGCTAGTTTAGCAGACTTTTTCTGCTCCCGCTTCAGTTCCTTGAACTGTGCTAACAGGGCCCTGACTTCCTGGCGCAGCACCTGTTTCTTGATTTCCCAGGTTATGGGGTCAGCTTGCAATGTCGGGGGGGCGTTTTTAGCTGCCTTTATCTCGGAGCGTGCGGCTTTGATCATCGACTTAGTCACGGGTAGTTCTGGATGTGTGAGCCAGGCCGATACAGACTCCTTTGTAGCCGATAACTGGCTGTCTTTCAGATCGTCCCAGTCCGGCAGGCTGCCGATGCTAGAGTCCGAGGATGCGTCCGAGGATGAAGCATCGGAGTGGGAGCTAGGCGAGCGGTTGCGGCTCCCATATGGATGCTGGTGCATTGGGCGAGAGCCTGATCCCCACCCCATGCTACCGCGGTCACGATCTCCAAAGCTTGCTCTCCCTCGATGGGAACCAGGGAAAGTGCTAGGAACTGTAAAGGGGTCGCTTCGTGTTCTTGGATCGGGAAAAGGACAGTGGTTGTCGTTATTAGGTTGATTGTTCCATCGCACGCCATTTCTATTTACTTCAAATGAGTTACCAAATGAAACGCGGTCATCCTCAATGTTGAGACGTCCAATACGGAGACCGCGGGCCGTCGACTGGAACGGTCGGAATGGGTTCCATCCTGATCTATGGTGCTGTTCTTGAGGCATTGAGCTGCCTGGCTCCTGACGCAGTGGTTCCGGCTGCGGTAACGTAGTCTGACTACGGCCAAACGATGTATCTAATCCGTTGGAGGATGAATCCGGTCGACGTACAGTCAGGCCCCTTGGCCCGAAGAAGCCATTGTTCCATTCGCGAATCATAGCATCGACACTGTGTGAAGGTTCAGACGGCAAATTAGTAGATGTCTTGGTCTGGCCTAGTTGCGCTTCAGTGATGTCTTTTTCGGCCGTGGGCGACTGTCCATCATCCTTAGCTTTCAACTTGCGTTCGATTGCGAGTAAATCAGCTCTTGGTATACGATTTGGTATGGCGTAATTAAGAAAGGTGTGCCAATCTTGCTCAGTGGTATCATATTCTCCGATCCAAGACGGATAAGGGAAATCTGACGGAGAAGAGGAGCCATCGTCACGGATATCTAATAGAACCACCTTATTTGGCTCAGGTCCATGTGTAATAGCAGGGTGAGATTCGAAGTAAGATTGGACAGAGGCTACAGTACGATGGTCTTCATTCCCAGAAAAGTCGAAATGAGATTCTCGGGGTGACTCCGGTGGGGTGTAGATAATGGGACCTTGAGAAGATGAGACAGTTGAAGCATCGTCATCGTTTGATGCAGATTGGGCGACATGTGAGTTGATATCCGTCTCCGTATACGGCGGAGGGGGAAGGTCGTCCATGGCAAGCCGTGAATGTCAGTTCTTGTAGACTACGGTGTTGCTGAGTAAAGGTATTGCTGCGACAAATTATCAAGGCTCGAGGGTCTACTTTGTCTTATAGAGCCTCGGACTTGAAATAGGAGTAGCTTGAAAAGCTGTAGAATAAATATTAGATACTGCTGTAGGTAAGTAGCAGTAATATTGCTTTCATCAATACGAGTGATACCTAGTGAGCTCAATACTATGTATTGTATCACCATGTGCTGTCCAGGTAAAGGTAGTATAAAGGTAGTAAGCTGGCTGCCTGATGGATGATGAATCGGATGAGATGTGTATTCCGTTGGTCTACGACAGACACGGGAAGCACAGCCTGTTGGAAGTTGGAGCTTGAACTGGCCACCTACTATGTAATTATAGTAGGTACTAGGTACTGTGTAGGTAGGTATGTACATAGTGCGAGCTGTTCGATACATACATACATATATGAATAGTGTAGAGTTCAGCCCTCGATAGATCAGGTGTTTCATTCTAGGAATAAGATTCGTTCTAGGGAGGGCCTGGGAGGCAAGCAAGCTTTGGCTGGCCGCTGGATCAGTCAGCCACCCCACACCAGATAGATAACCTTGCATAGCAGGACTTCCAGCTACCTTCAGGCTACAACCTACTAACCTACACAAAGTGACCACTTGATCTGCTTACATGTAGTACCCAACCTTGAAGTCTGCCAGATAATATTAACTATAGGACTTCTACATAGTACAAGTTCTAGGTAAAGGACCCCTGCAGTTTGCCCTGATTGCTTATAGGATACCCCTGTATTGGTAGTACAATTGTATTGTACATTGTACAATACATTGTACGACGAGATGACGCGGCAACTATGAACATGAACTTCAAATTGTCTTCAATGTTCCTACGCGAGCTTTAAGCCTTTGCATTTCTAGATGAGTCAATTTGTCCCCTCTACATAGGTACATAGTAGCAGTGTAGTACTATCAATATCGTTGATGATGTATCATATGTATACACGAGTACTTACAAGTTACCACAACTACAACCACTGGGTATGTGTTAGAGGCCTATGTGTATGTACGTGCAGCTGCATCAGAGAAGGAACCATGATTGCTGCTTTGATCATTTTGCTTTCTTTTTTTTTTCTTTTGGGCAAATTTTAAGAAGAGAAGCAATCAAATCTCTCATCAGGCTCGGGGCAATCTATCATGGGAGAGGATGGTACTGCTTTGTTTACTCTCGAATTGACTCGGTTACGTGAAATGCTTCTAGATCATCGAAATTGGACTTTGGACCAGGCATTCATGTCCTAAGACACATCATCGATGAACTTTTCTAGAAAGATCAAAGTTCATGTCTTCGTCCTTGTAGTGATCGGCGATAAGTGAGTGCAAGTGGTCTTTGGAGTGTGCGCCCCTATTATATCGAATTAGTCATTTCCCCACTAACGAAAACATTATATACTCCGAAGTAGATGGCCACTTACAAGTTGGTAATGTATGTGTTGACAAGATCGCTGGGAATGAACTCGGCGATGGCATTTTTCACTCTGACTTGTCCAACCATGGTACCGTCTGCGAAGTTGATGTATTTGGAGGGGTCGCCCCATTCGATAGACCCCTCGTGATGGAACCGACTATCAGGACTAAGCTTGTAAACGCCGCCTAAGATAATCACTGTTCTCTTTTGCTCGTGGGCGGCGCGTGCAATGACCGCGGCACCGGACTCGACAAATACTCCGCCTTTGCCGGTAATCGCCCGAGCTCCTAGGATGACTTTATTCACCCTGGACATGTAAGCCGTGAGGCCGATATTCATGACATTAACGACCGACGATCCTCCAGACGATAATGACTTTCGGAAGGAGGCATAGGGATCTTCGGGAGCAGATGCTGTAGACGGGTCTACAACCAGAAACACCGTAAACCTTCTCTTAGAAGCGGCTCGAGTCAAGAATTTCTGGACCGTCCTCGAAGGTTGATGGACTAATATGTAGTCACCTGGGTGAATTACAATCTCGGCGTAAGCTTGGATCTGTTCATCTACTTGCTTGATCTCGTCCATTATTTCTTCGATTCCGTCAATGACTTCAGATCGGAGTGCCTGCACATTGGTTGATTGTGGATGCCGTTGAGGCGTCGAGGCTCCCGAGGGAAGTTTGGGCGTGGAGCCAGGCGACGGAGTGAAGTCTGGGTCGGATAGGAGATTGAACATTGACTGCGTGCGAGCAAAGGATCCGAGAGCGACTAGTGAGGGGAGCCGAAGTGGCCTATCGAAGTGGGGGGGCTCGATCGAGGGTGGTAACGCTGGCGTCGCGTCGGGAGGTGTGTCAAACCCTGTTTCGTTCCTATCTTCGGATGCCTCGTCACGGATCAGACCCAAGACTCTCTTCACGATATTACCTATAACCAATTCGTGGGGCTGCGCCGTTACAAGTCTTCTACCGACCAACTGAATGCGCCCAAGGAGTTGATCGACATCGGTCCATTTATCCCTGGCGACAACTTGTAAAAGGATATGTGCTGTAGCAGTGGCGCATGCTTCAGATCCTCGAATCTGCCGTCGCTTAAGGAGGCTATATCACATGTGTAAGTTTTAAACTTGGAATAGAAACATACGAGTCCCTGCACTTACGATATGAGCGATTCCACAGAAGCCTCCACGGGGCGACTCTTTAGGGTATCGAGAAACTTATCCAAGTTAGGAGCATAGCCCCCCTTAGGAGGAGCCATGTTCCAATTCGTCTTGAGAGATTCCCTAGAAAGTGCGCTATAATATAGAAAACTTCAAGGTCGTTGAGTACGGGGGTTTGGGTATAATCGATGTCGGCGCAAAAATAAAGACGCAGTCGACAACTTGTAGCTCGTGCAAGGGAATCGAAGTCTAACGGAACAGAGAATTTTAGTATGAAATATTATGAAGGTAAAGAATAAATGCTATTCGATATAGCACTTATCAATGATGTATAGGTATAGGTATATGTGTTAATTACCTCGGTAGTGTGGTAGTGTGGTAGTGTGGTGAAGGTTTGGTGAAGAAGGAAGCTTTCTTGCTAATTATCCAATGTAGAGTCTTTTTCTAAATTTGTGAGTCAAAGACATTGAACATCAAAGTAAGCTCCGATCTAACTGCACCGAATTTCAGGAACGTACCGCGCTACCCACAAGACAAGCTACCTTGACTAAGTACCGATGTATAGCGGGGTGTGTTGCATTCATTGGGGCATTGGGGCACAGATAATCAGCACGTGATGGAACCTTGGAACCCTTGAACAGTTATGGGTCGTTTTCCTTCTTTTCATCTTTTTCGCTACTAGCAGCAGTTCTCCAGGGCTTGCAATAGAACGATAGTGGAGTGAGCGGGACAATGCCGCTAATTTCCAGCAATGCAGCAGCGCCTTGGCTTCCAATTGCTCCAAATTGTTCTCCCTGTTATTAATTAGACCCGGAATGAAACCTGGACACAACTAACCCGCTGGGGGAGGGAGGCTGTTTTTTGCCCAGCAAGTCCAGCAGGTCCAGCAGGCCCCAGTTAGCTTAGATGGTTTAGCAATTCAGCAATTCAGCAATTCAGCAGTAACTAACTAACGTTAATTCCATTCCACAACCTACTGTAATAAACTCCCCTAACCAATCTACTACAACCACCTAATCTTCAAGTGAGCCTTCTAGAGCTCCTTTTGTACAACAAAGACCACTCTGCAACACGAGACTTTTTTGCGACATCGTGTTTTTTTTTTCTTGAACCAAACCCACAAAGACCCGCGCAAGTCAATAACACATATTACCTCACTTACCTAGGAATGAAATGTTTGGACAACCTAGATAATTTTATGTCATCACCGTTGCGCGTAGCTTGTCAGCAATCGTACTCCCCATCAACCCACCGACCCGATCGTTGAAGGCGTTTGAGAATACCGATCTCATCGTTTACATCTCTGTGTACCCCGGAGTTTGAATACAGTCGCCAACTGTTGTTTTTCAATTTTACAATTTTATTTCAGACATATTCCTTTTTTGCTATTATTATTACCTACCTACCTACCTACAGTATTCATTCAGCCTCTCAGGACGGGACTACTTTAAATACAACTCCGGCCGACATACATAACCCTAATAACTTGGAACTTTGTAATCGTACATTGTACATACCTATTCGCTCATTCGCCTATTCGTCTATTCGTCCTATCTTGCGTCGCCTCCACAAAGTACATATCATCATACACCTTCGGCCTTCTTACGTACCACCCCCCGAGTTTTGTTTGTTCTTTGGTGGACACGATTCCTGTCCTTCATGGCTTGCAAGTCGACTGGAAGATGAACTCTATCAATATAATATCCGCGCGCGTCTCCCCGTCCTCAAGTCCCGCCCCGTCGCGATCAAACTCATTAAGCCATCTTGGTTTAGCTGTTGCCCAGTCCGATGAAAGCCCAACGTCCTCAGAGGACACATCGCCCAACGAAAAAGGCACCACTAACTCCGAATCCAACGAAAGCGCGTTCACTAAGGACGACAGCCTAGCCCATTTTCAGAGCGCGGATGAGAATACTCCTTTATTAGAGAGGAATGATACCAAGGATACGAATATCCGGTCCTATTCATGGCATGCCATTCCTGGGCGCATAGCAAATAGCTTCGTGAACTCCATCCGCCTCATCCTATCTACCATAACTGCCCCTGGTGTCTACCTAGTTGCCTGCTTTTATGACGAGCAAGGGAACTTTGCCCCCTTGCGACAACTCAAAAGTCTGTTTGGAATCTATGGAGGCGATACGCGCAAGTTTGCCTTTGACTACCAGGAAAATATCACGGCTGGCAATGAAAAGCAACATTCGCCAATACGGCACGGCCAACATTCGAGAGACCAGCATGCCCCCACGCCTTCTCGACCTGTACCTTCGTCGGGAACATCATCTTCGGGACTGTCGTCCGAGTCGGAATCCGATATAACCAGTAGAAAACAGGGTGTTCGTCGGGTTTCCGCTTCTTCCGGTCGCCACACGCGCTCTAAGTCGACAGATTCCACTGACGAAGTCGCACCGGCTAGACGGTCGATAAGGATCAAGTTAAATAACGACGAAGCCATGCGACAGCGGAAGCATAAGAAGACACTCTCTACGAGTGGTGGTACCGGTACCACCGGTGCCGAAGCCTCGAAAGATCTATCAGCACAGCTCAAATCTCCCACATCTCCGGTTGGGGCTTTGACGAAGTATCCCAAGACTCCTGCTCCTCCTAGACCATTAATACCCAGACGACAACCTTCCTTCGTCCCCTACGAACCTCTGGACCCCAAACATCTGAAGACTCTGATATTAGATCTAGACGAAACCTTGATACACAGCATGTCAAAGGGTGGCCGAATGGGCTCGGGTCACATGGTCGAAGTGCGGTTAACTACGACATATGTCGGAAGTGGTGGACAACAGGCTCTTGGGCCTCAGCATCCCATTCTGTACTATGTTCACAAACGGCCGCACTGCGACGAATTCCTACGAAAGGTGAGAAGGTCGAATCTTGCAGACTGAAGATGGAAATTGTTGGGCTAACTTAGATCTCCCAAGGTTTGTAAATGGTTCAACCTTGTCGTATTCACAGCGTCGGTGCAGGAGTATGCCGATCCGGTCATTGACTGGCTGGAGTCGGAGAGGAAGTTCTTCTCTGGGCGATACTACCGACAGCACTGCACGTTCAGACACGGCGCATTCATCAAAGATCTTAGCTCCGTAGAACCAGACCTGAGCAAGGTCATGATTCTAGATAACAGTCCGTTGAGCTACATGTTCCATCAAGGTAAGAACTTCCCCTGACCCTTGAATATCGGGGTTCCTGTTTTTTAGTGTCGTTACCTGTGAGCTAACTTGATACTCGATACAGACAATGCGATTCCCATCCAGGGATGGATCAGTGACCCTACAGATAATGATTTGCTGCACCTGGTACCTCTTCTAGAAGGATTGCAGTACGTTTCGGATGTTAGAGCATTACTTGCATTGCGAGGCGGGGAGGATGGCCAGCACATGATGACGTGAAGACAAATAAGAATAAAATAGATAAAACGAATTCCAACCTTTTTTTCGAGGGACGAGAACATAGCGGGTGTTGACTGGTATTTTGGCAAGGGGAGGGGATTGATACACCGACGGCTATAGCATTCCAGGAAGTTGATGCCAACACATGCTTCATTGTACAGGTCCAGGCGTTTAATATACTAGGTAATAAGTGTAACATGTCCAAGACAAGCGTAGGAAGGGTTGATTTGTAGCAACGCATAGGTACCTAGTAAGGTAAAGCGAGGTGAGCCAAAGCAAAGGCAATAGACTTAAAGGGAGGGGAAGCTCTGTCTACCTGTAGGTAGTAAGTAACCTGAAGGAGTATTCATCAGAGTGAAGATCCCTGAATTTTGAATCTTGTCTAGTTTTCCAATGGGGTACTTAAGTCAACTCACGTCGTCATCATTATGTGTGTGAGCATTCCGGACTGGTATTATGGAACTTGGAGGTTGGTTCGTGCTGTGGATACAAGCTGGTAAGTAACGGCGTTTCCTTGTAACGTTCAAGCCACAACTATGTAGGTACAATATGGCAGTATGTAGAAGTGTTAAAATAATTACGTACATAATAGTCACAATATTGTCTAGTATTCTAGGAACAGCTGCTCCGGTGCTGCTAACAGTATTCTATGTACTACATACATATGTAGGTATACCTATACATAGTACCTAGTAGTATAGTACATAGTTAGTAGTACCAAAAGGTACAAGTATATTATAGTATGTTAGTATGTAACATCGTGGATCCACTGGGTGTTATTCTGTACATATTGCGACATCCAATGACATTCTATATATTTAGCACCTAGGTTCCTACTATAGCAATTACAATATTGAATATACATATACATATATGTACCTACCTACATAATACTATACATGTACATACAATACATAGCACTTGTGTACATATATTATATACAAGGTTACAAATATTAATAGCTAGTGACCGCAATGGGATAATATAAAAGGCTCAACGACTCATGGCGCATCATGGCGCATGTTAGTATGCCCCGCGACGCCAAATAGACGAACCCGGTGAAGATTGCATAGAAAATAACATCTATTACGTCACGTTGAACACCAAAACCAAGACATTGGGGGCTTGAGAAGCTAGAACTTAGAAGAGCTTGGGTATTACATGCTCTTACGAAACCTGGTCATACCTTAGTAGGAGGAAAGCATGTAAGGCATGCAGAACATGCACGCTAGAATCATCGGATTATGGATTATACCATATTCCTATGTTTTCGTCATCAGTGCCGTAACTTGACGTTATAAGAGAAGCTTTTCTTCAATGTCGTTCCTAACTCTTTTATTTTTTGGTTCCTGATATATTTTATTCTTCAACAACCTCAAATACCGTTGTTTCAAACCTTACATATATACATATACGTATACACAAGGTCCCCAGATACCCAAACCCTATAGAAACACCTCTAACGTTAACGTATCACACTAGACATCATGTCTCTTCACTGTGAGTGCCTACATAGCACTCCTCCTTACCATCCCAAACTAATAAATATCACCCAGACCTCCCTTCAGTGAAACCCTCGGCCATCGCCCTAGGTACCGTCTTCAACCACGGCATCGAGCTGGCAGTACTTGGCCCAGTATTTGGACAGACCTACCAGCGCGCCAAGCAATCCAACACCAAGGAGGAGTTCATCCAATCCAAGGAGGCTTCTTCAGCTGCCGTGGCATGGGGTACTTCGCTCGTCGGCTCTGCCCTACAATCCTATGGCGTCGGTGCCCTGATCAACGCCACCGGCACCCTCAGCTATAGAGGTGCCGCCTACCTCGGCGCTTTGATCTTCGCCGCCACCTCTGCTCCTACCGTAACAGCCCTCTCCCTTCCCCTCCCTACCTAGATGTATGTCTTGGATATAAGTATATATGCTAACACAACCTGCAGTACCTCACCCAGCTCCTCTCCGAGAAGCGGCCCGTCGACACCGTCGCCGTGGGTGCCACCACCAAGATCCTCGAGACGGTTGGTCTGTCGCTGTTCCTCACCTGGTGGGGAACCCGCACCAACCCGTTCGATTAGGAGCTCGAAGGGCCTGTATTTGTTAGCTTTCCTACTGGCTAGTTAGGAGGTAATCATGGCTCATGACTACTACTTAGTTATTCATCCACAACTGCGTAACGGAATCGCTGCGAGAAAGAACAGCAGCGCCACACACAACTTAACATGCTAGAAAAATTGGGATGGGGTACGGAAATCAGCTGTTTTGGCTGTGTAGTATAAATAAATGAATAAATCTTTTTCAAAATCATTGCCTCGGAACGTTTTTGTGGTCGTGTCTGATAATCAATAGTCAAGTCAGTTGAGATCTTATCGTTCCAACCAACCAAGAAAAAAAAAGGTCCTTGGCGAAACCTGTGGAAGTGGAATCAAAATCAAAAGCTTGCGGTTGAGATGCATATTATGAATCGTTGTTCATTCATTGATCGATCCTGTATTTGCAAATATGAAGAATAATTTTGTCCCCAACGCCAAAAGCCACGCCTATTGCAGCCAACCGAAGCAGTACGTACATAGGTACACAAAGTAATTCCCGACGGTACCCTTTTTCCATGATATGCTTTGAAAGGTACGGGCCATGAGAGAGGACTCGGATCGACACCCACGACGAGCCCACACTAAACACTCTCCGGGTCCGTACAAATGCAGCGGGGCGAATTTTGATCCTATTAAAGATCTTCTTCTACTAAGCAGAGAGAAACCAAGCCTCGGGAAATCCTTACGCGAACTTGAGCTGCTTGCTCTCCTTCTCGACAAGCTTGACGAGGTCCTTGTAGATGTCGGCGAAGTCCTCGCCGTCCTCCTCCTCTATCTTGTCCTCCTTCTTGCCGCCGGCGCGCTTCTCGGTCACCATGACGACGCTCGTGGGCCGCTTGGTGCTGCCCGCGGCGCCGAGCTCCGCGCGCGAGGTCACGAAGATGTACGGCACGTTGACGTCCTCGCACAGCACAGGGATGTGGCTGATCACGTCCATCGGGCTGATGTCGCCCGCGAGCACTACGACGCCTGGGAACGCGGTGTTGCTAGGCCCGGCGGCGGGGGACTTGCGGAGGGACTTGACGACTTCTTTTACGCCGCGCTTAAGGGTCTTGTGTTTGGCAGCTGTAGGAGGGGAGGGTTTGGGGTTAGCGCTTTGCAATTTTTGGGGCTTGTAGATTTGCTTGACCATTCATTGCTTGGCGATGGAGAGGGGAGAGAAGGGAAGTGACTTCAGTTGACTGAAAATGAAATAGACATAAGACATACCTTTTCGTACAGACTTCATGATCTTCTTGGTGGCCTTCTCATCTGCTAATGGCTTCGCAAATGGTACTAGAGCGCCTACTATGGGGATAGGAACCACGACCTTGGCCTTCTTGTCTTCCTTCACAACGGCGACAGCGTTGCCATCAGCTTCGTCTAGGACAGTGGTGACAGCGTTCTTAAGCTTCTCCTTTTTGTCCTTCTTTTCCTTCTTCTCTTTCTTGACCTTCGTCACACCATCTGCTTCGCTACGCTTCTTGTCCTTCTTTTCCTTCTTCTCTGGCTTTGTCGACCCCATTTTTATTTATTTTTTGGAATTTTCTTTTCGTAGAATTATTGCGGTATTTAATTGATAGAAGGGACGCGTTAAGTTTCGTGAGGTCGAGTTATTAGAGCGTAGATGGCGGGCTATTGGGAAGTAGTTCGGGGGTGGTCGTCGGTGAGTTGGGTGAAGATTCAATTCAATTGATCGAATCTTTTTTTTTCTTTTCTTTTTTTTACGAAATCTTTCTTATCAATTGACCGATAAAGTAAATTTTCGACCTTGAAATTTTCCAACTCAAGTCAACCGGAGCTTTATTGCGGAGACGATGATTTGAGCCAATGAGAACATTGGAGCTAGGAACGGAATTGGGGTATTCCCGCTTTAGTCCAAGAGTTACCACTTACAGGGCTGTTGGACAGCGGGCAGAACCTTGAACCTTTGACTTTCTTACATCTTCATTTGTTACTATTGGTGTAATTACTCTCAACCTGAATACTACATACCATTCCCTGCTGCAGGTATTTACCAACTCCAACACTTTTGTCTTTTTATAACGTTGAATATATCTACCATCTACTTAGTGTATATGATGTAGGTAACTTACAATAACATTAGGTTATTACCTATAACTACTTCGTAGTCATTGGTCATATTTATTCAATATCGATGGCGGTGACCTCTCACTATGCCATTGCCAAGGCGTACAGTTTTGAACGATCAACTTGTCAGCTCGGTTGCAACTGATTTGCATACCTGCCATTGGCATTTATACTGCTGCCTAGCTATGTACGAATACCTGGGACCAAGAATAGAAACAGGCTGCCTAGTTCATACAAAGGAATGGTGATCTAAACAGCTGCACCTTCCATGACCCACGATGGCCCTCTAGTCCTCAGAAGCCGAGCATGTTTGTCTACATAGATGCCATCCGAATCCGGGGTAATTGCAGCTCCCCGCCTTAGCCCCCTTGACAATACTTATGCAAAGTCACTCGGGTTATATTCTACCAAGGTATCAAGTACGACCTGCCTTTTGTGTACCCGTGCTATGCCTCAAGCTGTAGGTAGGTACCTCGGGCTATGCCACAGCCTTAAAGCTCCTCTCGTTTGTTTCTTTGTGCAAACTCCATTTATACTATATTTCCTCTCTTAGTTAGGGAGCTAGTATCTAAAATCGTGTCACCTCTCTTTACATCCGAGAAGTCTCACTTAGCCTCGGTTGGAGTACAAGTACGCAAGATGGTGGCTCGGTCATTCTTGGTGTCTTTTACCACGGCTGCAACATGCTATGCGTCTCAGGTGAAGCTGCCTCGCCAGAATACAAACACCACTCTTGGTGGTTATGACTTCGTAGATCCTCTCATTGGTACTCGTAACGGCGGTCAGTCACCTACAGATACATATTTAACTTGGAAAAATTGCTTACCTGAACAATATAGGCCATGTCTTCGCTGGGGCAACGTTGCCTTTCGGTAAGCACGAAATAATATTTGCAAACTATGCCAATATGTTAAGATATTAACGACCCCTCAGGCATGGCGAAAGCGGTTGCAGACGTGACGAGTGACAATCAAGGAGGGTATGCCTCGAATGGAAGCCCTGTCACGGGCTTCTCTCACATGCATGATTCAGGCACCGGCGGCGCCTCATCCCTCGCAAACTTCCCGATCTTTGTTCATCCAGGATGTACTGGCGACGAAGTAAACGGCTGTGTTTTCCCCAAGACTCAACGTAGTGTTGAGGTTGTTGACGGGAGTGTTTCTGCTCGTCCCGGATATTTCACCATTGGCCTTGAATCTGGCATAAAGGCGGAGATCACAGCGGCAAACCACACTGCTCTCTATAGCTTTACTTTCCACGGTAATGCTACCGGGAAAGCTGTCGTGGACGGGCCCTTAAGTCCGTTGTTCATCGTGGACTTGACGGACCTTCCGGATACACGCCTAAGTGGAAGCGCTGCTGTAGAACCAGAAACAGGCCGAATGACAGGCAATGGCACGTTTGAACCAAGTTTTGGAACCGGTGAATACACATTGCACTTTTGTGCCGATTTCGCTCCAGGCACCCCAATACGCGATACTGGTGTATTCGTGAATAATAGGGCTGGCAACCAGGCAAAAAGCATTGTTATGGGACGAGATAACAACAATCCTCCTCTACCAGCGGGGGCCTACACGTGGTTCGACGAAGTTACAGAAGGCACTACAATCACAGTTCGGGTTGGGCTTTCGTTCAAGAGTGTTGACCAAGCTTGCACTAATGCAGAGACCGAGATCCCGAATTTCAGCTTCTCGGACACTCTAGCTACTGCTGAGGAAGTCTGGAAAGAGAAGCTGTCGGTCATAAGTATTGACGCAACCGGCCTTAATGACAACGACCTTCAGACCATCTTTTGGAGCGGTGTATACAGAGCAATGCTAAGTCCACAAGATTATACTGGCGAGAATTATCTTTGGGAAAGCGACGAGCCCTATTACGACTCCTGGTACTGCATATGGGACTCGTTTCGGAGTATTCATCCCTTTATCACTCTCGTGGATCCATACTCTCAAACCCTCATGATCCGCTCTCTCATCGATATTTACCGACATGAAGGGTGGCTCCCTGATTGTCGAATGTCCTTGTGCAAAGGTTGGACTCAAGGAGGTTCTAACGCTGATGTTGTATTGGTGGATGCATATTTGAAAAATATCACGCAGGATGTTGACTGGGAGACTGGGTACGAGGCCTTGATAAAGGATGCAGAGAATGAACCTCCAGTATGGGACACTGAGGGTCGCGGTGGTCTGTATAGCTGGAAGAACTACGGCTACATCCCAGCTGATGACTTTGATCCCTACGGAAACGGCTTATTTACGAGGAGCGTTTCCCGAACCGTTGAGTACGCATACAACGACTTTTGTATTGCTGAAGTAGCGGAGGCACTCGGTAAACAAGACGATTATGAAAAGTATACCAAGCGGTCCGGGAATTGGATTAATCTGTACAATCCTAACCAAACTTCCGATATCAGTGGCACAGACACTGGATTTACTGGATTCCTCCAACCAAAATACCTGAACGGGACTTGGGGATATCAAGATCCAACACTTTGCTCTTCCGTCATGTCGTTCGACTCTTGTTATCTTAACCCGAACGGCCACGAAACTTACGAGGGAAGTCCTTGGCTTTACTCCTTTTTTGCACCACATGACATGGCTGCCCTAATTACCACCCTCGGCGGCCCCGATACTTTCGTCAGTCGTCTAGACTACCTTCATGAAAGTGGTATTCTCTACGTGGGTGACGAACAAGCTTTTCTCACCATATTCCAATATCATTACGCAGGCCGCCCAGGCAAATCAACAGAGCGTGTTCATTATTACATACCGAGCCAATTCAACACCTCCACAGCAGGTATTCCCGGAAATGATGACTCGGGGGCAATGGGGTCGTTCGTCGCCCTAGCTATGATGGGAATTTTCCCCAATCCAGGCCAAGACATATATTTCATCACGGCGCCATTTTTCTCGTCCATATCTATTACCAATGGAATGACGGGGAACACGGCAACGATCAAAACCGTCAACTTTGACGCCGCGTACAAGAATATATATATCCAAAGTGCAAAGTTGAACGGTGAGGATTATTCAAAGAACTACCTAACCCATAGCTTCTTCCTTCAGGGCGGCACTCTAGAACTCACGCTTGGCGAAAAGGAGAGCACAGCTTGGGGTACAGGCGAAGATGATTTACCGCCGAGTTTGAGCACGAAGAACTAAGGTTCTGCCATGCAGGATTATGTGTATTACACCATTGATGATAATAGACAGGCCTACTCAAATCTGATCCAGCTGTCTCTTACTATTTATGAATACATGTAAATGATATAATCTTGAATAGCTATTAGGCCCTTACCAACTAACCTAGATACCTAGGTAGTTACTCATCTAGTAGACATTGAAAATATCTATGCTGTTACCATAACAGCTTTGAATCGTTATGAACCTGGTTAAGTACTTATGTAATATGAAAGGATTACACTACAAGTGTAATATATATATATATATATTGGAAACCCCAACTTGGCTTACTCCAAACCGTGCCATATCCTCGCTATTCTATATACAGGTATCTACGGATTCACCACGCTCAGTTGCTTCCCTACACCCAAGTCACCAAACCAAGACTGGCGTGTTTCTAATGAATGCGGGATGTGTGCTTCCAACTCCTGGGGAGTCCCCGGGGCGGATATAGAATGCGCTGCGTTGGGATTTGGAATGCTCGGTCCTGGATCTAACAGTCCATTAGTTTCTGGTTCTCGTTAGATGGAGCTAGATTCGGTATGGTGTATCTAAATGTGAAACATACCCTCGCCGTTATGTGAAGCAATTTTTTCATCACCATCCTCTCTACGCAAGCTAAGGGAATTGCACCCCCTATTACGAAACTCCCGGGTTTCCCGCCTCTTTTTCCACCATAACCCTCCCCCGATTATCAGCAGCATGATCACTATCCCCATCATGCTCAACCCAACTATGAGTCCTATCCTCAAAGGCGGCCCTGTACTGACCATATCATCCCCGTACACGCCCGGCCCTGTCGGACTTGGTGTCCCTATCTCACTGGGAACCGAAACACCACTAGTAATACTACTGCTGCCACTACTACTACTGCTGCTGGTAGTGCTGCTACTGCTCCCAACGGTGCTACTAGCACTACTCCCCACCGTCTCAAAATCCACAAACGGCGCCGCATTCGCCGGATCCTCATCCAGCCGCGCAGCCACCAGGTCCTCATCGGCGCAGCCATCATTACACGGGTCCCTCGCACAGCACCCGAAGAACGGCGGCCGCGCGAACGCGCACGTGTACCACGCGTCCGCCCCCCAAGGCGCCGCGCAGCTCTGGTGCGCGCCCCCGTACTGCGAGTAGCTCGCCGGCCGCAGCCCCCCATCCGGACACTGCCCGCCGTTGGAGGCGCTGCACGGGTCCGAGGTGCAGCACCCGAGGAAGGGGAAGTCGCTGGAGAGGCAGATGTAGAAGGTGCCGCCCGACGGGCAGGAGAGGCCGAATTCATCTTCTGGTGTGGACATCGGGGGCGAGCGTAGGTTAGGTAGGCAGGTGAGTGGAGTAGGTGGGTGGGTGAAAAAGGGTTTGGCGGAAGAAGAGGAGAGAGAGAGAGAGAGAGTGGAGAAAAAAACGATCTTTTGGATGAACATTGAACATAGGTTCACATGTGAAAATGTATTTTTAAAGACGACGGAAAGGTTGGGTGTTTGCTTGAGAAGCCTCTGTGTGTTACACTGATCGGGGATCCTCTCCCTTGAGGATCTTTGCCCTGCTAACCTACCTTATCTACTTGGACTTCCCTTGCCTAAGTACTTTGGCCTGAGCCTCTCTCATTTATTTGAAAATATATAAAAAGAAACAAGTCGCACAGGCAATGACTGGTCGGATTCCGGCCGTCTTCGTGGTCAGTGACTGAGACATCGTTTGATTGAGCGTTCCTACATTGCAAGTTCTGATGCTCTTTCTCTTTGTCCTGGTAATCGACAAGTCGGATCGGTTCCACGAAGCGAGAGGGTAATATCGGGGATTACACAGTAGTCATTAAACGTGTTGGCTTGCTGTTTACTTTGTGAATTGAGTCATTATTAGGATATTCGAGCCGCAAACACATGGGTGTTATGTAGGTATGATGGGTAACAAGGAGACTTATTAGAGTAAGACTCTTTGTAGTTACTTAGGTAGTCAATAAGAAATTATTATAGCTATATCCAAATACTCCTTAATGCACTCGAACTGCTATCTACATCATACCGGAGAGCTTTCAAAGCTCTATCCACCTTAGTCATACAAGTAAAAGCGTACCTACATCTCTATCCTCCCTTTCCTAGAATCTCCATTGTCTGCACCAGAGCTGGATCAACTCCGGCGTAACCGCCGTCATATCTCGGAGTGTCGGGCTTCGCTTCAGAGCCCTCGTCACTTCGAACAAGGGAGCTTCGTGTGTTGCGGTGGATAAATCTCGGTACATATCGAGCAGCTTCGCGCCGGGGTTCTTGTCAAACACCTTTCGCTGAACGCTGTCCTCGAGCTTCGCAACCCATTCCTGGAAGCTGACTAGCTCGGGGATACGCTCCTTTCCGTAGAACTCCTGGACGGCCTGGGCTACCTCTGACCACTCCACGGGATTAGGGTTCACGGCGTGGTAATAGCCGTTTATTTCGCTGGCTGCTACCTTCTGGGATATGCCGGCGATTTCGAGCATCAGGCTTGCCATCTTCTCGACTGGAATCCAGTCTATCCGGTACGAACTCGCGAAATCCTTAGGCAGTGCCTTGAGGCACAGGCTGCTGGCGAAGACAGAGGGTACCATTTCATGTCTGTTCCAGGCTCCCACGTCGGCCTCGGGGCCAGCGATCTGGCCAACGCGAATGATGGCGTAGGGGAAGTCGCCGGCTTTTGCAGCATCTTCGAGGATCAGACTGCTGACCGCCTTGCTTCTGCCGTATCCGAGACTGCAGATATCCTCTTGCTCGATTCGTTGTTCAGGCACTGGACCATTCTTACTGTCCCAAACATCGGCTGCGCCAATAGACGAGATGAATATAACGGCGACTCGCTTCGTAGCTTCGGTAGCAAAGTTGGCGATGTTGCGTACTCCCTTTATGTAGGGCTCGAAAGACTCCAGCGGCATGTTGAAGTTTACTGGCCACGCGTTATGGATAATTCGGTCTGCATCTTTGAGGAGCTGGTTATAAGTCTCTTCACCCAACCCAAAGTCTGGCTCAGACATATCCACACGTAGAAATTCCACCTTGGATTCGTCTGAGGGGTCGCTTAGACCACGTTCTCGCATCGCTTTCTTCTGGCGCACAACGCCGCCATCCTCTGTCCTGTTAAGACAGACGACCTTCTTGACCGCGGGATTATTAATCAAGGAGTCTAGCAGGTAAGATCCCAGGTTACCCGTCGATCCAGTCAACAGTATCGTCTGGTTGTCATCTAGCGGATCCTCACGCCCCTCTTTAGACTGGGGGAGATCGGTTGTATACTTCTTCCACAGGGACTCCATATTGAGGACGCCGTTCTGATATGTAGATTTATCAGCCTCTCCGAGCTTCGCATAGATATAGGCTGTCAGGCGACGCAGAGAAGGATGGGTGTATATCACACGCGTAGGAACGTCGATCTGGTGGCCAGCAGCCTTCAGGCCTACCCTGAGGAGGCGGGATGAGTTCATGACCTGCAATGAGTCGATGCCCATAGAGAAGAAATCCGTATCCGGATCGAGATGTTGCCCTCTGAATTCAAGTCGGGTTTCGAACGTCTTTTGAATCGAATCCATCAACGCTGCCTCCGAGCTTGTGTCCATGGGGACTGCGCTTTCGTCGATTTCGCCGGCTGTCTTGTAGATCTCGTCGATTTCGTCCTGGTATAGCTTTATCGTTGTAGGTCTCTGCACGTTGCCCTTACCGCCACGAGGGAAAGGCTTTTCTGGCTTGGAGAGTAAAATGAACCGACGATCGATTTGTCCGTGAGTTACGGTATGCTTATTGACCTCCTCCACGGTAGGCCAGATTTTGTCAATGATTTCCTTTGCCTCGTTATCGTCTTTGGGGTGTTCGAAAAGTTCTAGGAGCAGCACGGCCTGGAAGCGGCCAGTGCCAACCACCAGCGCACCCTTGACTAAGGGATGCAGCGTAACTTGTGCTTCGATAGTACCCGGGTTGAGCTTTTCGCCGTTAGAGAAAACAAGGATGTCTGTAAAATGAATGGATTAATAATCATTTCTTCCCCAAATACCTAGTATACAATATAAAGGGGCCGAGGAGTTCGAGGGACTACATACTATCAGACCGTCCATAGAATTTCCAATGGTCGGCAAGAGTAGGATGCGGTAGGTAGAGATCGCCAGTGTCAAACTCCTGAAGGTCTGGGTATGAATAGAAGCAGCCCTGTATTCCTGGATTTTTGCCTCTGCGGACAATAACCATTTGGTATGCGTTCTCTTCGACGTCTGATTTTCGCCAGTCGATGTTTAGGAACTCTGAGTTGATAATGAAATCTATAAAAGTTCCGTATTAGTCATATTGGCACCCAAAGGGACTCGTGAGATAGGATGGTGTGGTTACATTCATAGAGGTCATAGTTAGGTTGCCGGTAGCAAGGGACACCGCATAGTCTAGTATTTGTTAGTGAAACGATCAAAAGAAGTATCGAGGATAGACCTACTCTGTAGATCCAATTATGGTGCTCAATACTACTCCAGCATCTCGGAGTCTTTTCCCAGCTTCTTTGCTTAAGGGGCCTTTGCCGAATTAGCTATTGGGCAGACAAAAGGGGCATGTCTAGGTATATATCAAGGTGACCAAACTTACCGCCTCCGTATGATACCAGTTTCAGTTGCGCTATAAGCTCAACAGCGCGGGGATTATGGCTTGCATCTTCCAAAATCGAGGGCCTAAACAGGGGTTCTCAGATACTTATAATACGTATTAAGCTTGTAAAGGCATTCGTCGCCCTGGTAGTTTGAAGATGTACTTACGGCAATAGCGCGCCAGAAACGTCCAGATTCTCGAGGCACTCAATGACTACATCGGCAGACAATGGGCGATCAACTACCCCGAGAGCAACAGGCGTTTCAAAGAAAACACTTCTCATCAGGAAGAGATAAATTCCTCCTGCGTGGAATAGTGGGACTGGGTGTTATTAGCGGTTTGTCCAATGGCATGCGGCGTAGTCGCTGAGTCCAGACTTACAAGGCATGAAGCAACATTTTGGTTCTTCACACATATCTTTAAAGTAGAGTGGACGCCCCTTCCATTCTGGCACATCATGATAACTATCACATATTCCCATTAAGCCCTATTACGAACAGCGAGGTTAGCTTCAACTTTCCCTAGTACCCTAACAACCCGTATATAGGAAATCAAAGTAAGATACTAACATGTCTCATGGGGATGGGCTTTGGGAACCCGGTGCTTCCGCTCGTGTGCAACACTACAAAGGCCTCCCATTCTGCCTCCTCGAACGTCCTAGTATAAGGGAAATGCGGGGCCTCTTCCGTTGAGAACCAGTCTTCTAACGATGCGACTTCCAGCGCCTTCATGGGCCATCGTTCTAGCCATGGTTGTACAACGCCTCGGTGTGAGGGTGGGAAAAAGATAGTTTTGCAGTCCGTCTTGTTGAAGAGGTTCAGCTGGGCCTCGTCTGGGTTGCGAGGAGAAACAAACATGGCCTGCTTCCGAATTAGCCAGAATGCACACCTACGTATATTCCCGTTCTGGTAGGCATCTCACCGCGTATCCTGCTTTACTTGCGGCAATAATCATAACAACGTAACGAGCATCATTGGGACCGATATATGCTATCGTCGGAACCGTACCAACCGGTGGGCGCCCACATGTTTCCACGATCCAGTGCGCCACGCGGTTGATGGCATTGGCATATCTTTTGAACGTTATATGTTGTACACCGTCCTTCGGTTTGGAGGTTTTGAAGATTGAAAAGCACGGTTTATCAGGTGACCTCTCAGCAACCTCATCAATAACAGTTGGGATCAGACGGCGCCCGTATGGCGTCGTCCCGTTCGATGTGCTGTCCGACATGTTTTGTCTTTATCAACTTGGGAGTAGTTGATACTGGTGCAGCAGGTGTAGGATAGGATGTTCCGGAGACGACGGAGTATTAAATACAGATGCCGGATATTCCTGTGTGTAGGATATAGTAAGGGGGTAGGGGGGAGAGGGGTCTTTAAGGTCGTGTCCAAGGCTGGTAACCAACATGCTACGTCGTTCTCTTGATTCGCGGATGGATTAGTCTCCACCTTTGAGAAGATTGGTTCACGGTGTATGTAGGTATAGTATGTGTGTATATTAAAGCCTACTATTTTGGAGTATTGTGCAGGAAGTACCATACATCATACAGGAGTACATACCATACAGACAAAGCGATAAATCCCGAACCCATGGAATACATATAGTTCTAAGGAATAGATATGGCGATGGAGTCTATATAAGCGCTATGTACTAATTACCAAAATTCCAGCTTCATCCACTATATGTTAAATATACCTATCCACTTACGCATAGCTCCATACTCGCGTGCACGTCGGTCTCGCTTTACCGGCATCAGCTTCTATCGGACAGGTACCGTGTTACACGAGTGCCTAACTAACGGCGCCGGGATTCGACGCGTCATGCCTCTTCCTACCCACCTAGGTATGCACAGTACTATGTAGTGAGTAGGGAATCGCCTGCGAGCGCAATACTTAGATTAGTAGCCGAGCTGCCGAGGTGGAAAGACTCGAAAGAGGCGATACCGGGCGATAGACTAAAAGTACTAAAAGAACTTTGGAATGCATCAATTTAAGCTAGAAGACGGTGGGGCCCTGTAGGAAACATCGAAGACTCTTTTACTATCCTAGAGCTGCTACTTGTCCCAGCACTGATTGGTCATTGGCATGAACATACCATGTAATTGTATGTAGGTTTGTAGCGAGGACCATGCGTCGATCGCTCGGTATCGTTTAAGGCACGTAAAAATTTATCAACCTACAAACGAGACAAGACATGATGTATGCATGCCAAGGATAGGGGTTTAGGTCCAATAACTTATAGGTTCTACATAGTAAGCTTTTGATAGAGATTTAGTTAACTAACTTGTTATATTTTCAGTTATAATACCGACCTACTAAAAGTACACTATTGTTACGGCACAGCAATACTGACTGAATGGTCTGTCGGAAGCAAGAGGGTGAGGGGTTTGTGGGGGTATGATGATGAAGGATCAGCTGAAAGGACTGATACTAGGGTTATATCCAGAATAGGTATTTACCTAGGTTAGATACCAAGGTATGTTGCATTTTTCTATCTATCTTAATTATAGGAAGTAGCTTAGAAGAAATCCATCGTCTAGGTAGGTGTTCCCTAACTGGCAAAGAGAATAAAAAGAAAGAGATCACTTGGATGTGTTAATTAGAAAAGGCCATTTTCATCCCTTCTTATCCTTGGTCTCCTCTGTTTTCTATTACCAGAACCAGACTATCACTAGGTGCCTAGGCTATCAATAGAATCGAATAGATTGATTGTCACAACTCCATATGTAGTCCACCCTTCATCGACCGACAGTTGAGTTTGTATCTCCCCGAGACCAAACTGCATTCAGGGATACGGATTGGCAACCAATTCACACCGTTTAATAGACTCGATCAACACCTACCTCCAATTGAGATTGGATATACAGGCATATTTACACCCGTCGATAAACTTGCCGAGGTCCTCACGAATCTTGGGCGTGGATGAGGACCGTTCCAGGAGCTGCTTTTCCGCAGCTTCGAACCGTTCGATGGATGATCGAATGATGTTAACTGCATGATCGATACACGTGTAGCCGCTTGTGCAGAGCCGAGCTGCAAGGAAAGTAGAGGGATTAGAGAATAGGCTTGGGATTGTGCCTAGATTCCATCAATGAGCATCAGATCTGGCCGCTTAAATTAGACCTCTCATACTAACCGCTTCCTTCTTAATAGATAAGATGTCAACGCACGTTACAATGATCATGCTTGCTTCATATCAGATCCTTTGCATCGCCTCGTCCTCTGGTACTTCTTTGGGCAATACGATCCCGTATGCGTATCTGCGAAAAGTTGGTAAACTTTTGAAGTATAGGTGGGAATCTACCTTGATACTCACTCAATAGTTGCCAAACACACTCTGACCGCCCCGGTTCCTAGACGGCGTTCTATATACTCGTCGATAGTGGGGAGGCAATCTAGCACCTGGGATCTGTGCTCTTCGCTACACATGCTCACGAAGTGGGTTAACTCATCAATCAATGCGTTTATCTGACCTACATACTAGCATTATTATCGCATAGTCACTCTTTAGAAACACTTGAGATGGAAACGTACGGTCGTTGCAGGCCCTTGATATGGCTTCAGCCACAGGTTTGAAGCCAGCAATTAAAGGATCCGTAGTGATCTCTGAGAGACTCATCTGAGAGGCTCCAGACAAGCTTTCTCGTAGGTAGTCAACAGTTCTCTGTCGGAATGTAGATGCTCGGTTCCAGTCATCGGAGATTGTAGAAAACTCGAGAGAATCCGTTTCTAGACCGTGTCAGGGGTAAATCACTATTGAAATTTTCAATGGGGCTTATGTCTCACCATCATCCCAAACGAAGAGCTTTGTGTATAACTTAGTAGGCTTCAACTAATACGGCTTTATATATTCGTAGACTTACCCATATGAATGGACAGGTGCAAATACGTAATGCATCGTATGATGCGAATGGCCACCAAGATGCCCCAAACAGAGCAAAATTACATGCTCTCGTACTCCTTAGACGATTCTCATTACCTGAGGAAGACAATATGCTATAGCTCCTTAGCGAATTGAAATGGTTCTTAACAACGAGGCGGTACTTACGACAAGATTGTCTCTTGGACGTATTCGTCCAGCTTCTCAATTTCTGGATGAACTCCTTGGGGCCAGTGGCTAAGCATAGGCGCCAGGTCAGGGATGGTTACGCGAGACCCTCGTATGCTCAATGCTCATCAACAGCTTTTCATGTACAGTAGCTTTGGTAGGAACAACCAGCGTAGCGGTTTCCATTACAGGACCTTCTTGGATAGTGATGGCCATGGTGAGCTGGTTGAATGGTAGGCCACTAGACAGTGATCGCAGTATCTTTGAAGGGGGTATGTCAAATTTGAAGAAGTAAAGGGTTGACTTCTGATAATAACTTGAGGATCATGGCTTTATTTATCATTTTCCAGGATCGACGGCAGAACGCTTGTATGTGACGAGGGAAGCCTGCTAGTATCCCGAATCATTTCCCGAATTCGTTCTAAACCACGCGTGAGGTCGATAGCTTCGTGAGAGATATTTGTGGTATGCACCCACCTTACCAGTTCTGCCCTCCTTAAACCTAGTAGGCAAAAGAACTTTCAGCAAGCCATCTGCTAACCCAGACTTCCTACTGAAGTAATCCGCCGGCTCGCGGGGCTTGCCTTGATCTAGCTCGGTCTCAAGCACTTGTGTGAACAATATCATAATCAACCGGCTATGCTACCTTAGGTACCTAGTAGATAAGTTTATGGCTAAGTATCTCCTACTGTGAACTTACTGAGCGTGGGGGTGACCACTTCCCTAACCTAGTAAATCAGATACAACAATCTTCACCTGAGCAACTTATGTGACCCTCAGAGAGGCTGAGTAGAGTTAATTATAAGTGTATAACCCAGTCGTGTAACCCTCCCGTCCCCCTATTTTGTAAGAGCTATAGCCTACTATGGAAGCAGCACTGCTTCTTTTTCTAAAAGGAGTTTGAAAGACAATGACGATAGCCCATGTTATAAACATATCATTCGCAAAGTCATGCCCTTATACGAAGCCAAGCACTTTTTGTCAGAGTCATTGTCAGAGCATACCGTTGTGTTAAAAGGTGAACTGATTGACATCTCATTGAATTTCTCTTGTTTATGTCAGTATATCTGACAGTTATCGATCTAAAAATTATACTTCTATCACACTGGTTGACGTTCATCTCACCTTCTGAAGCTAGCCCAATCATTGCTTAAGCTGATTTCGGTCGTGTAACCATTTTCGGTTGATACCACAGCTATCACTCAATAGGCTTGGACAGGCGGTATATTATGCCGTGCTTATTCAAAGGTATTGTCAAAAGGGTCGGGGTTTGATGCTAAGGGCCCGTCACTTTTGTATGCGAGAAGGTTGTTGTTGGAATATTCAGGTGGCTGGGTACAGTGGCTGATAGTATCCGCCCCTAACCTGTGGCATATATGTATAATCTACATCTCCTGTAGATTCCACTGACTAGAACTTACTCTCCAATACAACCAACATATTTCTTACCACCTTCTTTCTCATCCACAGCATCTTGCCGGAACGGAACGAAACCGGAGAAATCCCGTAGTCGACTGTCAACATCAACGAGGCTGTTCGGCTATCCCAGCAGGAAGAACAGAGCCAAAAGCTCAGGGGCAAGGACGGAAATCACGCACTGGCAGCCTACAGGGTAACCAACAAGAAGCGAAAGGACAGCCCCACCTGCCATCACTGTACCTCGGCAGGTCGGCGATCGGCCTTCCCATGACCTAGCTGCCTGCTTCTGGGAGCACTCTGAAAAAAGACCCAAAGATTGGCGAGGTTTCTCCAAAGGAAAGAAACCGCGGGCCCACGACAACAAGGACGACCCTGTAGCAACAAGACTCGCATATAAGCACCAAGGCAAGGAAGATACACCTACCCACGTGAGCTCGTTCCTAGCCACGAGAGATCACCCTGGAGATGAATACCCTGAATCACCTAAGCCGAGCATTCTCAGCAGGGTATTTCAGGGTCGGCTACCGGGTGCCACCGAATCATGTGACCATGATTAGTAGCTACCCGCCGATACCCCCTCCAACCTGATCAACTCAACCACGCAGGAATGCCTAAGCCTTATCCTTAAGGGCTCGTACACCGGAAGAGCACTGAAGGCTCTTAGGCTGATGGCATTATCCAAGGCTAAAGCCGCTAAACTAGCGGCTAGGTTACAGGAAGTAGTGGTGTTAGACAGTGGCTGCAGCCAATCCACCTGCTGCAACCAGGCACTATTCACTGACCTGCGACCCTATAACGGACAGCTCATATACGGGATAGGGGAAAAGACGATCAACCCTGAGCTACAGGGTACCGCCAATATCCACGTAATGATCGACGGAAAGTCAAAACTGGTTAAGGTCTCAGATACCATATGTTGCCCTGACCTAACCTGCAACCTTCCGTCAGTCTCACAACTGACCAGGAAGGGGGCTGAATTTCTTTTTTGGAATAAAACGGCGTTTGGGGCAAGGGAAGAGAAGGTCTTCCTTATAGCCTTTGAAACCAATAGCCTATATATAGTCGATCAAAAGAATAATATCTTCAATATAGCAGGCCTGAACATACAACTCCACGGCCCACGGGGAAGCAGTTTTAGGGGCGTTGTGTAACACATATACCTAGACGCGATATATTGCCGTTCCTGCGTGCTGCATTCCTAGCCACAATGAGATAGATTCCTACACGGCATCTACAGGGTCGCTTATTCCTTCAACATATTCTTGAAGGTTTACCCATCGAACCCCGATTCGATAATAGCTTGCTGAGACAATCCCGTAAATTGTTGCTAGCCGGACGAGTTTCACAGACGATGCGTGTCAGATATAAGTGCAGCCTCATACAAGATCTTTTGTAACAGGGTGCTGATAGGGTGGAAGAGAATGCTACTGGACATCGTAAGATATGGGCTTTATGATGGTAATAACTACAGAAGCTATGAAAGCAGCTTGCCTAACTAGGTAGATTGGTGCTTAGGAGCGGACCAGCCATCGAGTCTTAAATTGATCGGCCAACTAGGCTCGCCTGATTGTTGAATTGCTTGATTGCTTTTGCTAAGGGGAAGAGGCAGGACGAGGGATGGTTGGTAGATGTGGGATACCAGCCTTAGTGACGAGTTGATGTGATGTAACTGGCAAGCCGGCACGTGCATATATCGGCGACGGTAGATGGTTGTTGTGGTGATCAGGTGACTAGGCGCATCCAACTAGTTACCCTTATAATTCCAAGACAGCTAATCTTCCAAAATACTATGTACTTACCTACTAGGTAGGTATAATCACTGATGTCAACAAAACTACCTAGTTAGGTACATATAAAAAGCTTTGCAATTTGTCATGGACGTGACTAGGCTAGTAACTTCGATGATCAGCTGAACACTTGATATAAACTTGAAAGGAGTAAAGGTTACGATTCAGAGCATTCCAGATTGAGGGGATGAGTGTGTCATGTTGTAATATGATGGCCATGGCATGTGTTGGCTTTGGTACTATTAAAGAATCAGGGGAATCAGGGGAATATTAACTATGTGTGCATAGAAAGAATTATGTAAGATACATAAAGTAGTAAATGGCGGCTGATGGGCCAGTGATGGCCATGATCTCCTATAACAGGGGTACCTAGTAGGGTCCGGATCAAGCCGGATGGAATAACCTGGCTCCGACTGGAATTAACTACCGGGCCCAACAAATAACATTGAACCTTAAAGTCATCGTGCCACTCTGCCAGGTGCCTAGTGCCTATCATAGTTGTAGATGACGTTTGATAAAGCATCATTCTACAGGGTATTCTACAGGGTAAGTGGATACCTACACGTCTTTCACCAACCAACGAAACTCTGTCAATTCAACGGTTCTTCCCAATCCAAACTTTCATCATCAACCAATTACTTCAATGTAACCACGAGGACAAGCACAAACACAACATTGAAGCTCAACTGAACAACCAACATCAAGCTCAAAGGACTTTTTACATACTGGACATATTTCCACAATCTTACCAGCCCCATCGTCTCAGATCGCGGCACCATATCTGAGACATACAGAAGAACCTACTTGCGTGGATAGTTTTGATAGGATACTGTTTACCAGTAGATAGGTACATACATGTATGTTCTAAAGGAAACATTAGCGCCCGGCCTAGTATCGAATCGCCGCTGAAATGCCGTTTTCCCGTGGAAGAGGATGCCGTGCCTGTGCTCGTAAATCATCTCTCAAAGCCTCGGGGTTGACGACTGCCCCCATACGAAGTGGGTGAGCATGGGATCCAAATTTGGCCATGGGCCATTCCGATTAGCCGTGCCTCAACCTTGGATGGACATATCCATATTCTATGTACATGTATGTGCATACATGGATATATATATGTAAAAGCATGCGTTGAGAGTTGCCACATGGTCGACGTACGTATATATGTAATTCGTCATGAGCTGTTCAACGTGTCCAGTCCTCCAAACTTTCGTTTTGAACTTCCGAACCTTCGAATTTTTGACGGATTAAAACGAACATTGAATTGGGAATACAATAACACCAAATCTAAAAAGGCGCCCCGTTGGAGTTTGAAACATTGAACCACCTCAGTCATCCTTGAGTAACAGCTTGCATCTACTTGCATCTACACTAGTACCTATTACATTCCGATCCTAGGTCACACCTATGCAAACTTCTGCATGTTGATGTTCATGCCGTGTCATCGGCGAAGGATTCTAACGAATTGACTTTTCACTGAATATTAATACTCAGAACTTTGGCCATCCTCCTCCCGCCTTATCCGGTTCCTGATTTCCCTCACCGACTCTACAGCACGTACACACGCACACGTACTTACGCATTTAACTCTATTCTTTCTACACTATTCTTCGGAAGACAGTGTCAAAAGCAAGCCCCCAAAAGAGAAGACTAATTCGATTTCCAGGGAGTGCTCTCCCGACAAAGCGACGTTAATCGGATCATCGGCACTAATATTATTAAGACCCGGCTATTTCCACCTTCTGGGTCTTTCTGGACTTTCTGGATCTTCTGGATCTCCTAGGATTTACTTGATCAAGCGCGCGGTAGTTCGCCAAGCAATATCAACAAAGAGCTGGAACGACGGGAACCTGGTCATTACCTGGTACCTATTCTTGGCATTGTAACTGTTAACCAAGCCTCGTTTTTTCAGGTGAGCAAGCTGTTTCTTTGTTTTTCTCACTGTCTGGTGTTTTGTTCAGCTTCAATGTTGTTTTCCCCAGTACGATTCGTTGTCATTTGCGGCGCAGCTGTGCCACTAGACAGGCTGTGAAGCGCCCTGATGACAAAGCTGCCCAGGGGTGTTAGGGGGTGCCAGGGGTAACCTACCCAGGTACCTAGTAGGTACCTAACTTCAGGTACACATTTCATCGAGCGACAATGTCCAGCCCAATTGGTTTCGCAAATGAGGCAATTCCCACCCTGGTCTACAGTATGACTGTGTAGATCCATTGCCTACTATGTACCCAGGTAGACATTTGCTCAGCACCGAACATACATCATCGTTGCACTAACCCCGTGCATTCCAAGTGGAATCCTGTCAGGGGCTTATTGGGGACATTATTGGGACACAAAGGGAAGTGGATGCCATTATGATATCAATCATGGTTTCTCCACGAACCTAATCGCATCTCATTTGTTTGGGCTTTTTGAAGACAAGAACTCTATAAGTTTTGAAGCTCCCTCTCTTCCTCTTCTCTTTCGTATTTTACGCTTGCATCGTCCCCCGCCCCTTTAACTGGTCTTCTTGTGGTTCTCCTGAAGAGCTTTCGGTGTCACCCACGCATCACAAGGCTGGCTTAAACTAAGTGATTATCTAGACTACTAAAGCCACGATTGCCTTACGCTTTGCTTTGCTTTGCCTTGCCTCGCCTCACATTACATAATATCTCATCTTTTTCGTTATTAAAAGAAGAAAAAAAGAAAAAAATCTGCCCGAAGCTAAACAAACCCACAGAACACATCGTCGCCATGTCAACCTCAAGTGGTAGTCGGCCCACCAGCCGCAACTATGATACAGGCTTCCCTGATGCATTCGCCGAATACACCACTTCTCTACGCCACCCAGATGCAGATGTTAGTCCGAATGCCTGTATTGCAGCTGAGGACATCGATCCGTCAAAATCGTTACATCGGGCTCGAAGGTCATTCCTAGCGAGACACAGCCTGTCGAATAAGCACACAATAAGTCACGGCATGCTCGCCCAAACTCTAAACCGAAAGCGGTCCAGCCACTCCAGTCTGGTCATGACCTCAGCCGACAGCGGGGTCGACGTCGGTCATCCTAAGCGCACAGATACGAATGGCAGCATTGGAGGGTCTTCAAAAGATGGTGCCGAGAGCATTGTGATGTCTCTCAATGATGATTCCCCTCCATCTTCGCCCATGTCCCCAAGCGACGAACAAGCTGGTAGCGATGGACGTCAAAAGATTAAGCTGTTCCGCAAGTGGCGTAGTCAAAAAGACTAAGGTCCTGATACACAATCCCTATGTCCGTCCCTATTGTCGAAACCAGCTGGATGATGGGGTAAACGTAACCGTAATGGGAATGCTGTGATGGGGAACTGGTAGTCTGTGGAGCTTGGATAACCGAAAGCTTAATATTCGAGTTCTCGGTCTTGAGATTGATTTTCTAGCATGGAGTTTGGTTTAGCATGGGATTAGGTATGGGTTTTTGGTCATTTTACTAAATAACTAGGAAAAGGAAAAAAGAAAGAAGAAGAAAAAAAACTACCAAGGTTGAGTCTGAATTGGGATCCCAGCCTTGCTTCACTCGTCCTTATGGCCAAAATCAAAAGGTATCATGATAAATGGTACCATGACAAATACACAACACATTTAATTATATTCAACATTGAATCATTGATGTTTTACCTGACTGGGCTTATTAATCGTTTGTATAGGGTACCTAGATAAGAAACCTCTTATTACACGAGGTGTAGGGAAAGAGCGAACTGGAGTCACGAACTGTCTATGTTGGAGGCAAGGGAAGGCACGATGCTTCAAAAGCAAACACGACTTCCCTATCCAATATTTAAACCTGGATTCTTCAATGGAATTTCTCAAACTAACTTTTTCAACCATCGCTGTTACTCACCGAGACTAAAACATCGAAATCAAATTAAGTTCGACCCTTCATCAAAATCCTTCCGTATTAAATGCTGATCATGCATTTATTTACCTTCTGGGCAACAAGCATTACTCTGTCATGTTTCTGTGACTTGGCATTGTCAAAAGCGGTTGAAGATGATACTTTGCATCGAGATGTTGTTGTCATTGGAGGAGGCGCGTCGGGAACATACACTGCTGTTAGACTGAAAGACGAGAACAAGACAGTGGCAGTCATCGAGAAGAAGAGTACTCTGGGTGGACATGCTGAGACTTACGTTGATCCCCACACTGGTTATACTATCGACATCGGCGTGCGTCTTTTCAATCACTTAAAGGTAGTGACAGACTACTTTGCCAGATTCGACGTCCCTCTTACCATTCTATCCTCGACTGTACAACCCGAATACATAGACTTTTCTACCGGCCAGAATGTGACCTACACCGCACCGGGCCCTGAAGCCCTCGGTGCCGCCTTGGCCGCTTATCAGACCCAACTCGAGAAGTATCCCGACTTACAGAAGGGCTTCAATATGACCTATCCCGTGGAGCCCGATCTGCTATTGAACTTCGGCGAGTTTGTCACCAAGTACGGTCTAGAGGCTCTCGTGCCTCAGATATTCATCACGAACCAGGGATATGCGCCGTTGCTCAACATCAGTACGCTCTACATGTTCAAGTACTTCAACGCGGCCCAAGTCAGCAGCTTTTCAGCAGGGTATTTGACGACCGTATCTCACAACATGCAGGAATTATACCAGAAGGCCACCACGTTCCTAGGCGACGATGTCCTTCTCGACTCTGCTGTTCTCTCTATGAACCGTACAGATCCTGGCGCTGGCCCTGTGCAAATTCTCGTCCAAACACCTACGGGCCAGAAGCTCATTGTCGCGAAGAAAGTCGTCTCCACGATCCCCCCGCTGCTCGACAACCTGGGTGGATACGATCTCGCCTCGGATGAGACAGCACTGTTTGCCCAGTTCTCGTCGAACGGGTATTACACTGGACTCCTGAACAACACGGGGCTCAATTTCGTCGCCTATAATTCCGACTCTAGACGTCCATACAATGTCCCGGAGCTACCAGGCCTCTACTTGATGCAGGACAATCAGGGATTGACGCAGGTGTACTACGCAAGCCCCACCGTACTCCCTGATGATGAGGTCAAGGCGGACATATTAGCCATAGTGCGGCGGGTGCAGGAGGCGAGGGGTGTGGTTGTAGGTGCGGATGTGGACGTCAAGGGGACACCCGAGTGGCTTGCATTCTCGAGTCATGCGCCGTTTAATCTTGAGGTGTCCAATAATGCGGTGAGCGATGGCTTTTACAAGAAGCTGTTTGAGCTTCAGGGGAAACGGAATACATTCTGGAATGGTGCTGCGTGGCACACACAGGACTCGACCGCTCTGTGGCAGTTCACGGAGGATTATGTGCTTCCGATGATACTGGCTTCGCTATGATGCCTAGGTCCCCGATTATCCAGCCATCTAAGCTACCAGGTAGCTAGCTAGATTGGTGGCTGGTGTTCTGAAAAGCGGTGTACACATTCCCATAGTTATCGCGTAGTGATTTGATCTCAATTCTAAGAAGTTCACCAGTTTCTGTGGCCTCGAGGCGGTTTATGTCGTTTACTTAATGTTAGGCCGGTGTAAATCACTCGTGGCCAATGTGTTCACGAAAGTGTTCAAAGAACATGAAAGATATATAAAATAGCAACGTCGATCACGACTCCAAGCTGTTGTCTGTTGGTAAAGCGCTCCTTTGGTACATGCAGTAAAACTGCAGGTGATGGATCTACACAAGGTAGGTACTCGGATAGGCTGAGGGAGGTCAAACTAGCCAGCCACCACTCTCCCTCATCGCTTCTTTCCAGCTCCCCTCATTTGGCCGTGTGAATTCCCGCACACTCTCCACATCACCTGCACCAAAATTCCCATAAAGATGCGGGCACCCTTCGATCTCCCACGTCGTCGTGGGGTGGAACTTGGGCGCGAACCGGATCTTGAGAACCCATATGCTTGTGGCCTCTTTGAAGAAGAGGTCGGACGTTATGGGGATCTGGGTACGTGTGTGAGTGAGTAGGTAGGTGAGTAAGTATCCAGCCCAACCCGAAAGCATTAGGTATGTAGGAATTGGCTTACCTGGGTACCAATGCTCAAATGGACGAATCCGTCTTTTCGGTCGAGTTCCGAAAGTGGGTACTCAGATGGGATTGGCGTCGGAGGTGCCGTGGGCACGATCTTGTAGACGAACTCTGGTAAGGGTGACGGAGCCATAGCTGTTATGCAGGAGGGGTAAAGGAAAGGAAAGCGGGCGACGATGAAAGGGTGTAGTTGAGGCAAATTGGTAAAATGACGACTTCAAATCCGTCTATTCTGGGATAAGCTTACTGCAGTGTAGAGCTGACAGCTGTAAATGAATCTGGCAGCTGTCATTTCTCCTAATTCAGGGGTCGCAGACTAGGGAGAACTGGTTAAAAGGGGGCATCAGGAGTAAGATGTGTAATTATCATACCTGTATGTATACCTACGTTGAAAGCTCTCCATCAATTGAATATGAGGCCTAAATAGACGAATGTGAGTAGCATATAAGGAATCGAAGAATTGAGGGGTGGTCCAACTAAATTATCACTGAATGTTATTCTCGTAGGCTCATACGAACACCCTCACATATATGACTACGACTACTTGATACTGGTATATCAGTACTTAAATGTGTTCTTATAGTCTGGATGGATCAGAGCTGGGTCCAATTTTCCGGGAAAGGGGGGTGTCGGATGCTCCCCCTTTTCCGGCAAGAATTTCGAAGCCCTACCACCCACCCCTATGGAGCTCGATATGACTATGGGACTTCAGCCCAGATACATAGAGACACTTGTTTGTGAAAAATTCACTCTATATCCATGATATTACCAGACAAAGCTTCTTGGTTGTGCGATGCAAGAGGTAAATACCCAGTACCTAGCAGATGGACAGAAGAAAAATGACGAGATACTCATCAGCAACAGCATCATTTAACGGGAAGTTGATTCCTAAGTTAACTACTCTATACTCGCCTATGAATATTAACATTCGGGTAGGAGGTTATAATGGTTGCCTACTTCTAAGGGTGATCATGGTTGAGAACGGGATCCCGTCTCGACAATCCAGCATAGCTCATAACAAATACCGACTGACTACAAATGTCCTAGCCTTCCTATGTAGGATACCGAGGGGTGTACACGAGCCACATATCATCATTCTACCTACCTTGGTCAAGTGCATGTTTATTATCATGGGCCGTTCGGCAATCTGAAATAGTCTTTCCTCCCCTCCTCATTCTGATCTCGTCGTCCTCTTTAGGGCCAGACAGCTCGCTTAAGAATAGCGGTCAACTGCCCAATTCTAAGGAATTAGGCTCTTTACTAGACTATGTAAGACTCCAAAGGGACTTTTGCGTAGCTAAATCGTTCTATTTTCTTGAGACATCATGGATGTGGACACAGTCACCAGCGCTATTAGGGGGTGACCTATAGTCTTGTGCTAGATACATACTTGGCGCACTTGTCTTGGTGGGCCTATGTTCCTTCCACGATGTCACCTAAAAAAAAGCAAAAGTGAGATCGCATGCTAAATAGTTCTCGGACGATCCGTACATGTTCCTGCATGCATATAATGCTAGAATTGTACCTCATTCTATTATCAGAGTCCCACTAATAGAAAGAGGAAGATAAAAGTCCCCTTTAGCAGATTTCGTGATTATAGCACGGTGACTCCTAGGGACCTACATACCTGTTAATCGCGCACGAAGGAAGTCATGATAAGATCGTCACAAAGTCTTCAATTACATCTTAAATCTAAGAGAATAGACACAATGCTAAGAATATCATATTTTTTGTACATTGAAACCGCAGGTCATGCAGTGTTAATTTGCTATATACATAGGTAAAGACAGATATATACTTGATCTAAGAAATTCACATTAGGAGGTAAGCTCCTACACCAATTGCGCCAAACACCGCCGTCGTGGTATCATCTATTCTAAAAGGTATCGTGTCTAAGCCCCCTGACATAGTAAAGGCTGTATAATACATGGGTAGTTAGGGAGGTGGGTGATTTGACGACGGCTTCTACTGTGCCAGGCCGTCGTCCGGGAGTCCAGCGACAATCTCGGGTGTTTTCAAGTAGCCAGCGTTCGATGCGTCCTGTAAGGCCGCATACCAAATGTTGGCCATCTTCATATAGCCGACGTCTGTGGGGTGAATTTCATCTCCTATGAAGTCTCCCTTTACCGGACCCTTATCCTTCTCCTGCATATCAGCAAGTATGATCGGCCATCCGGCGGCCTGGAATCGTTTTACCAACGAATTTATCTGGACATTGTAGTCTGTGATGCGTTTGTTTGCCTCCGGATCTTTGGTATATACTAGGAGAGTAGATAGGATAATAGTGGCCTTAGGGGACGTTTTATAAATATCGTTCAACAGAAGTAGGACTCGGTCGCCAATATTAGGAATGTCGTTGTTCCGGATGCAGTCGTTGGTGCCGGCGTTGATGAGAACGACGTTGGGTTTGAATTTGGGTACCACGACGTTGGCTACTGCGTGAACTTGGTCGACCAGCAGGCCTTCAGTTGACGAGCTTTCGTTGTCTTGCATGGTCCCAGAATGATTGGCCCCGACCATGTTGACTTGGTTGCCGTTCTGGGTAAGGAGGTCGCGGAGATATTTACGGTACCCATTTCCCTCTGAAGAGCCAGTACCCCAGGTAATGGAAGCACCCATTGGCATAATCCGTAAGGCTACGCCGTTTCCGAGCGCATTTGCTCGAGTTTCGATGGTACCTCTAGAGGCCTGGTCTGGTAATGCAAGCCCTACATGGTGTTAGATCATCGAAGAGGAGGTAGGTGGTTTATCTATAAGGAGACGACGCACCATTCACGACCTGTGAAGTGTATGCTAGTATACTGCATAGCGCAGACTTATAAGCCACCATGATGAAATCGGAGGAGAAGTAATGATTGGATTGACTTCGTATAGATTGCAACTCGACTCGTGTGCCTTGATCTCTATATCGATCGTACCTAGACTACCTAGTACTTGGACTTCTTGTTATCTGTTTGCCGTGTTGAAAGTGATGCAATAACCATAGGATCTCCAAACTCTCGATGAGGTGAGCGTAACACAAGTCTATTTGTATGATTCCTGAAGACATGCCCCCCCCTCCCCCGGCTGGCATCTAGCTGGCGTCATGTGGTAAAACAACAACGCTCAGTATAGTCACTCACTAGGGTTCAACGGTCCCGCCGCTACGCTACCCATACCGATCCATCACTATTAATGACCACCCCCCATGTTGACTCTCATCCTTCACGATTTCACACATGGGTACATACTTAGGTACGTACTAATTATAATCTACTATGTACGGCATAGTATTCCATCGTCCTTCGGGGACCCAGGCCTATGTTGAGGCTAGGCCGATCACTGGTACTAGTCTGGGGTATGGATACTATGCAAGAGAATCAGATTACACCAAGAAGGTTGACGTCGTAGCTCATGTGGGTTCTTTCGATTTATTGCGCCTTATGCCTTGCAGTGTCCCCATGTCCGAGCCACAGTAGTGCGGCACATATACCTAGCGTCTATCAGCACAGGTACCGGCAGTGATTACTCAGATGCTACTACTATGTGAACTGCATACTTACATACATAGTAGTAGTTAGGCATTGTATTTGCTTACTTATGGTAGTCACTGGTAGATAGATAGTATTGCAAGATGATTTAACCGAGCCAAGCACCCAAATACCCAAATAGGTCCCTAGTATTATTGTTAGTGTTAGGTACTAATCTCATTTCTGGCCAAGACAGGCTTTTATTCGACATTCTTTGTTTCAATGTATGTGACGAAGATTCGTTCAAGTTTTTTTCTTGTTCAAATTGTTGTTTCTCGTACGATTAAAAGTGCGGTGCGTCAGAAAGCTTGGAGGTTACAATGTCACATACCAGGCACTTGTTACATAGTACAAACATAGAACTCCATACTAGACCTATATCAGATTAGATCGGTTATTGAGATCGGTTATTGAAGAACTAGCAAGGTCAAAAGACTTCAAAAGACTTAAACAGACTTAAAAAGTCGGGTAAAGATTCGTTTCCACTTGCTTGCTTCCGCTTCCACTTGCTGCTATTATAAGAATGGAAACCTTCCTAAAATGGTGAAACTAGGTAGGGATGCTTCCTTTTTAGTTCACGATCCATGTGCCGTGCCGCAAGATGCACATTACTTAGCACTGAGTTAGCAGTCTTAGCTCACTACCCTAGTCACTATACATACTTACATATAACAGGGTCTCGCCGTGCCTCACCAGTCTCTACGGCATAGTATTCTTGGCTGATTACCTTATAACACTTTGTTACTTTTTTGAAACACCCATCTCTTTGAATACTACAAAGGCAAATCACAATACAGCCTCGCCTTGGATGACATGATCTGAATCTAGGATAAAATAGACCAGGTGAGTCCCCTGCCCGGAGGCCTACGTTGTGATGTAATTGTTGACTTTTTGAGTGATATGGAGTCATGGACAGTCTCACTACTATCACCTGCATCGAGCTAGGAGCTTGACAACGATTCGCCTTGGGTCTACGCCGTACTGTTCTAAACAAAGATGGATGCTGATTCTTCCCCTAGCTGGTTAGAATCTACATAATATAATTTCGCATGTCCCATCATGTGCTGCGCTATGGTATTTGCTCGATCAAATTCAGCGACGTTGCGTTACCTAATCTCCTGACTACAGTATTTGCTGATATTGTACTTTGTAATCCGTGAATGATGCTGTCTCTTCCAAAGTTCAAGGCAATAGAGATATCTGTCTTACTTGTGAGCCACTCTCCTTTACCTCCAGTTTCACCTGAGCTCCCTAACACCAGCTTTGGTAAACTTCATCATATCCTTCAATCTTTTACTGAGCTTCTAGTACGTGTGAGACTCGGTATGTCCACATGGCATACCTACCAAGCATAACCACGTTGAGACTGTGGACACTTATCTTGACTACGCCGTTTTGCGATGCACCGGATCACGATCCCATGTACTACGCCGCACGCCTACACTGCCCACGCCACCCTAAATATGGCGAAGGATGGCCATATTAATAATTCAACAAGAAAATCTTTATTTTCATGCGTACCTAATCGTCGTACATCAGCGGTCAAGAGTTTTCTGCCCCCCTTGTCTGGCTTGAGGTTGGCCGAGCTGCCTTTTCAACGACACTAAACTAACCTACACCATACTCCACAAACTACGTGAATGCATACACAGTAGTATGTGAATGCTTTTCGAGAAGGGTAGTTGGATAAATTTAGACCTAGGTTCATCAATCCCTTCGCTTGACTCAAAACGAGACCGAGAAGAAACGTACCTACCTAGCTTAGGCTTCAAGTTCTGCACAGCATGCCTCAAACTCATAAGTACCCATGAACCGAGATATTAAACGGGCTTGACATGATTCGAGCTAAGATATATATCCTGAACCGTGTCCATACATTTTGATGATTAGGTTTGTGTACAATCCTTCCTCAACTGGGGGCTGGGCATTGCTGATTCTTCGGCTCAACAAATCCTTAGATGGGAACACATTTCTGGTGCTGTTGCTCTTATCTGTTATAAAGCATCGTAGTTCGTATATACGACAGTGAGGATATGTGTGTGCAAAAACCCACATCGCTAATCCCCACATGCTAATGGCGCTGTTCTTGCTTCTCGCACCATGATGGAAAGCTTGTATCCCTCTTCGAACCCCTCCATTACCTTCGTAAGGTCAGATACTAACTGATCGACCTCCTGGAAGCCTAGTTTCTCATAAACGGGCCTGCCGCCAGGCGTTGCCTCCGTATATGTTCTGAGACCTTCTGCATCGGCAATCGCGAGCATGGGTAAGATTAGCGCCTTACCGGCGCCTCTCCGATGATACTTTGGTGATGTGCATAGAAGTGATAGACCTGGGAATACGTGCATAGCAATCCCTTTTCAGCCCATGGACGAAATGCATAGTTATAGACTGATTGCTCCTTTACTCACCTAGCATCGACTTCGCATCCTGCTTCACTGACATACGACTCAACGTATTGAAGAAGTCTCGACACAATTCTGACTGTGCACCTTCGGGGAAGTCTATCGTGGGCGGATTTGTTGCTTCGGCGGAAGCACTAGTTAGGGGTAAATGCTCCCCTTCTTGCGGCACATCCCCACCCACCGCAACACCCGGAGTAACGTTTATGGTGGTCGCTTCATCTCCGACCCACGCTCCGAAGGCCGTTTCGTAACCCTTGGGTATATCCCATCGCGCGAATGCGACCAGCTCACCAGTTTCCGCATCGGTGATCTTGAAGTGGCGGACACTGTGGTCGTTCATCTTTCGATGCATACGCCGTTTCATCCAGACGAACATAGCTACCTTGTTTGGGGACCACCAGAACGTGTTGCGCGGGTCTGTCAGGAAGGACTCATAATACACTTCAACCATGGCATCTATATCTGCGGTGGTGGCACGGGATAGGGAGAACCCTGGAACGAGTGACCTGGGGATAGGGAACGGTAGAGCCATGGTGTGCTTGTTCTTCTTTGGGTGATGGAAATTGTATGTGGGAAGGAATTTTTTGTTTGTTTAATGATGCACTACTTGAGCTGTTTATAGGGGGAGTAGGGAGAGTTATCTTCACATGATCTCTTCAATAGGTACGAATTTCATCTTTCGATGAAGCGGAGCTATACTGATTTAGATCAACAAGCATTACAAATCCACTTCTTATTTGGCGGTAGCATCGTTGGTTGGCTGAGAAACCCCAATTGCTTACTCGCTTCATCACTAGCAACACGCCCGATGACTCTTACCGGTGCGAATTACGTGATCTTCTATGTGTCAATTGAATAGTACATGGTATCGTGATAGGAGATACTTCGCCGAAAATCGGTGTTTGACTGATGAAAAGCTAGGTTGAATCAAAATACCCTTCCTTGCGTGTGAACGGTATGGCCATAGGCAATTTGCTATGACGGAACGGAGTAGTGATGATGTATCTGTAGGCCCATCTTATCGTACAATATACAAAGAGCAGTGCCATTGGCAACAGAGACGAGACTCATTCGCTCCAACTTTGGCCTCGGGAAATCAATCATAAGATTAGTCCTGTAGTGTGAGGTTCTCCAGGTTGGGAAGGTAGGTAGAAGACTTCGAGGTTGATATGAAACGTTACCTATCCCATTGCTTCTCTCTGATTATATTATAAAATAATATCAGAGCTAAACATAAAGTAATGATGCCTACCCATCAAGACTCGAGAGAATCTCGAGCTTTATACCTTTTCACTAACCCAAATGGCACCACGACATCCCAGCCGAATGGCACCAGTTAAGAGCCAGTGTGGCTCGGCCTTCTTCGCATCGTTATCAACGGCGTGATCGAGATGTTCCAACTCCTCGTCTCGAATGCGTCGCAACGTTTTCACAAGATCCTGGAACTCGTCGCCTACTTCGTACCCTTCAGCTTCCCATTGCTCGAACATTTCAAGCAGGGTTCTTATTTGATTATTATAATGATCGCCAATCTCAGTCTCGACAGCTTCAGTACAGGCCATTGCAGCTTCGCGCCCCATAACTGCGGTTGACCAGCCCAAGCCCGTCGCTAGAACGGACCATAGTGGGTAGAGGGCCGTGGGGCGCACACGATGCTTGGCGATTAGGGAATTGAAGGTCTTGAGGTGGCCTTCTTCTTGGGCATACATATGGGCCATCAGTGGCCGAAGATGTGGGTGAGCATTTACAAGTGGTGGCGTCTGGGCAGTATAAATCAGAGTAGCAGCTAATTCGCCTGCTTGGTTCACCCGGAGCTTTGAGGAAGTGATGATTATTTAGTATGGATCATGCGTAATAATGCAAGAAAAGTGAACAAAAGAAAGATCTTACAGCTGAAGAGAGAAATTCACTTTGCTCTTTTGTTAGAGGCTTCCGTTTAGGAGCATGGCTGGGATTGTGATTGGGATTGGGATTGGGATTGGGACTAGACTGAGGCGGATCGGCGGGAGATGATGAATTTGTAGATATTATTGAATTGTACTGGGGATTTGTGCTTAAGAATCGTCTTTGAATAGGTTGTGAAAAAGTGGAAAGAAAAGATTCACGAATATAATATTGTGGGTTGCAGCGAACTATGCGCAATTGTAACCTTGGTAAAGACATTTTTAAACGATGAAGTGAAGATGAAGTTTAAAAGAAGCAGTTTCAATGTTCATCGTTGATTGAATTGAAGTTAACTATCCATAGGAACAGAAAGTACTATGTACTATGTATGTACATAACTACTAGGTTAGTAGGTACTGTAATATGTCTGAGCAAATTTGAGGCGTAAGTGGCTAACTTAGTGTCATACCTTACGTAAGACAGAGGCTGAAGCTTGAGCCCAACTTGAATCTTGTCTCAATTCAATTGATGTTTCTTTTAACCTACATAGTTATGTACACTGGCACTGGTACAGCCAATGTCAATCCAATGTCCATACAACTTGAACATACATAGTTACAACCAATTTACAACATCACTCCATTACCTCCATTTAGCATCACACACCAATTCTTTTTCTCATTCTTTCTTTGCACGTATCTTGAACATCCTCTTTTTGATTTAATAGCCTAAGATTTAATAGACTAATAGGAAGTTAGCCTCGTTGTCTACTCACTTTTACTCGATTCACCTTCCTATCATTCCCATACGTACTACCTCCTTGCAAAGCCTCGCGCCGCATTCGCGTCGCATAACATTTATAGAGCGTTTTTCTCTTCTTCGACAAAAATACCTATTCTTTCTTAATTGTTCATCAACCTCAACGAAAACCTCGTAGCGAAGCCCGCTTTTTATCAGTATGGCTGATGTAGACGATGAACTCCTAGCCCTTGTGGGCGGCGATGAGTCCTCCGATGATGAGGCAGAGCAAAATATCGGTACAAGTCGTTCTCTATCTGGATCGCTAGGTCCCAACACCTCAAGCAATTCAAAGCAAAAGACCAAGAGAAAAGATGATGATTCAGATCAGGAAGAAGGCGAGGCGTGAGTTTTCCGTTCTTTTCTTCTATCAGCGTATCACAATTCGCATTGTATGAATTGGAAAATTCACATCTTTTCCCACTTCCTCGACAACAACGTCGCTGCTCCACTGAGCAACCTTCTCGCCCCACACCTTAAAAGTTTACACCTGATTTTCTGCCTTACTTCTTCTATTGACGCGACGCTAACTTGCACCTTTCTTCCTTTTAAATAGTAGTTCCATTGCTTCTCCTGCATCGCAGAATTCCGCGCCGATGGACGAGTCAGATTCGGAATCAGACGCTTTTCAAACTACCAATACCAACGGGAAAATGGATGACGATGACGATAACAAATATCCCGTCGAGGGCATTTATGCCAGCGAAGCAGAAAAAGATGAAATTCTAGCTATGCCTGAGCTTGAACGAGAACAGCTGCTTGCCAGACGTCAGGAAGAAGTCGATCGCCAGCGACAGAACACCTTACTGCGTCGATTGTTAAAGACAAGAGAAGATGACAGTCAGTCAGCTAAGAAACGTAAGGCTAGCTCCGCCGACCTCGATGAAACTCAACGAAAGACCTCACGACAACGAACCAGAGTTGGTGGCTCAAAAGTGGGCGAAACCAGTGTGGGTATTGAATCATTGCGTCGTGCTCGAGCCGAAAAGAACGATCGCTTGCGTCGCAGAGAAGAAGACAGAGAGCGCAATAAGAAGACACACTCAGCCTCCCGTGGCAGTGACCGTGATGATGGTGATAGTGACATTGACTGGGCTGGACGATCTCGCGACCGGCGCACTAGATCACGCACTCCTGAAGTCAAGGAAATTCCACCTAGCGATCTACATGACATCGAGCGCTTACGAATTGGCCGTAGCCGCTTTGCTAGAGTCTGCTTCTATCCTGGATTTAACGCGGCTCTTACGGGCTGTTATGCCCGAATAGCTCTAGGACCAGATAGTGAGGGTGTCGATGTTTACCGAGTAGCCCTTATCAAAGGTATATAGCAAACCCAGCCATGCGAAGTCAACCCTGTTGTACTAATATCTTGGCTTAGGTTTCACTCAAGGAAAGCCCTATGCCATGGAGAAGGAGAATGGCCACCACTTTGTCACGGACCAGTACGTGAAGGCCGCGCATGGTAAGGCCGAAAGAGACTGGCCATTCATCAGTTGCTCTGACAAGAAAATCACTGAGGTATGTCCTAAATTGGTTCAAGATCAATGATTGTTCAGGTCTAATTGATTGTAGGCCGAGTTCAAGCGCTACAAGGCGGTTTGCCAAGACGAGGGTGTCATCATACCCAAGAAACCAATATTGGAAGCTAAAATCGACGACATCAACAACCTTATGCATCGTTCCTGGACTGAAGCTGAAGTTAATGCCAAGATTGAGCGAGAGCGAACCCTGCGTGAGAAGTTCGCCCCAACAGAACGAAACCGACTGTTAGACATGATTGAGGAAGCAAGGCGTCGTGGCAATGATGCCCGTGTCTCGGAACTCCAAAACCGGCTCGACTCCATCGAGACTCCACGTCTAGCTTTTAGAACCAGTCTAGCACCAGCCCCGAAACCCACGAGCTTGGTACCTTCTCAACAGGATCGTCTAGCAGCTTTGAATGCTGAGAATCGCCGACGCAATGCAGAAAAGGTCCGCAAAGCACAGATAATGGAGAAGGCCAAGTCACGCATGCAGGCGCGCCAACCACGACGCGGGGAAAATGGTGAGTCGACACCGGCCAGCGGTGGCAGCCCATCACCAGGAAACGGAGCCTCGAAGCAATCAGATGCTGCGAAAGCGCCTCTTCTACCCCATTTGCAGAAGCTACAAGCACAAAACCACCTTGCAGGGAAGGATAAGAAAGGGGTCCCACAGATCCACAAGCCAATTGGAGACGATGACATTATTGCCGCACTAGATCTGGAGATTGATGTTGAGATCGATTAGGCGCAACAGGCGTTGGAGGCATCCAAGATAACGCGGGTTTCAGTTTACCACCGTGCCCCAGGAACGAACTCACGGATTAAGTGCTTGAACAGTTGCATGGCTTGGGAACTTGGAATTAACAATAATTGATGAGGGGTGGCTGCTTAACAGCTAGTCTGACTCTGCTCTGTGTAGGTAGTATCCAGAGCCAGATCAATAAGTTGATGGCATCGGAAGAGAGCAAGAATACAAATCATAATGAGAGTAGCCCTTCGTAGTTATCTTGTCATGTGGATGATTAAGTAATTTGTCGTGGATTGTGCTCAATGAAAAGGGGACATCCAATTCAACGGAGCATGGCCATTATTTGGGTACGTACAATCATACATACCTATACCGCCAAACTTGAATAGTTGAGAGACCAACGTCTGTCAGGAAATTCATGATAACCAACGCCGTAGTATCTACGCGAAGGTCGAGCTCCACGGAGTACCCCGGAGCGCCGCCGTGGTGTACCGTGGCGACCGGGATCAGCCTACTTTGTTAGGATAAGTATGAATTCGAAGCTCTGGGTGATAAAGCAGGGACACGAGGTGTCTGTGCGAAAGAAGTATATAAAGTAGTTGGGACCAGAACATTCATGATGAGATGGAATTATCAGATGCATAGGTACCTACCTGAATTAGAGGAATACTTTTACTTTTGGCGGTTTTCTTTTTGTTCCTCGAAACGCCAAATATCACTACAAGCGATTTTCTCGGAATCGTGGATTACTATGAGGTGTTGAAAATATATTCAGGGGCAAAAGGATTATGTAATGAACAGAATAACAGAAGAACACAATTTGTCAGCAAACATCGCGCAAGCAGTCAGACTGCTTATCTTTATAAATTCTTAGGAGCATACAAGTCTTATTTATGATTCTACATGATACATACTACAACATTGAAGAAACGTCTCAAGTGATTTTCATAGGATGGAGACTAGTTCCCGCCGTAAAGCATGTAGGTCGAATACACGATGTAAAATTGTTGATTCATGTTGCTAATCATACCAATGCGCAAGGTGATACATGCTTCAAGAAGAAAATCAAATGCGACATGCTGAAGCCGGCCTGTTCAAACTGTTTACTTTATAAAGTACCATGTATTACAACCCCTATTCGAAGAAGAGCAGCTCCTGTTCATCCTTCTTCCCCTTCTCTTCCTATTACTATCACTGCTACCACTCCTGCCCCCTCTCATCTCTCTCCCCTCGAAGGGGTAAGTCCGATGAGCCATAATATGGATGAAAATCTTCTCGAAGCCCGTATTGGACGGATCGAGGCTAGGTTAGACAGTCTTAGTGAGGCCAACGTCGCCAAACCATACTCGGCGATGCCAGCTACTCCAACACGCCATGGGGAGCATAGCATACCACCGCTTATAGAGATATTGCCTGTTATCGAGGATTACTTCTATGATTTTAACAGTGCTTTGCCGCTATTTTACCAACATCAGTTTATGAAAATGCTGAGTGAGTTCTACTCCGAACAAGAACAGTCGAAGAGGTCGAGGGCCACTTGGGCTGCCATAAATGTGGTTCTGGCTATTGGATATCGCATACGTGCCTCTAAGGTAGATGCCGCAGTTGGGTTTGACGATGGCAAGATCAGGAAATATATCGATAATGCCCAAAAGGAACTTGATGAGCTTGTCACGAGACAGGAGGACACGCTTGGAATCGAGGTTGTCCTAGGCCTAGTTAGTAAGTATCCTGCTAGGCTGAGTAATTCATTGACCTCTTCTATCCCAGTCCTCTGCTGTCATAAAATTTCTCTGCGCTCATAGCTTGATAATGTTTTGAGCTCCAATCTGAACCTTTCTCCTCGGAATTGCCACCTTAGAATGTCTAGCTGTAAATCGTTGCTAATAAAGGTGCCACAGTAATTTTCCAGATGAACATAGACCAAAAGCCGGCATCAGTCTTAATCGGAACTGCAGTTCGCCTAGCTCACAGACTACAACTCCATATGAAGTCTTCTCTGTCCAATTTCCCGCCCGAGATAGCACGCCACAGAAGTAATATCTTCTGGCTCTGTTATACCTTAGATAAAGTGAGTTCTACCATTTATACATAGGTAGGCTAGGCACTTTGACAGCTTATCGTACTCAGGATATAAGTTTTCTGGCAAGAATCCCTTCTATTCAGAATGATGAAGATGTGGACTTGGACCTGCCGGGGACCTGGCCGAGCCATAACGGCAACCATCTTGTGAGTAGTGATGGGTATTCGCAACTTGATTACCTTCGCGCCAGAGTTCAACTCGCCTGCATACAGGGCAAAATCTATGACTACTTACTCAGCAATCGGTCGATGAAACAGTCGGGAGAGACTCGACAAAGGAGAACTCTACATCTCTCAAAACTCCTCGAACACTGGTTGCAAAAAATACCAGCCCCGCTACGAGTTGAGAACATCATAGAAACACTGGAAAAGGCACCACTCGCCCACATGATATTTCTGTATCAGAAGTACCTCATGTGCTGTACCACGCTCAACGGCCTATACTCTGTTGGGGCGCCCTGGATGAAAACTGTCAGCGGGTTTAGCACAAATCTCTTTCAAAACTCGGGCAATGAGTCATCAATTTCCGTAGATTCCCAACACTCAGTATTACCGTGTACTTGGCGTCCATGTGTAGATGTGAGTCGTGGGTGTTTGAAAATACTTAATAGCGTATTTTACAGTAGCAGCAATCCATGGTGAGTCAACAGCTAGCTCACTTCCGGAGCACTTTCCGGAGCACTTTCCTACCTACCTACTCCTGAAAGATTTGCTTGCTGAAGAAAACCAACCATTCTTGTAGGCTAAGCGGATGTGCCTTCTTTTCCGCATTTGTCGTCATATTGGCCAATATAATATACTCTCCCCTTCATGAGCTAGTGGAAGAAGATCGGAAGCTCACCACGAATACTGTTGGACGGGTCCATAAGCTGCTGGAGATGACTAAATCGGACTCGTTCACGAAGCTTCGCGTTATTCTCGTTGGCCTCGAGAACGCGGCGGATAGGGTAATCGAACAGACTCGAGAGTTGGCCGGGACTTACGAGTCTACGCAATACACTTCTTATTCTCCAGCACAATTCGGAGACGGCGCAGACCAAAACTTGGTGAGCTAGATACATGCATTTGAGTGTGGGAGAGGAAGCTGTTACTGAATGATCATCAATGTCTCTAGGTTTCTCAGTACGAAGAGACTATTCCAGGGTCTGCATGGCACCAGGTCTTGGCTCTTGATGTCTCGGGCATGGATCTAAGCGAGTTCGATTTCGGCGACGTGATTTCGACGCCGACATTTATGCAAGGGTTTACGGACTGAGAATAAGAGGAGAGATGGATTTTATAATATGTGAATGGCAAAGAGGGATACCATGATTGGGCGGAGGATAAGGATAATAGGGGCACTTCAAGTTCAATGTGAGTAGGTACATACAGTGCCTGGAGCCCTGGACTCCGGAGTCCGGAGTAAAGTACCTAGGGTAAGTACATGTGGGGTCGTGCATCAAATAGATAGAAGTGAATAGCTATCATATGTAGATGATTGGCTCAGGGGGTTGAATTGGTGATGTCATCAATGCTAGACAAGCATAGCTCTGACCATTGGGAAGCTTCGGATTACAATTGTTGCCCATGCTAGTACACTTACTTCATGCCATCCATGGATGTATCGTATAGTACCTACCAGATATGTATATATACTACGCGATACATGCCTGCCGGTACTGATATGCTATCATATTGCTATGTTCATCATTGATAGTGGCATGTAACTAATGGTGACGTCCAGTCCTGATATGTACTTGACTACCCTAGGTTAGGCATGATCAAGTACATAGGCGTACCCGGATTCCCATAATGTTTTGTTCAATGTTTGAAAGTTCAACTGGTTGATTCAGGTTCAATGTTCTGACCTCGAACCATTCCCGGCCCTTGACCCCTCATTACACCCTCAGATTATTACAAACACACACATTGCGTGCTTGGTTGCGTACAATTCCTTGTCCCCTCATCACTGCAATACCGTCATCACTGTTGCCATCATTGCTACCTCTTGCCCTCCAACCCTCTGACAGATAATTGGCAACCCAAAGACTCTCCCTCTCTTACTTTTTGACTCCGTCTGTCACACGCCTTTGTCTATAACGTCAGTTTGTTTCATGAATCCTACCAGAGCCCTTTTCATACGATCTTCTGTTATTTGCACCCTTCCCCAGGCCATACCCAAGTTGCTTTCTCTCAAGTCACAACCCAGCTATTCTAGTAGATTGATATCGACATCAGCAGCCAAAGCTATGCCACAGTTTAAACTTAAAGACGTATCTTCGCTGTCGTTACAGCTCGGCGAAAAACAAGAGGTTGAAGTCGAAGGCGTCGAAGGCGGGAAGGTGCTTCTCCTTAATGCTGGCGGCAAGATTCAAGCAGTGGGGCCCAAGTGCACACATTATGGAGCGCCTCTCGTAAACGGCGTCTTGACAAAGAGTGGTAGATTGACTTGCCCGTGGCACGGAGGTTAGTTCATCGCTATCCAAAATTTCTGCATTTCGTTTGTCAACACACTCGAGCCGCCCGCCTAGTAAACTAACATCAACTTTCTTCTCCCTTGTAAGCCTGTTTCAACGGCCAAACTGGCGACATTGAGAATGCCCCTGCCCTAGACGCCCTGCCGGTTTTCAAGGTTATTGAGAAAGATGACGCTGTGTATATCGAAGGCGAGGAAGCTACGATCAAGGCGGCGCGGCGAAAGCCGAACTTCAAGTGTGGTACGACCGGCGGAGCCTTGGCGAATAAAGTGGTCGTCGTTGGCGGCGGTAGTGGAGCTATCGGTGCCATTGAAGGTTTGAGGGAGAAGGGCTTTACGGGGCCTATCACCATGATCTCCAACGAAGGCTACTTGCCCATTGATCGCACCAAACTATCAAAGGCCCTGATTACTGATCCCACTAAGATTCAGTGGAGAGATGACGAGTGGTTCAAATCTGGGTCGGTCGAAATTGTGCACGATGAAGTCGTTGATATCGACCTTGTTAACAAAGCCGTCATTACTAAGAATAAGGAAAGGTACGTATATGCCAAGTTAGTTTTGGCTACGGGTGGCACACCGCGGAACCTACCCATACCCGGCTTTAAGGTGCTTGAGAACATCTTCCTGCTCAGAACCGTCCATGACGCGAAGAAGATTGTTGATGCTATCGGCAAAAAGGGCAAAAACATCGTCATCATTGGCAGCAGCTTCATTGGTATGGAGGTAGCCAATGCGACGTCTACCGAAAATCATGTCACAGTGGTTGGCCAGGAAAGTGTTCCATTAGAAAGGGTGATGGGTAAAGAGGTGGGCGCTGGTCTGCAAAAGGGATTGGAGGGCAAGGGAATTAAGTTCCACCTGTCAGCCGGTGTGGCCAAAGCTGAACCGTCTAGCGCAGATCCATCCAAGGTGGGCTCTGTGTATTTGCAGGACGGTACGAAGCTCGAAGCTGATCTAGTTATCCTGGGTGTCGGTGTGACACCATCAACGGGATATCTCAAAGATAATAAGATAGTGCGACTAGAAGATGACGGGTCATTGAAGACGGACGAGAACTTCCTAGTGGTAGGACTCAAGGATGTGTATGCGATCGGAGACATTGCCTCATATCCTTATCACGGTCCTGGAGGACAGGGCAATTACACGAGAATCGAGCATTGGAACGTGGCGCAGAATCAGGGGCGAGTGGTGGCGCATCATATTGTCAACCCTTCATTGAAGTCGGACTTCTTCACACCGATATTCTGGTCAGCCCTGACAGGGCAATTGCGATACTGCGGCAATTCGGTGAACGGGTGGGACGAGCTTGTGTTGCAAGGCGATCCAGGCAAAGGGAAGTTCGTGGCCTATTATTGCAAAGACGAAACGGTAGTAGCCATGGCTAGCATGGGCGTGGATCCGGCTATGGTCAAGTCAGCGGAGCTGATGAAGATGGGCGCCATGCCATCCAAAACACAACTGAAGGGCGGCTTAGACATTTTGACTGTCCCACTTCCAGCCTAAATTGTGCTGTTGTTGAAGTGTTAGGTGGTGACTCCGAGTTGAGATTGGCTTGGTGGTACCTAGGGTAGTTATGTATTCTTGTATGTAACTACATAGTTGCGCTGCTCAGCTCGACATAGTATGGACGAAATGGGAATGTCGACGCTTTCCTTTTTTTGGGCCATCTTGCGTCATCAGGTACAAGATGCTTGGCCCAATATAATCCTGGGCAGAATCCTGGACAGCCAAGGCCAAGTGTGCAATAAAATATCTCGTACGGTAATTTGGGTGACATGATGACTTATTCATGTGATGGATTTGTCAAACACTTGAATCTTGACAACTAGAACTTATCATCTTACTACGTACCGTAGGTAGTAACATATTTTGTTAGAGTAGATAATGATGATGGCATATGAATAGTATCCATACTATATATGTACGTATTTGATGTGAGTGCAGTGTGATAATTGATCATTGATGTCCCCATCCAATGTGTCACCCGCAGTTAATTAACCTTGATGGGCGGTATGTCGGAAACCAATGAAATTGTTTGCCTATTACTTATTTGGTGCATAATGATTCTGTATTATGAACTTAAAAGGACAATTCTGACAGGTACGTACATATATTTGGTATGTATATAGCCCCACCTGATCTAATCATGTTCCCCTCCCCACTCCCCACTCTCCACTCTCCACTAGCATCAAAACGCGAGAATTAACTTTAAAATAATCTTTCATTATCTAGACTCAAACTCTACTTACTTTCGGCCCCTTTCCTACGCTATCTTTTCTTTTCTTTTTTTTCCTTTTTTCTATTTTGACTCCTTTCTTGCTTCTTGGGTCTTGGTGACTGCCCAGATGCATGTATATTATATATTATTTTTTAACTAAGTATTCTAGAGAGAGAGAGAGAGTATACAAAATACAACATTGGACCTATTCAACTACTTTCTTTTCCGGACAGACACGCGCCGCATGGCGTAGTTCCCTCTCCACTCCACTCATTCATTCACTCTCTGAGTTAACCTACCTTACCTACCTACTCACTCACCACTCACCACTCACCACTTACTCACTCAGTCACTCACTCCCTTGATACGTAGTACCTATCTATTCGCTACCTTACCGACTCAATATCTTACTCCCCCTTTTTGGAATTATTGATACGAGTAAAGAGGAGCTTTCTGCCTTTAATCTCCCCGGCAATCTCCACGTCCAGCATGCTGATCGCCTACCTGAATACGCGCAGCGAAGCGACCCTCAGCCGTCACCATGGCTGATGCCCATCACCCCGCTGCGGCTGGTGCTGGCGACCGTGATAACGAAGATCATGCTGCCACATGTCACGAATCAGGCTCCCTCAAGTGTTGTTGTGGTTCTGTGGAGTGTGTCTTTCTGAGACATAACTGCTCTGTGCTTGCTAGCGTTGAGAAGGATGTCCACACTGCTGCACGAATGGGCCAGGTACGTCTTCTTAGCTGCGTTAAGACTTTTGAGTCGTCGAGTCATGTCCATTCGAAGCTCCCTTAGCTCCCCTTGCTCTCCTAGCTCTCCTAGCTCTCTTATAATCTTTATGATGTGCTACATTCCAGCTTAATCTACTCCCCACACTCCAGATACTCCATTACGGGTCGTATATTATTCTCTACACAAATTTTCCGTTGGGAATGTGTCTTGCTGTCGTGTTGTGTCCCTTGCCGTATATTTGCATTCTACATTCCAACCATACTTGCCTCGTGATATATATCTTCGAAGTCATGGGTGTTTCCAAATCTCTAACCTTTGCGTTGCAGGCGCTACTTGCCCGCCACGAAGCTTACATGGCTGGCGCGGAGCGGGATCGTTCCGAGCTCACTGCCCGAATCGAACAGCTAGAAGCCGACAACAAAGACCTTGAGGCCAGGAACGCGAAGACGATCGAGGAAAATAGGAACTTGTTAGATCAACTTGAAGCACTCAACACTGCCGTCGTGGATTCCGATGGCTGTATTAGATCTCTTGAGGCTACGCTGCTCTCTTCGCAGCAGACCGTTCGTCGCCTGGAAGGGGAAACTGCCCGCGCCGCTGCACTGGAACGCCAACTTATAGCTCTAGAGCAGGAGCAAGCCGAGCTTCAAAGTCACTTATCTCTTTCTCGTGAAGAGGCACGATCTGCTCTATCAAGATGGAAGCGAGCAGAAAGGGGTATCAACGACTTACAGGAACAACTTGAACGGATAGAGCAAGAAGCGAAAGAAGAGAGAGAATATCATATGGAGATGATGGGGCGCATAGAGAGACAGCGTGAGGTGGAGAAGGAATTAAACACTGCTGCGGGCCGCCTAAAAGGGGCCGCTGCTGCTAAGTCATTAGACAGGGGCCCTGGAGGAGGCAGTAGTGCGGTGTCGCATTTTGTTCGCGACTTGTTACAAGACAACGCTAATCTTCAATGTGGGATCGCCGAGCTACGGGAGATGCTCATGAACTCCAACGACGAAATACAGGCCTTGCGGGATCAACTGCTATACCATCAACCATCAGGAGAAGGGCAGACCAGTATCACATCAACACTGAGGGCGGAGCTTGAATTTGAACAGTGGTCACCGGAGAAGAAGCCCCCCAAGAACTCTCAAGAGTTCCATATTCATCACCATTATCATGTACCTAAAGCGAAGCAGGAGGGGAAGAAGCCGCGTAAAAAGCGACCAGGACTCACGCCGGGAATATTTGCACCTCTAGGAGGTTCATTGCCGAACACACCGCCCCATAACCTAGCGCGACCACAGCTCATATCACATGCACATAGGGAATCGTTGCTCTCCAATTGTTGGTCTCAGTATTCGGAGCAATCGGAATTCGCACCATCGTCAGCGCCGAGCTCACCTCGGTCGAATAACCGAAACTCACTATTCGATCATACGATCGATTCCTTCCCCGGCTCGCCCACAACAAGTATTGACCCGATGTCGCCTACTTGGCACGGTTCACATCACAAACAATATTCCAACGTGTCTTCAAGAAGCTTTCGAATGTCAACAAATATGTCTTTCATACAGCCTGCTCCCACCCAACCCCAGCCTATCATCGAAGAGGCTGACGATGGAGATAGCCCTTCAGATCTAACCACCACCGATGAATCTGCGGTGGACGATGGGCCGTTCTCTAATAGTCCAGATACTCCCAGAGAGACCGCCGATACCACAGGCAAAAATGAAACCCCGCGAGCCCGAAAACATAGAGCTTTGTCTCAGGAATCTATTATATCGCTTTCCGGTGGTCTTGATATTCATACATTGAAGTCGAGGCCCAGCCAACTCACCTTCGGCCAGATTGGCTCCGCCGCTTCCGTAACGGGGAGCAGTGATATCATCGCACGGCCCATGCTATCCCGCAACCATTCGAGACGAAGCAGTGTGATACTTCGTGAGAATTATGGTTCGTCACCAGTAGGAAGCTTGCAATCTATCTCCGATTCTGCCATGCAAAACCCTAGGCCGTCAAACCTTGGTAAATGGACGGTATGGCGGCCATGGGGCGGAGGCACGAGGGGAAGCGGAGGAGTCACTTCCAACGGGAGCAGCAATACACTTGCCAAAACTTCCAAGGAGAAGATCAATCAAAAGTCTCACGATCGCCCACCGGGCATCAACCAGCCCGGTACGATACCCGGGTTTTCGGAATATGTAGCGGCTGCACAACGTAGATTACCGCCTGCCAAAATTCAGCCCGATACAGTAGACCACGAAGCATTGATGGAGGGGCTCGACGAATGATCAGGCTGGCACGTAATCAAACGTTCAGTGTCGGTGTAGAGATATTCTTATCGACGCCCCCCAACTTTTTCTTAACAATGGCCTCATGCCAGGCAACCTTCAATTCGGGTGGCGTGTGCTCATGAGTACACACTGGGAGTTGAGGTGGAATTAGCATGCACGTGGATGTGGATGTGCGTGATTTGCTTCATGGGTTGCATATGCATAAAGATTACGGAGAAGTTGGCTGTCAGGAATCATCTAGGGCAGCGGGAAATAATAGCAAGCATAACAGCATAGGATGGGACAGCATGGACATGATACCCCCCGATGATAGCCAGATTTCACTGGCTCTCGGTCTTTCTTCTTTTATCTTTTTTTATCTTTGTTCATCATAGCACCGGGTACTTTGGACGAGGCGTCCGTCCTGGGAATTATCTTGTTGGGTAGGTTCTTACCCTTTTTCGTTCTGGCCCCAAGTCGTACGGAGAAGGGTTGTTTCGCTTGGACTTGAATTATTAATAGGACCGGCCGGTACTAGCCAGAGGACTGGATTAGGTATGTTTTGACTTGGCGTGTACGTTATAGGAGAATCGAAGAGCGGCATGGTATATAGGTTTATTGTTTGAGACTACATTTGCATGTACATATACACACACATGCCTACTCATAGGTAGGTAGATACTTAATCTACCTAGATAGGTCTTGGTTTTGCATACTTCCAACGCAGCACTCTAGCTTTGCAAATTCCCAACCGGGGAAGCTGAGGATTGGTTGAGCTGAAGACACGGCGCATAGGAAAATGTGTAATCATAAATAGAAATTCAGCCTGAGCACTTCATATCACACAATATACAGCGGATAGAAACCTGAATCTTCTCCTTTCATAACTACTAGGTAGGTAGTCTCGTACAGCACGCCAACAGATCAATTTATTCTACCTATGTATGCTATACCCAGGCACTAACTGAGCACATGGATGGGCCCATTTTGGTTCAACCATCTAACTAACCGCTATAACGCCGGTTGATTAGTTACCTATTTATGTGTGTATATAAAAATACGAATACCAAATACGAATACCACCACTGACTCAGCTCAGCTCGGCTCGACTTTACTCGATAAGAAAAAGAGATGATGCATGTGATACAAACATGCGTATTTCCCACCTAGTCTAATACAAGAAGAATAAAGATCGCATATGGAATACCCAAACGAAAAAGAGACGGTGATGATTCCTTGGCCTGCCTCCGTTATGTTTTATGCGATTGCCGGTACTCCGATAGAATTTATGGTGTTGTAAAAGTGGTAGTAGCCTTCGCTAGCATACGAGGTATATAGGCATATGTATATATATATATATATGTATATATGTATCAGGTGAGAAAGGTACGCAGGTTTAGTCACTATAGATTTGTTAGTTATTTGCATAGTTCTCTAATCAATAGTTGCTGAGTGAAGCAAGAGTGAAGTGAAAACCTACTAGATTTCCTTGGGCGCCAGGAGGTCAGCCTGGTACAGCCAGTGGTTGTCCTTTTCCTCAGCCTCGAGCCAATTGTAGGGGAATTGAACTAGTGTGCCTTGCATCATTCCACACAATTCCTCGGCTTCGTCACGGCCGATAAGCTCGAACGGGAATACGGGTTTACGCTGGCTGCTCTTGGTGTTAGATCTTCGCCGACGTCTTGTTGAATTGTGGTTGTATGGATTGGTGTTGCTGCCAGATTCTGGCGCCGACTTTTCGCACGAGGAGAACGTCGCTCTACGGTCCCGCTTCTCGCTCTGAGGATCAAGATGCGCAGCATCAACCTGGCCATCATATGATGGGAAAGGGATATCTCCGGCAGGTTGTACAGGCGAAGGTTGCTCAACCGAATTCTTCGTACGGACCCTCTCCGTGTCGATGCCTAGATCTGGTTCCCCCTTTTCTGGAGTTTGGCTATTCTCAAACAATGACGCCTTTTCGTTCAGCTTGTTCTCAGTTCCATTAGATACTACCACCTTTGGATTTCGTTCCGTGTGCTGATCCGTTTGGAGCTGCTCGGACATTGGGGCTTCCTGTGTAGTTTCCGACTCTTCATTCTTCGGACCTACCATACTGTCCTTAAATCGGCGTGCATAGTCCTCGAACTCATTATATTCTTTCCACGTAGTGACCTCATTGTCAGGCATACATCGAAACACCCGTCGGTAAAGCTTCGTGTTGTTACATGCCACCCTCATCCATACGTCATCCCAGAAAGCAGGAATGACAGGATCTCGCATACAATCATTGTCAATTCTAGCAGGTATAATATCCGATACTAAGGGGTTCAGGGGCTCGTTTGTAGGTTTTCCAGACTCGTCTAGGCGCATTGGAGGACCACCTATATCAGTGTCATCCTGTACCGGTAAGGATGGAAGCTGTACAGGATATGGCAGCTGGGATCTAGCTGCTGAATTCGCTTGGGGTGGAGGCAGTTCGTCATTTCCTTTGCCACCGTCACGCTGCGATGATCGCTTGGAAGACGACTCCCGATGTGGCCCGCCCGCCTTAGCATCCTCTCTACGGCTATCGGAACGACCAACTCTATCTCTATGCAGAAGAACTTCGCGCCCATTCATGACGACGGAGTCGCTTCCGAGATCTGCCCCTTTAGCTTGTGCTGCTTTCCAATTATCTGGGCCATAGCCTTCGACGTCTCGGTTATGGTCTTCATTACCCAGGACTCGTGGGTCACGCTCTGGTGATGGAGCTCTTGAATTAGAAGAGACGGAAGCCGACGAAGACGAAGTCCCATGGTTCTCGACTTGTTCCTCTTCTGCTGTGAGATCGATGTCATGATTATAACTAACTCCATGGAGGAAAGTCCTCCGTTTTGCACGCCGGGATGTCTCTCCGGTCGGGCTTTCATCACCTGAAGCATAGATGTCGGTCATGTCGGCCTCAAAGCGGATATCAGCGGTCTGCTCCGCCTGCCTCTCTTCCTCTGTGATCTGGTCTACATCTAACCCGAGATGCTCCCTCATCAGCCGCATGCGGAGGGTGTGAGCAAATCGGCCAACCCGGTATGCCTTGCCCGCCATTGTCGACCACATCATGTCGGAGTCTCGAACAATGGCAGCGACTTCGGAGTCCCGATTTCCCAACATCGAACGTTCGTTGATATTAGCCGATCCTATCAAAGCAACGCGGTCATCCACAATGATAGTCTTAGCGTGAATATACAACTGCTCTGTGACAATCTGGTTGTGAGTCCCGATGCGGCCCCATTGCCTCAAACTAAAGAACGAGATATAATCTTCGGGTTCTATTCCCACTGCTTGCAAACGTCCGAAGATTGAGTTCGGTCCCCGGCAGATGCTTCGGTATTGGAATTGCATGATCAAACGCACACTACTTCCCTCAGCCTGGTCCACCGTATTCTGGAAACCTGGCATAAGGGGGATCAGAATGCAGCACCGCCAATCCTCGTCTTTCTCGTGTGCCCTGATGATGCGTTCCACGAGAGCATCACCAATACGATTGACTACTCGTGTGTTCATTGTCTCAGTGCTTGTAATGAAGAATTGATTCTCCATATAAACAAAGTGATCAGATTCTTCAATAAGTTTCACGTATGCGGATTGGATACTATGCTCTCTTAATTCCTTTGGATAGCCCAAAGACCAATCACCAGCCGAACGTAAGATTTGTACTTCGCAAGTTCCGGACAACCCCAGAGCTTCGAGGTCAGCGGGGGTGGCATCCGGTGGGGGGAGTAAGAAAGGAGTTGGCCGAGTAGGTTTACGTTCACGTCGTAGATAATTCCATCGCTGTACAAAGTGGCGAGTAAGATCACGCGCTGGTTGGCCAACGACTTGCATCGCAATATCATGCCACGGCATCCTAGGAACCTTACTTCTGTCGTACATCTCTTCGTAAGGCTCGTTGAGTTTGAAAAAGTCCAGGACGCGAGGATTTGAGTAATCCTTGCCGGGGAAGAGCTGACAGTGCTCTGCATCTCGAGGCCTATCGCCATCTGGCTCCATGCCTGTTGGTCGATCGTCCGTGATGGGGTGCTGTGGGTTATCCCACCGACCAAAGCAGAGATCGATCCCACCAAGAAAGGCAACATCGTGGTCTACAATGCAGACTTTCTCATGATGGGCGTAGAAGAATTGGTTTTTCTTGAGCTGATTCGGCGATCTGAGGACCAAGATGTTGTCGTGTAGGTTAAGGAGCGAGAATTTTGTGTACTCGGAGTCTATCGGTATGGCCTGCTCTACGTTCCTGTAGATGATAATGAAAACCTTGACACCCTCTCTGGCTTTCTTCTGGAGCAATCGATCTAAACGCCATTTTTGGCTGATACACGCTGGTCGCCGCATATAAAGCTCAGGACTCAGCCACCAATCGTGAATATAAATCACATCCTGCGCCATGCTTATAGCACGAGAAACATTCCACATGTAGTCTCGTCCATCAACCAGCCATTGGGCAAATGATGATTGACGTACAGGTGCGAAGCTGTCAAATCTGTGTCGCTCATGCCACTGAGTTTGCTTCAGCATATCAACAACAGACTCTTCGAACTGGCGCAATACTGTCTGGTTGCGAGAGAACAGCTTGATCTTTCGGTCCACGGAATAAAATTTGAGGGTGTGGTGCTTGCCGTGAGATTCCTCATCTGTAAGCTGGCCATCGTCATTTTCCCCCCGCTTCTCTGTCTCAACTTTCAGTTTGGCGCCAAACCGTTTCAGCTTATTCTTCTTAGATACGACACGGAAGTGCGGGTCTACAAGGTAGACATCATAAATGTTCATGGTCGCCGGCGACTCGACGACAGCAATATAATTCTGTCGGACCAGAAACCATTTACGAGTGTGTCGTGCTATGACTTTCTGAGGACTGAGCACTCGTCGGAAGTCGATGCCTTTAGTAGATTGTATATGTAAGTAGCATTCCTTGCCGTGAAAGCTGCCTTCGGCAGCTAGCCGAACGCCGAGGGCAGAGAGCTCCAAGAATTTGCAGAGGCGATTACTATCAGCACGGAACATGAGCCAGTGGACCATCTCCTGCAAATACTTCTCCAGCGTTTTTCTCTGCCTCTCAATATACTTCTTCTTCAAAGCGGCCGAGTTCTGCACACCCGCCAGGGAGGTCTCGTTATTTTCTCCCAATCCTGATGACTGTCGGCGTGGCAAGAATGTGTTCATGCGAGATTTCTTCCTATGGGGATTCGGCCGTCTATCATTCTCACTAGCTGTGCCTTCAGCAGCCGTACCTTCAGCTGCAGTTATTTCACCTGCAGTAAGTTCGGCAACTGTGTCATCTGCCCTTGTTCCAGGCGGCTTCTCTTCTTCATCAGACTCCTCCAGTTTGTGGTAGGTCCGGAGATATGGAAATGCTTTTCTTGGAAAACGCGGCTGCTTCGGGCGGTGACGTTGGTTTGCCGTAGCCTGAAGAGAAATGTCGTTCTTCAGAGATAACCTGTACTTCCAATGAATATTCCATATCTCTCTTACACTACGGGTGACAGTCCACCTCATTCGACTCAGCCCGCTGCCATATTCTAAAGCAATTGTAAATATGGTATGTCTTTCACTCGTGCTATCTTCCGGGCGACTGTCGATGACTCGTAGATTCAGTTGCTCTAAGAGAACAGGTATACGCTTATTCCCATGTTCGTCCCTCTGCAACATACTTGCGAGAATGACAACTGCAGGCGTCACAGCCCGTAGCTCAGCCATGAGTTCAGCTGATTTGTAAAAGTCGAATTGATCCGTCCTCCTCTTACCTAACATTCTCAGGGTTTGCTTTACCTGCTTCCACCTCTGGGCACCAAAGGTTGCGGCTCGATCGGCGCTCAGGAAAGGCCGCCTCGGCGTTGTTATCCACTCCCCGTCAGATGCCCCACCCGCGCCAAACATCTCGGAGATGCGGCGCCGGTGACCAGGGGTGCGAGGTTGTGCATGTGGGCTCTCAGCGTCTTCAGTGCCAGTCCTTTGAGACCCGATCCAGGAGCTTCCGCGTGTCCACGCAGGCCTTCGGCCAGCGAGACGGTCACGGCCTTCCCCTTCGGACATGCCGCCACGATGCTCCGCAGCTTCGGGCATGGTTGAGCGCCTAACCATAGTATTTAAGCGGCTTGGGCCTGGAGGGTCGAGTTCATCTGGGAGGCGTGGGGAACTCGGAGCGGTAAACATTTCTAGGTGCTTTAGACGGCGTCGCATACGCTTTCTCTTGCCCTTTGGTACCTCCCTTTCGTTATCTTCGTCGGCACTCGCTTCGACGTCAGCATCGCTTCCCTCCTCTTCATCCAGAGTATCCGGGAGGCGATAAGGCCTGCCCGGAACAGGTGAGGCACTGGTTGACTGGGATGGCTGTTCAAGGGGCCCAGGAGATTTGGGTGGCTGAATGTTCCCAGAAGTGCCCAGAGTCGATTTTAACCGTGAGATCCACCTCTCGCTACGAGACATATTTCCCGGGTCTCCCCCGTCCCATGATCCATGCCTATCATGTTGGCGTGCAGGGTCAACTACGGCGTCAGCACGAGCAAACTGTACGCTGCGTCGACCGGGCGAGGCGGGGGGTTCCCCCAGGGCGGCGGCATCCCTGTCTGATACGTGGACCACGGAATTCCGTAAGGGGGATGGGGATCGTACAGCTACAGAAGGGTTTAAAGACGTAGGAGTCGCACCATTGTTGAGAGGAGAGGTACTGTCGTATGGTAGGCCAGCTGATAGATAATCGGCAGCCTGTTCAGGGTCGGATCTCGTGAAGGAATTGGTCGGTGGATTATTACGGAGGGGAAGGTCATGGGCGGGCAACTGATTATTCGCGGGATCGAGGGCGGAGGATGATGGGTTGCGTCGTGTATGCACAGAAGACGAATTACGAGGACTCTGTGTCATAGGAGAAACAGAGTCATCATGATCCGGAGTGGACATGGTACTTGTTACTTGAGTAATTCGACACTGGATGTCGAATATTGATGGATGGGGGGTGGAGGGTAGACGAAGCGACGTTTCCGTTACAGGCTTGAGTGTGTTTTAGTCTGCTCAAGTCTGCCAGCTCGATAGATGATCTAAAGGTCCCTAATATCCAACAATGCCCTTCTTCTCACTTCTCACTTCTCACTTGCATAGTATTCTTCATGGACAAAATACGAGATTGGCGAAACAAGGTGAGGTGAGAGGTTGATTGGGATGTTCGAATATCTTGTGAATAGCTTGTGAGTAGGTAAGTGTGTCAGTACGTTAGACGCACATCAGATAATTTGACGTTAACCAACTCTCCAGATACACGTGTTTGTTCTAGCTGTTCTAGTTGATCTGGTTCTTCTAGTATGTAGTTCTACCAACAACTTGTAGTGTAGTAGTAAGTAGCTGAAGTGGTTAGAACTTGAATTATTGAAAAAGGAGCGAGTCGCGTTTTAGTTTCCCTTATTTCTCATTTCTCATTTCTACTGGGTAATACTGGGTAATACTGGGTAACTGGGTATATGGGCCCACGAACCACATGGGCTCCATGGCGAAGATCCGCTAAAATACACTAGACCCTGATCAGGGACCAATCAACTTCAAATCTCTAATATCCCAACGAACAGGGGCTTACTTCTCCTTATCGATACTAGGTAATTGTCCCAAAAAGTAGAGGTAGGACGTCATCACGAGCTTCAATTTTATCTTTCTTATGTAGGTACCTACTATGTACTTAATGGGTAATCAATCAATGTTAAATTAGCTAAGCTACCTATGAACTACCTGGGGCATACCAATAGAAACATACCCGAGGCCATGTTGTTGGTTCAATGTTCTAACATTGAAGTGGCTACACATTAATGATCCATGCTTTACGCCCCCACTTCCATCATCGCTACTACATTCATACATATGTAGTACTAATCTGCTACTTTAAATTTATGTACCCTACTAGGTAGGTAACTACTATGATTGTACTTCGTACAAAAGGTTCAATGATATGGGATTTGCATCGACGTGGGGCGTTCAGCTAATAACTACCACTTTTGCTCAAACGGAGAGACTCAATTCTGCCGTTCAGTGAAACGTGGCCTGTTGCAGCTATGTTTATGCAAATGTGTACAATCCTGACTCAACCACCAGCAACAGAGACATCAAGCTCAATTCGTCCTATCCGAACCTATGTTTCTCATGGTGGGCCGTCACACGCGAGTCCTATTTCTCGCCGTAACCCACTCACTCTAAATTTTTCTTAGTTTTGACGAACTTAGAGCTACGCCCAGTCAGCAGGTCATTCCCCAGTGGTTCCTTCTACACACGCGGAACAAATCTCAAAGACGGTTACAATACAACAACTGGATCTGACTGGAGACCAAACGCTATAGCTTTCTGGATCTCTAAGCTAATACTGGTGTAGATTGTGGTCTTAGGTATGGTCTTAGTCGTGCTTCTAGACTCTCCTATATATCCATCGATCTTGTTGAAGACGGTTTCGAATTTGATAAGCGCACTTAAGCCACCTTCTATGCCTGTGCGTGCCAGGGGAAAAGGAAGCCTTTCTACAGTCTTACTATGCCGTAAAAGTCCTCGGTTGCGGTGTTTCGGGGAGTAATTAATGATTAATATTGCTTAAGGCAGTGGCCAGAGAATATTAAGCCTATGGTCCTAGAACTGCGAACATCCCCAGGCTACGATTTCGCCTCGATACGTGTCTTTCCCAAGGGCTAGCCAAGGATGAGAAGGCTCCATCGGAGGATGGCTAGAACAAAGACAGCTACATATATACCTAGGTATGCAGCCTCCGTAGTCTATGAGGAGATTTTAGGCATCCCCGCGCAACAACCGTGTTGATCTACGTCTTCTAGATTCCACCTTATGACATAAATAAATCTCATGCTGATGAGCGCCCCTGGGTCTGTGCGAGGGAGCCATAGTTTGTCTCTCTCGTATGTTCTTCCAGGTGCTCTGGGGGGGAGCTGTTCTCGAGGTTATTGGCCTACCCTATGAATAGTATCAGCGTCCAACAGCCTAACTGCCTAGATAGCTATATGTGGTCGGGTTTGAATCCGTGCCCATGGTGATCTCAACCTCTGAGTCATTCGCTTCGATTATGTGTATTAAAGTTCAGTCACCTTGAAGCCTTGCTTAAGCGCAAGCTTACGCGGTGCCATGGAATTTAACGGATTGTAACAGAGTGATGCTCAGTAAAAGCATGTTTCTAGTAACTAGTAACGCTGTGTAGTACCTATCATAACTGGATGTATTTGTGGTGATAAACTGGAAGGCTATCATGCCGCTCACATATGTGCTTAGTTCAATATTCAAAGGAGATATGTTATATTGTGCCTTCCCACGGCTCCATCCTTTTAGGATGATATATCACACCTTCATACTAACTCTAGAGAATTTCCGACATTTCTTTATTAAGCCACAAGCTGTTACAGACATAAATTATGTATGGCTTAAGCTAAGCTTAAGAAATAAATAAAATTTTATTATTAATTATGAGCTCTTAATTATTATCAAAACCAAACCAAATAAAATAATAATTGACACTTAATATCACTTATGTTCAAAACGGAAAACTTAAGTTTTATATCAATATTTAACTACATGATAATAGGCTTGATATTTAACCTAGATTAGGTAGTTTAACTTAGGTTATGGGTTTATTAACATCACTTCAGCTATCTGTATGATACATTTGTTCACAAATATCCCCCATTATCATCTCATGCTATAGCTGGGTGGGTTCGTTTAAACTAGCAATTGGTAACGTTTGGTAGGATAGCACATTAAGGGGAATTCAGGGAATGGCTGATTACATTATAAACACCTAGCACCTAATACTATCAACCCAATGATTTTGGGGTTCCAACGAAGCCGGAGCTTTTAACATCGAGTTCTATACAAATAACCACAGCAGAAATACAAGGGCATGCTCGCGATGGTATTCAGTCCAGAGTTTACCCTCACTGAATAGACTTGGCTTATTGCGACCACTAGTGTCTACCAAGCGACCCAAGCATTCCCCATTCTCATTCAGTCCTTCTTTAAAGACCCAACCGGAAGGTTGAAAGGCGTTGTACCATCTCCCCACAGACCGGCAGTGCCTGCCCAGTCTTCTCTTAAGTTAGCATCGGTGTATTCAACTTCCTATTTACGTAGGTGACGCAAACAAGAAAATTTGGTAGATCCAGACTTACAAGCTAGAGCTGCGGTGACGAGTCCAGTCGCACTACCAGCCTTGAGACACGATTCTTCGCCTAGCATGTGGCCAACGGCTAGAAGGATAAGTGTAAAGTCGACAAAGACAAGCGCAGCCAACAGTGTCCAGGAACTCCGAACCGAAGCAACAGTAAAGATGACACTCATGATGAACCAAGCCCAAATGAACATAGCTATAGCTTGGTCGAACTCAGGCATAAGCGCGCCGGTCTCAGAATCGGTATAGGCCGCTAGTATTCCACTACCAGGAAGGAAGATCAAAGCATAGGCGAGGTTAAATGCTGCATAAGAGGAGAACAGTGTAGCACCCAACTAAAAGGAAATGTTTAGTTAGTTTATTTTACACCACGCGTAATAGGGGGTTCTCAGGACTTCCAAGGACCTACAGTGTTACCCGCAATAAATTCCATGATCCCAGCGATAACCTGAGCAGCCCCGCCAAAGAAGACCATGTTTGGAACAATAATATTTGGAACCTTCACGCCACGAGGTTCCAGTTCAAGGAGGGATATCATGAAGATGCTCGTAGCAAAGGATAGCAGCCCTAGGGGCGCCGGGTTGGCAAAGTTTCGAGGTACATAGGGTAGACCAATTTGTTCGTGGGGAGATATTGTCGCCTGCTGTTCGAGGTCGACAGCCTTACTGTCGGAAATCGAAGCCGAGATAGACATCGAGAACACGGCGAATGCAAAGATAAGATGCAAAGGAATCCTGCGACTATAGGTGTAACGGGGCCGAGTTCAAGTTCTGTTTCCTCCTTTTCTTGCCGCCAATAGCGAGCGATATGAGAGATCGACTGCTTTGAGAGATGATGAGCGAAGATGCAAGTGTCAGGAGAGACAAACACAGACACACTTTGAGAAGGGTAACACCACTGGTTTTTCATTACGCTGAAAATGCACCATAGCATGACATCAGAGTAGCCGCCGAGAAAAATGATGACAACCCTATCAATAGTGCACCAGGGTTACACGGCCAAGTATGTTACAAAGGATTAACCCCTTGCCTGATATCCATCATGTTGATGTACGTCTTGAACGGTCAACGGGGGGCTACTTGAGCTGCTTGCTTGATTTGGCATGTTCGCCTATCTACCTGGTTCGTATTTTCTTGCTATGAACCTAGGAGCCAAGTGAACAGCCAGTATGAGAATATCCGAACCACACTACGCTGATCGAGCGGCCAGAGGGATTTACTAGTTTACACAATAAATATCGAGTCTATTTACTTAACTGGCAACCAGCTGCAGCCTTCTTTGCAGGTAAGTAGGTGTCTTGCAGATATAGCCTAGGCCCAAGACCATGCCTTTGCCTATGAAATCTTAGTTGAGGGACGATTTGCAGGTACGTCGATTTTTACAGCGTACATAACTAATAATTCAAACCTATAGGGGGGTGAGTTCGAGAAGCGGGAGGATTCGAGAAGCTAGATAGGAATAAGGATCCATCTGGATTCCCTCCATGTTCTTCATTTAAAGTTCAGGCTTATGCCTTCTTCAAGCCTCCAGGTCGTCGTGCGAAGATGCAGGGAACGTATGCGTCTCCAGGATTCGTTCGTGTAACATGCAAGGCAACCTCGAAGTTGTATGACCCCCACGGTATTTCTATGCCCATATACGGACATATACATTACCTACCTACATACCTAAATACCTGGGTAGCATTATTGGGTTACTATTCCATTCCAGCAAATACTACATCCACATCCTCCGCGACCTCCGCGACTCGGCAAATTACCGAGATAGAATCTTCAGGAGAAGGATTGAATATAAATTAGGTCGTATTACATGGAAGACATTTCACGTGGTAAGTAGTGTTACCAGGCATAGATAGGTACTAGGTACTAGGTACGTAGTATCTATCAACTGGAATAACCATGACCCGAAATGGTCACAGATTGGATTAGGCAAGTAGTATTTTCAATTGATTCAGACGAGTTTTGAAAGTTGAAGTTGAAGAAGTAGGGAGAGAAGATTGAAGAAAAAGAATGGAGAAATGAGATTATGTGAGACTCCCAAATCCTACATAGTTAACTATTAACCGTTCAGTTATAGTTACTATGTATTGTACAATAGTTACATCTAATACATCCAATAGTTACTTCAAGGACCCTAGGTAGGTACCTGACTACCCGAACGCTAAGAGAGATCCACCACGGGAAGCCCACATCAGCAACAAGGGGTTAGCCGTCCGCTATAGCGTACCCATATTTCCAGCGGAGAGTTTATTTAGTTACATGGATCCATGTAGTTACCTAAGTACATCTTCCTATGCAACCTTTTAGAACTTGGAAGTCAACATTAGTACTACATACATATATGTACATACATACTATGTAAAATATACATATTCACCATTCGCCTCCTGAAAAATTATGATCTGATCGGGCGTATTACCGAACAGGTCTCCATCTGCCGCATCTCCATGTGTCACGTCAAAAATATCGAAGCCTAGGGATCATTTCCCTTTTCTCCTGATCGTATCGGCTGGGGTTCTGATAAAACTTCGTCGTAATAGGAATAATCACGCATGCACGATCCTTTGGAGTCTGTCTCGATGCGCATTGAATGGCCATACACAATGGTGACTGCAGCTCGCGTCTACCCAGGTAATCAGGGTTAACCTAGAATATTCTTGGCTGGAACGATTAGATGGTTCAATGCAACACATCGAGCAGGAGCGTAAGAGTAGGTCATCCATTCAGCGATGGGTATCACTCATCTCTATGCCTAGTATGTACCATGCCTACCGAACCGCCTCGGTAGGTACCTCCTTAGGTAGTATAGCACAAAAGGACTCTCCTCCTATAGGAAGGAGTCGTATTATTGCCGCAGCGACCATGGTCCACTCCCCCTTGTGTATGAGCGTGAGCACAGGGGCGAAGCCACCGCTATTCGATCAGTTCTGACATGCATGGTTTCCCCGTGCTTGACGGGTTTGAAAATTTTCGATCGCTATGGCGGACATGACGGCGATCGTGATGTGTCACATCTTACTGGTCTGTCCGGCAAATTGATCCTCGCACAATTCCCTACGCACGCGACTAGGCAATATAGTCGAGCCACCAAGTTATGGATCCATACACTTTATAAGATATAGCAAGCCTTTTTTTAAAGAAAAATCACAGTTCCTACTAGATTCGATATCACTACCTATCGAGTTGCTGCTCGCTTGGTCGAGACAACGAAAATCTAGGCTTCCACGAGGCCACGAGCAATGAACGAGAAAGAGTCATGGCGGACCTTACTGAAACATACGCCCAGAGGCTCACTACCGGCATTGTGGTGACCTGTCTCGCACTGTCAGTCATATCCTTTGTGCTTCGGCTCTACGCGAGGTCGGTCACGACGGCGAAGCTTTGGTGGGATGACTATTGGATGGGCATACCCATGATCATATGTGTGGCCATGAGCACGAATGACTTTGTTGGGCTCGTGTTTGGGTCAGGCAAGCACCAGGCGGATCTGGATCCTCAGGTCGTGATAAGCTTCATGAAGGTGCGATAATGCTATTTCGTCTATCTCTTGTAGTGTCAGCAAGAGGGGCCTCCGTTAACAACTCGGTGAAAGTAGAACCTTTACATCTATATGATATTCTGGTGTATTGGTGTCTTCGGTGTCAAGGTTGGAATTCTGCTATTCTACTGGCGAGTCTTCCATACGAAATCCTTTCGCGTGTCGGCGATGATAGTCGGAGGATTCTCGCTCCTGATATTTCTCACGAACTGTTTTATCTTTGCCTTTCAGTGTACACCAATAAGTTCTTTCTGGGAAGGCAAAGCGGAAGACTGCATTGACCAACATGCATTTTACTTGGCTTCTGCAATAATCAATGTCGCCGGTGATATTGCCGTCTTGACCTTACCATTGCCGGTCGTCTGGGGACTACATACTTCGACAAGCAAGAAACTCTCCTTGAGTTTCCTATTTCTTCTTGGAGCCTTGTAAGTTTGATCTATTCTGTTTCCAAATGTAACATTCCGCTAATTGCACCTATCAATCTAGCGTTTGTATTGCAAGCATCTTCCGCATTGTTGGGGTTTATGAGATTGACGCGACTGATTTTACTTACACAAACCTCGCCGGAGGACTCTGGAGTACTGTGGAGGTCGAAATAGGGTTCATCTGTGCGAACCTTCCAGCAATCCGACCCGTCGTCTTTAAGTGGTTCGGGATTGGTAGTTCGGCAGCTGCGTACGGGTCGGGCAGCGCGGGTCCTAGACAATACAACATCTCTGGCAAGGGAGCGACTCGGTCAGGCCATGTCATCCTCCGAAGTAGAAATCAAGAGTCCGATTTGCTCGATTCAGACACGGAGGCACTAACTAGACAAGGAAAGGCAGACTCGATAACCCCGACGCACACTAGAGGGGCGAATAGCGATGGGCAACCGGGCCAAGCTTTCGGCCTTACTGATATTGTAGTCAAGACAGATATCGGCGTCTCGATAGACTCCAAACAGTCCGAGTCACAGGATGGAGAACCAAATCATTTCGTTCAGATAACAGCACCGCGGTCAGGAACGGTAGACCTACCAGGTACCGGCCAGCCTTATTATAATTAGCGAGCGCAGATAAATAGGGTGGTGATGTAAGGATACAGTGGACGGAAGGACTTTTATGTATCAGCATATATATCTCACTAATTCATGTATTTATTACAACTATTGTATATGCTAATGGACTCTGGGAGTCGTGTGCTACTATTAGGATAGCTATCTAGACGCCCTTCTGTAGTAATCATCCCTCTGCTTCCAAAAGAGAGAGAGAGGAAGAGATAAAAGGGGAAGGGGGTTCAATCATGTATACTGTGCCCATAGACAATGTGTACATATTAAACATACAAGTGATCCTCTCGCGCATCGACTATTTAGTCAGGATGCAGCAAAGAGGTCACGTATAATCGTTCAATTAAATCCATTGGGGGCTGTACGTCGTACATACAATGTCATACATACCTTCATGCGCCTTTGCGGGTCCATTTCCATGTATGTTGTATTAGTCGTAACTACGTAGGTATGCATTGGGTAGGAAAGTTGATGTGGTAAGATCCTTTGGAGGCCCCTGGTTGTAAATGCCTCCTATCCTTGTCGTGTCATCTTACTTGGCTGCTTGGCCCCATTCAAGCTCAAAGCTAAGCAAAGTATTCAGGTCCGGCGAAGCTTGACTGAACTACAGACAATCCATAATTGCTACTAGGATGTAGTAAATACTAGGATGGGGTAGCACTGTAACAGTCGCTACATTAGTTTCTTCGGTAAGGATTCTGTTAGCGGATATTCCTTTTGCTACTCTAGCCACCTTTGATACAATATGTACCACGACGAGTAGGTGCCTACATCAATTATTGGTAAACCCAAGTTGAGGTAAGGTAAGGGATGCTTTAAGCGAATGGCCGATCCAGTTTCTTACTCGGCGGGGCCGTCGTGGGAGGGTTATTCGCAACCAAGTCTTTTTTCAGGGGATGAAATACTACATATGTAGGTATTACTGCGCAGCTGTTCATGGAAACGCACGCGTCAGAGTATCAGTTCCTCGAAAATACATGCTACGTAGGCTCCCCTTCGTTACATCCTGGGCGCTGTGTATATTTTGATCTGCCTTGCTTAGCTCCAGTTCTGTCACCAGGCGGAACGTAGATGACGCGGAACATATCGTTCTTGCGCGGGGATCTCTAACACCTCCCCGTATACTATGGAAGTTACATAGGTATACATGTAGGCTGTCTCTGTTTTATGTAACCCCCCATTTAGATCCCAAGTAAACCCTTGACAAGTACACTAAATATGAACCCCGGACATCTATGTAAACAAATTTCTCAGCTCAGTAGTTGGTCATAGAGAATACTTTTTTCAAAAGGATACCACACCAAGATGGAATCATTCTTTGGTTGTTAATCCATATATAGTGTAGTAGCAAACCTCTTACGAACGCCGACTTGATATTGCTCATCATTGTAGGTTAGGCCTTTAAGAGGACAGGAGTTTTAACTCCTTCGAATGGGAGCAATCCAACTTCTTCAACGTGATATAAAACCTCCCCCCCCCCTACTCCCCCCCCCCTTTTTTTTTTGAAGAAGGGACCCAACTAGTTTCTTAGGGAGATGCAGCAAAAGAAAAAAAACAGCCAACCCCTTGCCTAAGTTCTTATCGCAAATGTAAGCCACCTATACATACATATATTCCAACTCTCTTGCGTTCAGGGATTCTCCAAACATTACTGACTATAGTGAGGAGAAGTACACTATGGCCAACATATCCTCCGATGTTGTTGAAGAACGGATCAACAAATTCGGCAAATTATGGATGATTGATGATCTCATCCGTGTCCGAGGACAGGACAAAGAGCAGCTTCCCATTCTTGGCTATCCAAAGCATGACCATGATGCTGCCGAGTACGAGTACTTTACCGGGAAGGATCTTGACCGCATGGTTGACGAAGCATGTCGGGTTCTTGTGCGAGCTGGCCTTGAGGTGAACTCGTACAAGACGGTAGCACTGTTTGCACCCTCAGACCTTTCACTCATCGTCACTTTCTTTGCCCTGTTCCGCCTAGGATGTAAGGTGTTAACTATCTCCATCCGCCTAAACCATGTAGCGTGCCTTCACTTGCTTGAGCGAGCTAACTGCGATGTCATGTTGTACGGGAAAACGTTCCATATTGACTCGATGATAACTGAGATCAAAGAGTCACGCCCAGGTCTAAAGCTCGTTCAGATCCCAGATAGGAATGACTTTGATGAGCCTGATCGTCCTGCTGAGCCATTCCAACGTCATATTCCCGATATAGAGTCAGAGCACTCTCAGGTAACGCTCGTAATGCACTCGTCTGGCTCGACTGGACTGCCCAAGCCGCTACTACTTTCTCACAAGGGCCTTCTATCTTCTATAGTGTCTGGAACAGGGCTGAGGGCGTTTAATGCGTTGCCATGGTACCATCTTCATGGCCTAATGACTTCCATCCAAGCAATGTGGATGCGTCGGCCTGCTCATCTATTCAATGCTCATCTTCCTTTGACGGCAGACAACATGATTTCTGCCCTCAAGGCGATCCAGCCTGAGATATGCCACACGGTACCCTACGGATTGAAACTGATGTCCGAGAGACCAGAGGGAGTTGATGTGCTTAGAAGGTGCAAGTTCGTGACATCAGCAGGAGCAAAAACTCCGGATGAGCTGGGCAATCGGGTAGTTCGAGAGGGTGTACGACTTGGTCTGATTTTCGGCTTGTTCGTCTTTAATATCCTGATCTACCTACTAATTATATCGAGAAGCTAACTTGCCCCAAGAACCGAGGTCGGTCATGTAGGTGATTCCATCCATCGTGAACCTGGCGACGATTCTTGGGACTATATCCGGCCGTATAAAAACTTGCACGAGCACATGATGTTCAAAAAGGTCGGAACCGACGTATACGAGTCTGTGTATCTGAAGTCGCACCCTGCGCTCTTGATCAGTAACTCCAATGACCCCCCAGGATCTTTTCATTCAGGAGATCTATTTTCTCCTCACCCAACCATAGATTGGGCTTGGAAATATCTCGCTCGTGCTGACGATAGGGTGACGTGTGAGTAATTACTTCTTACTGCCTCTTTCCGAGCCTCGCTCAGGGGGCAGCATTACTTGATTAGGTTACTTACCCCTATTGTTGTAGTGTTGAGCGGGGAGAAGATTCTTCCTTTGAACATGGAGGGTACCATTCGTGAAAGCCCTCTTGTGCGTGATGCACTCATGGTCGGCAACGATCGCCTCATGCCTGGTCTTTTAGTCTTTCGCTCCTCAGCTGCGGCCGAACTATCAGACGACGAGTTCATTGCGGCTATCCAATCTTACATTGATAGAGCAAACGAGATCGCGGATGAGTTTGCACGGTTGACCCCTGACATGATAGTTCCCCTGGCTGCGGATATCGAATACCCTGCCACCGACAAAAACAACATCATTCGAGCGGCGGCATACGCTCACTTTAATGACGTGATAGAGAGCCTGTATGCTAGAGACACTGGAAGCGCCAACGGGCTTAGCGGGAAGAACATGAAGCTCGACGTCGAACAATTAGAACAATTCATCCTCGAGCTCATCGGCCAGAAAGCAGGTGTTCATGTGCCAGACATCGAAACTGATCTATTTGCTGCAGGAGTAGACAGTTTACGCGCTGCCCAGATACGCAGGTTGTTGCAACGGGATCTCGACCTTGGTGGCCATTCTCTACGTACGAATATTGTTTACGACGCAGGATCTGTGGCTAAGCTTGCTCGACTCCTCTTTGCAATACGTATTGGTCAGGAGTTTGAAGGCGTATACCCAAACGCTGAAGACGAAATCCGCAAGATGGAAAACATTATTAGCGATTTCGGTAACTTTCGGAGGTGGACACCGGGTTCGTCACCAACACCGGATAGAGACGTAGTGGTAAGATAATGTCAACGCCCATTGTTTTACTTGATCGTGACATTGTCATATATAGGTACCTTTCGAGGTACCAGACATCTCCCTCTATACGTTTTTTACCTAACTCGGGCGCTTAGGTCCTTACAGGAGCGACTGGCGCACTTGGCGCCCATATACTTGATCAGCTTTTAGATGACTCTCAGGTTGGCCAGGTCATTTGTCTTGTCCGGGGTGACAATGCGTTAGCTCGTATCAACGAGTCCATGAAGATTCGGGCGCTTAATTCGGCGGACGACAACACAAGGCTAGCTGGAAAGGTGAAAGCTTTGACGACGAACAACTTGGGCGCACCAAATCTAGGCCTCTCGCCAGAAGAGTATGCGATATTGCAGGAGTCAACAACTTTCATCATCCACGCGGCCTGGCCTGTGAACTTCAATGTCTCGCTCGAAAGTCTGGTCCCTCACATCAGAGGTCTGAGAAACATTTTGGAACTATCACTTGCAGTTCCGTTCCAGAACCCTGCGCGTGTTGCGTTCGCTAGCAGCATATCGACAGCATTCCGAATGCCGGCCCTGACCAACGTGCCCGAGGGCCCCATACCGTCTCTTGAACACGCTGCAGCTACAGGCTATGCGCGATCAAAACTCATAAGCGAGCGCATCTGCTCCTCTGCTTCAGAGAGCGGGGCTGTAGTTGCTGTCCTTAGAATAGGCCAAATATCAGCCGACACTGTCCATGGAATTTGGAATGACAAGGAAGCGATCCCGATCCTAGTTCGAAGTGCACCTGAAGTCCACGCATTACCACGCCTCGACGGCGGCCACGACATCTGCGAGTGGATGCCAGTCGACACTGTAGCTCGTGCGTGTTTACAGCTTGCCCAGGGGCTTGATCGGAAAAACGGCGAGATACTGTTCTACAATCTTAATCCGCCGCACAAATTCTCGTGGAACCAGGATTTCTTGCCAGCACTGCATAAGGCTGGTCTGAATTTCTTGGATGTCAATCTTAGAGAATGGTTGGCGCGGCTGCGCTCACGGGCCGTGGAATTGGGATCGGCTGCCGAGGCAAAACTACCTGCTATTAAACTCGCAGACTACTATGAGGAGACATATGGTAGTGATGCTGACACCAACGCTGGCTTGAGGTTTGATATTCAAAGGGCCTGCAGTGATAGTAGCGCACTTCGCTTATGCCCACAGATTTTGGACGCAGGTCTGGTTCCGAACATGCTACGGCATTGGCTGGATTGTGCTTCGGATACGAGTTAAGAGTAGACGAAGAATCTGTGACCATTATTGATCTGACTAAAGACTAGGAAGTGTACCGTACCTCCAAGTGCTAGATATAACTTGTACGTAGTAGGTACATACGATTGTCGTCAACCATTTCGATTTAGGTACCCTCGATCATCGGTGTTTTGAAGAACAAAGTGTAAAGTAATAAAAAACCTATTGATACAGGAATGGGTGTAAACGGGCACCTAGGCGACTTCACAAAGAGACTATTGAGCAATCCGTAACTCCAGCAAGTGCAATAAGCAAAGCATTTGTTACAGCACCGTCACCCATATCTGTATCAAACCCCTTAACACCTTATCATGAACCACCGTAAACCATTTCATATAAGCCCTTAATGCCTCTACTCGCCTCGGCCACGATAGTTGCCCATCTTCTCGATTGAACTCATGATGCCGCTCCGCGTGCTCAAGCCACTACCAGGGCGCGGGATACCACCACCATTCTTAACTCGATCATGGGCGATGCCACCAATCCTGCTCTCCATTGGCTTCTTCACAGAGCCAGGGGCTCGTAAGCCCGAGGGACGGGCGCCGATGCTATTGCGGAAGCTCTCGGGACCCGAATGGTGAGTCTGGTGAGTCTGGGGAGCTTGATGACTCTGGGCCCTAGGCTTTGTAACGGTGGGTCGGGATGGCGTCGTCGCAGTCGCCGTCGGCGCTGTCTTATCTTGCGTCTGAACTAAGCTCTGCATCGACATCATCTCCTCAGCTAGCATGACAAGCTCGCCCTTCTCAACACGTTCCTTCTCCAATAGGTGACGTAGTTCTCCATTGTCCACTTTGACGCTGTTAACAACAGCCTCCAGCTTCTCAATTTCGGCATTTAACTGCTTGATCTGCGCTGAGTCCTTTACAGCTTGGGCCTTGCGCTCCTCATCCACGATGGATTGGTTAGGGTCAAATCGGGTGATAGTCGCGTCCCGGCCAAGTTTCAGTCTCTCGTTTTCATCGGCAAGATCCTCGATTCTAGACTCGAGCTCACGGACCTTCTTCTCCCAGCGGCTCTCGTAGCTCTTCTTCAGCGAAGCAACCTTGTTCTCGTGCTTGGTCTTGTAGAGCGCGTGAAGCTCACGAGCGACGCGCTCGACCGCAATCTCAACCTCGCGCGAGCCAGCATTCTTCTTGTCAGCCGGTGACTTGTTGCCGCCAGGGTCCGATGCAGCATCGGAGGTAGCTTTGCCAGCACGCATGCCCGCCATCTTACTTTCGGCCTCCTGCGCCATGATCTCGGCAGCCTCACGTCGTTTCTCGCTCTCGTCCAGCTTAAATTCGAGCTCTTCGCGCTCACGCTGGCTCATAACAATCTCATCTTTCACCTTGCGGAGTACAGTCTCCATATCCCGCCCACGTTTCTCCCAACTGTCACGTTCCTCTACCAATCCCTCCCTTTCCGACCTTATCTCTCGAAGCTGTTCCATGCATTCGCCGACTCGTTTCTCAGCATCGCCGACTGCTGTCTTGAGAGACAAGGCTTCTGCCTCTTTGCCACTGAGGGAAGCCTTAAGGCTGCTAATTTCGGAGAGAAAAGCCGACTTGAGCGATTCCAATTCTCTAGGTGTAACGGTGGGAATGCTTCGGGGAGTAGGGAGAGGTGGGATATCGAAGTCAAGTAAATTTGACTGTGTACGTTGGGGCGTGCCTGCGATCGAGTTCCTCATCGCCCTGCCGGAAGCTTGGTGGCGGCTCGGAATCTGCTCAGGATGTCTAGAGGAAAATCCATTGATCTGTTCGGTGAAGTCCATAAGAAGGTTGGTGGTATTTCCAGATTCGTGCATAACAGGAGGCCTAGGAGTTCGTTCAGGGGAGAGCTCGCGACGGCCACGCGCAGCAGTAGGGGTAGCACTCGTGTTGGCAAATTTAGTAGGACTGTGGCCAATCTTCGCGAACATTGTTAAATTAGGCACGGCGGAGAATGTGCTGAATGTGCTGATCATAGTGTCATCTGGGCCGGAAGGCTCCTCTTCAGCTAGGTGTTCATCGTCGATGGTCATAGAAGTAGCATCAGCATCATTGTCTTCGGTGTCATCCATCATTGTCTCTTCATCTTCAAATATCTTGATAGCATTTGCTAACCCTACATTCTGGCGAAGTGCTTGTTCCAAAGTTATAGTATGTGGGTTGACTCGCGGTGTCTGCGTGTCTTCTACCGGCGCCGTGGCTGTCGTCTTGATAGGGGTCGGGGCTGCGGCTACGGCCGGGACAGGGGCTGGAGCCGTGACTGGTGTTGGGGTCGAAACCGGAGATGAAGAAGGTGATGGGGTATTGATTTTGACGGGGAAGCGTTTCTCGGGGAACATCTTCCTCGTACTCTTAGCAGGTGAGGCTTGTCTTCGGGGTGAGTAAGTCTCTGCATCGATAATGTCGTCCTTGGCGGTTAAGATCTTCAGAGGCGAAAGCTCGGTACCAGATAGAATTCTGGAATGGCGCGACTTGGAGGGTGAAATATTCTCCTGGTTTCGACCGACATTGTCCTTTTCTTCATTGCCTCGTATGGGGACTGAAGGACTCGTCAAATCGCTGTCGGTAGTGACGCGTTCACTAGCCATCCTGGATGTGGGCGGTTGGATCTGGAACTTGTCAAGATGACGATCCGTAGAAGGTGTAGCACAATTGAGTACACCGCTTTTACTAACAGAAAGTGGTGAAGCCATCCAATCTTAGACGCAAGGCCAAGATTTGAAAGACGAAAAAAGGAATAGGGAAATGATTCTGGTTCAATGTTAACTAGATAGATAGATACCTAGTTACGTTAGGGAAATTGTTGGAGAATGACGCGTGACAAATTCAATGTTCCTTTTCTTGAATCGGCAATTCAAGACATGCATGCGTCTGCAATGTTTATGCCCAGTGGAAAGCAAATGCAAAATTTAAGTTGCCAAAGAAATTAATGGATTAATGGATTAGTTTGTGCTATGACTATTCTAATTTGTTCAATCTTCTCCCTAGTTATGTATAGTTGACAGAGCAACGGCGGTGTACAATCCACATATTGACTTAAACCCTAGTAGATTGCGTCAAGTAATTTAGGGCTTAGTGCAGGGGCTAAATGCACGTGATTCTATTTGTTATCTATGTACTGTGTACCGAATTAGCGCTGGCCCCGCTAACATTAGTATGTATGTACACAGTATATACAAGTATAATGTCTACATAATAATACATATTATGCACATAGCACTCACTACCATAGTATACCAATGTACTGCTGTACAAGTAATAGGTGTATAACTACATATTACGGTTCGTTTACGTGATTAGGTATATTAACGGCGGCGGCCACCAACATTAACAACGGAAGCTTAAGAGCACTAACAAAACATATACTTACCTCCTTCTTACCTCCTGCTGATTAAGGATGGAGACGTGACATCTGAGATACTAGAGCTCATGAGGCGTGCGAGGCCTAGAAGGCCTCGTGAGGTCTCAGGGCCTTACAACTTTGGCTTCATCTCAGTCTGGATAAGCATTACAGTGCTTATCTAATCCACCGCGCGACATTGAAACATGTTGCCATAGCTGCAAGACATGCCGTCCGGCGCAAAAATGTGAGGGAAAACACTCCGTGTGGCAAGTTTATACCGCCTTCTAAAACACCTCCCACTAACTAGCTATTACCAGGACAAGCTTTAGCGGATTAATGAGGATGTAAAATAAGAGGAAATAACTAAGCAATTAAAGTTAAACGTTAAAGAAAAAGGACATCGCCGTTGTCGCGTCGCGTGAACCTTATAATTTATTCTTTTATTAATTATATAAGTAGAGCCGCACTGTGCGTGCTGTGCTGACTGTACTACAATAGCTGCGCTGAATGTACTACTGGTACTGCTAGAAATCATACACATCAAACACTGTTACTACACGGTGTGAAAAGGCCACATACCGCACTGTGCTCAATAGTTAAACACTAAGATAAAGGTTTTATAGGTAATCCATCCACTATAGTAGTAGGGAAACTTCCCAGCGCTAACGAAAATACCACAAGCCACACTTTAAATGGGTGTACCAGCTTGTACCTTTGCTATGTGGCCAATATCACCTTTCCTTACTTTTCTAAGTTTCTAATCTTTACAACTGAATAATTGTTTCAATTGACAACTAAGTCAATTCATCAATCGCTCATTTAAATCACATCAATTAGTCAACCTAGAGTACCGAGTTACACCATTTGAATCGGCCCGGTGGTGGTGCTCTTCAAGGTTGAAGCCCGGTAGCCGCGGTCGCTAGAGCCACTACGTGTCAAGCTGAGAGTGCCCACGTGACCTCCCTTAAAGCAGCCGCTTCCAGCGCTTACGATGTTAAACATTGAATATCTTCCCATCCAAGATGTGCACAAATAGTCCGAGACATCCATTAAATAGTCCTTAACGCAGGCTACTTATAGATATATTCAACGACCTCGTCGCCCTTAAAATAAAGCTTTTATAAGTAATTAGAAATGCGATCACATATGTTAGGATAGGACACGGATAGCCACTCCCATGGCTATCCACTAACATAGTTGTAACTACTGCCGTCCTTAACCACTGGCACAGCTATAGCTGAGCCTTATTTATGTATATAACCAGCTCCAAGAGAGCAAGAGCGAAGCTCTTTTTCACTCGGATATAAGATGTTAAGACATGGATGGACGTGGCTATGGACGTGGATAACCACTTATATGGCTATCCATAGCTGTTATGTAAGAGTGGGACCAGGTAAAGTTAATATGCTAATAAAAATGTATTTAATTTAAAGCTTAAAAAGTGAAAAAGAAAATATTTTTATTTATTAACGCTTAATAATTTTATATCTTATAAAAGAAAATTATATAACATTTAAAACATAATAAAGTTATTTATCACATATTTTTAAACGTTTTTTTTATTAAAAGTAATTAAATATATAAATAAATAATTAAGATTTTTAAATTTTAATTAACTTTTTTAATATAAGCTTTTTTAATTTAATTTCACGATATTTATATTAAGATTAATATTTAATAACTTTACTTTATTTCCTTTAAATTTATTTTCACCTTATCGATAACTTTAATCGTTATAAAGGGGTTTTTAAATTCCTTAAAAAGCTTATAACCCTTTTTATTATTTTTCCCGCTTACCCACTTTTCACTTACTAAGATTTCGTAAAGCTATTAAATATTAATTTTAATATAAATATCGTAAAATTAAATTAAAAAAGCTTATATTAAATATTAATAAATATATATATATAATAAAGTTTTATTATTCGCACCTCATAAAATTATTATTAAAGCTTATTTATATCTTAATATATAAGAAATTAACGTTTAAGGGCTATTAATTTAAGCTTTTTAACTAGCTTTTATTAATAAATTTAACATAATTTTAGACTTAGAAATTAAATTAAGGTGTATTTAATATTATTAGGTTTGTTTTATTTAAACGGTTTAAATAATATATGTTTTAAATTTATACGATTATTAATTACGAAGTTATTTAAAAAAAAGTGAAATAAACGTTTTGCCGTTAATGTAGCGCTAGTTAAGGGGTATTATGTGATGTATGGATTATTTCAATTTATATCATTTTTAAGGTAAACTGCAATCTTTTAATTTAAATAATTTTATAGCTATTAATCGGATTAATTTAAAACATATATCGTTTAAAAGGTTTAATTAAGGCGGTTTTAATGGTATAAGATGCACCATAGCGATGGCTTATGTTAATAAGGGAATATGTGGTTTTATAACGATTAAAGCTTTAAAGCTTAGACCTTTTATGTTAAGCTTTTAATGTACTAAAGTGCGGATAAGTTTTAATAGTAATTTTATAAGGTGCGGATAGCAAGATTCATATAATAAATTAAATAATAAATAAAATAAAAATAATAAAAGTAAAATTAATATAATATTAATATTTAAGGAAAGAAATTTAAATCTAAAAATAAAAAAAGGATTTAATTTTTTATATAATTTAAATTACATAAATACCTCTTTTAATTATATACGTACCGCGTTAATATATACCTTTATTATATAATTATTACTTACTTTATTTTCTTTTTATAATTAATTAATTATAAACGTTATATTTACCTTATATTTAACTTATCCTTTTAATCGTAAATTAATTTAATTAACTTTTATTAACGTCTTTATAACTTCGTTTAAAAATACTTTAATTATAACATTAACTAAGTTATAATTACCTTAAATTTAACGGATATTATTTATCTCTTAATTCTTATAAAATTATTAAAAAGTTATTAAATTAATTATTAATTACTTTTTATTAATATTTCCTATTTATATTAAACATTAATATAACGAGAAAAAGTCGGTGTAAAACATAAAAAGGATTTTAAAAAATAATAACCGTTTTAAAATAATGTTAAAAATATAATAAATAACGTAATTAACGTTAAAGCCTTAAATTATCCCATAAATTTTATTAATTAATATATTATATATAATTCGTTTATACTTAATAAATAATTAATAAATAATATTCCCAATAATTTATACCTTATTATTTTAATTAATAATGAGTTTTATTATTTACACCTTATAAAATTATTATTAAGGCTTATTTATACCTTAATATATTTGCGTAAGTTTTTTTATCCACTAATGCACACTAGTCCACATTAGTCTGCATTAGCTTACATTAGTTTATACTAGTTTACACTAATGTTAAAAGGCGGTAAGTTTAAAATTAGCAAAATTATCCTTATTATAAATTATTTTAATAAATTATAATTAATTCTTACTTACTTAACTTTTTTTTTCCATATATCATTTTAATGTTTAATATAATGAATACTTCCGATCTCTTACTTTTATTAAACCTATCCCTGGATTATCGGTTTATTTTTAAACCTTTATATAAATTTTATAAGAAGTTTACGGCTAATCTTTTTGCTTTCGTTAAATCAACTAAATTTATTATTATTAAAAAGTGCTTGAAGTATTATTGTGATAGGAAATTTATTTTTATTAAATTAATATGTTTTAAGGGTATAATTTAGCTTTTAAAAGGTAATAATATCCGTAAATTAATTATTTATAAAGTTAATTATACGTAAGAAACTAATGTTGTTTTTTTAAAGTTAAATAATTGGTTTTAGTTATTTAAAATGTTTTAAGATTATGATTAATATATTAATTACGATTTTATTAAGAACTTATTTGTTTTTGTTTATTTTTGTGGCTTAATTGTCGAAATGAAAGAAGTTATGAAGAGTTTATTTTCTTTTAAAGTACGTTTATGCGATATCGTTATTGCTTTTTTAAAACAGTTTTTTAACGTATAATTTATGGATAAAGACATTTATAATTACCGTTAATAATTATGCTTATAACAATTAAATGGTTATATTTTTATATAAATATTAATCTATTAATTGAAGTAGGAAAAAATTGTATATTTTATGTATAAAAATGCCGTTAAGGTGGATCGTATAATTGGTTATTTATGGTTTAAATTATTTTATATCAATATATGGCGAAAGTATTTTTTAATATTTTTTTTTGATGTTATATATAAGATAAATAAATTTAAGATGTTTTTTTTTATAAGTATAATGGTTATCTTAATTAAAATAGTTGCGAATATTATATATAACTTTATAAATAACGAACGTTTCGAAAAGTTTAACCAAATTATCGCTAATATTAAATGGATTTGTATATAATTTAAGATTCTTTTATTAAAAGTGATTATTATTAATTACGATGATGTTAAACGAGGTGTATTTTAAGTTTATATGCCTTTTGTTAAATTATAGCTATGTGTTTTTTATATTAATTAAAATATTGTCTTAAACGTTAAAAAGCATTAAAAGTCTCCGCCCAAATCAACTGATTTAAATAACATATTAGATGACGACAAGGATAATATTTAGCAATTAAATACTTTTATAAAAGCCTTTTAAAAGGTTTTTAATC